TGCAAAAATAGAAAGCGAACTGATGCATCGTCATCGATAAGTATGACTATGCCATTCGAAACAAAACCAACAAAATGAACTGAAATAATTAGTTATATATTTTATATACAGCTAGGACATACTATATACCACTGATACTATCCACTCAGTCGATAAACGAAACATAATTCAATGGATTGTTATAGATAAGCCCAAGCATGTTTAACAAAATCACGTGTCACCACTGACTCACTGTCAAGGTTCGCGGGTTTCAATCGACAAGCTGAGGTGGCAAAAGATCGCTATTCGCTATTTGTTTACTCGCACACAATGCCGGATGACCAAATGCGGTGTATAATTCTACACTTTAGCAGTCCGTTAAAACGTTACCGCGGTCTTCAAATTTTGGTGTTGAAGGAAAAACCTCGGAAATAAGCCAAATAGCTGCGTTGTTGTAACGCAGGGAAATGGGGAATTTGTGAGTATCTTCCTTTTTTTATATGAACATTTTACTACCTTCGTAGTTGTATATGTATAAGCCCTTTTCAAATTTGATGAAAGCGGCCATAGTTTACTTGTTACTTCTCAGTTTTCCAACAGCTGTAGGCTACGTTGTTGACACATTCAGAGATCGGAAATGTGCATTAGAACCGAAGACAGCGCCGAAAGACATAAAAAACTGCAGTGCTCAGAAAGGAAAAAGTCAGGCACAGGCCACAGAGTAGGTAAAAAACCTCGAAGGATCAACATCAGAAAGCGGTCAGGCCAGATATAGCCACGATTATTTGGATGGAATCTTCATTGCGTTGTTGTTAAATGTTTCCTCCTGGTAACGTATCGTCTTAGAAAGTTTAATTAAGCTTGGCAAAGACAAGAAAGATCCTTCCTGTCAGTAGAAAAGGCAACCATGCATGTATATCCCTCTCATATTGCATAGCGTAAGATTTTCAGTTATTCAACGTAAGGAATCGAAGCATAAGTAAGTTTTGAAAATTCCCCAAAGGAAACGCGTAACGAGTCGGCGAATGATGGTAACTCATTTCCTGATAATGACCATAGTTGAGTTTCTATTATCTTTTGTTTGAATTTCTATTATTCTATGATTTTATTACAGCAGGCAGCGAGTAGATATAGCTAGACTGCTTTCAGTTGTAAACGAACTCGCGCGTGCCAATACCACGCAACTTATACAAATTTATTTCTTTTCATACTTATTCTAATTTCCAAATTTCCATAAATGTTTTAAATCATAATTCATGATATTGAATATTGGATAAAACTTGGCGCATATTATCCATCATCGTACACGTAATGATGCCAATTTACTCTCTTCATTGCAATCCTGATCACATATTGTACGATTGTAATTATGACAATCAGTTTTTTCTCACAACGTACAAGCGAAATTAGCAATGCTTGAGTCCAGATGATTACCCTCAGGGCAGTCACGACATGCATGCGTGACTTATTCTTATACTGACCGAAAGTGGCGAGACATGCATGCAAATACTTTATATTACTTTCCCACTACACAACCGCGCGACTTGATAGAAAATAAACAACATACCTCGTTTGGTATATCAGAGATTTTGTAGCTCTACCAAAACCGTAGCCAATGTTACTAATCAAACGCGTACAAGTCAGTGATCCGTATTAACCTTCTTCTACAGTAACGATCTTGTAACGTGATTTCAAGGTATCTTCTATATCTTCTTGAACGCGATGTTCTTCAGGGAATACCAATTAATAATCCACCACAATTTAAAAGTAACCAAACGAGAGTTCTCGAAATAGCATCCACTGTTGCTACAGACGTAAAACCTCAGCCGCAACTTGCTAAAGTAAATATGTTTAAAATGAAGAGTACGACTTAATCCTATTATATTATATTATGGCGCTAATCATACAGCATGTAATGAAAGAAGAATAACAGTCTGAGAGTATAGAGATATATATGGAATATATGCCATTTTAAAACCCGGACCCAGAATCTGGAAGTGCAATGGGAAAAACCCGAATCCTTGGAAACAGTAACCAGCGCGATCAAGAATCAGCGTTGTAAAGATATATACGAGACAAGTAGCCGGGACTAGAATATAATGTTAAAGTGAGAAATGTTTTTTATAAAGTCGTAAAATATTTTTCTTCAAATTTGTAACAGATTTATTTCCACGCCTCGCTGAGAATGGAGGAAAAGATAAATTTCCCCGAGCCCTAGGTGTAACTGTGTAAGAAGGACCCCAAATTGATGAAAGTACAAGTTAAAGTAGACGAGAGTCGAGAAAACAGTTCCCACAAAAATTGCGCCTCCTAAAATTATTTTCTTCGAAAGCCTGCATTATATGCTTAAGCGATTCTTACCGAGGCTCTGACTCTGCATTTAATTTAGCTGAAATTTATTTAGTTACATGCAGTCTAAAAACTTGATACATTTCCTTGAATACAATGACAATAATAGATTGATTTTCGCACGATATTCAATACTGGACTCGACGAGCTGTCTCGCCTGATATTGAAGTCTAGACTTCATCGGCTGTTTATTTCATGTTGTTAAGGTGATGTAAATTTTTAAGTGGATGAATAAACAAAAGTGCCTTGGTTTTCTTTTCTTTTGCCAAGTCATGCATGATAAGGAACTATTTTGATAATTCGAGGTTCGAGGATCGTGGCTCAGTTCCTGTTCTTACCAAATCTAGCTATTCCCGTTCCCGTTCGAAACTCCGGGATTTATATTTACGTTTCGAAACCTTGCTACTGAAGATTCCGGCTTTTCTAAGTTCTCAGCTTTTCTATTCTTGGTCTCACGCCTCTTTCCTTTTCGGATTAATTCCTGTTTCAGGCTGTGTTGTAGAATGAAGAAAATGAGCGCCGGTTAGACAATGTAACATGATACTAAATCACAATTCCAGCAGTCAATTAGTTGCATGACATTTATAAGTGTAAAGATTTCTGAGAATCTCGATATATAGGGTGTGTTACATGAAATGGGTTAGTAAATACAACATTATAGTAACAGATTATTATACGTACGTTTTGGGAAGTCAGTTCGAGCTATTTTATTTGTAAAGTATACTAGTTGATAAATGAAAATAATCTATTTTTAATTTCTCACAAATAATCTGGCTGTTTATATTATAGTATTTGTCATTGAAATGATGTTTTTTACTTAACGCATTAAACGATAATGGATTTGAATGATTAATGATTTTGATGATCAGTCATTTAAATTCTCGGGCTATACCACTGAAATTGGCAACGCTTGCCAGAGGGCTCAGACGTCAAGGAGTGTTTATTAATGTAATGAATGTTTAATGTAATAAAGTGTGGCACACAGTCAGCGATAATCATAATTTTAGAATATACATAATCGTCGTATGTGGGTCTCAGTTTCAGTCATATTGTATTGTGGGAATAGCTACGTGTGCAGATTATAATGACGTTTTCTGACCATGCGTGACCACGGTATCATTCATCTAGTGGTGACTACACTTAGCCAGGTGATTGTATGATGAATTGATGGGGTGGTATAATGATTGAAATCGCTTGATAAATCGCAAAGTCAATTTATCAACTGTCATTTGAAGTGAGAAAAGCTGTAACGTCGAGCGAAAATATTTTTGTAATTCACCCAGTGGCGGAATGGCCCATAGGGATATACCGGGGAATTTACGGGGTGGCCCCTCATATTTATGTTCCTTGGCGCTCCATTTTCAGTGACTCTTGCCAAGGCGTTGCTCTTGCTCATGATTGGGCTGCAAATGATGCCCCCCGATGGGTTTTCCTGGTAAGTCATGTATATAAGCCAGTAGTCATCCCCGATTATTCACCTAAATATTGACGCACATAGAATTCGAGTTCTCGGCGTTCGATTCATACAGGGCGTTCGCTGCTCTAGTAAATCCAGGCAGTGTATGGTAAAGGCTAGTTTCCACTCAAGAAAAATTCTCCTTTGGATCGGACAAGACAGGAAAATTTCCTTTGTCGGTGAGTTCTCAGGCGGCGTTTATACAAAGGAAACTTTCCTGTCCTGTCCGATCCAAAGGAGAATTTTCCTGAGTGGAAACTAGCTTTAAAAGCTGATGAAAAGCTGTTTGACATATTTTAGACTTTAAATAAGCTTGTGCGAAATCTAGTAATGCAGAAGCCAGCTTGCTGTTTCTCGCAGGTTCACGTTATTTTCCTTCCACGCACGAGCATGCAGGTATCTTTTTCTCCATGCACATTCGTGATGGTGAAAAATCGTAAAATAGTATTTGGTTCTTACAATAGTATTTCTCCATATATATATGTGAACGATAAGTTGACAAAAACACTGTGATTCCTCTTAAACTGATGACAGGGTATCCTATTCATATAATTTTTTTAAAGACTTAATACGTATACAGAAATGCAACTATTTAGGTATACAGTCACCATTTATAGATATTCCCTGTGAATATCTACCGTAACGCAGGTATACGAAAGGGGATTTTTTTTACCTTAATCCGGCTGCGATTATATAATCCCAATATCTAAGGAATTCGCCATTCTAAAGTGCTTTATCATAAGTTTGAAGTTTGGATTCGCCACAAACAAAACCCACATACCCACAGAATATCAGCGAACATATATACATCCGTGATTTCCGGTATATTCGACCATAACAAGGTTAAATATCCTATATTCGAGTATACTATATTCCAGAATTCCACCATGGTCCAATATACCATATTCCAGTAATTTCGACCATGGTCGAATGTACCATTTTTCGGCATATTCGACCTGCATGGTCGAATATATCATGTTCCGGTACATATCGACCTTAATTACCTTCAATTCGGAATGTGCCGGAATATGGTATACTCGACCATGGTCGAACATACTGGAATATGGTGTACGTACTCGACCATGGTCGAATATACTGGAATATGGTAAACTCGACCATGGTTGAATCAGTGGATTGAATATACCGGAATATGGTGAGAGGTGAAAAAGCGCGAACACTGACTGAAAATTTTGCAGGCTCGGTATCGAATGAATAATTGAATATCGATAGTGTCGACCATCACCAATATAGTAGACCACTGCTCCGGCCCCCGAGTCTGTCCGATAATGGAAATCAAATTTGGTGGGAAAACAGCGTTGGTAACCGGAGCTGGAAAAGGTATAAAATTTAAATCATGTGTTTTTTTGAATGCCTATTTTTATATTAAAAACACAGGAAATATCAGACGCGTATCCAGAGATTTAATCCCCGTAATGTACACCTTTGCTTCATTCCCCATATTTATACAACTTCCAATAACATGTTAATTACCTGTTGGAGCTAGTAAGGACAAATTATTGCGTTGTTAACCTAATTGCCCAGTGTGACCATGTATGCAAATTTTTAACCAAAGCTGCTCAAATCTAGTTAGACTGCTCCCTCCTAGTATAAATTTTGTAATTTTTGAAATCAGGTGGGGCTGTCTATGTGCATGACTGATCGAATTTGGTAATAAAAATTACCAAATCTTGTCACACTATAATTGCCTATAAAAGGCTACAAAGGTAGGAATTAGCTTAGCCAGTCAGTCATGATTTGGCCTGCTATGCAAATTTTTGGTCTAATATGATTATTAATTTTTCTGATTGTTTTTACAGTCAATGAATGATCATTATATGGGACCAAAATATTATCAAAGCAGGACTGAATCCTAGCGGCTGCCTATGCTACTGTTACATTTAATACTTTTTTATCAAACAATATCTGCAACATGATTTCCTTTCTTAAGGTATTGGTCGAGCAACAGCTTTGTTGCTAGGGCAGTGTGGGGCAAATGTTATTGCACTTTCAAGGACCCAAAGTGATCTGGACTCTTTAAAAGTAGAGGTAATTAAACCATTTCTCTTTGAGAATTAGAAGGAAATTGTATATAGTATTTGCTTTGTTAATTTTTTTTCAATACCTGCACATATAAGAACATTCAACCCTCTCACAAATTAAGTCAATACTTTAATTATATGCTTCCAGTATCATTTCAATTACTTTGGACAGTCACCAACTGACCTCCTCCAAAGTTGGAGATCTCTCCTATTTGACCTAATCTCCTTAATTTACCACAAAGTTCTTATCCCAAATCCTTAACTTTCTCTTGCTTAGATGTCAGGTTGTAATATCAAAACAATTTGTGCCGACTTATTTGACTTGAATGAAACAATAAAGGCTGTCGAATCAATTAGTGATCATATTGATTTTTTGGTAAACAATGCTGCATATTGTACTCATACACCAAATGTCTTAGACCTAACAGAGGAGGAAATTAACAAGTATGTGGAAATTAACGAGCATTTTATCAGGACACACCTGTGTCAGACCCAACCATGATTTTAAATATCAAACATTAGTGCTTCGACAGTTTGATGTATTCTCCAAATTATTCCAACTGGTCTAATTACATAAATTAACCAGTCAGAAGCCAAATGCTTGACAAATCTGAGTTATCATTTCCTTTGTTTTGTATGAATTAATTTGGCTCTTGAAAATATAAGTAGTTCTATTCTATACAGAAACACATTCATTTTTTAGTCAATTGTAAATTAGAATTTCATTTGCAATGCAGCTTTGCTTTCCAGAAACCTTATAAGTTAAGACATATATTGCTACTGTTAAGTTTTAATGATGATAACTCCTGACATCATGATCTCAGATTAGCTGGCTCAGCCTGGCTGCTCTTTTATGTAACTTTATCCATCATAGATACTGACCTAATGAAATGTGGATGTGATGTTAATATTTGCTCTTTTTTGATAATTAGGCCAATGGGTGTAATTCGTATCGAACATTTTAATACCACAGTGTAAATAACTTTTTAGGGCAATTAAGTTGAATTTGACAGTTCCACTCCGGTTGAGTCAGGTAAAACTTTCTTGCTTGTTTAGCATGCTTGTTTAACTGTGATATGATGCCCTATATCTAACCTTAATTTGAGTTTTCGCCCAAGATACTTCTGGGACTATGCAATCATTTTTATTTCAACAGCTAGTTACTTCATGACAAAGGCAATTAGCTAGAAACGTTGCCGAAAACGTTATTAGAAGATGTGCGAAGAAGCTGCAATTTTTGGCCTATCTAGGTAGTTGCTCGTGACTTAATAAAACGTGGAGTCGGTGGAGCCATTGTTAACGTTTCAAGTGTGGTCGGAGAACGATTTTGTGCCCACACAACACCGTATGGTAATTAGTTAAAACTAGCTCTTTTTAAGTATACCTGCATGTCAATATTTTTTTACTAGTACCCTAAGGTATTCATTAAAACTTGACAATAGCAATGCATGTCTCTAACTCTTAACTCTTAACTTATAAGGTTTCTCGAAAGCTGCGTTGGATAATCTGACGATGGTCCTAGCTGCAGAACTCGCTCCACACAAGGTTAAATTTAAATAAACTATTATTTTCTTTGTCTATTTCACTGTCTATAATTTCGACCTGATAGTGGCAAAGTGGTTTTATCCGGTATTTCATGCAAACAAGCCTATGCAGCCGGATATTTTGAAAATACCCAGCAAATCCGATTTCCAGCTAGATAGTAAATATCACTACCCGTTGCACCTCGAATTCATATATAAAGTTCATGTTGTATTTTCAATATCTAAAATGTATTGTACAAATATCTTTAGATAAGGGTAAATAGTATTTTGCCTGGTGTAACCAAAACACCAATTGTCATGCAATTTCTTGAAAGTGAGGCTGTACAACGCGTGGTAACTAGAACACCGAGAGGTCAAACGGCAGGTATGCATATTCTACCTCTTTTGGTCCTTTTCCTTCTCAATGGTTTTTAATGTTTTTTTTGTCTATAGCATTCACCTTTGTGGTTTAATTTTTAATTAATGTGGAATAAGGTAGAATAATATGAAATAAAGAATAGTGTGAATAAGGTGGAATAAGGCGGAATAACATGGAATAATGTGAGATAATGTAGAATAATGTGGACATGGAATTAAATAATGTGAATAATCCCACATTATTCCACATTATTCCACCTTATTTAACACTGTTGATTCCTTTTTTCATAACCCCTGTCAGGGACTACTGTAATGTGCAGTGATAAACCAATTTGTGCAATGTGCAGTGATGAAAGAGATTTCGTGCAGTGATAAAGTAAGGTGGAATAATGTAGTTTATCTTCTATTTTCCCAGAACCAAAGGAAATCGCACACACCATTGTGTATTTGCTGAGTGATTTTGCAAGTAACATTACTGGTGGAAAGATAGTTTCCGATGGTGGATTTTTAGCCAATTGAACCTACTACGTTTGACTAAATAAAATATTCACAGCTCAAAAAAGTATGGTTTATCCTTTTCACCTAAAGTTTGCCATTCGGTATGGGTAAAGGCCTGAAGGCCTTTATTAATGCAAAAGGTCTATTAACTCTATTTCCAAATGTTCTAACTCCAAAAAAAGTGACTTCTGAGAACGTCTTAGCGCAATGCATGACGGGTCACACAAAACACAAGATGGCTTCCCACAGACAAGCAAATTCGTCGATAGACCAAAAGAAACAAGAATTGCTTCGTCGCGTTGAGGCTAAGAAGGCTGGGAATTTCTCTAATTTATCTAAAAATGCTTCTTCGAACACTACAGTTGTGAAAAACACGAACAATTCACCTAATCCTAACGTTAATACTACTTTATTTAACAACGATGGAAATTTTCTTGCTCGCTTTCAAGCAATGCAACAACAGTCGAGTAGTGCTTCGGAACCGAGCAGTTGCGTTCAAACTGGATCAGGTGAAGATAATTCAAAAAAAAGGAAAATGACTGTATCTATGAAAGTTGTTAAAGCACCCGTAATATCAGCAAAAACGACGATGAAATCAAAAGCCAAGCTATCGCGTTTTGACGTGTTTGAAACTCCCGAGGAAGAAACTGGTAATTACTCAATTAATGATGAGATTTTTTATAACCAGAAAACCTTTGTTGTAATTTGGTACTTCCAAAAATTACCTTTTTTTGGCCTGTGGAAAGTTAAACCAATTTGCTATATGTCGAGTGTGCTGTAGTTTGAAGCGGTTTTATCATTCCTGAAAATTCAGTGCTATGTTTAATACCATGAACTAGATAGAGGGGGTCAAATTGGCAATACGATTACCTGTTTGGCATAGTGGCAATGGCAATAGCTTGATTAAGATTAAAACAGTCATAGCGTAGGGACTGTGAATGTGTGATTGGAAATGCTGTAAAGATTGCATTCTTATTTGTACCCAGGTGGGGGGAGTATGCATAGGCACCTGGTCAGAGAAAGTCTGGAGAGATTTGGAGGCTCATTAATTTTTCAACCTGTTTAGCAGGCTCTTCCATATGCCTTTTTGCACAGAAAATGTGAAAAAGACATGGAATATTGGAATATTGTGTTATTTGTAAATTATTTGTTGCAAATTATCACAAAGTCACAAATTAAGAGATTGTTTAAAGTATGAACTTATAGGTATACATACTAATCATACCTAACGATTGTCCTCGTGAAAATGCTTAGAGAATGCTTCTAAGAACATTAAACATAATTAAGTCTCAGCACTCACAATTAGTGTGGGAGGAGAAATTTGGATGCATAATTTAAAATTTAAAACAACAATTAACCTTCCAACAAATTGATACAGTAAATATTGTATCAGGCACCATTATTTCTTGAACACCATGTCTGATAGAACCTGTATTAAGTCTTTCCACCAGAAAATGCTGCTGAAATAGACAAATTGGTTTCAATTGTTGTCAAGAATCCTGCAGTTGAAGAAAATCTTAAGAAACTTCCAAAATACAAGTAAGTGTCTTCAAAAACCATAATAGAAAAAGCTCAGGATTTAATATAAATTACCCTATCACCACTGAATCATGGTGTTATCCAAATGAGGTTTAGTAGTGTTAAGAATTCACCTTTTATGTATCTTTATATATAGATTTCTATCAGAGCCTGACAGTAAAGAACACAAATACTATCAAACAAAACTAAAAGAAAAGCAAGTAGAACAGTCTGAGTCTTCCTCATCAGAGACCTCTTCCACAGCAACATCCTCCACACAACAAGAATCTGCCCCATTGAATTTTGATTTTGCTGCAACATTAGCCCAAGTAAGAGCAAAGGCAGCAGCGTCACTTGGAGGGACATCATCATCAGTACCCAAATTGACAAGCCAAGAAATAAGAGAGAAAGAAAAACAGATCCAAGAACAAAAAGAGGTGAGGTATTGTGGTGGTTAGAATGTTGGATAAGAATAGACTGAGGGACATCTTCATAGTGTGGAATAATAACTATTTTGGTTGATAATACTGTAATAAGTATGGCAAAGCAAATTCCAGTTAATACTGGTGTTATTGTATGCCTCTTGCAAATAGCCCATGCAGCAAGGCTGTAATAATTAAGTTAATGACATGTTATGTGAATATTGAATTGTAGCTTCAGGCAATGTATGAGAAAATACTTGCAGCAAAGAAAAGTATGGAGGCAAAGGAGGCAAGGAAAAGGAAATCAAAAAATTCTGGTAAGCCACAATATGAGTATGATTCTGATGAAGATGTTGAAGGAGGAACATGGGAACATAAGAAAAGGAAGAGTGAAATGGAAAAGACAATTGGTAAGTTTAAAAAGAAAAGATCATTTTGAGTAAAATTTTTAAAATACATGGACATGGATAATTATTTATGGTAATTGTTTGGGCTATCCATCAATGTCATGTACAACATTAATTAAGGTTTAGAACAAACATGTCACAGAATCTTTCAATATCTTTTATCTTACCAGTTAAAACTTTGCATTTATGCTTAGTTATTACCGAATACCAATACAAGTCTAAACCACCCAAACCAAACTAATATACATATATTCTGTAGTTTATTTTACAAAACTGGACTAATTTCTTTTTCTGTTTTCTGTGTAAAACTAGTATGTTTATGACTTACCTGCTTCAATTCCCTATTATGTAGAATGGGCTTCAGATTTGACAAAGAAAGGTACTGGGAAACATTTTATTGGAGATTTTTTACCCAAAGAAGAACTAGATAAGTTTCTTGGTAAAGTCAAAGCTGTGAAAGAAGGCGGTGAATTTGTATATGAAGATTACGCAGAGCATAAACTCACTGAAGAAAATATTGGTTACAAGATGTTACAGAAAGCTGGTTGGGAAGAAGGAAAAGGATTAGGAAGCGAAGGAGAAGGGATAAAAGCACCTATTAACAAGTGTGTTCAAATAGTTCAATAGATTATTCTAGCTATAAGCTGTATTTTCGGCAAAGTTTGGTTGTGAAATGGTATTAAAAAAGTGGAAGTTTTCAAAATTTTGTAACAAATTTGTAGCAACTTCACATTGCTAAAATATCAACATTTTTCAACTGAACTTTGCAGTTTTCACTTTACACTTGTTGCTATCATGTTGGATTCTCTATTCAATGTATGGGTAAAATTACTTTCAACTATTTAGGGGCAAGACATCTTTTGATGCATCTGGTCTTGGGGCAGAGAAACCCGATGATATAGGAAATGACGACAGCGAATTTGATGTGTATCGAAAACGAATGATGCTGGCATATAAGTTCAGACCCAACCCATTGGTAAGTGGAAAATTCACGCCACTTTTCAAACAGTTAATAGGAATTCTTTAATGTGTAGTTATCAGTTTAACTGTTTAGAAATAGTGAATATGTAGTAATCAAGTTATTTTCTTTTGCTAGAACAATCCTCGACGACCTTACTATTGACTTGTCTGTAAAGCTGGGTAGAAAAGAATGTAAGGGCTACGAGATGGGCAATTGTGTTTTGTGTATGCATGCATATATTTGCTGTGATATAATACCATTTATATTCTCTATTAAATGATAGAAAACCTTGTCGTGAAATTAACCAATTTTGCTGCAATTGCATGTGCAAAGTGTACATATGCAATCTGGTTTGGGATGCCCTTCGATTTCTTAGTAATAACCCACATTACTGGATGCCTACTGTAAATATCTCAGCCACAACAAATTGCGAGTTACAACGTGATGTTGTGACAGTTTGTGTTGTGTAGGCTCTCGCCTCTCTGTGCCTTTTAAGGGTGTTAATCTGTCATGGATGTTTTAAGTATACACAAACAAGATAGAAAAATCAAACATGCTGTGTCTTTTCATATGAAAAAATTGATTGGTGCACAGAAAGATATTTTCTCCTTCAATTCATATTAATTATAAGTATTTTATAAATATACAAGAGGGTGATGCTTTATTTAGTGTCCAGTAAGAAACAAAAATTATAGCATTTTCATGTAGTATCATCTATCACTATCTACTTTTAATGTATTATTGTGCTGTCTCAAATTGACAAATAAAAATCTAAGTCAACATTTTAGCGACAAGTTTATGCACTGTGAAAAGTAATCAAAAGAGCATTTACAACTATTTCTCAGTTCTCCTAGCTGCTTTTAGTTCCTGCAAATGTTAATGATATCCCATCCAATGTCTTGTATATTAAATGGCTTCCTGGTATGAGGTACATATCACCTTTGTAAGTATGTGGTTGCATGACTATTTATTACTCAGGTTGAAAGACTGTTTCATTATTTCGAGTTATGTGGTTTAATCTTGGTCCATAGTAGTCAATGACATATGCTGATCCATCAGCTGGCCCAACAATCTTTTAAATGGAAAAAAATATGCTTGTTAAAGTTAACAAATAAGATACAGAAAGAACAGATAAAATAATAAGTACAAAATGCTGAAAAATGTTACCTGCATTGCTATCAGTATAACATCAACAAGTTGGAACAGAAAGAAAAATCCAAGAGTACAAAACTTCAGTAAGCCTAAAAATATTTTGAAATTTGCCTAAATCTCTTGGCATGATAAAATTATGTAGGCCAGTGATAATGTCTTGCCCTATCAGTTGGTATGCAATAATCAAGAGTAAAACTATTCTACATATGACATTTTTATTTTTCTATCTGGTTGATTATTTCATTCATTTTAAAGTCATTCTGACCTATAGCTGGATATCCAAGATAGAATCTATCAATTCCAAACATTCCGAGAAATACAGATAGCATTAATGCAGTTGTGTGGTCATGTCCATTTCTGTAACAAAAAGTTAGGTTAGACAAATGTTAAAAATATATATATATATAATTTCATCAGATCCCTAATATTGAGTGGTCAGTATATAGTAATGCACTAAATCTTACGTGTGTCTACATGGATGCATTTTTACAAATGTTCTTTCTTTTGACATCTGTTTACATTGTATACCAGGTGCCAGAGTACATGTAACTATTCAAAACAATACAAAATATTAATGTTCAAATATGATTTGGAGGCCAATTGTTGTGTCTCTCCAAGTACAGAAATAAATGTGGAAGTTGTGTGGAACAAACGTTGTTCCTTGGCTGAGTTGGCTGCGGGTGCAACACAAGATACATGTATGTGATGGGAAGTGGAGTATCAGTTTACCGTCACCTGTGTAATCCATTAAGTAACCAAAGGAGCTTTTTTCTTGAATAAAGGTATTATATAAAGCTCTTAAAATCGATGTGACGGTATAAAGTTGATACCTCATTTTCCTTAGGTTATGTAGCCTGAGATCATGGTAATATACCTTCAACGGTATGGGTTTCTTTGCATCCAACAATGGACTGTGTATCAGGGTCTACCTTTAGAATTTCATCGCAACGATACTGTCCTGGCAATAGTTCATCACACTCTTTATCCAAAGTAACGTTACACATCCCGTGTTCTTGTGAATCGACCAAGATGAAATGTGGACTGAAGAACATAAGTACAAAGTGCCATAGTACAATTGCTATGATGGATCTTTCCATGTTGAAAGTTTCACATATATATTCCCAAAAACTTCTCTTTTTTAAGTAGCTTCAATTTTTATTTTGATCATAGTCCTATAGTTAAAATTTTATTGTTAAAACTGAGTGATTGTCTCAAGAAAACTTCACCTCATCGCCATTTTGTTTTGCTCGCCCCAGGTTTAGCTTTAGCATCATTAAAATTCGGCAGAATAAGATCACCAGTGACCAGTGAGTGGGCCCAGCAGCAGCAGTGAGTTCAGTAGGCAGATACAAGCAGGAAATATAACAGGATGGTGGGAATTTTTATTGCCCATTATTTCAATGAAATTTCATTTTGGAATTTTTGTATTAAATAAAGTATTTGCGTATCCTTTCAATGGTTTTAACGATGGAACTTAATGAGCAAATAATAAAAACTTGGTTAGATGCAATCAATGAGTGGACAAGTGTTGGTTTAACAGGAAAATATATTGTTGATATGACAACAGCAGCAGAGGATTTGAGACACTTGCTCTCTGAGTTGAAGAAAGTCCTAATTAAATTGGTTTGTCATCATTTATGAACCTTCAGTATATATTTCTAGGGTTTGGTAATTTAGTGGCAAGCATTTAAAAAAGTTTGGGGAAAGGGGGTGTGAATTACAATCTGATGTGTGCATGCCAACTCATTTCAGATTTTGCATTCAGGCATGTAATGATTAGAAGAGCTTAATGCGATTGTTTTTCTTGCCCCATGCTAACATTAGCAAAAATCATAAATTGCCTCTAGCTATTAATTGCTCCTGCTTACGTTACAATTTAACCAATATTACAAAATGTGATTTTTGCGTGAAACCAACATATACAACTTTTCCAATTTGGTCTTGATATTGTAGTATTTTTTACTAGCTATTTGCAAATATTTCACAAAAGTGCACAAGAAAATAACCCACATGCAACACAAGTAATATTTTGCCATTTTAGAGTTGACCTATTACATTCTGATAACATGTTTTTATTAACAAAGTTTAAAAGTTATAGTCAGGGCTGCTAAAAGTTATAGGCGGGTGTTTATTTCATCTATTCAATTCTGCTTGACAGTTCATTTACAAAAGAAATCTGTAGGGGCAGAACTGAATATATGAATAAACACCCCCCCCCAATTATTGTTCTAGTTTCAGCCCTGTTACAGTCAGTTTGGCCCATAATGATTGTTGTCCATTTCAAATAAAATGTTTTTTTGCACTGAGTTCAAAGCTATCTCTTGACTATACACAATATATTTTAGTCAATACTATTTTTAACAGAATTTGTTTCAATTTACTCAATTTACTTCATTAACTGTTACTCAACAAATAATCTAGTAAACCTCACAAATGATGTATTTACATGCTGTCCAATTTTTCCGTATATTTAACCCACATTTTCCTCGCTTTTTTCTTTATTCTTTTTCGCATTTTTCGCTGTATCCTCTTCCTCAGTATTTTTCTTTCCCGCTGTTGTAGTCGTTGCTTAGCGACTTCTAAATCAAGGGTAATTATTGCTTCCATCACTTGTGAATGGTGGTGTTGTTTAAGAACAAGCAGCTGCATCATCATTGCACACAACGTCATCGCTTCTCCCATCAATAGGCAAATAGTGGAGCAAATTAACAGAGTTCTTTGTCCTTGGGGATCCATTTTTATTCTTACAAATTGTTCGAAATTTTTATATTATTTGCTTCTAATTCACTGCCTGCGTCCTTCGTCTAAATTTCCCGCCACTGCGGCAAGTGTCACTGTGTCACTCGTCAGACTAGACACCAGGCCTCGACGTCACCATGACAATCTCGTTCCCCGAGGCACTGATATTTTAGCGAAAAAATGGGGCTTAAGGCGGATTTCCACTTACAGCGAAATCGTTCGCTAGCGAAATATTTATAGACTTTAGTTACTATTCAGTTTACTTGAAAAATAAGTTCAATCCCGGTCCAGTTCAATCAATAATCAGTCCAATAAACCAATTCGAAATTTAACTCTAACTTAGATTGAAAGGGACCTGTTATAAATCTCATTTCGGTCACATTCTGAAATATAAACAATTCAACCTTTTTTTAATTTTTTTGTTTTAGAATGCAAAATATACAAAAATGACCAATGAATATATAATGACCAATAAATCATATTATATAATGACCAATATAATTAATAATGAGCAATAAAATTATAGGAGCCAAGAGAGGTTCTTAGCCGGTTTCCAAGTGTTCCGAAATTCCTGCATGCTCTGCTAAGCAATGTGATGGTACAGACTACAGGTATATCGACATGAATCAACCTCGCAGGCTAGGCTCCGTAGCATCCGTTCTAGTGGAAGAGCCTGGCCTGCGAGGTTGCGTAAATCAGTTTACATCTTTTTGTAATCAAACTCAATTATACGAAGTTTATAGTAACCTCGTCTTGGCATTTTTTCAGAGGATCTTCACCGCCTTGTTTTACAATGTGTCTCGGCTGTGGCTGTTTCTTTTCAACAACACGGCGATGAAATACACGAGAAATCCATTAAGTGGGTGAAGGTACTGTGGTCTCTGCATAGCTAGTTGTCTAAGAATATCATGTTCCAAATTTAAAATTTCAAGGCTGGAGACGAATTATACAAGGATATTTATAATTTTATATATCGTTCTTACTTAAAGCCTAAAATTCCGCCCAGTGGAAAACCGGCTAAAAGGTCATTTTTTTGCAGTCGCAGATTAAATCAGTGTGTCAGTCCTATCCTGCCGTTATCAACTCATCTGTAAACATAGCAGAACATTTTGGACTACAGCCAGTCGACATTACAGGGCAGCTTAACAACGAGGTAAAGCTTGGAATATATCTTTGCCGAAAACATCCTCCCCACCCAGAGCTCCCCCAAATCACTACACAATCAGCACTACTATGTATCCACTATCATCGGGGTGTGTATACACATCATCACTATTATATACGCACTATCATTTACCATGTATTATGTAATCGTATACACCATTATCACTATTTTGCATGCAATATCATCACTACGGGACAACCTATGGTATACAAGTAATACAACATTCCGTTCTATTACAGTTAGTTACCTCCTTAGTGGAAGATCTTAGTAATGCTGCATATTGTCATGGATGGAGTGATTTACACAGGTGAATAAATAATAGGCAAATACCATACTTTCCATTTTCTGCTTTTTATAAGGAGTAATGTTTCAACTCGGGGTGTTTGCTGGTAAAGAAATTTTACACTTTTTATTTTTGTTATAGTGGATCGTTCGGTGATAAAAGTATTGTCTTGCGGAAAATAATATTTTTGCTAAATTTTCGTAATCTTCACCTTTAATAGGCAATTTATTCCACGATACCCGATAAGAGGAAACACGTTGAGAAGCATTTCAGAGATGTGTTTGCCCATTTTAACAAAACCGGTTGTTCGTCCTTTGGTAAGTCAAGGGAGCAATTAATCTCTCTGTCAATCAAAATTTGAAACTTGAAAGATTAATCGAATGGTTTTTTTAGGTCGAGGCACTTCTTTGCTGCGAAGCCGCAACAGATGTCATAACCAACAGGTACCATCAGATAACTGTTGCTATTCCTTGAAGAAGATTATCGATACATCGAATAAAATAAAATGTTAAAATATGCGGCAACTTGTGACGCTTTCAACGTTCAGTGAGTTATGATTAGCATCTTAGATGAAGTTGTCAATAGGTGGATTTTCCCTCCCGAGCTAGCTAGGAAAATTACGACCATTTAAAATATATATTTTATAATTTTAATACCAGCACAAAAGACGTCACCACTGATCAAGCCCTCTCTCCGCACTTCCTAAACGCACTGAAGGATAATCCTAAGGACTGTTATTTAGGTCTGTCACAAGGTACTATATATACATCGAAATATTTCAACTCATTTGTTCAATAAATACATAATAGAAATAGATTTTGTTTCCCATTTTGTGCATAAATCGATCTTTGGTGAGAAGACATTTAACTGAAGCAACATTAAATATCTTTAACTCTAAGTAAGTTTGTAACTCTTTTTTCTTCTTCACTCCCTACCATGCAGGTATCCCACTCACCTATGATGCAAGGGTTAGTTTGTGGTTGCACGATCACTTATACTTTGAAGAGGAGGTATATACATACACACTATATACGTCAATAACGGTTTGAATTAAAAATAATTATTTTACCCCACGTCGGACCAAGTAATCATTCTTGTGTTCCAAGATTATTTCTCTACTGGAAATTTGTTGTTTTGAACGGAAATACATGTCGCGTGAAGAAATGAGGAAAGTCGTCTCTTTAAGAGAAGTGGTGAGGTTCTTTTGTTTAGCCATTCTTTTTAGAGTATCCAGAGAATATCCAGACACATGCATTTTAACCGGTTATTATACATATATTCGACCTATTGTGCATCCCATGCAACCGCACGTTTTACCACGACAAATCGACAATGCATGTGTAGTAAAGATAATCCATTGCCTTATTTCAGCCGAAAGCTTTGGGCGAGATAACTTCACTCTTTTCAGTAACATATCAAATAATACTGTGAGTACATGTGAAAAAAGTTCACGCTGGTGCGCTACTACATGTTAAGCCCAGTGCATGGCTTTGGCACTTCAGATTGGAATTTGCAATATCGATTATCTTTTCATGCAAGGCGAGTGATTTATGAGACGAGTGGAGATCTCTACGTCTTGAAATTTGTTGGGCTTCTCTTTCAACTGATGTCTAAAAATCAACAACAAAAGTATAAGGTATCATCAGTAGAAATTACAAAGGAAATGGAATTTTTTTAAAGCTTTTAATTATTAATGACAACTTGGAGAACAGACATTAGTAAATTGCTATATCGTAATGCAAGGAAAAAATGCGTTAACCGTACTATTATAGCACCCAGGTGATGATGCAACTCCTAATTAGCAGTCATTTTATATATAGCCAACATGTGGTATGCAAGTTGTTACAATGCTATACCCCACTAAAGTGTGAAGTCTGCGGGCGTAAAGCCTATAACATGCACCTCCGTTAATACAGTGTTATCTACTTATTCTCTTATACCTTTTATTATAGACTCCGTTTGCTGAAACGTTTAAAATCAATTATGCCAACATATGGAGTGTCGAAATGTCAAATTTTGTCAATCTGCTAACCGTCGATTGGGCTGGTATGTGCAAAACTAAGCTTTAGTAAACGAGATGAAAATTCTTGTTTCTTGCATGGTTCAGTTCTGCACGTTCAGAGAATGTTAAGGGCATGCATGTTTCGAGATTGAGTTAAATCCCCTACACTAGAGCTACATATATATATATATATATATATATATATATATATATATATATATATATATATATATATATATATATATATATATATATATATATATATATATATATATATATATATATTGACAACCCGTTTTTTTAGTTTTCATTTTATATCCTCTTCTCCAGATATGGCAGCGAAACGTTTTTTTCATCATGCCGAAAATGTTAAAGATCGCATAAATGAAATTTGTTGGAGGACAGAGTCACCAGGGTAATTTATACTTTCATTGCTTTGACAAATGCATGCAACAATGTGACCCTTTAGATAGGGCAATGTCCACACTATTGAGCACAATGATGACGTGTCACAAAGGTATTCTGCCATTTTTGGTGACATGAATCTTTTATTCAACCGATTGCTTTACAAATCCTTGCATGGAACTTCAAGATCCTTTTAAAATGACAAACAAAATTGTAAGCTACAGTCAGTTGTTACAGTCTCATGCAGTTGCACTTTACGGTTGTCTTCTTTTAAATAACTGAAATATTTGCGACGTTGAACAACAATATTCATGCATTGTTACATAATAAAAACATAAAAGATATAGGCTCATGATCCAATATCAGAACGAGGCTAACGAAATGTTCGACCATGCAGCATTTTCACCCATCAAGACAACTATTATTTTGTTGATAGGTGTCAACTCTATTATATATGGTTGATTTTACAAGGATTTCAAAATTTATCACAGAGATGTTGTTGGGTTGTCCTCTTTGCTGATCAACAGGTACAGCATCAAAGCTGTTTTTTCCAGTTTCCCACCATGTTAAGTAATACAAATCTTGTCTAAATATTTTTTTTCCGAACGAAGTTTGTAGGAACATGTTTAACAATTCTTTCCTGTTGTCATGGAGGTGGAACAGCGTTTGACGATAAAGCCAAGGTGCGAAAATATTCTAAAATATCTTTGTAATCGCACTAAAATGTGGTAGATTCAGAGCGTTCTTTCAACAAGACGGAATTTTTTCGATAGAATTTTTCAACCTTACTCCAAGCAATGTAGATGTTGCATCAAAGTGCATAACATTGTACCATGTATACTTTATGTAGATGAAATTGAATAATTCTGTGGATATCTTACGCCGTCTGAGAAACAAGAATGAAATTATGACTAGTGATATATTGTGTGTTCTGGACGGCATCGTAGACCCCACTAACTGCAGACCAAATGTTGCGATCATAATACGTTACCTTGTAACGTTGTTTATGTTAATCAGCTGTTCTTTAAACAACCTGGACATTCAGGCGATCATCTTCAAGGTACGTCGGATGTTAACGAATAAAAGGCACGTATTCGGATTCCTTACGAAAATAAGTGGAGCCCACTGAGGTTATCTTTAATAGATAGTGAATAGAACTAATACTGCCACGCGATAGTAACGAATCAAATCATTAAACTGACCGCAATTGATTAAGTGGATGATTCAATTGCTGCTCTTTCTTCCGCTTTTAATTAGTTGTCCGTGGATCTTTCCTTGCCGAATGCATTTGACCAATTATTAGATGTCGTAGAAGAGACCATTCGCTTTCAGAAATGCGCACAATCCTGGATCTCTGTGAACTTTCGACTTGATGCATTGTTGATCAACAGCTTTATACTTCTCGACGCGATCCGCACGAATTTTGATGAGTACGTCCGTCAGCACTCAGAGAAGGACACACAAAATGAAATTGGTATGGTAAATGATATTCGCTCGAGGTACGACACCTTGTATGAAATATTACGAGTAGAAAAAGGGTAAATGTGAGACGTTTTTTCTTAAACATTTTCCGTTGTTACCATACATGCTTGCGTTCGTAAGTAAAAAATGAATGGAAGTTCATAAAGTTATGAACAATGAACAAAGAGAAACTTCAGAGGAACTTATCATAATATAAATAAAAGAAATGTATAAGATGTATAAAAATCTAATAAAAGGTGTTTCACTGCAGTATAAACCTCTAACCTCTAGCTGTTGAATCATCAAAAATAGCATACAAAAATTATTATAAAGGCTTTAATTATTTAACAAAATTACAAATTCTAAACATAGTTACTAAAATATTTTTTTGGCAATTTTAAATGTATATTTTTTTTAATCAAGCATCGTCAACTAATAATATAACATCCACATCATTATGAACTCCTTGCAGAAGAATTTCTCCCTGATACTGCACAATTTTTCTTTTCTTTGCAGCCTTTAATGTTCCAACCAGAGCTTAAAATAAAATAATCTGTAATCAAAAGTCTGAACTACAATTTTTGTGTATAAAATTCTAGCTGTGTGAAGGGCTAATAAGAAATTGAATAAACCTGAATAGAAAACCACTTTAGCTTTTACCAGGTTTCCGAGATATCTTTTTAAGGGAGAATAATATACCTTCAAACAGATTGGCACATCTATCATCTGAAAATAGTACTCCAAATTTTACAGAGATATTTCCATCAGCATTGGGGGAGCCAAGTCTCTTAATTTCCTGCACAAGCAACTTTATCTCATGATCCACATTCATTCTAAAATACCTGTGTATAACCAAAATAAAATTAACTTGATAGATAACACTGCACCGAGCTAGGAAGAAGGAAATCTTTCTAAATCAGGGAGACCCATAGACCCACCACTTTATATATTACTTGGTGGTGGCTGTTGAAAAAGGACTGTATTGAAAGCTGAACGTAATAATACCATAGAATAATACTCATTAATTGTGCACAAATAAATACAATAGCCTTTATAAAAACACCTTGAACTTACTTTGCTAAAAGAACAACGTAATTTGTTTATTCTATAGGTGTTTCTTCTTTTCTTTGGACTTTAAAAGTTGCTCTTAGACTTACCAAATGTGCTTCCAGTAGTACTTCCGGCTTTACGTAAAAAGTTTGATGATATCATTTTTTTCAGTATTGGCGGACTTGGCTCTCTTCTGTTACTAGTTTACATCGAAAAGGCGCACAAGAAGTCTAAATTACATTATTAATCAAGGGTTTGTTAAAAACTCAGCAGTTTGAAACTTTGAATATTGGAATAGTTTTTTTTTAAATATGATATTCACATTCCTAGAAAATTTTGCAATACTAAAGTGGAAGCACAACACTCATTGAACTTTGATTCTATAAGAAAGTAAATATGTTACAAATTCTCCATTGTTATATTCTTTATTCTAACATTGACATTTACACAATATGCGTATAATAAAGAAAAGTTTATAGTTATGACTCTGGTCGAGGGAATATCAAACGAAGTTTTGTTTGCTTTCCTTGTGACAATTTTATCAATTGCACTAGCTATATATTACACTTTCTCTGGAGCCACACGACCACCCAGGCAAAATGTGGATGGGCCTATAAATGTGGAAAATGTTGATGGAAATCTCTCAGAAGCAAGGAATAACGCTGCCCCAAGTCAATCTAAAACAAACACCAATAACACGAGAGGAAGTGCGGTTAATCTCGTGGGACAGCCCCCTGATCCCAGAGACTCAGCGGAACAAACGTTACAACCTGAACAAAACCCAGGTGCAGGTGAGGACAGTGTGAGAAGACGTGTAGTAAATGATCCAGACCAAACTCAAGGACAGACAACTGGAGGCCAATCAGGTCAGGATGAAACCATGGTGGTGAAAGTGAAACACAATGAAAACATGCAGACATTTAATGTTTCAAAATCTATAACTGTTTTAGAATTGAAAAGGTAAATTGAATTAATTTCTCCTATGTTATATTCTAACGAGGGGTGGGGGCGGTAGGTGGAGGTCCTCGAGATAGCGGTAGTGTAATGCCCATTTTCAGTTTTCCCTGAACAAGGTATTTCATAGTTGTGATATCAGGAATTATGGGATTATACTTGTTGCTCATAAGTTGCTATTGTCTATTGACAGGTTGGCATTTATTAATGAACTGAATGCAGGGCACAGAGTGAGGTTTGTATATGCTGGACAACTATTAAGAAATGATGATTATCCTCTTACAAGATATGGAGTATTACCAAATACTGTTATACACTGTGTGATATCTGACTCTCCAGAACAGCCAACACCTGCAGCAGCGGAACATTATGATGAGGATTTAGATCTTAGTCGTTTTTTAATACCATTACTTACTCTTGCTCTAATTATGGCATGGTATGGTCTCATCTCATACAAGCACATATTCACTGGTTCATCTATTGCCATATTAATGTTCTTAACTAGTCTCTACATGATCCTAATCTATGTGACAACAATTCAATGAAATATACAGTACATGTAAATTGCTATTCCAAATAGATAGGGAGTGTAATAAAATAACATACAAAATTGTAATTGTTAATATGTGGCATGCACACCTAATTGGTACGTTTACATGGTATTGGTTTGGGAATGGGTACATGAATTTATCCCCCTGTGCAGTATTGCCTAAAGATCTAGTCAAATTATACCAATATATTTAGTGTTCATGTTTAATCTTCATTAATGCTACCCCAACATAAAAAAATGAATGTCCACAACTTTTGACGCAATATCACAATTTCATTGATTATACATTATTTATTATTACTTCATTTTTATACATTGAATAATGCAAGTTACAACCTATTGGTTTATATTTTTAAGTTGAAAACACCTAAAGCCCTCGTTTTCAAAACAATTGTAATTGACCTTATCAACCTTACTGTTTGATTTATTTTGCCTTATATACATGGCCTCGTTTTATGTCTGATATCGTATTGAGTTTAGGCTGTTTAGCGCGCAGTGGCTCAAAAACTCATTTGTTATTTCGTCTATTAAAAATTTACAGGAAACAAAAACAGGATATGTAGTTTTTATTTACCACTGCAATTTTAGAATATGCACTGGGTGAGAGTAACTAAACCGTCTAAACGATAAGGTTTATTTAAGAACCCATAAGCCAAATTGTCAATATCTGTCCTCTTCACTCAGGTATAGCCTTGCCGAAAACCCAGATTCCTAAATAAGGGTTTTACTGTTTCTCTATTTCTCTTCAGTCTATCCAAACAATATATATGTGCATATGGAATTCAAGAAGATTATATAGAAATTGTATGGAAACTAGTAGTTTTCATATCAGAAAAACGCTTTAAGGATTTGTCAGTATTCGAATTCATGTACACGCACACGCAGAGTACATTTTGGAAACGGCACTGCGAAATGCGTTTCTGTATTCCTTGAGTCTGATACCGTAGATGAAAGGATTGCACACTGAGTTTACCCCAACAAGTAGTACAGAAAAAACGTACACCCTCGTTGGTACACAATGTCCACTGGTACAATGAAACATGTCCATCGTTTTGACCACTGCGTAAGGAATGAAACAAAGCAGAAATATTCCAAGTAAAACAAGAAAGGTCTTGATAAGTTTTAGCTGTCGCATCGTTGTTTGTGTAAAACTCGAACCAGAAAAACTGTTGGAGTGAGTGGAAGAAAGACGTACCGGCTGATTTCTTACCTTGCGGCCTTGTCTCCGTGCCACTTTGAAGATTTTATAATTCAAGTAAATCAAGATCATTACAGGAATATAGAAACTAACCATGTCAATTGAAAGTATCAGTTGAGAATTTGTTCTGCAGTAAATTAAATCGTTTTCCTCCCGTGTCTGAAAGCATAGAATGCCAGCATCAAGGAAACACAAGACCCAAACCACAATCAGCATGAAATAGGTCCTTTCCCATGTCATTATTACAGGATATTTTAAAGGGCGACTTATAAAGATGAATCGGTCAATTGTGATTGCCAGAAGGTTGCCAACAGATAGCGCCACACTTGTTCCGGATGACGTGACACTTATCTTACATATCATATCGGCGCTACCTACCTCACGACTGCCCAATATCTGTAAAGATTTCACGATCCATGTAGGAAAAAACGAACAACAAACTATGATATCACACACAGCCAGGTTGGTAACAAAGTATGTTGTTGGAGATTTCGCATTGTTCATGAAGATGTTGTATATTATTACCCCAACATTCCCAAGAATTCCAAGTAAAAGACACACACAACTGGTGATGATTATTCCAATGACAAAGGCAGATGAAAGGTATTCAGGCTTTGCACTACTACTGGAATTGCTTTCTCTGAACATTATATTCTTTGCTTGGCAGTGACAACAGGCAAAGCCTCTGTTTCACAAATGCAAGCCTCTGTTTCACAAATGCACTAATACAATTTCAATACTTGACGAAACATATAAACTCTTTGCAAAGTAATGCAAGTTCTTGATTTTTCTCTCGTATCAAGATCCTTGTCCATTAGCTGCAGCCGCTATGCCTACTGACAACTGACCCGATTGTGACTCTTTTGATATTAACACGAAAACTAGGTTTGCAAATGAAAAGAAGTCAGGAACAGGTGGAGCACGTAATTCACTAATTTCAAACAATATCGATTAAGCAAACATTGATAAAAGTTGTTCAGATATATTGATGAATAATGAAAAAAGTTACATGTATGACACTTTATTAAACAGTCGCTTAATTAAACAAGTTCAAAGAAGATAAGAACGAACGATTTTTTCAACTTCACATAATCATATCATGCAAACATAGTTTTGTCCTTGTAAAAGTAATCCTTTATTGGCTTTAGGTATATCGAAAAATTACGCGAATAACTAGAATAAGAGTTCTAATACTCATATGGCAACGAAAACATTGTAAAGTTTTACGTCAAACGATAATAATATATACAGTGATATCAACTTGTATTAATTAAGTTCGATAAACTTAGTTGTATCAGATTATTAATTGGACGACTTGCGCTTTCGACTAACTGAATTCTTAACTCAGCGATAAAATGCAGCCAAACTTTGCATTTGCACTAATTTAAATAAGATCTTTCTGGCTGTGATGACTTATTTTCTTCTTGTTACTTCGATCAAAAATTAGTCTAAAGCGCAAGTCGTCCAATGGCCAATTAAACTTCGTAAACAGTGCTGGATTGTGTTGACAAAATAGCAGAACCGTTACAGTTAAAACGCACTAGAAAGTGAAACGTTTTCGCATTGAATTTGTTTATTCCTTTTTTCTACAGCAGATATATACCTATACTAGCTACAATACGGTGACAACGTGTAGGGAAGTTGATTTGATATTTTCAGTTGAAGATTAATAATTTCATGCAAATCAACGTGAATATTTAATAAAATTAATGGATATATACCTAGCTACAATACGGTGACAACGTGGATTAATAATTTCATGCAAATCAACGTAAATATTTAATAAAATTAAGTGAAACAGAAATCGCAAAAGCGTGGGTTCGATTCCTGCCCGAGGACCTATAGTTGACTTATTTTTTCATCAACTTATTTGCATATGACTATAGACAAAAGAGAGAAACAAAGAACATTTGAAAAGAATGCATAAAATATTCAATTGAGTAAAACAGATAGTGTGGTGTAAATTTGGGCGAAAACAACGATAATTAAGTTACCCCTTAGTTTTGTGATGAATCATATGGCATAAAACTCAACTGGCATAAAACTTTCAAAAAGAAATATTATATAGTTTCGGATCATAGGAACGCATTGCGTTCCTTTTTCAGTGAATTCAATCAGTTATTTCATTTAATCAATCAATTTATCTATACTAACCTCTCTTCTCCGCAGAGGCTTCGAGTACAAATGCGCAGCGGTCGTCTTTAATAATGTAGCGCATTTGCATTCGAAGCCTCTGCGGAGGACAGAGTATAGAGTACACAAGCAATAACTGAAGAATCAACCTAGAAGTTTGAGACTAAAATCTACGCGGCTAAAAATTCTGAGCCTGCGGTTTATCAGCATGCAATAATGTTGTGCCAGTGCTGCCATTATTGTTCACACTTGTCAACAACATTGAACAATATATATCGTTGAAACTGGGAGTAACAATATTGGGAGTAAAATCGGGAGTAACAATATTGTTCGATGTTGATAAAACCCCTGAACAATGTGGGCAGCACAACATTGTTCTATCAGGATCGTTTTTAGGCGTGTTGTACCTCGGTGTCAGCGGTTGTTACTTCACATTAATTAAAGCTCGATATTAATGACTGGATCAATGTTTCTTCTTATCCTAATATTACAATGTTCATACAAAGTAATAAAGACGATGACAATAACCGCAATAATGCCCATTTTTACGCTTTGGCATAAAAACTTAAACGCTTGTTATTGTTTTACACGGGTCGTCGAAGTCGCCAGTAAATGTTGTCAAACCTTTAGTCTTTAACTCTGCGCGCGTTGCGTTGGCTAGTTCATCCTCTTAGGAACCTAGAGAAAAACTGACGATATGCAATTCTATATTCTTTGTTTCTTATCCCATATACGAAAGGATTTACCACCGAGTTCAGCCCTACCAACATCCCTGTAGCTACTGATACACTGCGTGAAATGGGAACGCCTCGGCTTCTCAATCTTGATGTTATGATCTTTGGAAACAGGCAGACGAAATACACGCCAATTATGATAGCAAATGTTTTCACAACCCTTATTTGTCGAAGCATTTCCCGCCGTTCCTCCTGAGGTTTTTTTGCTGTCTCCTCTGCTTCGGCATTTTGATTACCATGAGTCTGACTTGAACAACTTGCGATTCTTATTTTTCTTCTCTGGTTTTTCGCCACTTTGTAGATTCTATAGTTAAAGTAACACAATCCCAGGCTTGGCAGGAAAATGTTTGGGATGTAAAAGATGTTCTCCACCGTGGAATTGCCAATAGCGCAAGAAAGCCTAGTATTCCCGGTGTTGTCTGTGTAAGCGAAGATAAGACTAGCATTTATCAAAGCTACCGCGAAAATTGCTGCAATCAAAATATAAGTTTTCGTCCAAGTCATTATCATGGGGTATTTCAACGGTTTTGAGATGAAAATACATTTATCAACGGTAATTGCTAAGATAACTGCAATAGAGAGTGCGAGACTGGTAGACGAGCTTGTAACAATAACTTTACAAATCAAACTTCGATCACTGTCTTTATCCATCAATATCGATATGAATTCAAATAACCCCGAAGGAAACAACGTGAAACAGACGATGATATCAGCAATTGCTAAGTTCACCACAAAACATGTTGTTGGGGTTTTTGAGTAGTTCATGAAAATGTTATAAGTTATTACACCAATATTTCCGATCACGCCAACAATAATGCACAGACTGGCGAATATTGACATTGCAATGAGAAATCCTGACGAAGGAAGATTGTCATTCGTTGAGTTTGTTCCACTCATCTTTCGGGCTTCTCTTCGATGAAGACGAATAAGTTTTTTTTTTCAGGCTCTTTGAAAATGATAACTTTAATCGGGCACTCTGTTTTAATATAAAGATAATCTAAACAATTAACTGAACATAAATAATGGCAGATTACTCAGTAGGATTACTTCGTCTACTGGGCCTTATTTTCAAAACATTGCACATTATTTTAATTACATTTTTGAATCTCTGTTTGACTTTTTACAACCTTCTGGTATCACTGTTGTTAGCGAAAGGCATGCATGTTTTCTCCAGGTTCTTGAACATTTATTAAAGGAAGGCATAAATTATAAACCTGCTACATGCAAGGGATTCGCAGGAGTGAGGTGGCATCTTCCAGACCGTAATTTTTTTACTAGATGCGCGAACTATATAAGTATAGCCTGGATTCCGCTGCGTAATTTGCCCCCGTCCATGCATATTTGGTGGGAATACAGCACTAATTCCATTGCCATAGTGTAGTGTGAAGTCAGTGGAATACTAGCCTCAGAACTCACGAACTCTACTCGGTCCTCATGAGCTGCGAGAAGTAATCAAACATCGAGAATGAAATGTTTTCGACAGATGTTCAATTTTCTATATAGCTTTGGCGCAATTGCCTAAAGGCCATGTTACACGGTGCAATTTTTCTTGCAACTTGCAATGCAATTCTACTTCCAAGAGATTTAAATTAGTGAGGAGTCTTGCAAAAGAATGTAGTAAACACATGCAAAAGTTTCGTCGTTCCCACATATACATCTCTCAAAAGTAGAATTGCATTGCAGATTGCAAGAAAAATTGCACCGTGTGACAGGGCCTTAAGTGGTAATCAGGTAATCTAAATTAAAGTTTTCATTAATCAAACTTTCGGATTCTGTTTCATTACGTTGAGGCGGAAAATCCGCCCTGAAAAATAATTACACTGAGCTTTGAAGGCAGCTGACATACGAATTAATTACGAAGCCTTCCTCGGGGTCATGCAAAGCGGCTTAATAACTTAAGAGGCAAAAATTGCTTTCGCTGTTTCTCTTTGCCTCCGAAATGAATTTTTAACACATGCATGTACAGCCTTAATTTTTTCTTATCAGTAAATGGTTAACCCTCGTTTTAAGACACCACCCTTCTGTTTAATTTCAGTGTGAGCAAAAAGCCTTATATATATTATCAATATAATGTTGAAAAATTAACAATTCATATTGTCCATATTCACGAAGAGATGAGAATTATTCGGATGTAATAAATCCTGAAATTCAGCAGTTTATAGAAAGGCGCCAAAAAATTGCTCACGTTCAAATATACCCCACAGTATACATATACCATAAAAGAGTTAGCTACGTATACATCCATGTGTTCAACCTACCGTTGAGAAGGCAGTGGATTACGGCAGGTGCATGACCAGACTTTGTCGACGTCGCAATTATATCAGTTTTTATGCGACTATGATTTATGACTAGAGACGGATCATATCCGGTATATAGACAAACTTGAGCAAGCGAAAGATACTTCGAAAATCAATCAGACGGATATCGATCATCCAATCCATCAACACGAATTATCGGCATAGTTAGTCTATTTAGCCCTTGTGCACTCTTCACTGCAAATAATTTCCCAATTTCCGTGCACTTTCTAATTAAACGCGCGATTCTGTTTCGTTTACATAATTCGTCTATAACATATCTTATCTATACGCCTTGACTTGACAGATTGGAGGCATGCTTGTGTTACTTATTGTTCATATCTTTTGATGCATATACATTCTTTGAAAAATTATTCCATTCGTCTGCTATTGGCCATTTATATAAGCATGCAGGTAGTTATATACAACTGTTTTCCATATGCATTTATGTAGGCAGATTATATGTGAAAAACTTTTAAGATGCACTATTATACATGTTTTTGATATATATACTAGTTTTTTAAAATTTTTAAAGTGTTTACTGAAATTTGAAAGTGCTTTTGCCACTGAGCATTGCACCGGCATCGCAAAAGCGTAATTTCGATTCCTGCCGGACGACCTATATACGGTTGACTCATTTTTTCTTCAACTGTTCCTGGCTTGAATTTGAAGTGTGTATAATTCCACTCGAAATTAAGACCCTTTAAACCTCTAGAATTTATCAGCATCGAGTGAAGTGCCAAAAATCATTGATTTTTCGCATATACCTAAATATTTTTTGAATTTTTTACATATATATACTAGTACGTGTTTTCTAAACTTTTGTATTCCAGAATGCGGAATACATGCATACAGGATAGATGAAGGAAGATTGTTAATTGCGGGTACTCGCTGTATGGGGGCAGCAGCAAATAGATAAGATTTAAGTCAGGTTTTTTTATTAAGGGAAATTGCGTGATTTCAAACTATATTAAGCATTATAAGAACAATGGAAATTTGAAAAATAAAGTCGAGAAGAGAACACCAAAAGACTATTTCCAGCGATCTCTCGCCAAACTTTAAATTAAATCCGAGACTAAAATAGAGAGTAAAATAAAATAAAAAAGTAAAATATTAAAAAGTAATCAATTAAATGATAGTTAAATAAAAATGCACGGGTTGAATTGGTTTGGTACAGCACAGAGAAAAGACCATGCAATGAGGAAAAATATATAAAATTTGCCGGCATTCCTCTAATCCTCTGAAATCAATAGGAACTTCCCGTCCATTATGTAACACTTTTCCGTATCACACAAGGAAAGTATCATTTTAAAATTATAAATTGCATGCAGCGTCTCCAAAATCAGTCAGGCATAAAGGTTTGTCAAGAATTTAAAATGTTGAGATCATTGTCCCCTTTCGTTTCGTAGTGCGCAACATTAAAACACCTAAATATAGTCTTCAGTTTGCCAACATTCCACCATCTGTTACAATCTTGGTGCCTGTTATATTGCTTGCTCTATCGCTCAACAGGTAAACAATAGTATCGGCTATTTCATCAGCACCTGAATAATGAAAAGAAATTAAAACCATACGAGTGTACGCATATTCTGTGTACTTGATCGAAGCTAAACGACACAGCACGCATATTCTTTGCGATAAAAATTAAACGTCTGTACGCATATTCTCAATCAAAACTAGTGAACTCGATCCGTGAAAACTAGCGGGGTGGGAACTTTTTCAATGTTCCAAAAACCAACCGTATATGCTCAAAAACTTTTCGAAAAATCGATATCTATCTTGGTGGCCCAGTGGTTAAGGCCACGGCCTACCAGGTTGTAAGCGTAGGTTCAAATCCTGCATGGGAAAGGTTCGTTTTTTCCCACCGATATCATGACTATTAATTCAAAATTCTCAAGTTCGAAAAGGATTAGGTCAAATAAAGAACAATAGCTTTCGACAAATGATGTGGTGGTGTAGCGGCTAAGGCGTTCGTCTCTCAACCCGAAGACAAACGTTTCAACTCCTGGCAATGCACAAAAATTAACCTTAAAAATTTCGGTGTGATTTGGAAGCTTTGAAACAGTTAAAAGATTTCTCGGCCTTTGCGAAAAGACTGTAAATTGAAAAAAATTTGAAATAAAAAAGATTGAAAAATAATTCTCGCGTTCAAAAAGTACTTGAAAATTGAAAATAAAGCACAGGTAAAAAAAATTTAAGAACGTGTGTCTTCAAAAAAGACTGGAAATTAAAAAAGTCAGAAAAAAATTTAAAGATCTCCTGCTTTTAAAAAACTTATGTTTACTTACCTTAATTTTTTTTCACGAAAATTTGACAGGGTGATTTTCTCGAGACTGAAAAATTTAATTTTTTTCACTTTTTTGAAATTCTCTTAGATTTTTTTTTTCACGCGGAAGTATTTTGTCTTGGGCTACCTGTGTCTGTCTTGGGCGACCTGTGTCTGGCTTGACACAGGTAGCCCAAGACAAAATACTTCCGCGTGAAAAAAAAATCTAAGAGAATTTCAAAAAAGTGAAAAAAATTAAATTTTTTCAGTCTCGAGAAAATCACCCTGTCAAATTTTCGTGAAAAAAAATTAAGGTAAGTAAACATGAGTTTTTTAAAAGCGGGAAATTTTTAAATTTGTTTTGAAGTTTTTTTCTCACTTTTTTAATTTCAGTCTTTTTAGGAGAGACATGTTTTGAAAATTTTTTTACTTGTGCTCTTTTATCAATTTTCAAGTACTTTTGAACGCAAGTATTTTTTTTAAATTTTTTATTTCAATATTTTTCAATGTACAGTCTTTTGGAAAGGCCGAGGAGTCGTTTAACTGTTTTAAAGCTTCGAAATCACACCGAAATTTCTAAGGTTAATTTTGGTGCATTGCCAGGAGTTGAAACGTTTGTCTTCGCATTGAGAGACGAATGCCTTAACCACTAGACCACCACATCATTTGTCGAAAGCTATTGTTCTTTATTTGACCTGATCCTTTTCGAAGAATTTTAAATTAAATAGTAATTTCGGTGCGAAAAATCGAACATTTCCCATGCCGGACTCGAACCTACGCTTTCAACCTGGTAGGCCGTGGCCTTAACCACTCGGCCACCAGAATCTATCGATATCTATCCTGGTGGCCCAGTGGTTAAGGCTACTGCCTACCAGCTAGGTTGTAAGCGTAGGTTCAAATCCTGCATGGGAAAGGTTCGTTTTTCCCACCGATATCACTATTAATTTAAAATTCTCAAGTTCGAAAATGATTAGGTCAAATAAAGAACAATAGCTTTCGACAAATGATGAGGTGGTGTAGTGGTTAAGGCGTTCGTCTCTCAATCCGAAGACAAACGTTTCAACTCCTGGCAATGCACGAAAATTAACCATAAAAATTTCGGTGTGATTTGGAAGCTTTAAAACTGTTAAGACTGTAAATTGAAAAAAAATTTGAAATAAAAAAGATTGAAAAATAATTCTCGCGTTCAAAAAGTACTTGAAAATTGAAAATAAAGCACAAGTGAAAAAAATTTAAAAACGTGTGTCTTCAAAAAAGACTGGAAATTAAAAAAGTCAGAAAAAAAATTTAAAGATTTCCCGCTTTTAAAAAACTTATGTTTACTTACCTTAATTTTTTTTCACGAAAATTTGACAGGGTGATTTTCTCGAGACTGAAAAAAATTAATTTTTTTCACTTTTTTGAAATTCTCTTAGATTTTTTTTTTTCACGCGGAAGTATTTTGTCTTGGGCTACCTGTGTCAAGCCAGACACAGGTCGCCCAAGACAGACACAGGTAGCCCAAGACAAAATACTTCCGCGTGAAAAAAAAATCTAAGAGAATTTCAAAAAAGTGGAAAAAATTAAATTTTTTCAGTCTCGAGAAAATCACCCTGTCAAATTTTCGTGAAAAAAAATTAAGGTAAGTAAACATAAGTTTTTTAAAAGCGGGAAATCTTTTTAGTATGCATTCGTTAAATGATAACAATTTGAAAGCATTTAAAGCTTTTCGCGCGTAAAAAACCGCGACAGTGGAAGGCAAACCTAACACTTTTCCGCTTACCTGCTCTTTGCCCACGTGGAAATCTTTTAAGTACCATTTGTACAACTTCTGGTGGGTACTGATTACCATGTGGCGTATCAACTAAACCAGGTAACACGCTATTCACCCGGATCTATACATTATATGGATTTTTACATAATTATTTTAGTTTTCAGTACGTACCACAGGTACACGCCACCTTACATGCATCTTGTGACATTTTATATAATCAAATGATAACGCGATAAATTTAATATAATTCCTATCAATAGTCAAACCTAAAAGCATGGGCGCAAACATTTTTTTATGTTTTTTGCTTATAGGAATTTTCGGGGAAAAAACTCTCAGTACATAAAAATTGGCTTTCTCGAGCCGAGGTAGCTATAGAACAATGAATCGTTTATAATAACTTCTGCAAAGCATTTTTACAAAATGACTGAAACTTCGAACAAACCTTGTGCTTAGCAAGTTCAACACCCATCGCCATTGTCGCGTTATCCATCGCAGCTTTTGTCATAGCTATATTATGGTTTCAAAAAGAAGAAAACATATAAAGAAAAACAGATTGTATTGCGTTTTAAAGGGGCTCGAAAAGTAAGAACTACAAACGCACTGTATGGTATTTGTCCAGCAGAATTAATTTGTGTCAAAACTGTCGATACATTCACGATTGCACCACCCGTTCCTCTTTTGATTAGGTCACGAGCAACAAGCTAAACAAAGCAGGAAACAATATTGGTTGTTAAACCAAAGCAGCCAATGCAAAATGCTAAGGTATATAGTCCGTGCATACATGCATTCTATAGTGAATTCCATGGCAATTGGCGTATATACCAAGCAGACAGACTTGAAAAATATTCGTAAAAACTCCGCGGAAATGATGTAGTTATCGCTTTGTACTCGCTGTGTACTTGAAAGTCGTGCAATATTTGCTAAAATTATTCCTTCCCCCCCCCGCCAAAAAAATGTGCTGAACACAATGTGATGAAACGATGGAACAAATGATGATGAGTTGTCTTGGGTGGTAATTCTATATGTCCATGCAGAATCCACGAATAATATAATCTTAAATTTATCCTAAACCTATTTACCCTAACCCTTCCATGCGTGCATGCCCATGCAAGGAACTACCAACCCTTAAGTTCGGACATGCTTTACCTGACTTAGACGAATAGGTGCTTTGACATTGATAATCATCGACCTTTTGAAAGAAATATTGATTATGAAATTAAGGCAGGTGGGACAACTTGTGAGGAAATGCCCTTTTGTGATGGTACATATACCTCATGAAGAATATTATATATACGAAAAAATATATACGAAAAGAATTTCTAAAACATCAGCAAAGTTAAACCCTGCCCAGCTAGATCATTTTGTCTTTTAGTTGGATGCGCGGTTCTTAAAGGCTAACCTAGTTTTCTGACCTCCCCTTAGTTCTAGATTTCAAGGGACAAGGGTCTCTGGTTTTTTGGTTTGTGCTATACACGCGGCTTCGTATTTATGTACTAACTACTAAAAGACATGTACCTATCAATATCTTCCTCAGTGACATCAATTGTTTCCTTCAGAATAACCAAACCTGCATTGTTAACTAGCAAATCAATATGTTCCCCAGTCGCTTCAATAGCTTTTATAGCCTCGTCCAGCTTCATCAAGTCCGCTACGACTGGTGTAAATTTTGTCGGAACCTAGATGTTACGCAATGAGGAGAATAGTTGAAATGGCACAATTTAGTCAATAAGCCAATATTCATGTGCAACCTAGCTGCATATATAATAAAGTGAGTTAACTAAAGTGGCAAATAATGTATATAGTTGTCGCTTATGTATGTGCAACGTGTTGCATGAATGTTGGCAAGTATTTGTAGGCTATATTAGTCCCGAGATAGCAATATTTTGCATGCACTTAATAACTAACCTCCAGTTTTAAGGAATCTAAATCAGCTTTTGTTCTTGAAAGTGCAATAATATTTGCTCCACATTTCGCCAATAACTTAACAGTTGCTTTACCAATTCCTTCAAATGTGAAAATAACACAAAACATATATTTGTTTAAAAACTGAGACAACTCTTTAAGGTACGAAAACTGAGACCACAATCGATTTTTTATTTTTTAGAAGACAATCCAGATTTTACAAGTGAACATTTTCTTTGTAATCCAGTAGGGAGTTCAGCATCTACGACGCGGTCAGCTGACTCAGATCGGCGTCACTATCTGCATACTTTCTTGAAATAAGCTGCGGGAAATAATTTATGTCGTCGAGCTGGCCGCGTCGTGGGTCGTAAACGCGGCCTTGTCTTAGGAAAGGGCGCTCTTTTTTAGCTGTTTGAACCCTTATTTCACTATCCCACTGATCTCTTGCACATGCATGACGTCATAATTCATAATTGTATAACCTTCCGCCATCACCAAAAGCCTAACTTGCAAGGTTGAATTTTCAGTCGCAAAGTAATACCCGGTTATTCCTAATTACCTAGTACCTACACAGTATAGGGAATAATAAAAAGTGGTACGTTACATGGGCAAATTAAGAAACGTTAGTGTTTTAAAGTCCATTCAAATATGTCATCTTGACAAAGGTCTTAACAAATAATATGTTTGCTAACGTTCACACACCATGCAATATCAGATAGATCATCTCCATTCTCCAGGCTGTATCAAATATAAATCGTGCTATTGCAACATTATGACCAATAATTCACCCCACGACCTCCATACGTAACCTCGCAAATATACAAACTGCATGAGATAGTCTTTATATTAGCTCAAGTGATTCGTCCGCATATCACCTGACATAGCTATAATGTTGATCAGCTCAGGCTGTCATGGCAAGCATGATGCCTTGATGGTGTCTACTGTTGCAATTAATCATGTTTCTAAGGTAGAATATAATCAAGAATACGCATTACCTTTTCCTGCTCCAGTTACCAACGCCGTTTTCCCGGTAAAATCAATATCCATTTTCTATTCGATACAATTAGACCACGATTACTTGACCACACTATGCCTTTGGTTGACGCTAGCCTGCGGGTTGTTTTGATAACGAAGAAACTGTTTACGGCCCAAAATTACCGAAGTCACGAGGTCAAATTGAAACATTTGCATAATTACTTATACAATACAATACTCGAGGCAACTCAACCGTGCAACGCGTGTTGAATGCACGATTATCACTTATTTATACCGTCTAATATCGTAATATAAAAGAGACAGTTTGTAATGATCTATACAAACGAATTCCTTCATCTTTTGAACGGTTGTAAACCATCTATGGGCTATGGTGGCGCATGGGGTTAATTAAATTAAATTTTAAAATTTCGATACTTCAAAAAAGTATATGAAATGAATTATACGGATCAAGAAGTTACAAAATTTCCACCAAAATTATCGTGTCAATTGATTTATTTTTCAAATTTTACGAAACTTTTAACACAGAGGTATTTTTAAGTCAAAGCATCCAGTTCCCCCACCAACCACACGGCCAACGACAAGTCGTGAGGAAGGCGAAGATAATTGTTCTGTATCTCCTGAGATGGTTGCACCGCGCAAGAAGTGCATGGTCGTTTCAAAACTCATCTTTTGGAATGGCGAAGCATTTGATTCAATTCCTATGCGATTGAAAGCCTTGATGGAGCCCTCAAACGTCATGTAGTCAGCAACCAAAGTCAAATGACGTGGATCCACCTCAATACCATACGCACCAAACACGTTCTTAATTTCCTAGAAATTTCAAAGTTAGACTTTTGAGAAAAATTTTTTTGACGCCATTGATTTGGCTATAAAAGATTTACTCTTCGCCGCAAATTTCGGGTTGTCCAGTTCTATCAAGGCTTAATCGTGTGACTCATAATATAGCCTGAAAACAGACCTATAATTTGCTTCCTTAAATTTGCATGTGGAAGTGAACGTTTTTCCGTTACTTCCGACTCGCGAATTTCAGAGCTGACGAAATAAGGTTTGTTCTTAAGATTACATTAGGTAAGATATTCATTACCTAATATTTAGACACAGCGAAGTGATTGCGTTTAGTTACAAGCAACCTCAGCCTTTATAAGAGTTAAGATTAAACACAGTCTGCGTGAGTCTGGTTTTATATATACACTTACAGTGGCAATGACCCGACCGGTAGCTTCAATACCGTATGTATTAGCAACCTGGTGAGTATCATTGGTATACAACTTCTCTATTTCAAATACTTCAGGATGATTCCACATCACCTATACAATACAACAATTAATTTTAGAAAAAATCGATGGACCATACTGTAAAATCACTCTTCTGCATTGGATCATATGGTTTAATTATAGTAAACAGAGAATAGACGAAAGGAAAAAAGACGTAGGCTAACGCATCTGTACCACTGAGCTATATAATAATTCCTATATATTATTATATAGCTCAGTGATCTGTACTCACCTTCAAATTCACTCCCTCTGTCTTAAACATAGATGGTTTGTCTTTGTTTTCCACCAGGAAAGACCGTGTTATTCCCGGGGTTTCGTAAATAACACTCTAGGAGAGAAATCCTTTTATCAAAGAAAATCTGCACCTTGAAAAACGATATTTTCATCGCCAATGTTCACAAAGTGAACGTAGGCTCCTAAAGTGAAATGGCTATATGAAGATTAGGGATTAATATACTGGGTTCAAAATTGACTGAGAGAATAACAAACCTGTGTCGCCAATTTTTCCATAAGTGTTGTGAGCATCACCTTACTGCCGGTGACTGGAAACTAAAGTAACATGCACCGATGAACTTAGCGGCATTTGAAAATAGTTTATTTCGATTTGATTTAAATTTTTCCTTCTACATTCTACGCAGGAATTGTCAACAAGGTCTAAAAAAATCCAAAGAAATGTGGAAAAGTTTACCCTTAATTTCACTTCACACCATTCTTGATCTCCCTCGTCAAAGCAATACGACGCAACATTTGGATTGTTCAGCATTACGTTCTAAATCAGTGAAAAAATTCCCATGTCAGAGATGCCAGAGATATAGCAGTCATATGACATTGGCTCCCAAGAGGCAGTGCATATTCAATGATGTCAAAATCAAATTTCAAGATTTCGTTTTTCCCAACTATATAATCTCGACGAGATTTCACATGAATGATCCAAACACAATTTTTGGGCCGATATGGAGGCTGGAAGTTTGGGTCCCCTTTTCCCATTCAATCAGTTGCGTTGTAATTTGTAAAACGTAATTGTGAAACTCACAGTAATCCTTTTGTCATGAGCTGGGTTTGTTTCTTTTGATTGTGACGCGACCTCCATTGCCATATCCGCCTTGTCTTCATCTGGAAAATAATTCTCTATAATTAAGTAAAGTAATGCTTGCAACCGTTTACTATGCCATACGCATGTAAATAAAAAGAAACTTATAGAAGTATGCTATGACGAAACTTTGCGTCTTCTATATACGTTTAATGCAAGCAAACCTTGTAATTTGCTGGGTGTATTCGCTTCATCGTCCGAGTCACCTACAAAAAGATTACAATACGAAGTCTCTTTTAATAAACTTAGCTACATAAATACGAAGATCAATTTTTGAATCCCCCATCAATTTGGGATTAACTTCTTCCCTGTATATTCAAACAAGCTGATCGATAAATGACCAATATATTCTCTGGTTTAATGTTCGTGGCGCTTTGCATCGTGATAATATAGGAGTATAACTTATATTTAAGATAGCTTATTATTTGTTATGACTCGCGGTAAAGGTGCGATCAGGCGTGAAAAATCCAACAGCAAAATCTTCGTAAACATTTAACATCTTCACTGCAAACCACAATTTTGAGTATCAGTAATATCATTATAGAAAGACAGTGTAAATCGCTAAAAACATTAATAAGACGGGTATATCAAGAAAAACAAAACGTAAAATTTGTGTTCTCTTGTTTGTGTGTTCGGTAGGAACGAATCTGAAATATTAAATATATTTTTAGCTTACTTTCTTCACTTTCTATTAGATTTTTGTTGATTTGTTCCTCGTCTTGATCAGGTGCTTCGTAACTGGCATGCTGATGAAAAAGAAATGCACAAAAAAACACTACGGTTTACGCATTTCTTAAAAAAGGCGATTTTTTAAGCTGGGGTATTTTAAATTCACCTAACATCCTCCTCCACAATGCCCTTGCTCATAATGCACTGACCACAACGCACTTCACTAAACACTGCCCATCATACAACTGTATATCGTTCCCCAACCCACAATGCAACTGCTACCAATGCACGTGTTCATCATACACCCGCGCACAACCTACCCCCCTATACTTATCCTTCTGGACGTGCTTTAAAAAAGTGTTTCAGTTGAGATCTTACTTGTTCTCTCTTCTTTTTATTTCTCTCTCCAGTTGCATCACCATCAGCGTCTGCCTCTTCTTCTGATAGGTCAGCATTATCATCGTCTTCGTCGTATTTACTGCTCGAATTCAACGAGTCTAGTTTAAATCAGAAAAAAATTATAAGTTTAGACTTTAGAGCTGGAAGCCCCAAGATTTCGGAAGAGAGCGAGGAAAAGTTATCTAAATTGCTTTTACCATTCTGATATAGTGAAATACAAACTTTTTTACAATCGTTCATAATGTTCCCTAGCTTTATACTTTCGTATCTTCAAGACGACGAAACGAGAAGAGACGACAGCGTCTCCCCATCGCACTTCAGAATACGCATAATCAACTCTCTCATAGCTTAATTCTCACCTTCTTTTTCGTTAACGGCACCTTCACTTGACTCGTTTTGCCCTGATATTCTTTCATGAGTGGTATCGAGCAAACTATATTTATACAGACATAATTTTCGTAATACGTAACAAATTTCATAATCAATATATAAGGTAAGATAAGATGTTTGCAGTGAATCTCACCTTGCTCTTTGAGCAGCTCTGATAACGCGCGCGATTGCCGAGGTTAACTTCTTGAAAAATATCGTTTCCATGTAAATCAAAATGGATTCAGGCGTGACAAATAGTTCTCCCTGCAAAAAAGGCAGAAACAGAATTATATATTTTCAACTTGGGCTTGGCATTTTCGACTCGTAATTGAACTGTGAGATAAGAATTATCTTTGGACCTGACATTCCGACTAAGTACTAAGTACGTGTTTATACCTGGTACGCGTCATGTGGTAAAAACTGGAATCGTATGCGATACATACGGGATCTAAAATTTAGATACAAATAAATTTCAAAGAATAATGCTTTTTTTCTCCGTAGCAAATGCTCTTGATGCAAACCGCCATACAACTTATGAACAAAATGTTATTCGTTACCTCGTCCCAGCTTGCTTAGACGAAAGCGTTTCACACACTTCAACATGTTTTAACACCTGTTTTTAAATGTTGAATTATTACCGAATCAACGAAAATTCAAAAGTCAAAGCAATTCAGTAACTTCATAAAGTGGGATTTTTCATATAATGCTATTTTGTCATAACGTCTTACTCCACGTTATGAAGTAATGCCGACGTGCCAAGGAGCGGGAATGTTAAACAACACAAATTTAAGGGGAAAAAAATTTGATTAATCTCGTACAGTACGGTATTGTGTTTAAGCATGATAAAATATACCGCAATGCAACGTAGTGAAATTTTACGAAAAGTTTTCAATACCTGTGATAAAGTGACTTTTGCAAACTTGGACTTCAATTTCTTTGCTTGTTTCAAAGCTTTCTTTCCCGACCTCAGTGGAACTTCCATGGTGGGCGTCTTTATATTAGCACTCGCAGTCATCAAGATTTCTCTAAAAGAGAAAGTTTAAGACATTCAAACAAAATTAACTGTCATGCATTCTTGTGATTCTGGCAGGAATTTAGTATTCAATTCAGGGTAGTTAATATTGACAATTGACTGCACAGTCAAACATATCATTTCTTCTGTTTTTCTTAAAGATCGTACCTCATTCTTGGGATACCTAGAGTAACGTTCATTTCACCACGACCGGCAAAATGAAAGGTATTCAATGTCATTTGTGTCGACGGTTCGCCAATAGACTGAAATGAGATAACCATTATTATTCAAATATGTTTTTCAGGCAACATTTTGTGGCCCTATATTACACATTTTCACAAAATTCCTCCAAGCTATATATAAATGCCAGTGTTTTAGGCATGCACGTGCACGTTCAGAATGGTAATAATACATAGATAGTTTTCTTTCATGCAGACTTACTTGGGCAGCCAATAAACCGACGCCCTCTCCAGGTTCAGCCAATGAGCGAAGAGCTTTCAAATGCATTAAAATTTGAAATTTTTCAGCAGACAATTTTGTTCTAAATGTACATAAGCATATGCTTGCATAAGCTTGCATAGTTGACACACACAAAATAAAATGACAAAAACACCCAGAGACGTGGCACCCGAGTATACGAAAAGGAAAAAGCACCTCCATAAGACTACAGACTGTTGCCTTCACAGTTCACCTGACTGCATTAGCCTGTTTGCTTCGGACTTAACGTAAAATTTCAGTAATGTAACAGATGAAAAACCTTGCTGTTTGATTTTTTATCATTTTACACAATTTCTGACTACATTATTCAACCCCCCGTTTTATTTTGATTTTCACAAATTAATAATAATATTATACGTACGCAAATTCTTCGGGTTGATCAGTTAGACAATTATCTGGGTTAGTTGTGATGTACTTCATAAGACTGGAGTGAAACTTCTCTGAAACCGCACCCACGTGACAAGCTGGAGACATTTTAGAAAGGACTGGATCTGGTGCACGCCGCCGCGCGTATCTGAGAAACAGAAAAACCATAAGACATTGATACTGCCGGGTTTCCGACTCTGTGTCTCGAGACACTTCTTATGACGCAACACTTGATAAAGAGATTGTCACTTCACTTTGACCATTTAAACGTCATAAGACAGTTGTGAGACAAACATTTTAAAGAGCACTATTGCCAAACTCTCTAACTCTTACATAATACGCACCTCTCTCTTAGATGGGGAGAGGCTGAACGCCAGGCATCAATGAAACTTTTATTCACCTACGAAATAAACTGTGCATGAAATGGTTTTCATGACCAAACAGGGTAATATCTCATAAAATACATAAAACCTTATTTATATTCGACCACTATGAATTTTGAAATAATGTTTTCAGTTGTATACTTACTGTCCATATGTTTCGCTCTTTAGAACTGTTCGATGATTCATCAGGAGTCGTCTCTTTAACAAGAGAACTCAGGGAGGAGATTCTTGTCCGTTTTTCACTTGGTGATTGCTTATTTTTTCTGATCCAACGATCAAGCTTCAAATATATAAAGTCGGTGTTATATTAAACTATACAAATTATTTTCCAACTGTGGTATGTTTTGCCACCACCATGCAAAACGCGATTTTTGATTGCTAATCTATGTAAATAAGAGGTCAGTTCATTAACATTTCAGTATGATCAAATATCTCACCCACCTTTCGCTGGGCTTTTCCTGCTGAAGAAGAGTCTAGTTGAGCAACGGCTGCCCCAGGTTTCAACTGTGTAATCAAGGCCTGAATTAAAGGAAATGACATTAAAATAGGGATTGACGGGTCGTAATTGAATCGACTGGGACAGGGATGTTCGATTTCGGATGTGCGAATCGCGCAATCGTAAATTGAACGTGCACCGTGCTGGGTGGCGGATGTGTCTTCATGTTGAACCGGCATCAACTGTATGGAAGTAATCACGATGGAAGTATGACAGTTTATACCTTATAATTACTGGCCATGAACGGAAACTGCTTCTGAGATAAACAAGCAGTTTTCAAGACATCTAAGCCATCCTCCCCGTAGCAAAACTGTACAACAGATCCGTCACTGTCCCTTACTGTCAAGTCATATCCAACATGCAACCCTTCCAAATGCTTGATAAGACATCGTTGAAGGTAGCCACTGCGACTTGTCTTCACAGCGGTATCAACCAAACCCTGCACATGGAATAACACAAACAGAAATATCATATGTAATATACAAACTGGGATAGGCGGGATTATTATTACTAAAACTGTATTTCGTGAGAGTAATAGCTACTTCAGTTCTTCAATACTTCAAGACAAAAATTTAAAAATACAGATAATTTGTGGCTCGCCGTATATGTTGTTTTTGTGCAAAAACTCTCAGTTTTCTTACCTCTCGTCCAGCCATACAATGAAAGAAATACTCTTGAGGTCTTATGCCAGTTAAAAAACGTCCGTCCACAAAACCACCCGCACGCGGGCTGGGATCATAAGGAAGAAATGAAGGCAGGGAACGACCACTTATCATTAATGGCGGACGGCGACCTTCCAGCTCAATCTGCCCAAGCAAACACGATATTTGCATGCAGTTGACTACCGATCCTTTCGCACCAGATTGGACCATAAGCTGAAGGTTGTTCTGCGGGAAATTCTTCAGTAAGCCTGAAGGAATGCATTGTTTGTTAATCTGATCCTGAACCTGATCTGTTTTTCCTTTCATTTTTAAGTCCAGCTCTTTCATGTCGTTATCATCTCTGCTGTGGTGAGCAGCTTGAAATCGTTCCATTAATACTTCACTAAAGAAAATGATTACTGTATAAGGAAAGCCTCACACTGGATAGTATGTAGTATGCAACCGTATCATAGCAAAATGTAGCGAATTGTTCTGTGTTAAAGTCATCAGTTTTACCCATATACAAGCTTCGTTTTGCTACGATAGGGTTAAAGTAAAAAATTTAGGCTGCATTAGAGTTGATGAAAGTTGCTCGTGTTGAAAATATGATCATAGCAAGTTGATGCTTAAGGCTAAGAGTTGTCGCAAACATGACGGTAGCTACTATTTGTGGCTGAACAGGGTTGATTTTATTGGATATTTTTAATACCCATGGTTTGGCACAAAGTCTTCGTTTAAAAATAAGGGCAATGTTGCAATATATTGTAGAAAACCCTCGCTAACTCAACCAGTTTTCGGTAGCTTAGTGAATTTACCAAATACACGCACTTTTCCGTGTCTTCAGGAAGACCCAGAGCTTCAGTCGCTACTTCGTGTCCACAACGACGGCCTTTCTTCATAATCTTCCTTCTTCTTTCATCGGGTTTTTTCCTGACTATAATGTCTTCTACACCCAGAGTGAAACCACGCATTTGTAGGAAAGATGTGAATACACGAGCCAGAGCGGACAGCAAGAGACTGGACACCACTCCGCCATAAAGCTAGAGATAATATATAATTTATAGGTTACCAGATAGCCTTCCTGGTACAAGGTTAGAAAAGAGGTACTAAGGCCATCCATTTCCACGTGCCTAAATAGAAATCTAAACTTGGGCATGCACATACACTAGCCCTTTGTGAAAATATACTATTCATAAATAATCATGATTTGAGAAATTGATTTACCTCATAACAACAATGCACCAAGCTAAATGGAGTTGATCCATAATGTGCTTTGTCAAGAACACCACAGAGCAGTTCACCATCACGAATAATCACCTATACAATACATTGATATAATGAAATTGTATTGGCAATGCTGTTGTGCAAGCTTGATAAGTATTTGGAGGATTTTTCAGTTGCAAGGTTTACATCTCAAATACAGGCTTATTCTAATATGTAACCATTACCTGGGATTCACACATTTCATTTGCTTTAATCTCCATTCCATTGGCCAAGCTACGTCGAGGCGTTCCTGTTACCCAACTCTATAGATCGGAGATCAACTTTGCGTTAAAGTGGTTTATAAATACCCATCAGATGCAGTGAGAATATTTAGCAAAGCCGAACACATTTCAACATTGTTTCTGAAACACCTTTCGGCCACCCCCCCCCCCCCCATAATTTTTCGCTTTCAAATACGACGTTTAATGTTCACTTCTACTTCACCAGCACATTGTCACTGGAATACGTATCGCAATATACCACCAGGCAAAACCTCTCCCGATACCATATACTATAGAGTTTTGCGTTGGCATACTGATCTCTGTTTCCGCAAATTACTGACATATCATACAACGTTCATGCCAAAATAAATACACTTACTTTGCCAGCGATCTTTGATTTTCCATGCAAGTTAAGCCTTTTGCACTTCGCAGGAATAACATTAATCAATATCGTTGAGATAACCTGCGCAAAAGTAATAAGGGAGTATTTATATACAGAACCTTGTCCCAAAAATAATTCACTATTTTTATAGAAATTTCCACCCGTTTTTTTTTCACAACCCAATTTGCCATTTAGGGGAAGCCTATTACGTTTGCCTGTTTGCACGAAATATGAAAAATACAGGTACGAGTTCAACAAAATGCAGATAAAAACGACAGAAGCATACATGATATTACAGTTATATATTTTTTATACGCAAAGGTTTTATATTACTTTCTAGTTATGGAATATTTACATCACGATTCAACACGTATACACCGCATCCATATATACAGGTCTAGTTAGGTCTAGTATAATACATTAATTTATCCACCTCCCCATGTCAATACATGTTCAAAATTATAAAACCAAATTACATTAAAATGGAAATATTCTTTGGAACAGCTATGATCAGGGAGGATCAATTACTTAAGTAACTTATAATGCATGTTATTGAATAACGATAAATAAAATACAATCAGTGGAGGACATATGCAAGAGGGGAGAACATACGTTCATATACCCCGGAAAATGTCGCATTTTTTCATCAAACTGGACAAGACCTGAGAAAAGTCAGTCCTAGATAGATACGCCGAAGGAAATGTATATCAAGATTTAAACTTGATTTAAGCAATCATCTCAACTCAATAATCAGAGAAACAACTTTCTAGATCATAAAGTAAAGAAATATTGTCCTTTGTGCGTTATAGCCGGATTCTTTGAATAAGCAAAGTCAATTCTATGCGCAAAGTCTGAAGTGCCAGGCACTGAAGTATGATAAGACTTCGATCACACATTACTTGGATAATTGCCATATAAGTAAGTGGCAAATACATCGTCCTGAGTCCATTACATCTCAAGTAAATACCGCATACTTTACCAGTCCCTGGTAAAAGTCTATATGTCTTGAAGTGCAATGAATCATCTCAAATAAATTACATTGAGTTGCCTTTTCTTTTGCTTCTGTTGAAAACTTCAACGCGCTCTTTAACATTTGAGATCTTCTGTCGTTTTCCTCCGCTACGAGGTTCTGTGAACGTCGGTAGAACAGCAATGAACGTGCCAAAAGGTACTGACAACTACGATAATCTGAAAGCGAATAGCCTTCATTGATACATCTATCAACAGCGTTCAAATTATTTGTCGCTGTATCGATAGCTGCCTTTTCCACTTTGCCTTCTCTTGCACGATTCGCAAACGAGCCATTCAGGTGGAGAAACGCTAAATTGATGTTAACCTTTTGTATGTTGTCAAATTTCGACGGTAGATAATCATTGGCAATATGCGCGTGTTCAAGCGCCTTTTGAAAAAACATGATCGAATCTTTTTTCAAACTTTTTTTGATTTCCATATCATTTTCTTGTTCCAATATGATAGTTATGACGGTGGCAATGTTTGTATAAAAGTTACATACAACGATGCCTGCTGGAATCTGCTCTACAGTAGCTAAACCATTTTTTGCTTCTTCGTAGCTTTCCTGAACTCGCCCGTCGCAGCGTTGGATTGATGATTTCAGAAGAAACTCCCGGGCTTTGCCGATCATCCAATCTTTTGATTTACTTAATTCTTTTTCGTATTCTTCCATATCACTTTGCACATCTTTGAATTTCCCTTGCTTGTAATTTGCTGTTATCTTCATCGATAAAATGACCAAACTCATTTCACCTTCTGGACAATTCGCCTGCTCCTTCATCACAAGAGCCTGAAACTCATCATACAAACCATCGTTAATTTTTCGAATCAAAATTCCGTTCATTTTAGCAGAACTCTTTCTACTGTGAACGGAACTCCAATGTAAACGACCAATGTGCAGTGGACCTGATCTACCAATTGTTGACACGACACTTGTTGAACCAGTATTTGTTGATACACCATTGGTTGGTTCAATCCTCTGCGGGTCATCCGTGACATCGGGTGTCCGTTCTGAAAGATAATCTTTCCAGGTACTCAACGGCATTTCTTCAATTGAGCCATTGATACAATGGTAACTCTCCGGCGCTTCAGTGAAAACACCACCAGGACAACGTGCTACTGTGACAACAATAACAAAAGTCGAGGTTACAGATCTTCCAGACTTGTCCACCACGGGATAAAAATTGATGTCCCAATGCACGCCCTTGCATGGCCCATCTTGTAGCTCAAGCCAGATCATGTTTTCGACTTTTTTGGTAACTTTCGTGATAATCGATTTTCTTTCGTTCGCTGAGATTACTTCTCCGTTGATGCGGTGTTGTTTATCGTCCACTCCAACATAAATAGCCCCACCGCAATGGTTAGCAAACGCTGAAATATACTGGACGAGTTTACAATTTGCAACAACTCGATCTCCCAGTGTTGTAGACTTCGTCGGAGTGTCTTCAAGTTGTTTAAACTGAACGCTGTACGTTTCAATCAGTTTCATCTCTTCTCCCTGTACAAAAACCTGTCGTACGGTCGGTAACTCGTTAATTGCAATCATCTCTTTGTCTCCAAACAAACATTTCCTAATTTCTTCTAATGTTTCAATCGGCGAGACTTGATTAACCTCCGTGTGACTTGGTAGGTACATGTGGTAATTAACTGTGATCAATCTGTTAGAACCTTTAACGGTCAAGAGCATTTGATCGGCTGATATTTCCAATTTGACTTTCCTTTTCATCTTCACGGTTCCAATTAAATTCTTTATCCATTGCTCAATCTTCCTGCCTGTTTGATCCAAATCTTTCTTCTCACATTTCTGGCTAGGAAAATCTAGAGCAAGCTTACCGCCATTGCTGTTCAACAAGGCGCATACAGCAGCAATTACTTCAGATTTTTTGTCCTTCAAGTTTGTCAGAAAACATGAGATAACAAAGACATGTTCCTCTTCTTTCCTATTTAATCGTTGCATCTATAAGATCTTGGTTCAGATATGCTCGGGAGATAATTTTGCATAGACCTGCAAGATGAGAAAATTTAGTTCTTTCAAATCACTTCAAAGGAAGGGACACACACAATTAGTGTGACCATGGTTATTATAGCTATTAGCTAGAAGATCCACATTTTTAGGTTAATTAATTATTATACATGTGTATGTATATATACGACGGTCTCGACACAAACTGAAAACTATCGTCGGGATATTCCTCGTTAATATACAATCTTCGTGCATTGGCCTAAATCAACTCACGCGATTGGTCAAAATCAATCACGTGGTTTCTTGTTCCTGGCGACAGATCATGGGGATCATAATTTATTCGCAAAAACCCACGAAAATCGTGGCTTGTTCGCAATAACCCATGAAAATCATGGTTTATAATGCAGCAATCAATCACGTGAATCAATGAACTCAGATTGTATATTAAAAGTGTTAGAGACTTTATGTTCGTGTTTTGTTCACAAATAAACGCACTTACTGATCATACAATGAACTCGAAATTTCAATATTGGCCTTGTGCAATATTCTCGTTCATTGTATGGTCATGGCGCGTGGGTTTATTACTCCGGCGTCAGCGACGGAGTTGAAAATTCGCCTCGGTTTTGTTTTGTTTTTGTTTTTTTTTTTTTTATTTTTTTTTTTATTATTTTTCGTCGTCGCAAGTCTGTAATGGCGCGAAACATTCTAGTATTTAAAATGTGTATGTGATTGGATTTATCTATGTCCCAGTCTTGTCTCCCAAGAGTTGTGGTGCACAGCTTTGGCTAATTTTCCGATGCGCGATTCGATTTCGCTCGCATGATACGGCAATTCCTCCAAGAGGAACAAATAAACCGTTCTTTTCATGCTTTTCGATTAAGTTTAGACTGAATTGGGGTAAGAATATATTTAATACGTGTAGATTCTGGTCCTATTTTAGTAATATCGCTGCTATTTCGCCGTTTAACAAGATGATGTGGTCGTGTATGGGCGCTTTGACTCGTCGTAGTTTGCACAGGATTGAAGATTTAATATAACTATATAAGCGCGAATTCCAAAGGCAAAGTGTAAGACAAAGCGAATGTATTATGCGGTTTATTTACATTTTTGAACAATTGAACTTCTATACTTTTTAAAGTACGATGTGCTTCTGAATTTCGCGATGGAACATTTAGGTTCGCAAGGCGTCTAAATGCGAATATGAACTGCATTGTTTATGTTCAGAAGCTCTATATTGAAGACTGGCACGTGCGCCGGAGTTAACGCCAGAACAGGCGTCTTGTTTGTTAACAAAACACTCACAACAGTCTCTAACCCTTAATTATAATTTTTAGAATAATATCTGAGTAGAGTGCTCGATATGCCGATAAGATGAGGATACGATTCAATAAACTTGCTTTACTTCATAAAATTTTATTCACTACAAATTTGTTTCGTTTACTCGTTCAAAATTTGACCGCATAACATATATATCACTCAATTACGTCATAAAAAGAAAACCATACAGCAGGAGTTCAATATGAATTTCAATTACAATTGTTTATCCTTGATGACTAAGCACTTCGCACTTTTTCTTATTCCTTAACGTCAGTGCAAATATTAGGCCAAAATAATTAAAGCAATTTTGTAAGAAAAATAGCACTTGATGAATACGGATCTGCAAATAAGACTGTAACAATAGAATTGAATTCATGTTAAGCTATGTTAGTATATTTATTGAGTTATTAGTAAAGGTACTCAAATACATGCGGCGAATATCGGTCACGTTTAATTAAATTAGCGTAAGACAATATATTGTGTACGAGTGGAAGAGATTGGTAAATCTGTGTACAATTACTCGCCATCGTATAATTTGAATAAGATCAAAATAGAAAGCAAGTCCGCCGTTTATATTCAACAAGCGAACTAATACAAAGATACTGTTTACAACTACGTATTCAGTGAATAATATTCAAGTTGACTCATTCAAGAGAGTTGTAACAAGAGTGTTATCTCAGCTAAACGGGCTTCAGTGATACAACCGGCCCTTGGTTGCTTAATAGAGAGGGAAATGTTATTTATATCGATAACATCACCTTGAAATTATTGCCGTGGTCACGTGGTGTCGCGTAATAACTGAATGCCGATGCACTGATGCAGGCATGCATTTCGTCACGGCTTTTAATACCGAGGAAAGAACATACATATTAAGCAAGTTTGCACTTGAATTTCCATTCCTCCCCTCCTCTCGCTCAAAGTATTCTCTATAACACTATATATTCGCAAATTAAATAGTGTATGGCTTTTTTGTTTTATTCCGTTTAAAACAGTTAGATTTCGGCAATCAATGATCATTCGGCTTTTTGACACGGCGATTATTTCGTTTCAAGTTCCGTTTAATATAAAAAAACCAAAACATGTATACATGTTTCTTGGTAAAATGGAATTTATTCCTCGTATTAAGAAAAATTGTCTCATATTTGTCACAATAGCATTACAGTTGATTAACAGTCGTAATATAAAATGTAATTCCTACAGTCTATACTCTACAGAACAAGGACGAGGTCTATAGAACGTGTTTATATAAAATATGCTGCACATGTATATAATACACGTTTAATGCTTACCTTCAAGTGTGAACAAAAACTACACAAACTGCATGGCATCACAATATCGTATTACTACGAAGACAATAAAAGAATGATGCAATCTATATGCAGTTACAAATTACGTTTGAGTGCAAATACATAAACAGCTTCGTCATGGGACAATCCCATGACATTGTCGCGTGACAATGCGCGGTATTTCCCCGATAATTTAAACTCCCATAACTTCGTATCATGATTATTGAAATCCATAGCAACTGGAACGCGTTTACTGTAAAACCAAGCCCACTTGTTTGTTTTAATTAACTGTCTCTTTTTCAACTGATAGATTCAATAAAATATCGTTTCCTCCATGAATAAAATATGTTTGTGTTCTCATTCGTCAAAAAAAAGCTTTTTAAAGCTAATATTTCCCTTCAGGGTTGTCATATCGCACTTGGTTCATAAATATTATCTTTTCAAATGACAATGAAAGTAGTTTAAGCGTGCGTTAATTAATATACGGACACGTCAGTGGTCAGTTCGCATCAACAAGCGGAAATTCCAGGCATTTCTATGAATATATCTCTTCCTTTTGCATTTATTCATTACATAAAACAAAAATAGGTACATTTCTGCTCAGTGGCATGTTGTAAAAACACTGACCGGACTGGACTGGACTCGAAAAACACTGACCCATTCATGAATCAGTGTTTTACAAATCACTGACTGAGTCAGCGTTTTTCGAGCCCAGTCCAGTCCGGTCAGTGTTTTACAACATGCCTTGCTCAGTAATAGACAAACGGAAGACGTCGGTGGTAACACCTTCTGACGTCATTTATGTAATTACTGGACAGACATCGGCTAAATGTAATCTATCTTTAATTCCGAATTAAAACGCCCGTGAAATAAAAGAACTGTATTGTGCCTATTTTTATTTAACTTAACGCCTGGGAACAAGGCTGCAAATATGCATGTTACGTCATTCGTAGGATTATAGACGCACGAGACTGGTGTAGATCGGGGGTAATTTGTTGTCGAGAATCGGGCAATTCACCAAAAATAGCCAACTCGCTCGATAGCCAATATTTAGCCCGATTTGCAGGAAGTTGCGTATCCGTCAATTTCGTATCAGCTCCAGGATTGCCAGATTACTGAATAAAGTAGCCAAATATTATTACCATTATCGTTGTTTTCTTTGTTTCAAACAAAGCCGACTACAACAATGTTTGGCTTCTTTTTTCAGCAATCTGGCAACCCTGATCAGCTCGACATGTTCTGTCACCTGAATGTTTTTACCTTGGGCCTATGTCCTTTTATTTACCATATGATCAGCAATTATTTCGTACCTGTTTTCCAGTCCACAGTTCCTGTGGTTTTAAAATAGTCGGTTTTAACAGCTCGAAGCGCCGATTGGTAATAGTCGCAAGAGCACAGAATACAAGTTGCTGATAATCCAATCTGAAATATAAGGATCAAGTTAAGGTGGCTCCGTAGTGATAGCTAAGATGGCCACCAACAACTCACTGAGTAGGAATTTTACAAGAACCACGCAAGATTTTCGAGATAATTTGTACTTTCTAATGACGCCCTTAAAACTGTTGTCTTTTAAGATATTTGAAAACGATTTTTGAAAGTTTTAATGAAGGTTTTTCATTCGAGGACAAAACTTGTACTAAACTGTAATGATGAGTTAAAACGATAATACGCTAAACTCAATGCGCGATGTTTAATAGCCCTACGTACTTGTTAAAGAAACGATCTCGCATAGTTAAAGAAACGCCAGAAACCATGTGATCTTGAATTAAACCGCTGACAGGATTGCCATCTTTAGGAATGAGGTACTGGAAATTTGTGCTGGCTAAAAAATGGTAAAATATTAATTATAGGTTAATGACTGCAAACTCAATACAAAAATTCCTTTATTCCACAGGCTTTACGAATAGTATCTAATTTTTTTTTTGTCAATATTGGTGTTCGGGGTATACGCTTGTGTATAAGCCCTTCATTGCCTTGGGATCTTACATGTAAATATAAAATACAAACCAATACTATAGGCCTCCGATCTCGCCAGTTCGTTCTGAGGAAAATGCGCATTCATTTCATCGCCATCAAAATCAGCGTTGTACGCTTTGCAGTTTGCATAGTGCAGACGAATTGTTTTTTCACCTGGTAAAACACGTGCCTATGAAAATGATAAACCGAACCTCAGCGGGATATTCTTCAACAATCTTATATTATTTTTCCTTTCCCCCTATAGATATATGTATATAGTGAAAAAATGCCCTAATAACAGCTATAACCTCTCTATACTAGATTATTACTGGTAAGTCTTGTACCATAGTGATTGCGAATGCTAAATAGGCATACAACCATTAGGACGTTTTCCAAAGTGCCTGCGTACAAAGCTAAATCATTACCTTATGAGCCATAATACTCGGTTTATGAAGAGTTGGTTGACGATTGAGCAACAATACATCCCCGTCTTTTAAATGCCGGTAGACCTTCAGAAAATTTCAAGAAAACTTGTAAGAAGAGAAGAATCGAATGCAAGTACCTGGTGCTTCTTTGGATCAAGCTACCTTCTTGTTTTGACTGAGGGGCAGTGATGAATGCGACGGCGTCAATAATCTCTTTGCGATTGCTTGTCTCTGGTTAGGATCCGTGGCATTCAACAGAATCTTTTTGCCGTCCTCGTTCTCAACCAAATTTGCTCTGGAAAATATATCAATCGAGGACATTAAAACAAGATGCATATAGTAGTTCATAAAAGACCATAAACCTACAAGCGTTTTGTAATATCATATCTAAAAAATTGTGAAGAACTAAATTAGGAGTATGGATCTCACTATAAGCATAAAAATTATGCCAATAAAAACATCTGACAGACAATTTAGACCATCAAGCATTAAAAAGTATAGTGCGGTTTATTCCCTAAAGCTAAAAAGGCAGTTCTAGAAAAGCTCAACAGCGAGTAATTAAATTCTGGGAATCCTTATTACTCTATTAATATAACAAATACCTTACCCCGGGTGTACGTTGGGACCATTAATGACTGCTTGTCGGAGTTCTTTAACATTCCACGGTGTCACTGGTTGAGGATATGTAAGTTTCTTCGCAAACACCTACAAAATGTTTGATTTTATTCAAAAACTTTACATAAGATTCTTAAAGAAATCAAGATAATTGGCTACACACTATAGCTGGCCAGAATAAAGTTTTAAATTTAAACTCGCCTCAGGAACTCCGATTTGATCAGTGTTAATATATGGATCAGGCGAAATGACTGAACGTGCAGCAAAATTGACACGTTTGCCCATCATGTGCTTTCGAAACAGACCTTCTTTCTTCTCAAGTAACTGTATAATGAAACAATATTTAAAAAATTCACAACTCCTAAATGCAGTTGACAAAATACTTGATGTGGTTCAGAAAATAGTTGATAATCCTGCTGTGGGGACATACCTGTTTTATCCCGTTGGCTTGATTCGTTGATAATTTATCCAGATCACTGTCAATAAAGCAGTTGACATCGTTTTGAAGTCGAACCCAAGTATTCTGAAGTTTTTCCTCAGGGCTCTTACCCGGAATTCTATCATAGGTGCTCTAAAACATTGTTTACGGATATCGTTAGGAGTCAGAAGACCAAAACTGGAAGGGCAAAATTATTAACTAAGGCAGAGCTTTGAGGAACCTCAAATGAGCAAGAGAATAACATGGTTGTATAAACGAGGTGAGGCAATAATTTCTTTGCCAATGGAGTGATTCTATTCTCTCGGCTCCCGAGGAATAATTTGTCTACCAAAAAAACGCGACAAACCAAACGCTCTAAGGCAAAGCTTTGAGGAACCTCAAATGAGGAAGAGAATAACATGGTCATATAAACGAGGCGAGACAAAAATTCCTTTGCATGATATATGATATATTCACCGATGTAGTTGTTGCAGTGCTAGATGAGGATCTGCTGGCAACATCACTTGTTCCTTCGCCATCATTGTTAGATCTTGTTTGTTTTATTTGATCCAAGCAAACTTTTAACACCTGACAGTCTTCAAGAACTTTAGTGAGGTTAGCTGACTGGGGATTGTCAAACTTTTTGTCGCCCATCACAGAAATCTGAAAAGTGGTATTTGAGGTGAGCAAACCAAACAACAACGGAGTGTAAAGCTTAATGCTTTCTCATCAAAGATTACATGGACTGTTCCTGAGGTATAACTTGATTGGCTTTTAGAAGTTTAAATGAGTGAAAGTGCTAATCTAAAAATCATCTTTTGGGTCCAGTGGTGTACGGGAGAGGATAATTGGGGGGGGGGAGTGTCACATATTCATATAATTATTTTGCACAACATGAAGATATGAACATGTGCCTCCCCCCAATCATTGTCTCCTGTACGCCACTGTTTGGGTCATTTGACCCAGGAGGGTCTCATAGTATATTTTGAGCTGAAAGTCCAAGTAAACACAGCTTACTGGTCTAAATCGTGAGGGGGGAACAGGAAGAACATTAAGGAAAAACATCTGAGGCGATGATTTTCTTTTGCTTGCTGTTGGTGATGGATATGATCCAAGTAATGAATCCAAGAGAGTTTCTTCTTTTTCCCACACTCGATGAAGATGTTCCTGTACTTCTAGTGGGGTAATGTAGGTTTGCTGCACACTCTTTACAATATCTGTTCTTTCAACTTCAGCTGTAGAACTTTGAGTTTGTGATGGAAGTGGCCTTTTATCTAAAATGGAAGGACAAGTGTAAAATGAAAAAGAAATAAAGAAACAATGGATAAACTTAAATATATACTTTTTCCTATAATGTCTCCTTTTTCCTATAAGTTTTCTAAACACACAACTTTTCAACTGTTAGCATACTGTAATATTGTTTCAATGCAAAAAATAGGGGTTAATAGTTTGGCCAAGTGAATTATCAATAAATATGTGACTAGCCAACTGTTATTTTGAGCCTAGATACACTGATAGTAGTAAATTCTAATTCTTTGGCAGATTCGTTTGTAAACATTGACCCCAAATGTGGAAAGCTACTGTAAAGTTTTCTCATGAGGAGTATTGGCTGCTAATATAATAAGTTCAAAAGGGAATATTAGCTATTTCCCAATCGAGCAGAGTACTGGGTCTAGTCACAAACCGCAAAGCATCAATGGATTGTTTGGAGGACAATCAATGAAAGTCTGAAGTTTTTGTCCCTCTGGACAAACAGTCCATAGACACTTTGTGATTTGCGACTAGAGCCAACACCCTGCTTGATTGGGAAATGACTAATTACCAGTGAGCTCATCATCAGAACATTCTTCTTCCTCCAAACCAACATTGCTTAAATCTTCATTTGGCATAGCACTAGTATTTGGATTTGATTTTGAAAGTCTTGAAACAGATTCCCAATTGCTTGCTTGCCTTGAACTTAAAGCCTTTAAGTATATTTTAGAGTTGTATTCAATCCTAACATTTCTTCGTGGTGAGCCACAATGAATGCACTTTTTTGCTTTGTAAGATAATTTATCCCTCAAGAATTCCTTGATTATCTTGTTTCGCAGTTCTGTGACATTCTTTCCACTGCATGATTTTTTAACCTTTTTTTTATCATCAATTTGTTTTAGGCTTTCCTTTAAATACTTTTGTACAGCATTAGTAACAACATCTTGAAGTATGATACTGCTCCCTTTTACATCCACTGCAGCTGAGTTGGCAATTGTCTCAAGATCCAATGTGTCTGCTAACAATCCATAATCAAGGGCTTTCATTTGACTTAAAAATACAAAAAATTATTCTACTAGATTCGAATTATTTTCTGTGCTAAAAAACTGTACTTTAACTTTACAGTCTGAACCATCTATCTAACTGGCTAACCAAACCTACCTGATCAGAAAACTACAAGTTAATAACAACAACCTATGCTGGGCTATGCACATCTCTAATTGACTCATTATTTACAATTACAATAACTTGTCAATTAGGATTTTTTACAAGAATATACAGTTGAAAACAGTTACTTGGACAGTTGGACTTACCATTGGAAGAGGCATTTGGTTCCTTTCTCCACATTCATTTTGTGACACTGAAAACATGTGGATCTCAATATTGTAACCAACAATTTGAGAAACAAAGGATGGTAAACGGGGAGTTTTAACTCAATATGACCAAAATGCCCAGGACAATACATGTTATTTTGACCACATGTACTACATAAATCATCCCTGTCCGTTGGACCAAATGCAGGATCATAGAGACCTCCATATGTAGGGTTGGAAAAGTGATCAAACGTCTGAGGATTAGTCACACATTTCACACTCAGCTTTCTGATTTCCTCTTCTGAATACAAAGAAAATCTCACACCACTCAAATGGCCCGTAGGACCAGAAAAGGAAGAAAACATTCTACCAAAACATACTCTTCTCGCGATGCTGGAATTTAAATGAGAAGAGTGAGAAGCACATGGAAGATAAGCCCGCAATAAATATGTCAGCCAGGACAACACAATCGCAGTACTTTATGTCATATTACCAAAATGAACCAGTTTTAAGCCGTGAGGGAGGGGGTCCGCAATGACAATGATGACTGTGATGGGCTGATGGCACTGTGTGATAGTGTCATCATGGTGATAGACATAATCCAGTGACATAATCGCAACATTGGACACTGATAGTTCTTCCCCTACGCCCTTTAGCAGTATTGTAGCCCACCTGACTGTAAAAACAATGAATTTCGAACTAAAACAACCAGAAATTTCCATAGGGGAACTAAATTGTTAGATTGACTACGCTACTGTACTTCACGATATTGCGTACAAAAATTTCACGGTTTACTAATTGCGGTGCCCGCGCCAAGTTTGGCACCGCATTATATTCTGCCTGTGAGTTTGTTTGTTCGCATCAATACGTTTCCTTAATCGCCTAGTAAAAATTCCTTGCACATGCTTGGAATGCTTGGAATTTTTTCCTAATTATTACTATTAATCTTGTTGTACGTTTGCCAAATTCCTTTTTTAAAGGAACGTTCTTTTTTCAATTTCAATCTCAAACTCTGATAATTGCGTGTATCTCTGCTTTTATGCACCCAAGAAGGACAAAAATACCACCATTCGATTCAGCGTAAGAAATTATACTTACAGGTTTTAAGTATGTTACTAAACAAGAGTATTCGCAGCGATTTATGACGTTTGAAAGACAAACGAAATTGAATTGTTGACAAATCGCTCAAAATTACTATGCTATACTTCACTAGTAATGTAAGTTTGGTCTTTGATATCTTTCATATCGTCAGTGGTTTTCTCTTTTAATTTTCGTCCTTAAATAAGTGGATCGGTCTTACATTACGATTTATTTTATAGTACTTTGCAAATATATTCTATTTCGAAGGTTTTAAAGTCTAGTTTCAATAAGCGAACTTTATGACAAATCGCTCAAAATTATTAAACAAATTAAAAATGCAATACGCTTAATCCTTGACTTCTGTATCGTTGCTTTTCTACTTTCCGGCTCTACACCAGTTTATTCGTCTCACGTTTCTCTTCATTTTGATAGTATTTTTAGATAGTATTTTTAGATAGTATTTTTAGCCTAAATATTTTATTTCTGAAGATTTTAAAACGGCGCAATTTTGACCTTAATGTACCAACCAACCAGGCTGCGGCCGACAGGAGAATGTAAGTTGGTGATGTCGTTAGAAATGAGCGGACGTTTTATTTCTAGGCAAGCATTGCGGGCACCGCATTTTAGTACTGTGTCTGGTTTTAGTATGCTTTTCTAGAAATTTCACTTTTGTCGCTAAGATAAACAAAGTTTGTGCAAGTCGTCCATTAGACGCTACATTATTAAAGAGTTTAATTTAGCTAATTTTAAAAACATGTTTGTTTGATTGAAACATTTCCAGTTGTTGAAGCGTTTAATTGACGCCTAATCACCAATTGTTAATCACGAAATCAATGATGCAACTAAAGATTATTCTGTTACGATTTTCACGTAAATCATTGTTCATTTAAAAACAGTAATATCAATAGGATTTCGAACTTTTCTCTAAAATTCATTTCATCTCCAATTTGACAAGCAGCTCAGTGAGTTAATCTTGGCTCTTGCCTTTTCTTTTGCCAGTTTTTCATGGTGATTAAAATGGGAATGTGCATAGATGACTTTTACTAAGCCCTTTAAATTCATGACTGTATCCCCAATAAGTCACCCATTTACCATCACGAGCACATTTTGTGTGTACACCATCGTATTTTTTCACGCCATGGGGTTCTTCATAAACTCGCGTAATGCGACCCTAATGATAAATGTTACCTACGATATAGTTCCCTGCAGCCGACATGTATCCACCCTATGTAAAGACGACATGGAAATATTACGATGATATGGTAGCAATAAACGCAAGCAAGTATGCACACGAGCAGTTGAATTTTCGTGGAAAAACATTATTAACAGCTAGCTATGTCACCTGTGTGTGCATACTAATATAATCTTTTATCACTTTTGCTTATCCATTTTTCGTTTAATTTAATGCTTAAACAGTACTGAAATCGGTTTAGAAAATAGAATTTTAAATATCTATTTCTACCTGAGGAAAAAGAACCAACGTTCCAACTAAAATCTCGTTATCATCAGGAGCTCTTTTTAAAGCAACATTACGATAGTTCTGGACTCTATCTGACGGGTCACCGTCATCCCAATTGACAGTATACGCCAAAGTATTGACATCAAATGATACAATAGTGGCAGGATAGTAGGAAAAGGCTCCCCACAGGATTATAGCTTTGTCTCCTGGTTTCAAATATGCTGTTCGATCCACACCAACCGTTAAATCTGTATCGGATATAGCCTCAATCCCTGGTTTAATTTCAGCTGAAAATAAAGAAATTCAAAAATATTAGGTAAAATTTAGCCTTAGCGGTTAGTTACAGGAGTTTATGGATAAACACCCCTCCACTCCCCCATAAGACAAAAGAGCTACTTTGGTCGGTAGAAATCGTCAATTGTTACAAAGAAAACACGTTCCTGTAAAACGTCTAATGATCTGGACGGCCATGAGTTTTACTCAAAGTAAATTTGGGGACTGTTCTGTACTCTTCTGATGGGTCACTGTCATGCATCAGCATATAGCTACCAACAGCATACTCCAACATCAGGTGGCAGGGTAGTTCGAAAAAGCTCTCCAAAGATTTGTCTCTAGGTTTTAAATATCTTTCTTGTTCACAATACCTCCTGAATCTGCGCCAGAAATAGCCTTAATCTTTGGTTTAACCTCAGCTGAAGAGACAAAAAATATAGCGGAGTTTAACATCGTCATTTCACGAGAGAGTCAGTGACAATCCTCAAAGTGGTCGAGAGTTCGAGACCCGCAAATATCGGAAGATGTACATTTTTCAAACTTTTAATATTCAATAAAAGTTTCATATTTTTATGATTGGCTATACACCATTTACTACAAATCCCTTACCTACAGTCCCTGCTTTGCCCACACCAGCATTTGGGAACACGCGTAAATCGTTTCTTGTTAGTCCCCTGAATTCATAACTGTATCCCCTATAGGTCAGCCATTTACCATCATATATTCCTTTCGTATGCACTCCATCGTACTTTTTCACGCCTTGAGGCTCTTCATAAACTCGTGCAATGCGTCCCGGGTGATATATGGTACCAGAAATACCGTTCCCCGCAGCAGAGGTATATTGACCCTATTTTTTAAGATAATATTAACAAGATCGATAAATGTCTTTGTCAGTAAAAATCCAGAAAATCAACAAGCACCAATCATGACCGGACCTCGTGAAACATGCCCTCGTCCAATGTAAACAAACTTCCTACAGCTATGCCATTTAGATAACAAAATATAATCAGGCTATATCCAAATGAATAAAAATTCAGTACGCCAAATAAGGAGTAAAGTTGACAGATTCTATGAGTCAGTTAAGCAATAAAATTTTTGGCTAAAAACGTAGTCCCCGTGACCGGACAGAAAAGTTGGCATTCTCCTTAAGTTGGTAAAAATGACATGACACCCCCTCCCCCTATACCCTAACTCGTTCGCTTCGCCCCCGGCTATGCTAAACCTGAAATAAAACAAAGCGATTGAAAAAATATCTTCTTTCTACCTGAGGAAAAAGAACCAGAGTTCCAACTTTAATCTCGTCATCATTAGGAGTTGTATTTGAAGAAACATTAAGATAGTTTTGGACTCTATCTGACGGGTCACCGTCATCCCAACTGACGGTATATGCCAAAGTATTAAAATCAAATGATACAATAGTGGCAGGATAGTACGAAAAGGCTCCCCACATGATTAAAGCTTTGTCACCAGCTTTCAAATATCTTGCTTGCTGCATAATACCGCTAGTATCCGCGTTAGAAATGGCCTCAATATTTGGTTCAATCTCAGCTAAAGATAAAAGAAGAATAACTGAAGAAATAAAAATCAAGAATAATTATATCGCGAGAGGCCCGAAAGAGTAGAAAGTATACGTTTCCAAACTCGTGCTTAAAAGCTTGATTGCTGGCTGTAAACATCCACCAGTTACTATCATGTTTCTTACCCGGTATCTCTGCTTCAACCACTTGAGCATCTGGGAATACACGTAGATCACTTGTGACGAGTCCCTTAAATTCATAGTTGTATCCAATATAGGTCACCCATTTACAATCATTTGTCCCTTTCGTATGCACTCCATCGTATTTTTTTACGCCTTCAAAGTCTCGATAAATCCGTGTAATGCGACCCGGGTGATATATAGTACCCATGATATTGTTACCTGCTGCGGAGTGATAGTGGCCCTGCAGGTTAATATAAACAATATAAATATAGGTTTGTACATTCGTATGGTTAACTACTGTAAGAATGACTGCATGTCAACTCTTAATCAGCAAATAACTAAACGTATTGGCATATGATAGCGAAACCAGTCAGACCACAAAAATGCCACGGAAAGGACCCAAAGGACCTTGCATGTGTGCGGAGGTTTCCAGGTAAAAATTCAGGCAAGTCTATTTTTTCCCACAAGAGAGTTAGTAGCCGAGAGTTCGTGTTCCGAATGAAACCTTCATCCACCTTATGGTTCCACATTACGCCATTTGCCTTTGTTCATTTATATACTTCCTACCTGAGGAAACAGAACCAAAGTTCCAACTGTTATCTCATTATCATGAGGAGTTTTACTCAAAGCAACATTACGATAGTTCTGGAGTCTATCTGATGGGTCACCGTCATCCCAATTGACAGTGTATGCCAAAGTGCCAGCATCAAATGATACAATAGTGGCAGGAAAGTAAGAAAAGGCTCCCCACATGATTAAAGCTTTGTCTCCAGGTTTCAAATATTTTGTTTGCACAGCATGCGCAACTCTAGATTTTGAATCGGTGTCAAAAATAGTCTCGGCAACCTTTGGCACAATCTCAGCTGCAGGTAAGAGAAATACAAGATCAACATTAGTTTGGTTGTTAATAAAAGCCAGGAATGGTTTTATTAAACTAAGTTATAAACTTAGAGGCCTGGAGAGTCTTTCGATCTTAGTGAACTGCGGTATTTCTAATTCTTACCAGTTTCACTTGCTTCATCCTTGCAATTTTCAAGGGTCGGTTTGTGGTTAAGCTTACTATGTACTAAAAACACATCGTACACGGATTCACCATTATTCTTGGTCATTCTGCCGTGACTCACTTCATTACTGTAGTTTTTTGACATCCATTGGGTCTTCAGTATTAACAGTATATCTGAGATATCAAGGGTTAGGCGCAGATCGTTTCTGGTTAGTCCGTTGAATTCATAGCTGTAACCATTATATGTGATCCATTTACCATCACTTGCCCCTTTCGTATGTACGCCATCGTACTTTTTCACACCGAGAGGATCTTCATATATCTGGGTTACGCGACCCTGGTGATATCTGATACCACCGAGATTGCTCCCATCAGTACCGGCATATTCGCCCTACAAGATAGAATGAACAACATTGCAGGCAATTTTTATATAGTAATAAATGTTACTGTCAAAGAGTATTTGACCGTAAAAATTAAAAGTCGTTTACACTTGCAATTTTTTCTGCCATTCACGGTGCGATTTTCATCTTTTGATAGATGTGAACAAGTGGACACTCGTAAATGTTCTGACGCACGAGTGCCGTATAATTTGAATATCCGTTACTTATCCATTCGTTCACATCCCTCAAAAGCAGAAACGGGCGTTTAAGTGTATTACATTTGTCAAATGTCATTGTGTGGCCGAAGCACAATATGTATTTACCTGAGGAAAAAGAACCAATGTATTAATATCAATCTCGCTCTCACCAGGAGTTTTATTTAGGGCAACATTAAAATATTTCTGAACTCTTCTTGATTGGTGACCGTCATCCCAATTGATAGTATACATTAAATTATCGACATCAAATGATACAACAGTCGCCGTGAAGTAGGCCCAGGAACCGTACAGAGAGATAACCTCATCTCCGGCATTCAAGTGGTTTGTTTGTTTCACATCAACCTCGTGGCCAACATTTCCAAACCTCGATCCTATCATAGATGGATTTGCTGAAGATATAGTAACAATAACATGTGAAAAAATCATTCCCAAATGAAGAAAATCGCACCTGCTGCACTCCAAATTTCAAACGTTGTTTGGGAAATATCGGCATCGAAATCCCCCTAAAGAGTACTCCAACTGCCCAAAAATAACCCTGTCAGGGTCACTTAAACTGGGTTTAACACAAGCAAGCCAAATAAGAACATTACATTAATACATTAGGGCAGGAGGCTAGTTTCACACTTCTGTCTTTTTATTTTCTTCTCTTACCTGGTACATTATTCTTGTCTTCTAAATTTCTTTTTATCGTCGCAAGAATTTCAGATAGTGTCTGCTCCACATTCTCCATTTTCTCTGTCTGTTCTTCCATAGAGGATAATTTCTGATCCATGTTCTCAAGTTTATCAGTTTGTTCTTTAATCGAAGATAACTCTTTCTTCAGATTCCCATTTTGCTCAGTTTTTTCAACAAACGAAGATAATTTCTGTTGCACATCTATCGTCATTTTTCCTATCTGTTCATTTATCGTGGATAATTCCTTTTCCACATTCTCATGAAACATACTGATGGCTTGTAACTCTTTCATACGACATTCGTATAATTGTTGAACCTTTTCTGTAGGAAAATCCTCCTCCTTCATCGTTTCAATATCATCAACAAAAGCAGTATTAACGGAAAGTGCTGTTAGAGCGTCTTTTATTAACAATACATAATGATCAAAATCAGCCTTGTTAATCTCCGCTTCGGATGAATGGCAAAGTCTGTTTCTCAACAGTCGCATTTGATCAATTGCTAAAGCATATGTCTCATCCTTGTTTTTCGTTAAACTTACAACTGATTTATGAAAAGAGCCTGAAACTGGTTTGACTTTCAAATATAAATCATTTAAAGTTAAACTTTTCCCCTTTCTTGGAACGCCGAATGTTTTGGCAAAAATTGTTGCTTTAAATAAAGCTGTACAGTCCCAATCCTGAATGGATTTTGTGGTTGGTATTTCGGTTTTACCACCTTCAGATGTAAGTAGCAAATTGCGGACAATAATGCTATCATCCCAGAGAATAAAACCTGGGCTTTTACCAACCTTGCTGTCCCACATGGAGATAAAAGTTTGACGCAAGGCTTTAGGGAACTCATCAAGAACGAGTTGAGAAAACTTAAAGAAGTTCAATTGATCGTTCGAGAAGGGTTTCACAGCCATTCGCAGTCGGTAAATTTTTAAATACTTGATTTACCTATACAAAATCACAAACAAAAGACGAAAATAAGCAGAGACTTAGCAAAGCCGGAACGGAGGTCAGCATGGTACAGCAGGGAGGAAACTCTTTTCCATCTAAATTTTACAGGATTTCACTGCAGTTCGTTAAAAAATCTGCTGAGACAACGCTAGAATGCAGCTAACGCGATTTCAGGAATACAATCCTAAAAAAAACGCTAGGCTGGCCAGACACCAAAATCACCCAACAAACCGAAGTTCTTCAACCGATTGATACAAATTCATGTTTCGCGGTAGAGAAAATTTTAGTTTTATATTTTGCAACCGCCTGTGCGGATGAGGAAGCTGATCTTACCAATACAAAGCGAAACATTAAAACAAAATGACTGCTCTATTACTCCAAAGCCAGTTCTCGTGAACGAATTTTAGCATAGGTAGCCCGGTCAGTGCGGTTACGATTTTAGCGGTTATGATTGAGATTTTCGTCTTTTGATAAAGTGTGAAGGAATGGATAAGGTTATATGAGTGCCCCAACACAGAATACATCAGAAAGACGACTCCATTTTAAGAAAGTGTTATTCGTCATGAGAACTCAGATTCGTCACCCAACAGGTACCGTAAAGAAGCATGACCCCCCTGCCAATGCTTAAATAGCGCAATTGTGAACATTTGCAGGGGGGTGATTACTTCTATTTACGGTACACTTGCTGAGTGACGAATCATGACGAAACACACTTACGCAAAAAAACAATAATAAAGGTAATAAGTTCATGACTACAATCCACGGATATAATGCTTGATTCTGATAAAAGTAGTTAAGTTAGGGTTAGCTTAGGGCGAGGTTTAGAATTAAAAGTTAGGTTTATACTCGTGGATTCTGGACATGAAATTACTATAGGTAATATACATAATTCATCACTTACGCGCGGAAAATTTTAGATGCTTCCATATTTTTATTATTCAACACATCACATGGATCAACAAATGCATACTAAAATATGCGGATATCACCGATTGCGGAAAACGCAGCTTTTTCAAATTTGACATATTACATATATAAGGTTTAGACTTTACGTGCGTATGAAAAACGCGTAAGTGAAAAGCAGCCCTAACTTACTTTTGATAAAGACGAAAATCGCACCTTAAATTGAGGGAGAAATTATCTCAATATAATTTAACTAAAGCTATACTTACCTAATTTCGAAGTCACTTCGAACCTTTTTTAAATATTTAGAAACGGTTATTTTGTTAATTTGCCCCCGTATCTGTCAAAAATTCTGCTACAACGTTCGGTGTTCGTGGGGAGGACTTGGTTCTAACGAGAAAACCAATTGCGAAGACATTTCAAGTTGGGGTTTAGAACTATCTTGGCCATGTTGATGTCGTGTGAAGTCCGAAGTTGGGCGGAAGTAATGAGGGCGCTAAGCCACTGACCTATATAGCATTGGTATATAGGTCAGTGGCTTAGCGCCCTGGAAGTAATTATGCAATGACGCATTTGTTGTAAATAAAAAATGCAGTGAAATTGTTGGGCTGTTAAGCCTATTTTTTGCCAAATGACAGCTTTATGATAGCTTAGGCTGTAAATAATTGTTTTATAGAGCCCCACAAGCTACGCCAATATTATGTTTGTATTGCTCTTAAATCGTGTTCGGCATATAAAAAAAAATGCTCGGCATATAAAAAAAAATGCCGAGTCTTGTTCTATTTAAAATATTTTCTCTAACTCACACCAAAGTCAGCCTCTAAAAAGCTTCACTGAAAATTCAGAGAGGGCTGCTTTTAAAGAGCGAAGCTAGGTGAAAAAAATAATCGAAGTCTAAACTAACTATTTATTGATGTCGAGGGTAAGATTGTAAATAAAAAGTTGGTAGTTTCAAACAATGAAAATAGTTATTTACATGTTTATTTTATACTATGCAGTTTCCGCTACTATTTTAACCATTACCATGTACTAAGTCGCCATCTTTGTAAGGTAGTCGTTATTTATTGCAGCCGAGCGTGGGTATTAAAGAGCACGCTTCAAGCGAGACTGTAAGCTTTTGTATAATCCAATCAGTTCTTGACATGTGGGATGACGTGAGCTGATTGACTGTAACTCTACCAAGTACGTTGCGCATGCGTCGTACACGGTTGCTGTAAATGTCGGTCTATTGAAAACAAAATAATTTAAAATACATTAGTAACAATAGTTAATTGCACACGTTGGGACATGCGATGTGTAATGTAAGGACACTTCACCTGTCTTGAGGAGAAACAAGAGTTGGAGTCTCGACAAATTTAAAAATAAGATTGTACAAGACCTCGAGAACATGGAATGGTTGGCTCAAAGTTTGCCATATTTGATCCTGTAAAATAACAATTGATACAATAGAAAGTGTCCACGTATTATCATAGCTTGAGCAATTTTGCCAGTCCCTATACCTTCGCTTTAAATAACCGGTCGTATATTCTATGCAGTACTGGAAGCGCGACTCCAATCTCCAATAGTGTTTCGAACACCCAGACACTTTCCCAATTTAAGCGACAGCAATGCTGTTCTAAGACACGCACAAGAAAACCTGCAAAAAAAAGGAAAAACATAAATTATATTTTGGTTCAGGTCAACCACCCAGGTCAATCTCGAACAAACTTACTTAATGGGAAGTATCTCTCCGAATGAACATACGTCTTTCCAAGAACAACGAATTTATAGCGCAGAGCGGTCATTCTATCATCTGGAGAACTATGTCTTGTTCTGTTTAGCTCTAAAATATGAAAACGAGAATATTGCATGCAAATAAATTGGCACTTACTTGTTCATATTGGCAAGCAGTGTTCAATGTCCAGTGTTCAAGTTGATTTTTTAGCGACTAGAACCAATCTCACCATTGCTTGTCCTTCTTTATCAAAGACGGTGGAAGAAGATTATTTATACACTAAAAATGATTGTCATGCACTAACCTGAATCAATGATATCATTCCACAGATCTTCAACCAACACTGCATCGAAATGTCCCGCACAATGAATGATTGCAAGCTTGCATTCAGAAAGACGAAAACGATCTGCAAAGTCACCGTAAAGCTAAAAAGTAAGGTTAATACAGGTTATTCGTAAATTTGACATCAAATAACCTAACCATAATATGGATGCTTGTTGGAAATAGTATGGAAGTTTTTTTAATATGCAGGCTACTTGCCATTTCGATACTATGGATAAATTATGGAAACACCATAGCGCGCATAGCGCGGTATAGCGCGCATTTTTGCATAGTATGGAATTTTGAAAAACATTTCCAGGGAATCATGTTATTTAGCCATTTCGAAACTTCAAAATCATTTCACGCTTTCCAAATCTCGGCCAAGCAGGATCATGCATGTAAACTGCCCCTTAAACCATCACAGCATTCATAACTATTCGCTCGTTTGCATCTTTCAAAGAGAGAAGATCGCACCGAAAACCACGGCAAAAATTGCCGCTTTAACCACCTTGGTGACATCCATAAGCTTCGAATTCAACTCATCCAATGCATCATTGACATTTGGATATCTTCCTGTGTCTTTCAGTTGAACTAACTCTTCATGCACTTGTAGTTGTAATCTTGCAACCTAGTGCAAGAATAAAATATGGATTATTTTTATTATTTTCTATAATAATGAGCTAACATGACCCATATATCGGTCGCACAATACCTCCAACTTCTCTTCCAGCTCATGTAAAAATTCACCGTCTGAAATACTTGAAGGTCGAACGTTGCAACTTTTGGCGCTCATGATAGCACGAGATAAATATTCTAGTCGCCCTTCCAAATTTATATCACTTCTAGACAAAGAGGAAACACGCTTTACCAACTAATTGTCTACAGAGTTAGCGTTCCAGTGTTACGTATAGAGAGATCAGTACTAATACCACGTAGTATCTTAGTCTTACCCTTCTCGTTCAGCAAGCTTACACAATATTCGAGCTGCTCCAGAATAATTCTCAGTTTTCTCGTAATATTTCCAAAGAAGATCTAGCACTGGAATGTTATTCGGGTGCTGCATGAAACAAAATTACCGAAAATTGAGTAGCCTTTCTGAGATACAGTCCCGCATATCAATGAAACAAACATACCTGTATTGCGGCTAGTCGTTTTAAGTATGTCTCTAGAAACTCGGATCTAACCTGTTAGGAAAAATGCTTATTTTGAATTTCCATCTATCCTCCCTGGATTTGCCGTTCACGAGATCGTACTCAGAGAGGATGGATGCCCTAACAGAAATCAAGCACAGCTTACTTACCTCAAGTAGCCTTTCAGTCATACTCTTTTCAATTAACCAATCAAAAACGGAGGATAAAAACAGTTCATCACGTGATCTCAACGCCATTACTAATGTTCCCTCAAGCTAAAAAACAGGAAGGGATACAGTGCATGGGCATTTTAGCTTCAACGAACACGGGTAGCAACGAAATAATTTTTTGCAAATAAACGTTTCTGAGAATTTCAATCATTTACAGTATACGGCATACATGAGCAATGCAAAGAAGTCCAAGGTGAAGCTATAGAAAATACATTACATACATAACGTTCGGCTTCTTCAGATGTTAACGCATTCCCATCCGGTGGTATTGGAGGACCAGGTCTGCTGGGGACATTTGGAGCATTAGCACGTGATTGACGCGTGGTCAAAAGATGAGTTAGTGTATCCAAAACACAGTTGTAACAGCGTTGCCTGAAACAGTAAAGAAATACGCCTCAAATTTTAACCTCACATAAAACATAAAACATACTAAATTCAAGGTGATGGATTGAATTAAACTTGAAGTATGTTTCTCTTCTGTCGAGTAAACTATAAAATATTTGTCTTGAGACAAAAAATAAAGCAAACTGTTAAGACCCGTCCATGATTAAAAAAATGGCGAACGGTGTATACCTTTTCAGAAAGGCATCATACGGTGGACCAGGTTGTTCTGGTTGACCACTTTCGTAATAATGAAGAGCAAGATTCTGAGGATCTATTGTTGAAGCTGTAAGAACGGCTAGTTCAACGATACCATCGAAAAAACGTACTGAAAAAACACAGAAGATGTTGTCCATTAACTGTCAATACATGATCTCTTCTGAAGACCATTATGTTGCAAGACTATAATGGGCAGGGAACGATGAAATCCAACACCACGACTAAAATGAGCATCTTACTGTAGAAGTAGTAAAGCTGCAATGGTTCGTTGCGAAATGTTGTGAAAACTGGAAAACAAACCCCACCCAAAAAAAAATCATTTGAACACATTTGTATTAATCTGTTTAGCTTTTGTTGATGATGCTCAGTATCACGAATTCATGCATATTCTTTGTCACATATTCTATAACCTTGGAATCATATCGCTTCCAAATTCAGAAATTTCCTATTTATTCCGTTCTTTTAATAACAGCTAATGTTAGCGTGTTATAGTCAAACATTGATCTTCCACCAGAGCATACAGACAGAACAAATTGTTATATATGAATCACTTACATTCTTCAAACTGACCACAGATGTATGCTAAATCAATTTGATTTGCAACTTGACGGTAAAGCTAAAATATGATAAGCGAAGAGATATCATATGAATAGGACTGATCAATCCTAAATATTGCGCTTGAGGGTTTTCCGTTTAAATATAGTATAATTTTCCCGTATTCGTACCCTTGTCGCTTCTTGCAATGTTCGTTCCTTTTCATATTTGTCGGTGGCTTTTTTAGCTGTATCGAGCAATTCATTAGCCTTAATTTTTAAAATGAAAAAAAATTGTTTTACTCCTCATTGCCTCCTTGCCTTAAATCACCAATACTATAGGCGACTAGAAAGTGACTGATTCGCATCCCAATTAAACATAGATTGCCCCATAGGACTCACTGACCTTGGTACACACGGCATCATCTGTAGTGTATATTGTTGGACATAAATCTCGTAATTGAGTACTTATTATATCTGTGGTTGCATTGTCATCCAAAAAGCACGTTATTAATGAGGCGATGAGTTGATTGCATACCTACAATTGCAATTAACATGTGATATACATTAAATTGGATATGACATTGAGTTGGATATGACATTAAATTGGACAAACAAGGTAACGATGCCGCAAAGAGATTTTACTGTTATGATATCTATAATCCACTCAAATTGTTTCGAACAAATCTTGAGCGACTTGTGAGATGCTGGCTCAAGCGTTTTCTGTTGTATCTTCCAGAGCCAACAGAAATGACCGATCTTTTGCGACAGCAGACGAAACTATAACCGCAGAAATCTCCAAAAAATGAAAACAAACTTACCACATTGCCCGAAAGCACAAAATCACGAAACTTTAGAAAGTTGAGGCGGTCACGTGATTCCTTTATTCAGAAAAAAGATAACATTCAGTTAATGAGAGCAACTGGTTTTGCCAACAAACACTGTCCTAACTCAGTTAAAAAAGTAAAAAGGTACAAATTAATTTTTCATTGCCCATAGAATGTTTACAGGGAGATGTTGCATGTCCTCTGAAATTCTTAACGTTTTTACCGACCTGGGATAACCGTTGCACGACAAGATGGAATTCGTTATCATCTAAGATCTGCCACAATGACAACACTTCACGACTACGTCTTATCAAATGGCGCAGAGTGTTTACAGTATCTGCTTCGGTATTACCAGGTCCTACACAATGTCAATGGCAACGTTTAAATTACTTGTATAGCTCAATTATAGAGAAAATCTGCCGAAATCATAAGAAATTCACCAAAATCATAGGATTTTCAGAGTGAAAAACTGGCAAGGACCTTTTAACCCTCCAACTGGTAGGATTATTTTGTTTCATAATCTTATTCGGTCTAATCGGAAGTTTTCCCACGTCTTAGTGGTGCAAGTTCATGTTACAGATATTTCAAAGTCCTACCTAATTGACTAGTTTGTAATGGAGTACCAACGCGCCGTTGTACGTGAGAACCAAGAGGCGATCGGACGCCGGCAAAATGAGTCATGTTAGCATCCAGCCATTTTTCAAGCTTTTGAAGTTGTTCAACAAACCAACCAATTTGATCACTTGTTAAACGACTGTAAATCTAAAAAATATCAGGTATACAGTACTTTTACTACGTGTCTTATCAGTTATACGAAGACTGAACTAACAGAAGAGGTTAAAGGAAGATATTCAATTAACAGGGCAGGGGGGTGTTCATATTGAAAAGGAGGGTGAAAACTTTCTGGTATTATAAAATCACTTAAATTTTGTTTCATCTATATTTCACATCCTACTGTCGACATTATGCCACGCATGACAAATATGTTTATTACGACATTATACCACGCATGACAAATTCACTCACCCAGTTGTTCGGGGGCTCTGGTAAAACCCGATCTTCTTGGATCACTAATCTTTCATCCCATAATGGTCTGCAAAATCAAAGGTAGAAAAGAACATTTTTCATACATATGAAGAAAACAAGTAGAAACATTGTTGCCAACAACATTGTTGCCAGGGAGAAACTGTTTGGCATATTAAGAACTTCTAAAAGTTCAAACTCTAACTAATACCCTAATATCCTTGCGATGTGAAGATATAATCCAGCTATTCTTCCTGATTTCAAAGCTTCAGGTTGTACGACACCCGACCCCACGGTAGACGCGTATGGAGTTGACTGCAACTGGGGATTTTGAACAGGACTAAAAATACAAGTTCATGGCATATTAATTTCGATCATTCTCAGGATAGAACTATAGAAGTAATTTGAAATAGGAGATTGACAGTTCTTACGTTGCAGGCTGCCTTGTTGCAGGTGTTGCTAGGTAACTGCCGCCATGACTCCTGCCAGGAACTGGTGTAGGTGGAATATAGCTCATATCGGGCGACATTCCAGTTTCATGTGCTTGACTTGGATATTGTCGCCTCAAGGGTTGACCTCTTTTTTCGGCAGGATTTTCAAGTGTCATCACAGGATAACTGACTGTTGCACCGCCATATCTGAAGAACGCCTGTGTCGCCCAGTCTGCAATCTAAGTCCGATATTTAAAGAGCATCAAGTGGATTCACGGGGGAGTTTTTTTGGGTTGCTGTAAGGAGGACAGGGGGTATTGCGTTTTCGTATAAATAACAACGGATTTTCTGGAAATTCTGGAAGGACAACGAGGGGCTAGCTGTAGGAATAAAGGCCCGTTTATATACACTTGCAATTTTTGCTGCAATCTAATGTGCGATTTTCTTTTTTTGATAAATATGAACGAGTGATTTAGCTATTGATGCTGATAAAAAGCTTTTATACATCAGAGCATTCGTAACTAATTACTCGTTCACATCTATCAAAAGAAGAAAATCGCAAGTGTAAACGAGCCTTAACGGGGGGGGGGGGGGGGGGTTTGGGTCGGTAATTGAGAGTTTATAACTTATGATGTAAAAACTTCTCGTAGCTGATAATGACAGATTGCTTACTTCAAGATCTGTCGTTGAACATGCGAGAACAAGGGCAGTTGCGCATGCGTGATCCACCTGAAATATACAAAATTAAGATTACGCGTTAATATAACGACAACCATCGCTTTTACTTTTAGTTTATAAAATAGCACAGGTCAACAGAAACTAAACAATAAAAATATCTATTTCAGTAATTTATTTAATTTCCGATGGTTAATCCGTTTGTAAGAAAACTGGAAGAACAATAATCAGAATGCAAGTTCTTTACGTTATCTAAGATGCTGAAAGAGATGCTTGCAAATGCTCGTATATTTTATCAAAAGGAATGAAAAATGTCTTTTGCAAACCTGCAATAGCCTAAAGAATCCTTGTACAGCTTCTGAGTCCGGGCCATTGTTATCAAGCAGGAGATGTTTGAGTTGTTCGAATGGACGAATGGTTGTAAACAAATAAGAGCCCTATGTAGTGAAAATTACATTTAAACTAATGTTAATATTAGGCTAGTATTAGGATGAAAGTGACGATTTTATTAACTTACTGGCTGCCTAATTCGAAGATTTAGCGATAAATAGTCTGAAAGCTTGATACCTGGGCACTTAACACGACGAATTTTCTTGACGGTAGTGCATGCTGGGTAACTACTGTGGGTGGATCGGGCCATTTCATGGGGACTGGGGAGGGCAGCATGGGATACATTGCTTCGGGAACCTCGTGTAGGGCCCAAGCCCTACCCTCAAGTGGAGTGTTGACCGACGATTCTTGTAAATTTTTTTGAAAAGGGAAAATTTCTGGACTGATGCTCCATAACACATCATTTTCTTCGTTAGGAGACGAACATAACAGAGCAATTCCTAGGAGATAATGAGTATGATTTTTAAATCAAAAGCCAAGTTTTCAACATTTTAGTAAATCGATTTCAGCCAGGGGAGGGAAATTGCTCAAAACAAGACGCAAGAACGACGAAAATTTACAGCTTTAATCTGCGTCTCTTTTTAAATCATATGTTACATTTTCACGATTTCTTTCTTATTTTTTCTTTCACTTTTCTACGTGGATTAGCTATGTTTTTTATTTAATAAAGGTCTCAAGTCTCCAGGGTGCTTTGCGTGAAGATATAAAAACAGTATTTGGGAGCAACTTCGGCAAAGAATATCGGACTGATATATATCACCTTGTCTGTAATAAGCAGCATGAACCATAAATGGTCTTTCAAGTCGAGCAGAAGGAGCGCAGCCAGGGGGCATGCGAACATGTACCAACGACAGTTTTGAAGGACGTTCCTCAAACCGTTCTGCTGTTGTGGTCATGAAATACAGTCGAACACCTATAAAACCGATAGTAACAGAATTGTTTTATTGTTTGATTGTTAAGTTTTTGTTTAGGAGTTCATTGAATACTTAAGCAGAAGAGGCTCTTAAATAGTATTGATCATGCATCAATTCCAAAAGATTCTTTCTGCGATGAAACAATCAAATTTCAGGCTTTGCGGTTTCTTACCCGATTGCGTGATAGCAACCAAATGAACAAGTTGAGATTCGTTTGTTGAAATAGGTGCGATATGAACAATAGGCTTAAGACGTGTTCTGTCGATGCTTCTATTGGAAACGGAAACGTTACACTTTTTTGAACAACCGCTGCTTTAAACAATTTAAATTTCTCACATTAACCAATCGCAGGTCTACATAAAGTAAGGCTACTATAGCAACTGCCATTACCTTAACATGCTGGCTGCTTTATTGACGATATTATCCTCATAACAACAAGTCACATAAGAAGTCTTTGTGCCATCTTTTCCCAAGTCAAAAACCTTAAATACAATGATAATCAACAGTCGGTTTTACCGTGTCAAATTGCTACGTGAGAGAGCAAGCTGCATTAAACAATACTGTTCGCTATAAAGGAGTAAATGGCAGTATAGAGAACAGGACATCCCTCTACGTAAAGTTTCCTAGCAGGTGATTTACAATACATTGCTTGAAAAAATCTGGTTGTTTTTTTTTAAGAATACTACTTTTGCTGAAGAAAAGAAACATCAAAGTCTCAGACCTGAACGGTAAATGGAATATTCTAAAACAAGATTCGGTTACCATTAAAGTTCGCAATGTTTTTTTTTTACTAAACAACTTTATTTCTATTAAGATCATAAGGATCTATTTAAGAGTTTCAATGTGGGCTGCTGCGTCAAAATTGACTGACCAATTCTCAGAACATTAAGCTTAATTACATTTTATATGCAATCGTTTTCAAATTCTTTTATACCTGAATAGATCCTCTCTCAGTCCGACAGTATAATATATTTCTAGTATTATCAACTGCTAGTTGGACAACGGGATCTGAAATTGATTGATGTATGTTATTAAGTTCAATCTTACGATATTCGCGTCACGAATACTTGACATGCAATGTCGCTCTTAGGGAAAGACGTCACATAAGGCGATTGGAATATTATCAGAGGAGGCTTTAAGGCCAAATAAACTACTTAGCTATCTAAATGCGTGCTTTGCAGACGTTTTAAGTACTAAGTAATTATTATGATAAGGTGACGATCAACTCTTATTAGTTTTGACCGTTACTGGGCAATTTGAAGTGATGCATTCATAAGTTAAAGTACGTATAATCATTATATAGCAATTTATTACTCTATTTTTCAACATTATAGCAGAATTCGGTTTTTCCTACTAGACTATAAATGATAGCTGTTATAGTAAACCTATAATGCTATCCTAGGGCGCTTTCCATTAAGCGGCCAAAATGGTCAGAACGGTCGTATTTTGAATTGAATTTCAAATTTGATTTACCGTCTTTACCGTATAAAGGAAAGTTCTTAAGTAAAAATCGAAATGCGTGACTTTGATTATTATATCACTTTCCTTGTTAAACCACAAATTCGTCATACACAAGAAATATTTCTACAAGCTATAATATTGAGCTCGATATTTCAAAATGAATGCATGTGTGTTGCTCACCTTCACCACTAAATGAAAAACTGAGAAATGATGGAACAAGAAATGACAGAGAGCTCGCCGAGTGGTTAATTTTCTTGCATTTCTTTCCAAACCAGTTGCCAGCACCCTAAATCATATAACAAAACAATAACAATCATACATAAATCAACAATAAGTTACGTTCTTAGGAAAAATTCATTCTACCTGATAGTCCATTTCATATAGACAACCATCTCTCCCACACAGGAATATCCTTCCTTCGAATGTTCCAGTTATACCGGACATGTAAACATTGTCAGTTTGTAGAGTAAATAAGGGCTCAGGTAGCAGGTGCATCTCGTGGTACTCTTCATCTGAACCCGAGTCTAAACAATTAACACAAAGCAATTGTAATTTTATTCCCGATATAATCATCCAGAATTCCTGACTGGTTTTTTTCCTGGTTTTGAGTATCCCAACCATAATTTTTGTACGGTGAAATCTAGTGTAGGCTACCTGCGTTTTCGCTGAAGCTGACACCAAGAAGAACGACATCAACAGGGGTTGTAAGACAAAGAAGAAACTTTATATGTTCTTGAAATATTCCTGTCGTGAGAAAAGGTTTTTGGTTATACGACTCTTCTCTTAATCTTAATTCTATCAATGAATGTTAGATACACTGTAACAGCCAATCAAAAAGTGCTCGCATGTTGTACTTACTCTCAGTTATTCCCGCGGGCATCGTACCCGAGTTTACTGTCCATGCTTATAAAAATTAACCTAAAGTACAATGTACCTGGTTTGGGCTTCACCAGTCCAGCACTTAAAATAGTCTCACTTAAACCATCGAAGTAGGCCAGATCACTTCTGCACATAAGAAATATCAACACATTATACGTACATAAATTAAAATATTATATAAAACACAATATCATGCATGTGAATGCAGTGCAGTGGCAAAGCAAGCCTGACGTTTTAGTCTATGTTAATATGTAATGTGGTGTTCATTGACTGTGAAAACAATCAAATTTTAAGACAAGAATGTTAGTAACTTAGCCTAGGGGGATAAATCGCCAGGAAACGATCAACTGCGTCGTGTGAGTATATTTATAATGCAAGACTATAGATTGTAAGTTTTGTTTTCTGAAACCAGGATGGTGACCCTGCTACCGCACACCTACCCGTCTTCATAATTCCACACAAATATGTCACTATCAATGGATAACCAAGCTCTCCGAATTTCTGGAAATAAACCCATCTGGCAATTGCATTGCATATCTTACATGAAATTAAAAATGATAACCGTTTTTTAGGAGTTAACAAGAACTTGTCAATCCATATGTCGAAACACAGCTAAAATGTCAACTAGGGAGTTTATTGTTCTATAATACATATAGGTTGGTATATATGTACAAACATGTTGAGAAAAGTTTTCGATTACAATTTCATCAAATGAAAGTTTATCGTTCAGGTCAGTGAAAAAGCTTGAAATGGTGTTGGTTGCATTTGTGACGTTTCGTATGTACAGAACCAATTCGACAATTGTTTACAAAGATAACTCTCAAAGTGCATAAGTTTCAGCTCCGTAGTCGAGTCAAATGTCTCATTTGACTTTTACCAGGTCTTTAAGAAAAGGGAGAATATTACTTTCCGACAATATAGTTTCACGCTCCCAATACGCTTTTCGCGCTTCAAATCCAATGCTCAAAGGTAAAGACAGTTATTATTCATTATCTGTAGTGAATACGCAAGGTATTAAAAAAAGGATACAGGAAAATTGCTCGACGAGTTCTGATGGTAATGGAACATGTTTAACTGTTGATATCAGCGGGACGTTTGCCAGACCCTCGGAAATACTTGATATTGCAGGATAGTCAAAATCGTTCACGCCACTTAATCCAACGTTAGCTTTAAAAGAATAACATGAAAAAATTATAGAAATTGAAGAATATTTCGGTTTTAATTCTGTGAATACTGATGCACTGTACCAGGACTGTACTAAATTAACTCCCATACTGAAAGACTGGACTGTTTAGCGAGTTCCGCACACACCTGACTAACGCCGGAAAGGCGTGATACTCATACAGATGGAATACTTACAAAAAATGCAAGGTGGATTCTGAGTGAGATAGACTTCTGGGGCGGGTTGTACAAAGGTTGGATAGCGCTATCCACCGGATAGTGATTTTTTCAACCGTTCTAAAAATGCTCGAAAAGCGATGAAATTTAATCTTTGGAACCAACAATTGTTAAAGAGGATCCCCGATTTAGAAATACTAAGATTTAATCAAAGTTATACAAAACAAAGGGCGATTTTAAAGCGATTGAAAAAATCACTATCCGGTGGATAGCGCTATCTGGCTTTCATACAACCGGCCCCTGGTAGATTTCTATTCTGCACTAATACATTATGTAATCTCTTGATACTAAATAATTGCCTCATTAGTGACGTAGGAAATGGTGCGCTAATTGAAAGATTGTCGACGTCATAATGAACTTTGTTTCAATCGTACCATAGGCAGCCCAATGGCGACTTGCGTGTTCAGGCAATGTAGGCATTATATAGTATATATATATCCTAAGGTAGGCAACTTCAATCCCGATATCGACATGGACACATGCAAACAATCCGAAAATACTTCAATTTATCCCTAAAACTAAGCTAAAATAACAGCAGAAATGAAATCTACGATGATTTTTACCACATACTGGCTATATTTTAATATTGAAAAGAAGTTATAGAAGCAAGAAAAATGCGAAAAGCTTTTGATATTTTACTCATTTTTTGAATGGGCCGATGCTGGACCCGCGCTGTTGACTTTTGAGAACGTTGAAAATGACGAGTTTGTAATCTGATTGGCTGTCACAACAGCGAGAACAAAAAGCAGCCAATCAGATTACAAACTCGTCATTTTCAACGTTCTCAAAAGTCAACAGCGCGGGTCCAGCATCGGCCCATTCAAAAAATGAGTAAAATATCAAAAGCTTTTCGCATTTTTCTTGCTTCTATAACTTCTTTTCAATATTAAAATATAGCCAGTATGTGGTAAAAATTATCGTAGATTTCATTTCTGCTGTTATTTTAGCTTAGTTTTAGGGATAAATTGAAGTATTTTCGGATTGTTTGCATGTGTCCATGTCGATATCGGGATTGAAGTTGCCTACCTTAGGATATATATATACTATATAATGCCTACATTGCCTGAACACGCGAGTCGCCATTGGGCTGCCTATGATCGTACACGAAAATTCGCGTGCGCCTAGGATTTGCAAATCGCTACTTTCACTCTGCATGGGGATTTTTGAAATGTTTTTGGGAATGTCACACACTGACACACACTACTGTAAGTAAGGATGACCTCCTCTGAGAGTTCAAGATGTTATGCTAAGAAGAGATCAATCAATGTTGTCAATCCAGCAAGTGTTTTCAGGTCATTCACATTTTAACCTACATAATGAATGTTTTTAGGTCATTCACAATTTAACCTACATAATGAATGTTAAACTATATAGTCGCCTGACTTTTGTGACATTTGACAGCAAGTTAAAGATTTACTTTCAGTAAAAGACTTTTTAATGACATACTCTTTTAAAATACTATATAAATTTTCCTTTTTAATAAGGCCACAAGTCAGAAAGTCAGCCACTAAATTTTGAATCTTTTTGTAATTTCAACAAAAATATTCTTCTAGACATCAATGCTTGCCACATTCTATGAAACAGCTAACTGATGTTTAGAATCTTTCAATTATAAAGCTTTTAATTGGGATCCATCACAGACTATAACCATGGTATATTAACAATCAAGTCTCTCGATCACCACCTTGTTTGGTGGATTTCTCGATCAAATAGACATAACCTTAAATTTTACCTTAAGCACACAATGCCGATGGTAACTGACAATCATAATCACATTGTGAGCAAGAAAAACTTTATTTGTAAGGAAACTTTGTTGATGTTTTTTGCTTCTTTGCTAATTAAATCACTCCTGAAATACACCATTATTACTCAAATTTACTATTATAATCAACTAATGCTCATGCTCAAAAGGTAAAAGCAGAAAGGTTTATTCTGTACCTAATTAACTTATCTACTATCCAAACTAACAACTATCCAAAAAAAACCCAGATGCTATTACATTTTATTACTTAAAATGCATAACACCTTACAATGTTCAAACAAGGTAGCCGACAGAATATATCACAATTCTATGTAATTGCCTCCATGATAGGATAACATGAATAGGGTAGCTTAAGCATTCATGAAATTCAAAGACCAATTTTGCAATAATTTTTACAAGTCTTCATGCTGCTTTGTATGACTGTATCATGTTGTATGTAAAAAGGAGATATTCTTTGTTGTATTGTATGCCTTATTTGAATTTTAGGGGGAGACAAGTAAGGGTCACTTATGCTAAATCCAGTCCTTCATTGATACCCAGTTAGTAACATGGTCTAGTGCTAGATTCACATTCAAATTGTATATAGCATAGGCATTAGTAGAATTAGTAGAAAGCACTACTACTGAAAGACACAAGATCCAAAGTATAAGTTAAAAGACCACAAAAGAAATTTCCAAAGAATAGGCTATTTCCTCCTTTAGAAATTTTAATGTCTTCATTATTCAGTTGTTCCACTATGTTTATAATGAGTGAAAGTTGGCAAGAAAACTTTTTGATGCTTTATAAAGGTATTACTGGTTGACTGAAAATGAGCCTACACCAAGTAATATGTAATTGTATTTATGTAACTCCGCGAAATCTTACCTTGCGAAAATACGCCTATTTGATCAGCTAATTCAGGGTATCTTCTGTCTGAGGCCAAATACTCATCTATGTCTTTGCCTGCATTCTCTAAGTTTTCTGGGGGAACAACCACTCGGTCCCCAGACATTCGACTAGTAGCGACTGGCATATCACTTGTGTAACACAAAAACTGCCGAAATCGCCACCAACACGTGTAAAACCTTGTTCAAAGTTTTACTAATTTCGTCTTTCTTTCTGCATGGTCATATGGCTCTTTTGCTCAATGATTTTGCCTCCAAAATTTTAGTGAACGCGCTTCTGGTTGAAATTGCGGGCGCAGTAGAAACACAAAGAGCTCCCACCCCCGGAAAATGGCATATCTGACTATTCTGATATCTAATCTACCATACATCAGCGAAACGCGGAAACAGGTACTGTTAGGTATTGGTAATGTCATGAACTTGAGTTACTTGACACTAATTTGACCAAAGAACTTCACTGCTTTTGACAGCCTCTCACCCTCAAAGTGGCAGATAACTCTGGGCAGATTTAGGCCATTTAGCTTGAGGACGCGTTATTCTTTCGAACTGCGGGGAGCATCGAGGTATTAATTTATTCATTGTTTTCACGATAAATCACGGTTTAAATATTTTTTCCGCATTACCTTTCCGGCTTTCCCTGTTCCGTTCGCTGTCTATAATCTCCTGAGAACAATGAAACAATAGTCTCCGGTCTGTTGAATAGTGAAGACTAAGCTATCAGCAAGTTTTCCAAATAATAAGTCCTTATGGTCATTACAGCAGTTACAAAACTCTAAACCTATTTAGCAACTCACTTCCAATTACCTTACGTCTATTACCTCTGGCCATTACGTTTATCACCAGAGGCCAGGTATACGATTCTAATTGGCTAATTCTGCCAGTTAATCAGTCTAGTGTAAAAGCATAGTCACCCTATCTCTTTTAAATATGATCGGCTCAAATGATCATGACGTAATGCTGCAAGGGATGAGAAAGAGTGAGTGCGACTAATAATTGTTGTCTTTCTGGGAAAGACGATTTAAAGACATCTCACTGCAAATTGAAAAGTTGCTTTGGTCATCATTTTTCCATCTGACAGATTTCTTTCCGACGTCTTGCCGAGTGGTTGCCAGCTAAGTAAACTGAAAGGCATGGCTAATCCTAGGATGCAGTCCGTATAGGTTAAAAAATACAGAAAAAGCACTTTAGTTTAGCAAGATGTCGCTTTCTATTGTTTTAAAAAATGATTTTACATAATTATATGCAATACTTGTATTAGTTTCAACCAGTGAACTCTCAACTATCGATCATCCGACCACACGACGACCATTTCCGGTGTTTACTCGAAACGATAACAACAAGTCTTCGGGAGAATAATGTTGTGAGTGCTATAGAAAAAATTTTCAGAGGATAGTGTGTGTATAACATATACGACTTTATCTTTTTTCGGGTTGCTCGTATACTTTACAGAAAACCCGTAATGGGTAACTGTTTGAAAAGTCCAACTTCAGATGATATTTCACTTCTACATGAAGAACACGGAGCATTAAATACGCGAGGAGAGCCGCCTCCGCCATATCAGGTATTCGTATTTAAAGCATTACTTGAATGATTTTCTATCATTCTTAACCATTTTTACACCTAAAGTTTTCTATGTTTTTCATCTCTAGCAATCATCATTCTTATCTCTCTGTTCTTCCGTTTATTTTATTAGGAAGACCCACCATATTCGTATTTTATTCAAAGCCAGAGGGCCCCGCATCTTCTCTCTGAAGAGCAGCAAATTCGCTTAGCCCAACGACTTGGCTTAATCCAACATTTACCTGTTGGGAAATACGATGAAACAAAAAAGAAAAGAGAGTGAGTTTATTAAAATGTGTATGGAAAAAACGATATCGCAAATCATGTCGTTTACATATTTCCTTTCATTATACGCAAGAAAGATATATTGAGTTTACGTATTTAATACGGCATTGTTCAGTGTTGTGCGAGAATACATATACAACGAATAAGACATGCCACTGGTTTAATTACTGAGTTGTTACTCTGTGCGAATAAATATTTACATATACAGATACTGTATAACCTTCACTGTACGAGATTGGGTTCCTTTTATCTGAATATTTTGAACTTTGCAAAGTACTGACACTCAAAAATTTATAATTTATGGCTTTTCTTGTGGTATATTGTGTTGGCGTGTAAGTAATTCTTACATCATTCGGAATTATAAAGGCCATTACCAGAGTTTCCTGTAGATAAGTGTGGAATAAAGAAAACTTGTCTATACAGCTTCAATTAATGAGATGTGTGAATAGTGTGCCTAGGAATATTTTGACCAATCAAATTCCCTTGTGATATCAACCACATCACCAGATGGCCCCATAAATATTTAATATGAAATTTCTTTTTATGTCTTTTTATTGTTGAAACATGGTCTTTTGTTTGGGTAACATGAAAACCAAGAACTTATCAAACAACCAATGCTCTTCTCGAATTTTGTTTAGCAATATAAAATTACATATGCAATGAACAATCAAAAGTGTACTCATTGGTTTGATAAAATCAATATTTTTCACCCCAGATGTTAAAGGTGCCTCAATCAAACTCTGATCATGTATTCAAAAGCTGTATTAAAAATCATTTAGGAAAAATATTGATTAACCATAAGAAAAACTCTGAATAAAATTTAAAAGATCTGACAAATATTTGGAAGGCATTAGAATTGCTGAAATCTCAAATTATGAGTTTATGTAGGTCTGAAAAACAAATGCATGAATTGGACTCGCAGAACAAGAGTAAACACTATTTTTAAAGAATGGACAGTTTTATACACTACAATTATTCCTCTAACAGATCTTTAACATAATGCACTATTCATTTAGTATTCTATAATTCTACCATTGGCCCTATTTTTACATGTTGTTTATCAAACAGAATTGATATACCAGATTCAAGAATTCTTCCTTACGATCTAGTTTGGTATTCCTAGGTGTGCTATATGTATGGTAGACTTTGATTATGGTGATGCTATACGGTTTTTGCCCTGTCTGCATATCTATCACAAGGAATGTATTGATGATTGGTTAATACGGTCATTTACTTGTCCATCATGTATGGAGCCAGTTGACGCTGCCTTGCTATCTTCCTACGAAACATCGGATTGATTGAAGGATTACCAAGGTACAATAAAATTGCTTTATCATCTAGCTTTATTATTTAAACATGTTCCCAAAACGTTCTTGAACTACCTGAAAAAATTGTGCTACTTGAATGTAATTGATGCTGACCCACATGGAGACTAGGTGCAATAACCGTGCTACCTATAACAATGAGGTACCAAAATGTATGTGTTTTATTTATAGACTGACGCCAATGACTGTTTTAACACCATCTGCACAAGAAATGTAAATGTTTTTGAGAAGTAATTGTAATTTATGGGCATTACACTTCCAGTTTAAGTACAGTTTAGCTGTGACGCAGGTATAGCTTAAGTTGCGTTGAGGCTATAGATAGGCCTTTTTTTCCATTATCTGAGTTGCAAAATGATTAGGTTTTATCCTTGGCATTCCTTGCATCATGCTATTTGTAAAAATTAGAACTTTCCTATTGATATTGTTTTCATAACATCAGTTTCACAGTTAAAAAGGCCTTCTTTTTATTGTGACAATTGATGTCAATGACAGAAAATAATTATGAAGAGAAAAAGGAAATTTGTGTTATAAAAGTTTGTACATTGTAACACAATTAAGATTTGATTACAAGAACTAACCAAACCAAGAAAAAAAAATTGATTATTATTTCAGTAATTGGTTTAGCAAATCACAGAAACCAGGCTAGACAGTGATCATACATGTTACCCTAGCTAGTGTATTTAAAACAGTTTAATCAAGTAATTTGGTATGATATGATAAAGTCGATTGATGTTATAATACATAGTTATCTATTTTTGAATGTAAAAATCTGTAAAAAGTATTGGATGGTAAATAGTTTTAAAACAAAAAAAAGGTGATTCAGTGGACAAAGTGGGAAAACATTTGTCATGACTAAAATATCATGAATATTATGACAATGATTACATCAGTACCATTGAACGGCAAACAAACAGTTAAACAAACATATTGTTGTATAGAGGTCACTCACTGGTCAGTACTCACTCGTTTAGTGATCTCACTATTTTTCCTGTATAGTTATTTGTAGTATTGGCTATATTGTTTTCTCATTCTATGTATTGAATCACTGGTCCAGTACACAACATTAAACACAACATTAATCACCAGACAAGTGACTATTTAGGACGATATTTTACTTCGGTTATAAATTGAAATGTACCAACCATTGTTAATTTGTGTACAAGTCAGTAGCCTGCACCAAAGTTTCACCATGTGCAATGTAAATAATGTATTTTGTTTTCGCGCAAATTAGAGGGTGTAAATAGACGAGGGAACTAATTTATAGAATAGACAAATTTAAAAAATATTCGATGATGTGGTGTATTTATATTTCGCAATATGTTTTATGACGTGTAGTAAGGGTAACATTTTCATCAGCTTTTACCATGTATTCATCTGAGCGTGAATTACATGAACAACGAAGTACCAAAACTGTTTCGTTTTACTATAAAAGGATCGGATCGTTGACCTTCCCTGCGTGGCAATAGTATACTCTTGTGAATTACAAGAGTATACTATTGCCACGCAGGGAAGTGTTGTGAAATGACGTAGGCGCCAGGCGGCCCAGCAAACAGAGTATTGATGTTGCTGCTAACGAGGTCGTTAGCTCAGCTGATAGCTCTCTTGAATTGTCCAGCGGGCTTTAAGAAAAGCTTCCATACAACTATTTGTACCATTTTTGCATACAACTATTGTATAAAGCAATGAGGGCCGCGGCACATTGCGTGACGATTTTGAGTCTGCCTGCCAGATTTTTGGCGGTCAGGACAACCACTGGAGATAATGGTCTCAACCCGCCGAAACTTTTTGGCTCGTGGCCGATCACCTTATTTGTTTACTATTAGTAACCATCTAAATTGCATGCCAAAAATTTATGTCGTACAAACAAGGCTTCCGTTCCTTTCCCTCGATGGTAAGTTATCAAATCCCATGCATCCGTAGACTGTAGCCGTAGGTCCGTGTTTCAACTTTCAAGTAATGCAATATAAAGTAATTCATTCCAGAGATTTAGTTTTTATAATCCTGTTTTATCCAGTTACTGATCAATATTTTACACAAATGGACTAATACCACGCTCAAACTAACACTACGTTACTGAACACCATCTCGCTGCTACCTTCATTGTCAATATATGGAAGTAACTCAAATCACTTCAAAATGTTCCCTTGCGAAGGATCGCAATTCAGGACAAAAGTATGAATCAATTCGTACATCAGTTATACATTCTCAAATTCAAAATACAAGCTGAATACATCTACCAATATTGGCAACAGCATAGCAAAGAAATAAACTCAAAAAATCTTGCTAGAAAATCATAAAATATGAAAGGCATCTTTAACAAACAAACATACGAATTCTTGCCATGTTTCAGTTGCCTTAAAATCAATCCTTGAAAAAAACTACTAGTAAATCGATCCTACTAGTTATACTCACAGCCAGCACTTACATAATAAATCATCATATCTCGAAGTCTAACAAGCACTCGGCAATATATTTTCTACTATTAAGGCAATATATTTTCTACTATTAACGAGGTCCATTGCTCAGGATTTATGACAGGATTCAAACTAAGTGTTTACCCCAAAGTTGGGAATTCATCATCGTTATCAAATTTAAGCTCGTTGTCACCATCGGTAGCATTTTCACCAAATCCTCCACGACCACCGCCACGTCTTTCGCCAAAACCTCCACCTCTTCCTCCTGATCTACCAAAACCTCTCCCACCTCTTCTTTCACCACGGTCACCAAATCCACCACCACGCTCGCCACGTTCGCTACGGTCACCAAATCCACCACCACGCTCACTTCGATCTCCACCACGCTCGTTACGATCACCAAATCCGCCGCCACGCTCACCACGATCACCAAATCCGCCGCCACGCTCACCACGATCGCCACGCTCACCACGATCGCCACGCTCACCACGATCACCAAATCCGCCACCGCGACGTTCTCCACCACTGCCACCACGACCACCTCTTGGACCACCGCGCCCTCGACGACCACCTCTTGATTCTTGGAATTTATCACCAGGTGCAAACTTAATATCAATATCCAGAGTCTGCTTAACACGACCTGATGTCTTGATCTTCTCTTCGTATTCCTAATGAAAACAGAAATTTCACTCATGAAGACGATGAAGTTGAAAGATGTCAGAAATTGATCTTGAAACACTACTGCCAAACGCACTAATCAGAGTAGCAAATTTGTAATTTCTGAAACCAAAAATCTTCGCCTGAAATGATTAGAATCTATGAAGGAGCTCCATTTTTACTGGTTCAGTCTGGAAACATTTTTGCATTTTCTGTGTATGGCATTTAAATTTTAGGTTTTCCATAGCAGATCAAAGTCAATAATTTATTTTACCCTTCGTTCTGTATACAGTGGATCAACGTTTTCTTTTCGCTTGAATACTTTAGTATTCTTCCATTGTGATTTGTTTTCTCCTTCGCCTGCCTTCCTTTCACTATGTTCCAGTTTATATTTCATTTGTTCTTTGCCCAGTTCTTGTTTTTCTTTCCATTCTTGATAAGACATTTCTTGTACTTCCTCTTCTTTTGTGTCATCCTCGGATGTCCTCTCCTCCCTAAAATATTGTGACCAGTCAACCTTACATGTCTTCTTTTTATAATTACCAATACGGTAATACCATTACATACTCGTTATCCTTGTTTTCCTTGGGTTCCTCAGCTGGCTCAACTGCAGCTGGTTCACCACCCCAGTCATTGACTTCTTCACTTGGAACATTTTCAGATTCACTACAAAAAGAGGAATTTATGACACAGAAATAGTAAGATATTATAGATCAAGTAGAATTGTTTGATTATTTGTCACCTCTGCAATCCTGGTCAAATCTACAACTTAACTATTGGGTTGAAAATCATGGATAAAATATATTGTATATAAATACTATTTACATAATAAAATATACTGTATACTAAATACTGTACCTCTCCTGAGGCTAGAATGTTGAGATGCATTTTTAATTTTTTAGGATCAACAGTCTCATGTTTTTGAAAAATACCATCATCACAAAACCAAAAAAAGGCAAATATTTTTTCCAATGATCAATATGCTCAAAATGTAATCATATAATTTTGAAGTGCCTGAGTACTTCTCCTTACATAAACCTGGATTTCACATGTTAATTCCTTATAATAATAGGTTTTTTAAAATTTCTAAAGTTCATTAATGTAAAAAATCCACAATCAATGTGACTGTGGTACAAAAATTGATTAAATGAATTTAATGAAACTTACTTCACATCTGTGGCTTTTCCCCAATTATACTGTCCACCCCCATCACGCTTTTCCTCTGGTTTGATACTTCTAAAACAGCAATAATGAACTCAGACTGATCGACTTGATGAAGAAAAATGTGCATATTGGTGTTTGTAAATATTTTCTCTGCATTGCACTTATTTACCTACACATTGTTCACAAAAGATGATGATGCTACTGCATAGCAAATTGCTTGCACAACTTTAATTAACTACTTATTTAGAATAATAATAATAATAATAAACTCTATTTTGACAGGTTAAACTTGATCAGCTATAGGCTGCTATAAATCAAGGACCCATGTTAGAATAGAACTGATAAAACTTTATTATATATATATACACTTATAGTTAAAACAAGTTCATATTATAGACCATTTGAGAAACCAATTTAATTAAAAAAGTTTTGCACTGTTCCTTGAATCTTAATAAAAATATCTCAGTTGAACAGCATTCATAGACAGTTATTGTTAATATTAACCATTTCTATTTGAAATCTTTGTCCATTTGCGCATTTTAGAACCACTTACCAAGTTCCAACTGATTAGCCCAATCAGGTGAACTTAATTCTTTCCTAAGAAGCTGATTGAATGCTCACAACAAACATTGATAATGTGGCAACAGAAAATGTAATTTTAGAAACAGTTTTATGCTTAAATAAATAGACAGCTGCATGTTTAAAGGAAGTGCATGAAAAAGGTTGAACAACATGTCTTTAGTTAACTACCAGCTTTTTATCTGTGCATTGGTTTCAACAATGATTGTAAATTGAGAGGGTGAAGACACTAGTACAGTATGCAATGCAATATATTTAATAAAATTTTTATTCTTAGAGTGGTGTTTAGGAATAACACTTACGTTCTATCACTCCCACTGTGTCTGTCAAATTCCCTTCTTCCCCGTCCTCGTCCAAAACCTCCTCTTCCCCCGCGCCCACGACCACCACGGCCTCTGCCACCTCCCCGTTCTTCATCTCGAGAACCACCAAATCCTCCTCTTTCACCTCTGTTTTCTCGATTGCCAAAACCACCAGATCTTCTTTCCCCTGAATCAGACTTCCTTTCTTCACGATTGTTGTTGTCCACATCATTTGATTCATTATCTCTTCTTTTACCAAAGCCACCTCCACGAGGTTTATCAAAGTTCTTCCTTTCACTTGGACTAACTGGCCCATTGGACATCCGTGCATTTTTCTCATTTTCACGCCTTGTGTCATCTCGTCTAGGCCCACGTCTTTCTTCATGCTTCTCTTTGCGGTCTGAATTCGAACAAAAAAAGGGAAAAAAACACGATTTGATCAACAATGTTGTCATATGCAATTTCTGGCCGATTGCAGAAAATTACTTGTACAAGTTAGGCGTACCAAAAATACACAGAGTACAACGGTTTTACTTAGTAATTAATTTAAGAAGAATAATACTTCAAGTCCTTAAATATATCACAAGCGATCATATCGTATAAAAACCAAACAACGCGAAATTATCAAAATAAACGGTTAAACGTAACGAGAGTTGTGGCCTAGTTTAAATTGTTATACTAAGCCTTCGTGCTTCACATGTGTGATGGCCACCTGCACATGACTTGCAAAAACAAACCGCTATTCTGCTGCATTTTTATAACACATTAACACACTTACTGTCCTTCTGATTTTCATCATTTATATTCTCTTTCTTTGAGAATGCATCTTTCGCGTTAGACTTAGTTGCTTTCTTTTCCAAGACCTGCTTCTTCTTGTTCTCTTTGCGATTGCTATCTTCGTCCTTCGACTTCTCTTTTGGATCATTTATTATTTCAGCAGGATCTTCTTCGTCATCGAGAAGACCAGCAAATTTATTGCTCACCAACACACTGTACTCACGATCCATTTGGTCACGATGTATAAATCTGAGACCAGATTCTGAAGGATTCTTCGATTTAATATCACCTACTCATCTCCGCCATTGACAAAACTGATATGGCGTAAGACCCAAACGAGCATGCATGAGCGCGCTATGAATCGTGGGAGAAGAACTATTTTAGTACATGCACAACTCTTTTTGACTTTGCCGCGACGCAATACGCCGGCCAAGGGTCGCAATACGTCGCCAAACGTCGTACTATCGTCGAAATAAATTTGGAATTAAAAGCTCTTTGTAAAAGGAGTTTAGCGACGCGGAGGGAATAAAAACGCCTGTGAAAGGTAGCCGTGGCATAGCTGCGAGTGGAATTGAGGGGCGCGACCTTTTTTACCAAATTTTTAAAGTTTTCAAACTGTAAGGAAGGCTAGTGATACCACCACGCCAGCCAATCCAAATGTTAGGTGCAGCTGATGTGTATTAGACCCCCCGGCCCACTTATTCTGCATAAATTAAATGAATTCTCTATTCCAAATTTTATTAACACGATTTTTATCCTCATTGCATAAAACGTACTATCGTAGAATTTTACTAATTTACTAGCTTCTACCAGAGATATTTTCTCTAAGAGAGCAGAAAAAGCGGGCAATCCTCTCTAAAAACATAGATCCCTGGGAATGAAGTCGTAAATACACCAGCTTGTCAGTTATCAATTTATGCAATTGAAGAGATATCAATTATCAATTGGAGAGATAATCTTGTTGTATCAGTATTTTAAAACCCACAGACTTTAAAATTGATTACAATATATTTTCTGCATAACCTGTCTATTCACTTATACACAGAAGATTGATTAATTAATATACAAAATACAGAAATTCAATGTACATAGATGTGTAGTATTCAAATGTAGAATATTTTGAAGTGAATGTAATTATATCCCATGATTATAATAACAAAAGACCACGTGGACTATGACTGCAGTATCGGCCGGGTTTAACCCTTAGTTCAGACAAGCCTAAAAGCAGCGATTTAATGTGACTTCTCGATTTTCAATAGTGAATTTGAAAAAGAAGTAACATTTCTAATTACTTTGTAATGTTATTACTGTCTTCTTCATTGATGCAAACGATGTGAAACTTTTGCATAACTCGAAATAATAGTTCGGTAAAAAAACCTGATTAACTTCATATTAGCAAGCTCTTAATTATTTGGTTTATTGCAACAGAAAGTATCAGTTTGCATCGTATTTTCCCACAGTATTCTGTACCAATCCGAAATTTGGATCGTGATAATAATCTTGACAATAGATTATACGAATTCTGGTGCTTGACTTGAATCACGGGGTGTGAGCCCACGCCCCGTCCACTTTGGCAGTAAAGATGTTTCCGTAGCAACGTTAGCATCATCACTATCATCTGCTGATGAATCTGAGGAAGGCGTCCGCGGTGACTCCAAACTGATATCCCTTTTTAAAGGACAAAACTTGTCATCCGCTGTTCGATATTTAGGAACTGGACTTTTGGGCGGTTGGAAGATCCCGGAATTTCCACCTGCGGCATATAGTCGGGTCAGAGGTTCATGAATTTTAGACGAGGTGTTATTAGACGAGTTTCCGTCGACGTTCTCCTTTCCATCAATACCTCCCAGTACCTTATTTTCACCGACATCATTAGATGTACCATTCGTATCATTCGCTGCTCCTTTCAAACCTGTCTTACCGGCTTGGGTGGTCACAGTATCCGGTAGTTTATTGCTCCGTACCCCAGATGCCCCAGCTTTAGAAGCATCATTTTGTTCTCTATTCTCCAGCTGCTTCACTTGGTCTTTCACTGATACTCTAGCACGCCTTCCCCGGACACCATACGCAAAAAGGCGTTCGCTGGTAAGCTGTTTATCACCTCTTTCTGGTCTATTCTCAAACATTCGCTTTGCTTCGTTCTCGTACGTCGCACTCCGTTTACGACTAGGCGTGTCCCTATACAAAGCCGCTATACTGGATTCGTTTCCAGATTTAGAAACAGCAGAGGAACTTGTCTCTGATGAATCATTTCCATTGCGATGACCTTTCTCCTCAGATTCCGTATTCACTGGAGTGATATCAGAATCAGTAGTTTTATTTGCAGACGAAGATACCGTAGACGTTGAAGGGACGGTTTCATTGTTAGCCCCCACATCGTTTTCTTGTTTTAAACTTTCTGTAGTAACGGACACGTCACTAACTATTTTTCCAGGAGGGGAATCTCGCGAAGAGTCGCTTTCTTCAGTCTTCTTGTTGTCCATTATATAGGCATTTATTAAAGCTGACCCACGCTTGGCTAACATATCAGGGTTAGCATTCCGTTTCCCAACACTGAATGCTTTGGATCGCCTGCGTGTGATACTTGTATCCTCTTCAACACTCGACTCGCCAGGTGACGGGGCGTCTTCCGTTACACCGTTAGCGGTATCCGCAGACTGAAATTTTCTATTAAATTCATCTTGTATTTCATCAGCAAGTGAGATGTCTTTTGGCAATGTGTTGATATTTTGTTTCTCGTTTTCATCTGCTAAATGCCGATACCCATAATTTATACGATGTCCAACATTGTGATTTGCACGATCTAAGACACAAAAAAGAGTTTGTGAAGATACTAGAGGGCAGGTAATGTTGTGATTAAAAAACGTGTGCGTAACTTTCCATATTAGTTCTCTGAAAATACATCAGATCAGATTAGCGTTAGGATTTGGATTAGGGTTCTGGTACTGATTTGGGTAAGTGATTAACGGTTAGGATTAGATTATCCTGTTTAACAATTTTATTTTGCTTTGCGTCATTATATCAATATGAATAGCACCTTTTGAAGCGTAATGTTACAATGAAAAGCACAGTCTGAAATCTTTACCGTTATCATCGTCAACCAAATGTTCACCATCTTGAATAAAATCGAAGGGCTTATTTTGTTCCTCCAAACTACCAGGAAGTAAAATCGAGGTTTCAACAAACAGATTTGGTACGTCACCCTACGGAAGATAAATAAACACCATTAAAAAAACACCAGCAGAACCATTGTCCTGAGTAACAACACGTTGTACATAAATACCTGTATATCAATACGATCGCTTGTTCTTATTGTGTCGGAATCAAACCTATAATATAAACCTCAATTCAAGCACATCACATTTTAATGAACCAAAAAACGTTATGAAGTTGCACTATAAAGCGCCTAAATACGATTATTTTATTTCAATAAAAATCAATATATTGAGCTTATTATTTTTATGCATGTATTATTATGTGACTCTGCATGCCTAAAATGAACGCCAGGTGGTGTAGAGAGAGGAATGGATTAAGATCTATCTTTATACGAGCATCGTGAAGAATGACCTTCGTTAAAACATGGACTGCTAAGCCTATGGCTACAAAAGCCTCTTCATTTGGGGTAACCGCGATGCGTGACATACTATATGTAATATTAGGTAAGAATCTATAACATACTTGTTATTGTCCTTTACTTCAGATGATTGTGATGCAAGTTTCTCCATAGGAGACAGGCCTTCGCCTACAAGGATATGAAATACCATAACAAATCTTCTTTTCGGTGACATGCATGAGTAGGCAACCATGATATGCGTCCAGAATAAGGAATAATTTGCAAGTGAAAGCATATTATACTCGTACCTCTTACTCTGGTACTTCTTTCACCGTAAAGATTCGGCATACCACTTTCATCTTCTTCAGTTTTCAGTGAAATAAATTTCTAAAGGCGAGGAATAATTCAATCATAATGCGATTTTATTATCATGCACTGTAGTATACGAACCATTTGATCATATTAATCTATAACTCGATCCACAGTGCCATTGTCAAGTTATTAACCTCGTAAAATATTACCTCGACAGGGGTATTTGGTAATGAAGAATCGTTTTCCTCAATTGAAACATCTCCATTTTCTTCCTCAGGTTCATCTGGAACGTCATCGAAGACCTAAATACGAAGTAAAAATGTTCAAACCTATGGTTATCTGACCGAGGATTCACTGTATGGGACTATTTCGTGGTAAGACTACAGTTTAAGCCCAGAATAAAGATAGTTATGCAAGTATATAACGTCGGAATAAAAACCGAACGTGCGCTCTTCGTCGTTCGTCACTAATTAAAGTAGAATTAATTTATGACGTCTGTTAATTGTGATTTGCTAATTAAGGTGGAGTACGTTTATTACGTCTGATAAATGGATCGGGAAATGCCGCGATTGGATTGGAATCGTCAAAAAGATAAGTAATTATAATTAAGTGAACGCAAAACATTCCAATAGAACCTCAACGCGAAAAGAACTCTTCAATAGATGCTGAAGCATGCATGCATCAGCACTACATGTCAACTACAATTTTAGAGACTTCTTTGACTGAGTTGACTCCGATCTTGCTCTATCAAAGTAAATTGTACAAATGACGATATATTAGAAATATCTCTTATCTTCAACGTACCTGAGGATTGACAATGAGCAATGCGACTATGCGGGTCTGATGAGACATGTCTACCAAGGACGAGAGTGATGTTGTGGAGTTCTCACTAAAACGACAAAGATATCATACTTTAAGAATATTATGATTACTCAATTGCATAGATCAAAATATATGCAATTTCAGAAAGTTTACTTCTCATGCGATAGATATGACGATATTATTGGTTTTCACCAAAGACAAAGTATTATTTCTTAATACTTACCATTCCAATTTTAAAATGGTGGGGCCAAATACAATGGCCAAATTTTGTGGATTCATTTGGTTGTATTCCTCATGAAGCGAGACTCTAAAAACGGACGAAGGGGTTGAATATATCTTGAAATTATTTAACTGCATGGTTGTTAAATCATCGATTTGTAGAAACAACATGCCCGTGCATTTGTTATAGAGATCTTAACAGAGCTTCCGTCGACCCAAGCCTTCATAAGTGCAGTTAACTTTTAAAAACGTGAACGTCATAAACAATGCTAATGGATTACCGTGTAATCTAAAAAGTTCAGAAATTTCTTACTTGTGTAAATGCTTGATGAGGGTTGCGGTTGTGAGATAGTTTGATCTTGGTAACTTCTTGAGAGTAATTTGAAGTTTCGCCAAAAGTGACCTAAATTCGTCTTTAGCATCTCCCTCGTATTCTTCAACAGTCAGCCAATTTAGATGCGTACTTTCCTAGGGAAAGAAACAAAAATATGCTGCTTCAATCTCGATGTTTTGCCTGTATTGTTAGGGAAGAACATTAGTTTATTGTTGTTGTAAAAGAGAGCTAGTTGATAAAATCATAAAAGGAAATGAAACACGCGCTGTGCAAATTTCCACAATTACTTCAATTCCATCTATTACGTGCGCTAATTGGATTTTGAAAGTTGGAGATTGCTAATTGCAATCGGCAACCTTTGTTACGTTTGCTATAATTGGAAATGAGTGCACGCAAAGCTCTAAATATCGTTTTTTAAGGCATGAAAATCATGCGTTTTTACCTTGGCTAATTGAATAAGATCAGCATAAAGTTTTGTTGTCATGAGTGGCTCAGGTAACTAAATTGAAAAGAGAAAAATGCTGTGTGACCCTGTACCTTGCTTTTCTGTCTTCTGTTATACAAATGGATAGCACACGGTTTAAGTCATGATTATGTATATTATGTAGTTGTTAAATATATCAAGCGTACATTTATCATACCTGTCTTATGTAGAGCTTGAGTACAGAGGCTATCAGATGCGGAGGCTGCGTTGATAAATCAACTGATTCAGCATTTGTTTCAAAATCCTAGAAGTATTTTCAAATTTTAGTAGCACAGAGGATGAATACACGTACAATACATGCGTACTATAGGTAGTATACTGAGAATTGCAAGGTTACTTTATATAATTAGCTTATAGTGGACGGGACAGTCGTGCACGGTATAGAAAACTCCCCAAGTAAAGTTAGTCACAATAAGATTACCGAATTGACAGACTATTTGCCAGTTTCAAAGTGAAAGACCGGGCAGGACCACGTTTGCCCCACATGACTCCTAACAGCCGTAATTTAAATTGTTTATTTACCGACCTGACATAAATTTTCCATTTTGGACTTCACGCCGGAAACTCGGTAAATTCCCTAGATTAGAGAGGGAAAACAAACTTCGATCAATATTGTTCGCGGTTGCTGTTTCCATTAATCCAATCAACTAAAATAACGTCAAAAGTGTATTACCTTGACTTTCAGACCTGTCAAAAATGAAATAAAGAATATATTAATCGTGGCTATTTTTTTAACATCATTGTACAATTAAGTTGAAAAATACAACATCATGCATGCATTTAGGCACAGGAATTCATATTCCTTCACAAAAGAAGGGCTTTTAGAGCGCCTTAAAACCAATCATTCAAAAAGCGAGATACTGTGACATATATTTATTTACACACGACATCCAACAACATACCTCTTCTGTTTATCTCTTTCACACACTTTGTCACCAACACAGGAACACCACCTTCCTCTGAAAACCGTACGCCAAATGTTTTCATACGCTTCATGGGGCTGGGAAGCATTCTCTGAACATAGAAGAGATAACAATATGTTTCACTAGAATGCTAACACGTTCACTAAAAATGTTTTTGTACACGGCGAAAAATTCCAGAATATATACAATGTAACTAGTGTAATCAAAATTCTAGCATAATCCTGTACAAATCGATCGTCTGCGCAGTGCTTTCTAACAGTCTTCTGAACACTCTCTTCTGTGACACTCGCATGTAGAGAGAAATTTCGGAAACTTGTGATCGCGCAAAGGAATTGATAGCAAAAAGGTGATTAAATCCACCACTATTTTCCCCCAATTCCACCCTTTTTTGTCAAACATTCAAGTAAAATAGAGAATGCAGGATCCATGTGTTAAGTTCATGCAAGCTACGCTAAATACTTACGCTATGGCTACAAGCTGTCTGTAAATTTTCTAGACATTTTTTGTTATGCCAACTTAGACCACATTGAGCACATTCCACTCCACTAAATACATATTTATCACATTCTGAACATCTCGCAGGCGCTCTTATTTTATGAAATGTATGAGTCGATGCTTCTTTCGTCAACTTCCCCTTCGGAAATTTCGGGGTTTTTCCTCGCCGCTCTGGCTTCGAGGATTTACTGCCTTCTGTAAAACAAAAAAAAAATTAACAATGTAAAGCACCCTTCTGACCACGGCAAGAATAAATAGTCACAGCGATGCTAGACTAATCTAAATATTATTTGCGATCGTTTCCAAATGTAGAAAAGCGGGTGGTGTTTATTTCTATATTTTTATCTCAGGTCTGTTGGCGCTTGCATACCAACAACCTATATGGCAATTACCATGATTACTGTTACCGGCATGTTTGAATAACGGGATGCTGGTTGGTTAAATTGAGAGGAGTATAGTTATAAATAAGTGTACTGCAGTTACCCAAGCTAGTACACGCCACACATTATTCATCAGCGAAAACATTTATTTGCAAATGAAGATCGCTCCTGTCAAATTGGACTCTTTACAAAAGGCAGTTCTCTATTATCAAACACTGCTGAAAAGAGATAAATTAAAAAAGCTCACTTGAATGACTTGTTCGAGGTCTCTTCATCTCCCCTTCAGACTCATCGTCGGTGGAAGGTGCAGGATGGGGTCTTGTTCTTGTCGGCTTCTTTGTATTCTTAGGACTGGATGAAGGTGAAGCAGAGGGAGATGGACCTCCTTCATAGTCAGACATTTGACCCGCTGGCCATGCCTTCGCTGGAGACCTGAGAAAGACAACATTATTCTCTACATAGTTATAGATTAACAGGTTGTAAGCGTTGAGTATCTTCGAGTTCCCGGATATCTTTAGTTAATGCTCTACAGGCTGATTAGTGATTTAAGCTACGTTGACAATGACTGCTGAAAGAGCTGCAGTGATCTCTATCTAAGACCGAAGGATAACTGACGATTATTTGGCCGCCATCTTTGAAGCAAATTTGAAGCTGAATCGAGGACCTGCACCGGCTAGTCTCTCGCTATTACTGTGTTTTTGGTCTGCGACGTGAAATTGGCTTCAACAAGCATGTGTCAGTTATAGAAACGCTAAATCCCAAATTATTAGCTTCAGTAAATTACTTTACGTTCATGCAGTTGCTTGAGCTTACAGAAGACCTGTAGCTAAAGATAACGTACCTTGGGTTGTTAGGACAGGGTAGCAATTCGTATATAGGACGAACGCTTGAGCGAGCGGTGGATTGTTGAAAACGAACAAAGTCTTCAAACTCTTTTCCCGGCTCATATCCCTGACAGCTGTTAGCCAAGGTTTTGAAATGAATTGGAGTGGGTACAGCCAGTTCATGCATCATATCAAAATACTTGCGAGTTACCTGGGCAAATGAAAAAAAAACTATTTCAACCACATTTAAAAACGAACGGCGCGCCATTTTTATAGTCTGACCTAGTTCCTTTAGGAGTTGAACGATGGGCTAACAAAAGCTCTGATTTGGATGATATATCCAACAACACAGAATCGTAGTTCAAGTGAATTGTTGTAATTTTGATAGCAAGCAATTAAGTTCATTTGGTTATTTTGTAGAAGCCTAATTGTTCGTTGCATTTCTGATAACGTTAATATTTTGGCCACAGTAACTACCATGCACCAGCATTTTCAAATCAACATATTCCTCTAATTTTTCTTACCGATCTGAAAGTTCGATCACATTCGTTGACTAGCTGTTTCGTTTGAGCAACAATACGGACTTTCGTTTTCTCCGCTTCATTCAGCATGTCGTTGGCAATCTTGATTGCGTTATTGTAAAGCTGTTCAGCTTCTTCCACTTTCACTCGTAATTCTTCCTCTTTTCTACCCTTGTTTGAACTAAAATACGAGAAACTGTCCTCTTTGTTTTCTTTAACGTCTGCTTGCCTTGTATTCAGCTAAAAGAAACCAATGTATCTGAATTGGAGAAAATATTTTCATTATACGAATTAAGTTCAGGGATTGATTCAGACTGATCTCATCGGGAAAGTAGAAAAAAGGTCGACTTTTCCCTCCCATATCTTAGTCCTTACCCTTCCTTACCTTCTCAAGTTCTTGCTGTCTTTTATTGTAATTGTGCTGTGTGGTTTTCACCGAATTTGCCGATTCGTGCTAAAGAGGTTGGAAGGAAAGTTTTGGTTCAAAAAAGGGTAAAATTAGTGTACTTAAAGGCAGCTTTTGTGCGGTAATGAAGTGCCATTAAGTATAAGTATATACAAAATCTCGTATAGCTACGTTTTAACTATATATGCTCTGGAATAGAAAAGACTGATACTCCAACGTGAGTTATAATTTAAGTGCATTTACAATTAGACATGTTCGTGCCCTTCGCAAAAAGCTGTTTGTATAGTATTAACTTCAGCATCGACAAGGGGAACAACATTTTTTTTGAAACCAAACTATATCTGGTTTCATAAGGTGATCCAGAAAGTTGAACCAAAATTATGTCTTTATTTGCGTCATCTTTGTTTGCTGTGTATTCAGTCAATGGTTTAACAATCATTAGAGTTTGTGAACTTAGTTTGTAAACAACCCCGTACCACTTGTCGGCATGTCTTGGTCCAGTCATCTTTCATGTCTTTACGTGCGCGGTCGTGAACTATGCGACGCTGCATCAAAGGCTGTAGAAGTAATGGGAAAATTCAAATTAACATATCGAGTGAAAAAACCCGCATGTTTTAACTTTTGAAAGTTGCATGGAAATAGGAATGATTGCTTTACGTCATATAAAATGCGAAAACAGGATGATTTTATAAAATGACCTGGATGAATTTTGATCCACTAATCGCAGCGAGAGTCTGTTGACATTTCTGGGAATATTCCATATCCTACGAGCAAAAAATCAAAGAATCAGAGACGTTTTGAGATAGCGGTCATTATCTACGACATTTTATCAATTGGCCATTCGAAGTTGCAGTAGAGGACTGGTGATAGTGAGGCTGGCAACGCATTTAGGGACTCTTTTTGGGACGTAAACAAAAAGTTTCAAAAACCGCCCCATGATGCATTGTCAATATCACTATTACTATAGCTCTTTACTGCAACTTCGGAATGGCTAATTGAGTGGTGTTCTTTAATTTAAAGCATGATCAAGTAAATCTGCAAAGTTTATAGTTATCTGAGTCTCTTCACTCTCTTAATGGCTATTGCATGTTTCATATTTACCTGGTCTAATGCAGTGATGAACGTTGACTGAAATGGAAGGTAATTCTAGGAAAAGTAAACAAATGTTATATTATAATAATGTTTATCAAAAACGTTTAGCAACTTAGAAGCATGATACACGTATAACGTTAAAAATCATTTTTCACCTCTTCACTTATCGAAGCTCTAGTCGCTTGAGCTAACTTCGTCAGCTGTTTTGTGTATTCTGCCTCTGAAAAAAGGGGACGAAGCATATTAAATACTACCTTGTATATTAAATGGAACATGAGTTCTGTAAACCACTCACCGAGTTGCGCTCTTTTTTCTACATAGTTTGCTATGTCTTTCACGTATTTTGACCAATATTTTGTCCACTATTATAATAAAATAACATTGCCATTAGTGTTAAATCTAACTAAAATTCCTATTTTCCAGGCACGACAATAACTGGATGCACCATATGAAGAAGTGTTTGTCTTCAAAACAGCTAGTGTACTCTATAATAACTGCATGATAACTGACTGTTATGAGCCGAAAAATGAGGTACAGGGCTAGTTATGTTTTATTGTTTTCGTTCGTCAATCGCGAAGACGGGGGTCGAGTTACCGTTCCAGTTCATATAAAGTTCACTGATCACATCACATCACACTGGCTACTCGATAAACAATAATCAAATGAATCCAATGAGGAATCAAGGTTACCTGCAAGCAGAATTCTACCCCAGAATCCATCTTCAATAACACTCTCTCCAGATCAGCATCCTTGTCATCAAGGATGTCGTTACCTATTTTTTTTAAAAAAAAATCAATTAACCATTAAATAACAATAGATTCGAAGTAAGTGCTTGACGAGAGACTGGGGTATATATACGAGATTTCTCCCTTCAGCCTAAGGGTAAGTCTCGTATACCATCCCAGACCTTTAGGACAATATTCTACCATTCCGCCTGCAACTGAACAAATATATTCAGATGTATTCTGGAGTAGTATTTTACGATCGCGCTTTCGGTTTTTTCAATTTTGCTGGTATCTTTGTAGGTTTCTACTCTGGAAAGCCGTATCTTGTATAACGTGCACAGACCTTCTAGACGATTGAATGTGCGACGAATGTTCTGAAATTCTGATAGAGAAAAGTGTTTTGGTTTAATTTCACGTCCATTGCATGAAAACTTCACTAACATGACGTCTATACCGTAACGTCCCGGAAAGTACCCCATGATTCATTTCAGTCTCTTCATAGTATTGTCTTACTTCATTGTGTTTTCGAGAACCACCGCAGACAAATATGTCTCAGTGAACTTTGATCAATTAACAACGATTATTTCCGACGAAACGCGAGCGAAACGCCAAAAATGTCGAGACAAAGATGTCCATGCATAACATGAGCAAGGCAAAGGTTTCAAATGTTATCAAGGAGCCATTCAATGTTTATTACAGCTGACGTTTTTTATAGTTATTACGTCACACACAGTACTTGAGCACAGAAAACTTCCAGTTGGCGAGACCGCAACAAGATGGAACAATCTGCTATGTGAAAAGCTGTCAACGCATTTCGTAATAATTTAGAACTAGTTCTGTGAAATACATGCAGATCTAGAGCATCCCAGTTAAATCAATGGCGGCACTAACAATTGTAATTGTACTTCATAAAAAAGGCGATGTTCTAAGACGTGGGATATTTGACTGCCATGCATGCATAAAGCTATCAATAATTAAATCCATCGCAAATGAGAGGATAAATTTTGTCTCTTCAATATTCATCCTCTTGAATAATGCATTAGAAATTTCACGAAAATAACACTCGGGCGGCTCTTGAAAGCTCAACGAGCGCTTCTAGTTTATTATTTTTTTGCTGTTTATTTTAGGACCGTTCTCCCAAAATAAAAATAAGAAATGTAATATTCTAATAGGCTAAATTAGGGGAGGTTTCCTGCATGGGAAGTTTTGCAGAGTACTCAGACGTGCCCAAAAGCCCGACTTCAATAGATCTTTTTGGAGATATGCAATACAGATATTCCAATTTCTTTGTCATTCTAATCAGAATGCTTCCACTAACGTCTGAATCATATGTATATATGATTTAAACATAGCGTATCTCGAAAGAGTAAATCAAAACAGAGTTACTAGTAAAGAGGTGTATGAGGCTGATGTATTACAAACGCTGCCGTATAAGAGAAAATAGCAAGTCTCTCTTACGATAACTACGTTCTCTATGCACAGACATCAAACACTTAGTAATACCCTATATTAACAGTAATATCAAGGCATCTTACATGGTTCCTGTCTTGACGGCATGTTCATACTATTGGATAGCATGTCTCCTTCACTTCCGTATTCTTCGTCATCAGGGTAATCGACATCATCGTCACCATCATCTCCAGCCTGTTCAAAAGGGGGGGGGGGGGAGAGTTGCCGTTAGATAATAATAAATATATGCATAACATATGGCACTGCAACTGATCTTAGCATAATTCATGCCATGCAGTACAGCACTTTTGGAACGATAGCTCTTTTTCAAATATATATATATATATATATATATATATATATATATATATATATATATATATATATATATATATATTACAATTAGGAAATGGTATCAGGGAATTATGACCATACATCCTAGTTTGTTAATACACTCACAAAAGCAGGGAATTTATCGCGCGCATGTTGGATTTTTGAAAATCTCGTCCAACGCAAGAGATACAGACTCTATTTGAAAATATAATAGATTGCCGAGTCTTTTTAGGAAAAGAGTTTAAACTGATAAAGATAAGATAAAGATAGATAAGCGATTTAAGCAAAATAATGCTGATTGGCAGACCGTTAATAAAGCCTGGTTTCGTTTGTTTGCTATACTGCCACGAGCACATCAAGATGTTCGAAATTATACAGTGTTGATATACATTGAGTAGAAAAGACTGTTTTGCATGCAAACACACACGTCAAAATGTCCATTTCACATGCATCGTCGGAAATGATCTTTTCAGGACACTTACATTAACAGGACTTCAAAATTTGACATTGGATTGAAAATTGCAAATTGAGGAACGCCAAATTGATAATTTTTGCAATACCTGACTAATTTTCATCCAGTGACATGCAACAATTAATGCCTGCCTTTCCTAAGTACAATCTCTACAGCAGTTATAACTTAATTAACTATACAAGGTTCCGCTTAAACACATGCAGTATTATGACGAATTTGAAACTTCTCCGGAACTGGTCTTTGATATACTGGCTAACTAAACGCTTGTTTTTTGGTCGTCGTACGTTGAAGCATGTTGTTGCAGGCAATCCGACATGTAAACCAAATTACAGCGAATTATGGGCTATTGTATAATTACAACAAGACGACGGTATCGGGATATACAAAAACCACACAGCACTAATTATAAACCTGCTTTATCCAGGCCGCGAAATCGACCTGTTAGGGGATTTTTTTTCGTGATTCTCGTCTAAACCGAAGAGGAGAAATCGTTTGACGCTGTGAAAATGTAGGGTAGTTGAGTTGTAACTTGTTAAGACGCTTATAGAGTTAGAAGTGCCCATACGTCACGCTGATGCATGATGATGATGATAAAGATGATAGTCAAAACAGTCGTTATAATGATATTAACGTTTCATAAACTCAAAGCAGAGCAACTCTACTTGCGCTAATAGATCTATAACGCGTCTTCTCTCCTTTTCCACATTACGTTACAGTCTAAAAACAAATCCTGGTAAAAAAATCGAAGCTACGGGGTGAAAATACGGGGTAAACATACCGAACACTCAAGATCTGAAAAATCTTCCACACTAAGTGCCACGTCACATTCGGACACAATTTTCTGTTTCGATTGTCCTGATGAAACTGATGGCACTGTTATGCTTGTAACTTTCATATCTAAGCGCTCCTCCACAGGTAAAACAATTTTCACTTTCTGTCCCAAATACTGCATAACTCCTAACTTGTTTGTTTCTAGAGGCACTGGAGTATACATAATTATGCTAACGATTTTCCTATGTAAACATATTTGACGTATGATACGTGCAAGCCATGTTTAACATCTGCTGATAGAATATATGAAATGAGAATATTCCACTAGAGTAGACTGGTAATAATATACACGAAGCCGAAGGATGTGCTGCTGATCTCTCAGAATCCAATGAACGCTTGGTTATGAAGTACTTGTAGCAACAAAGAGGTCACGATTCATACTTTCGGAAATTGAACAGAAAATATGCATTACAATACAAAGACAAGGTATAATTGCTTCAAGTCGTAACGTCCTGTTACATCCACCGTTTTCGCATAAAATATTAAAAAAATTTCATTATTTCAATACGGGTAACATACACAATGCGCATCCTCGCGAAAAATCTGGGAACGAGGATGAAACAATGCGCTACATTCCTGGTCTGCATAATGTAATTCTCAATTTAATTTTTACTCAATTTACACTCTATTTTAAAAATACAGCCATTTAAGTTAGTTGCACTCGTGCAATTATATTTCTCATTCGCTAAAAAATAGCATGCAAGATAAATACAAAAAGTCACAGAACTAAACGAAGATCGACCAATGAAGCAGTTCTCAGCGCCCAAGACCCTGCATGGGTACGAGATTGAGCCGTTGCTTATCTGTCTTTTTATCCATGTATAATCTATCGCATATGGCGCGGAGGTAAGATATATCGAATCAAGACTTGATTGACGACGGTAAGATTGTTTAAAGTCAGCGTCTTTTGGCCTCGTTATATGCTCGATTTTTAAGATGATTATATAACTCCTATTCTACTTTCAATAGCATATGTTTAATTCATCACTGTATTTGGTTGCCATGCATGCATGCAGTTATAGAAAAGTATAGTCAGGAAAATACTTCCTGAAGTCACGTTTTGCTCATATAGCTTCATATGTTGGACCAGCTAGGCTAATCACGTAAAAGAAAAATTATCCCGTACGGTTTTTCACGGACATATAGGGAATTTCACAAAGGACCGCCAACTACGATTAATGTAATTACCCCCTCTCCCCCTGCGCCCTGGATAATGTGTTAAATTGACGACACAAGCTGTTGATCAACGAGAAGATAGCTAACACAAGACATTACAACAATCAGCATCACATAGAAGAAAAACTTATCTAGATGTCAAATGTGGGGCTTCTTATCGTCACTGGAACTATACGTAAAATAACAAACGCTCGCGTGATTACCAATAAATGTTGTATCTATAATTCCCTTTATCCAAACACCCGTGATATTGACCCTCAAAAGGCCACGTTCGAGACGGAACGTTAATTCATTTTCGAGAGTCATCCATAGGTTTACTAATGTCAAGTGTCATTATGATCAACTTTATTTTGCGATGCTCATTTATTTTCATTATGCTGCGCGGGCATTAAAATTAAAATTACGAAAACGTAAATATTACGAAAACATATAAGGGTCTTTATATATCTTGACATCCTTCAGACAAGAAGAAAACATGAAGTAATCGTCCTTATTGGAAGATTTTACTGCCATGCATTATTTACCATGCATCACCATTTCAAGATCAAAACTGAGACGAAATACCGTATCTCCATTTATACATTATAATAAATTAAAGAACTGAAGTTATCTGGTCCCACTCGTATCATGCAGCTACGTGGAAACGAGGCCCAAGTTGTACAGAAACACTTAAAAAATGGCGCGAGATGTGAAAGTCAATATACACGCTATACGCATTGCCTGCTTATTGTATATGCACTTTATCATTCTTAAATGGTGTCCAAAACTGATCCCTTTTGGCGTTGTTGGATGACCTTACACGAGTAATACGCTTAACGTATTAATAGAACTTGCCAGATGCTAAAAATACGTTCCCATTTATGCTCCTTATTAGGTTAAGTTGAAATTTGAAAATGATTTAGACTCTATAAGAAGAAACACTACTTGTACGTAGTATATATAAGATAAAATATATAGTATAAATAAGAACGTATAAATTCCTAGTTTTCATTAGTAACTTCCTCAGTTCATTTGGTAAGGCCCAAGAAGCGATCTAGCGTGCAGCTTTCAGCGCGAGTTTTCAGAGTAACATAAAAAATTCTATGAAATGATACTTTAACAGTTTTTTAGGACCCATGATATCTTGAAATGTTACAGAGCTTCAAGACATTCAGAAAACGTTAATCGGGATCAGAGTTACTTTGTCAGCGAAAATCGAATTGCATCGCGCGATTCCAAATGTTGGTTTTGATTATTAAAATACTCTAAAACTAAAGGATAAATTTATCAAAGAACGACAACAAATTTTAGAAACCGGATATTCTAATCTTTTTTTGATTCGATCCTACGCAGCGAAGAGGCAGGAAGGTATTTTTCTTTTCCCTCCCATCCTTTTTTCCCTTTCCTCTTTTTCTCTTCCTCCTTTCTTTCCTTTATGCTAACCAATGTTCCTCTTAGTTTCCTACATTCAGTATATATATTTTTACCATCTCTAATATACATAGAAAGTCTTTTCGAAACAAACGTTTTTCGAAATTCGGAATACATGCAGTCAATTCTCACCTGCACTGATGGTATGCAAACGACCAATAAAGTAATCTCTATAGATTTAATTACAACTTTGTCATGATGGTAAAATTAGAATTCCGAACAAAATCTCTAGCCATTTTTTTCAAACCAACAGCGATGACGCGGTGCTCGAGGAGAGCATTCAAAGTAACTCGTAAAACTAAATTCATCACTTGTTCCTAGGTGTCTATAAGTGTCTATGAGCCTATGTGTCCACAGCTTTTCAAACAAGTGGCTACGAACTTCTCCTTATAGAAATTTGTTTTTCGGATGCTATTCGATGCCAACTGGCAACAACCGCGCAAGCTAGCGATATACAATTTTGGTACTTTGTCAAAATATTGTACAAATTTGTAACATATTAGTGACAGTGGACTATAAATAATAAGTATATAATTAAATAATGAATGAATCATACGTTAGTATACGCGTTAGTTTTACTGATTGTATAAAACGTGACGTTTGCGCCACTTATATTATAATCTATTGAAATGAATGAGGCAAAGGAATGCGTAGTGTAGTGACACGATACAGAGCTTAGGAGATAAAATATATAAAATAATACACAACCGGATCACACATATATAATCTAGCCCTAGAATTCAAAATATTTTTAGGAATTCCGAGAGCAATGACAGAGGTATGACTGGTAGTAGTAGTAGTTATGTGCAATCATTGCAATAACGATGGAAAGAGAAAAAAAATAACATTTTACAAGTTTTCTTAACCAATTCAATTCTACTTTAACAGAACACGTATATCTTTATATGGTATTAACCAGTTTTAGCTGTTTACGAAAATCCTAAATAGTTGAAAGCAACGGGTAATTTATGCCCACGCAGTAATTAAGGGTTGTCTTTCGTAAACAAAATATTCACTGCCATCAAACTTTGGCGACCAGCCTACTACATATCTTAAACCATGCACTGACTCAAGCAATGCCTACCTAAACAACTATCTCGTATCGCAACGTATAAGGTTATCACAGTATCACACGTGTTCAATTATCATCCTAAAGCCTGAGTAGTTGATAAAGGTATTTCTCAAAATCATTAAGCCCGATGGCGATGGGATGATGAAAGGAGTACAATAACTAAATTAAAACGCCGCACTTTTATATTACACTTCACAAACACACGGTAATATACTGAATACACGTGCAAGCGCTAAACCAATACTGTAAACAAGACTTCGAAGACAAATACTTTGTTACAGACTATTCGTCGCCTGTAAAATATCGAATTATATAGCGACTTACTGATACGTTCGCAACCATAAAGAAACGCAAGTACACTGAGATAACACAGGATCCTGATGAAGTCATTAAGATAGAACATATACCATACACGACCTACTTTGTTAGATCTATACTATACATAGCCATATGCGATGTCGTTCAAAACCACAAACCTTTCTAAGTGCATATAATCCTGATGAGGGTTTACATGACAGGCCTAAACACACTCCAGAAAACACCTCCTGACCCTAATTTAGGAACGCTACGAGTTCATAGGTCATTGGATGTGTCTGAAGGTTTCGCATTCCTTTTCCCGAAGAAAATGGAGTTCAGTGAAAGATATCACCGTAAATAGTAGATTCGCGGATTCCGTCAATCACTACCAAAGAATAACAACCATAACATCAAGCTAATGAGCAAAGTTTACTAGAAATGGCCACTGAATAGTACACCGTTCCTAACGTACGCGCATGTTGTTTTTCCAGACAGCTGAAAACTTATACTCGTATTCGCAGTACGGCGCCAACCAAACCTTCCAGTGTTTTGGGAGACATTTTCGAAAATGTTACAATATTTTTACCATCTAGACGGAATTAAAATGCAATACCGTGTTGAATTGCCTATGCGATAGAAAAATTGTCAAAAAAGTATTGGCGTGTATTCAATAATAAGAAATCTTAAAAATTTAAAGAATATTTAAATATAGGAAGGAATGCAGATTTGTGTCTAATATTACATATACGATCATTAGGCTGTCAACGCAACCCCCAGATTTCAGCGAGTCTTGTTACGTAAATATAAGATAAATTCCTCGGCTAAATTAAGGTGGCTCCCAACACTATTTGGAGATGATCATGAATTGCTCGCCGAGGGAATTAAGCGTTAAAAAAAAACTGTTATAAAAAAATAATAGGAGCGTTGTAAACGAAATGGCCATGCGAATTTTCCGAAAAAAAGTTTGATTTTAGAAAATCTCATTAAAACATGATGATTGTTTTTTTAAATGCTAAGATAAGGTTATATGACCATGTTAGGATCACGAACACATTTCTCTTTTCATAAAAAAACCTCAATCGTATTCTTATGAACATAACCCCCTATTGTGCGCACTTATGACCGCTAGTATATAATGATAAAGAAGTATTGAAAGATTTCTAGGTCCGAGTTTGTAATTTTAACCATTTCTTGCATGCATTTTGAAAGTTTGGGTAGCGGGAGATCTGGGTAGCGGGAGCGCTGGTACACTTTCTAAAATGCACATTGTTGAGATCGAATCTTGAAAAAAATGGGGGACTGGTAAAGGAGGTATTGATCGTGTAAGATTGATATTGATTGCGTTACATATTGTTATATAGGTGCTGTGTATTTTAAATGTGATTGGTGCATTTATAGTCACATGACTTTAAATAAATGCAATGTTTCCCGCCAGGGAAACAACTCGGGAAATAGTGAGTTTTGTTTTCCCTCGAGTCTCAATGTTGGGAAAACAAAACTCACTATTTCCCTCGGGAGCATACATTAAGTGTATATTGTACACTGAACAGAGCAATACTACAAACACTCCGATCCGTCCTATTATATGAATGGCGCGCCACTTCTGAATTTAGACAATCTTAATGGGACAGCTTAAAACTCAAAAGAAATTAGGGAATATTTTGTTTAACACGAAACACGTTTTGTGTTTTTCTTGAATACTTGGAATAATTGTCATCTGCTTTTTGCTTTACCTATGGTATGCGTTTTCCGTCAAGGCAAACGCGTCGAGTTTGTGTAACAATTTTCATGCTCCACGCGAAGCGTTTCTTTCATTGAAGGGTTAAGTAATGATATGATAAGTAACTTGAAACCGCTGTATTTAAAGCAGAAATCTCTTTACCGCCCGAACGCGCGAGCTTCAAGATGAAGGTTCAATAATTGAATATCGTGACTCATCTACGACAAAAAGTTGTGACCACGCCCAAATAAGGTAATGACGCCCGCAAAAGTATGGGGTCATGCCCACAAAACTAATTTAAAAGCCGACTGTTGACGTTTGACTCAAAGCCAGGCAAAACCAATGTCAATGGGCTTCATATTCATCTCACATGAAGACTTACACTAGTCATGATGCAACACTACATTAAACCGCATTGAACTAAAATTGATGGAAGGCCACCTGCAACCAGGGTTTGAACACCGAATTATCTTTAACTTTCGGGTAAGCATAGGTGTGTTACGGTGTTTACCGTTTATTATAAGTTTATAACGTAGCCTTCCACTTACTTTAGATAAATGAGTGGGTCAACGAAGCAGAAGGTCATATAACTCATATGTTACGTTATATAATATGTTTATCCATTCTTACCTTATTTGGAATAAGTTCCTGATCTCCCATCAATAAATCCGAAATACTAAAAAATGTTGATGATAAATATTGGATTAGGAGAAAATTGACTTAATAGGACTCAAAACGTAACTTCAGTATCCCCCCAGTTCACCTATACAGTTAGGAGTTAAAGCACTCCAAAGGAGTAATCTCATGACCACCTCGCGAAAAAAAAATCGTTTTAAGTCAATCTAGATTATTAAACGGTAGTTACTGAGAAAATAAGAAAGCAAACCAACTAAGAAAACACGATCAAACTAAAAGTTTTTACTTTAGAAACTTTAACTTACAACTACATACACTTTCGTGAGTATTTCCTATGAGCTGAATTAATTCATTTACGAAATATTATATAAAGATGATTTTGTAAATTGCTGACTTAACCACTATTTAAAAAGGCTTCGTATAACCGCCCAGCAGATTAAATGGAACACGCCCGAGGTAATCACTAACCAGCTTAGTAATTTTACGGTTTACATTCTAAAACCAGGCAAACCCACCTGCTTCCAAATACCAGTGCCAGTTGATCAATGGCGCGGTAGAAATCATCGGGATTTTTACGATCAATACAAGGGAAATTTTTAACTCTACTTATGAGATCACCAGCTGCTGCAAGAATCTCGTTGGAGCTTAATGATGGATAAAGATGTATTACTTCTTTTAAATTAGACAACACAACTGCCAAACATTCGTGGGCTTTCACGTGCATTTCTTCAACTGCACTACCACTGTCTGTATTCTCTGAAAACAATATTTGTACAAAAAATAATCGTATGTTGGTTAAAATGACTATATAAGGATATAATTAGGATATGAATTACTAAATACAACAATAAAATTGTGCCACACTCATTGGAAAATACAAATTAATCACACTGTTAGCTCATATGCATAATAGCTGCTTTCATAGTTCAATCAGTCAGACTCAACGAGTTGCACCTTTTTGCACTGTGTTACTGACAGCAGTAAGGAATATAAAGAAAGAACTTTACGGGCTCACACAAGAATGAACCTAATACATAAACAGAAGAAGAAATTAATGATCTCCATGAAAGATTTATATGCATGTCTTATTTGATTTATAACAAAAATTCCTAATTCCTAATTGGCCTTTTAACATGCTACATATGTATGCCATGCACTTTGGAAAGGCAAATCTTCTTTCTTTTCAATAATTTGCTGGTTTTGTGCTGATTTCTAAAAGCATTTCCCCTGTAGGGTCTATAAGCATTATAATGGCCTCCATAGTACAGAAATTGGCCCTTTGTCCCTGCTATTCTTGCGTCTGAATTACATCTCATTGCTTTAAAATACGATTTAGTCGGTTTCCCATACATTAAGGGATGCACTGATCATGGCCGTTTGCTCTTACAGCCACCCCTCAAATTACAAATCCCTTAAGAGGGTAAGTTTAACATTAAAAGATAAATCAAGGTAACTCTGCATTACATTGCCTAATGGCATAACCATGCAACAGCTCTGAATGAAGCTTCCAAAAACATGAAGATTCAAAAGTCCAAAATTATTCCATCTAAATTTAAACATCACTTCAACTTGTAAACACATAAAATGCCAATTTAAATGCCACAAAAATATTTATAATGTGAGCTATAGTAATGGAAAAGGCACAGAAATGCCTTGATTCAGAATGTCACCAATACCCAAGATTATTTTATTTTATGTGTTCGTAGAAAGAAAGAGTGGAACCTGTGTATGAAAATAGTTAAAAAATATCTGAAGAAATGCACTTCTCTCATCTGTTTTCTTTAGATTATTACTAAATCGTTTAGTTGGAAATCAACAATTTCCTTGATAAATTAAGCACAACATTGTGGCATTATGGTGGCAAAGTATTTAAAAAGTGTAGTAAACCAGGATAGTGTCATGATCTGGATCAGTCAATCATCAGGATTAGCTAGCTTGGTTGCCATTCTTAGTTTAAAGAAATTGTGAGTCCTTGCTTGAACATTCATTATAGGATTCTGGATTTCTGATTTTGAAGTGAAAATTTTATTGGATTTTCAATATTTACAAATTTTATAATAACATAATTCATTTTACAATCCTCTTTCACATACTATTAAAAAACCTAATCGAAAACTAACAAAGCCTCTTAAAAGAGATATTTAGAATTGGACAATTGGTCTCCTTTGTATTATGACATACATGTAATGTAGCAGAATATGGAAAGACAAATTGTTGCAAATTACTAATCAAATATATTCTGACGCGAGCAAAATTTTGGTTTGTTTATATTGTCACTGTAGCCAATGTAGCAAATTAACTCGCTCGCATACTACATTTTACGGCCCCAAATTCGTTTAACTTATTTGAATTTCAACAATACGTATTACTGAAAGTAAAACTAGATAATAAAAAGATATACATGACATAATTTTAACACACGCTGGGATTCTTGTACTAGGCATTTTGAATCAACAAAGCAAACGCAGCTATTTGTATAGTTTTGAAAAATTTTCTTTTCCCGAATACGAAGTATCTCAAAGTTTAATACTCCGTTATATGGTTTCAAATTATTAAAACCAATCAAGGTGACACATTGGGTATCAAACACGAGTCAAATAGCAATTAAACTACACTTAAATTCAAAAGCTATCCAGCAATTAGAATTGTTATGAATACAAAACAGACAATTTACACAACTATGCCGAAACGTCCACATAAATAATCACGAACGCCACGCAAAGCGTAGTTTAAACGGGTTTAGTTAAAAGGAAACATAAATACAGAAATGTAAGATGAAACTGTCTTACCGTCTGATTCTGTGTCTGACCCATTGCCTGGGAAAACATTTCTCAATTTCCCCAAAGCGTCAGAGAAATGTCGGACATGAGCGGTCAAATTGAGTATATCCTCTTGGTCGACCATTTGGCTGTCAACAGTTTCTGCACCGTACGATGAAGCAAGACTATTTAGTGAGAAACTTCTGTCGGATAAGTTATTTGAACGTAGTGAACTCTTAGACGAGGATCCGCGAAGATCTTTTGAAACATCGGCAGAGCTATGTCGTTTGTGGTGGCCATTATGATATTCAGAATTGTCAAGAGTCTTTACATTCTCATTTAGTCTTTGCACATCAAGAGCCTCATTATCCGATAGAAAGTTAATATCGCCTAAACTTCTACGTTTAGGTATAAACTTGATTAATGCGCTATCTGGAGACCAAGAATATCGTGTTGAAGGCAGATTTTCTGGTGATAAATTCCGACGTTGAACAACCTAAAAGGAAGTCAAAGTTTGTAAGAGATTTCGACTGATTTGATTAGTTAAATATTAACTTTAAGAGTTCTCACTGGCTCTCCAAGCGGAAGTGTCTTTGGCAATCGTTCAGTCGATGTTGGTCCAATATTCTCGCAAGAACCATCCTCCAAATTAGATGTTACTTTCACTAAATTGGGATAAATTTCTTCGGGTAATGGAGCTCTTCGTTTTTTACCGCTATTTGCTTTGCTACCAAACATCTTAAGGTTCTTTTTCCCTCATGATCATATTTCATTTGGAGTGCCTTTAAAATTTTAATCCTTTTATCATACAGCCATAGAGAGATTTAATTTTTTCGAATAGAATAGCTTGATATATTTATTTATTTTATCACATAGAGCCTGCCTACTCTGTAGCATGTAGGAAACAACACGTGATGGTAATTACAACATTTCATTGGTTAACACTGCGTGGACGGAATGTTAATTTTTCCTTAAAAACCTAAAAATGGCATTCATCAAATTCATCCCAACAATTTAAATCAATATCAAAAGTTCTTTATCATATACAAAGCCTAACTATTTCAAAAGTCGCGCTAGTTTATAACAATGGTTCGTGATGCGTATAGACTAAAAACCACTGTTTTGTATGATTCAGCAATGAGAAGCACAATGGCTTGAAAGTTGAAAACAACCCACAGGGCAACCTCAACCCTTTTTTCAGGGTTGATACATTTCTTGTACCATATGAACAAAGAGATGTTTTGTCAAACTTTAGTAACATGACTAACATCCTTGAATGAGTTGAATCATGACCATAACCCAATAGCTGTGTCATTATTAGAGCGTAAATAATTATTGAACAGGTAGTGAAAACGCAGCCATAGGTACACACTTGTACATCAATTTTATTCAGTATTTTATTTAATCTTGATTTCTGCGAATCCCGTCCAGAGCTATATGATAAGTTGATAACATTATAAGCTTAAAGGCTTCCAGGACAGTATATTCTGGACAGGAGCTGCCTTAAGCTAGAGTACTCCTGGGTTCAACCAGTTTGAGTTACCCCACTGTTCATTATCATGGGGTGAACTAAATCTAAGCGCGCAACTGTAGAATTGTCATTTTGGAAACGCACTTAGAAGTCCTGTCAAACCAATTATCTTTCTAGAGAAAAGGTAGGATTAAGAAAAGACTTCCGGCCCAAAGCCGCCCAATGAACGGAATACGACATGTATGCCTATGATGTTTTGCATAAACACACTTAGGGCCCTTAGTTTACTCCGCAGTGGTCTAAAAATGATAATCAGAGCTAAAATTTCAGTAAAGCATTTCTGCTCAAACGGTTGAAAAGCCAGTATCTTTGATGACACGTAAAATCATTTGAAATCATTGGATCCCGAATCACACTACTTGAGTTTAATCAGATTCCCTCTCGGATCATGCATCGGCCAAAGAACGAAATATTTAAACCCATGCAATGGCATATGCTTTGCCGAGGAAAGGATGTTTTTCACTTTGCCCGCGCTGGCGAAACGGCTTTTGTTCAGGCAGGTGTGACGGGCCTTAAAAAACAAATCGCGCTTGGATGTAAAAGTAAAACCATCTTATAATATTGCAATGCTAATGATTTTGAATATGTTACAATATGTCTCGGTCGCTTCATTCAAAATTAATGAGCAAAAAATGACATTTCGAGGGAATTTGAAGATTATGAATTCACGCTGTCTTTGGGGGTTTCTTTGATTTACCTTTCAAGACTGAAACAAACTGGTAAAGTATTGACCCTGAAAATTTCAAACATGAGATTGCAGATTTGTTAAAGTTTGTATTAGAAGTTTAGCTTAACCGGCTAAACATATATAGTTATTCACCTTTTGGTACGCCATGTGCCAACGTATGGTGAAGCAAGGCATGTTGGCTGGTGTTTCTCTGTGGCCAGTTGTATCAAGCCCGTTTAGCTTAAACGGTGGATAAGTTCAAGATAGAAAGCGAGTCTATACATCGTTTTATTGCAGCAGCTACATATTCAGTGCATAATATTCAAGTTGACTTATTCAAGAGAGATGTAAGAGTGTTATTTAATTTTGACTTATCCTCCGTTTAAGCTAAACGGGCTTGATACAACCGGCCCTGTAAGATCTGTCCTGCGTGACTAGCAGTCTAGGGGTGTTTACATGAGCATACCTGTAGGGCTGTTTTTCACCTCTGTTAACATGCAAGATTCTTGGCCCACATCAAGGACTGAGCCTGGATGCCGCGTTTTTGCTCCAAAAAAATAAAATGGGTGGCAAATGTCTTTAACTTTTCTTAATTAGATAAGTGGTTGTATTTTGTAAATAATATCTGATATTCATATGCATAAAAACTAGCATCAACAACCTTTTTGATATATATACAGTGTATTTCCCAAGTTGCTGCGGTTGCATTTTTTAGGAACAATTGACAATAACAGACATAATTTAGTTGTTCGTTTTCACTTTTCATCATTCATGCCCAGGCATGTTTACATGGGCCTGGTATATCTGATTACAATTCTAAGAAGACCGCTAAGGAAACTTCTGCTCTAATACCAGCTATAGATACCTGTATATGCATGTAGGACCATGGATGTTTTACACACTGATAAAGCAACCCCGTAAAATGTGACAATAGCATGGTATTCTTGATTTATAAGTATAGTTTCAGGCTCTCAGCTTTAAAACTACTTGGAATTGTCAAAAACTGTCATATCAAATTCTAAATCCTGTCTTAAAATTGAATGCTTCTCATCACGAACTACAAACTTAATGGTCACTATAGTAACGTGGTTGACATGTCTGGGCATATACATATAGGTATGTGAGATATATACCTCTGCAACAAATCAGCTGACTCACTTCTCTCGGAGAGTGTTCTGAATTCCAGCGGCAAACAATTTCTATAGACATAGTTGAAAGGGTAAGCAATGTTTCTCTTTTGTCTCATATTATTTTATAATTGCACTTTGGCGTTTTATAATTAAAAGGTTGTAAAGATAGGTATCTCGTTAGACGTTTAGTTCCTGGAAACGTGAAGGCCTATACAAAGCATAAAAAAATTAAAACTTTTTATTAATTTTTCCATTTCATGTTTAAGACTGAATCCATATGACACGCAAGATGTTCCTATTGAAAGCGCTTTTTGTCGTAGCCATAGTTGTCTTCAATCAATACAATTCTGATGCTGTCCTGCGAAGTAAGCATTTCTAACATTTTGCCAACTCCGTAATTGCTTTAAGATAAGCTATATAAGTATATTCGCGTGTCCGATTTTTTTGCTTACCTAGATGATGATGATCTCACTGATGTGAAAACATTTACGCTCCGATCAGAACGATATGGCTACGTTCATCATTATGGTATTTACGGCAGCCTGGATCTCCTGAATTTCTCATTAACTGCCACCCCTGCTCACTTTCGTGTCACGAATATAAACGTCATTCAGGAAGTTAAAACCCAAAAATGCTTGCATAGACTGACAAATGGAAACCTGCAAATCGTTTTAAACACAACCTGCGACGGGGATTTTGTTGACAGATGGAGATATTTCCCTACTGCGGAACAGTTACAAGATTCAACAGCTGGTGAAAAATGCCTCAGCCCGTGGAACTACCGCGAGCGGAAACCAGATGATCTTAATGTTACGACGGGTTTATCAGAATGTGATACGTGGAATCAAATTATCATAGAACTAGGTTGGTTGTCTATCTTTCTTTACATACCATTTTTAGATAAAGTCATCTCCCATCACTTTTCAAGTAAATATTTTATATATACAGCCACTCGTGGGGAGACGTTTTCCGGTCCAACTTGTTCAAGTATTTATTTTGAAAAACTCACAATGCATTTGGAATTGCCAGGAGGGGCAAAAATGGTACACAGATAAAAGAGTTAATTCATTAAACTTTTCTGTTAGCAATTTCATGAATGACTTTCTTGCATGCATGCATGGTAGTTTTTATTGTGAAATGGAAAAATTCCTTGGCCGATCATTTTAAGGATGGATTTGAGATCATGCAAGAATAAGCGAATGCCCACAATTTCTTGCAGTGAATTGAGTGAAAAGGGGATTGACCATGGGTCTCCATTGCATCTGAGATCCTCCGATATGCAGGACAATGCCTCCGTTTCGCGTTGTTCGGCAGCTTCCCGCAGAAACGGTAACTCTAAACTATAAAGGTTTTAAAAGAAGAGGTATAGGAACAGGCTACAGACCCTCCCCCCCCCCCCCCCATATGGCTATATAGCCCAGAATTGGTGATAAATCATTGGTGATAAATCACTTTTACTCGAGATCTGCGTGGGAAATTTCTGGAATCTCAGAAATATATATATATATATTTTAAAAAAGTTCCTCCGTCGCAATCCAAAGAAGAATCAGTATACAACTAACTGCCCATGGTTATTCAAGATCACCACAGGATTAGACACATCAGCAGCATATTGGGACTAGTACGTGCAATGATTTGGGTATCTATAATTGGCTATCAAGGATAATTAATTCTGTAGTTTTTGGATATTGTAATGTGCGCAATGTAAAACATCAACTAAATAAATAATACTTCATTTAATTTCCGTGACTAGTTCTATTGCTTGCTACGACATGTAACTATATACCATGTAACTGCCATGAGCAAATGAGCAAAGGACCGATGGCAGTTACGTCAGGCTGGCGCTGGCGTCAGCAAAGCCACCAAAATCCGTCCTGTTTTTTGCTTCAAAAAGATGGCGGACATGCAAAGTTACTGAAATAAGAAGGGCACTTTCTTCAGAATTTTGTGATTTACACTCATTCATGTATGCCAGGGAAGTCAATAATAAAGTATTTTGAATAGTGACTCAAGAAGCTATATTTAAGGACTTAAGAAGAGAGAAAGCTCATTTAAAAAAATAGGCACACCTTGGTGCTTTTAAAAGTGTGAGGGAGGTGCACTGTGAATTCAGGCCACAACCGTTTCCGTTTGGTATAACTCTTGAATTGAATATTTAAAGCTCAAAGAAAAGTATCATATATATTTTTTAGACTAACAAATACAAATTTACCAACGTATGTTTTTTACAATCATATGATTATCTATTCGTGCATGAGTTCCGCTTTTATGTCCAGCATTTGCGAAGTTTTTCCTTATTTTGCTGTGGATCTAAATGGCAACAATCAATGGCAAATGAGTCAGAGGATAAAATGAAACGCCATGTAGACGAGTCAGACGACAGTTATTAGAATTGCTATATTGTTATATAGAGTATGTAGACGAGTCAGACGACAGTTATTATAGAATTGATATATATATATATATATATATATATATATATATATATATATATATATATATATATATATATATATATAATATACTTACTGGGAGTTAAAATCATACGATTATAATCAGCACATGGCGATAAGCCTGGTACATATGAAACATCCGATGGTGATAGAGGATAATACCACGGGCTGAAGCAAAGACCAGTATTTATATTCACCAGCCTTTCATTGCTGGAATTGTATGTCCATAAATCAACATCGGGCCCACTGCAGACATTGGACAGTACTAGCTGGAAGTGGGTTCTCGTTATGCTGTTAACACATTTGCCAGTTTCTACATCCTGAAGAGCGCCGTTACTCTTGAGGACAAAATGAGTTGGAGAAAGGGTTGTAGAGAATTCAAGAAGATCCAGTTTTTCATAGATACCATAATGATGAACGTAGCCGAACTGCTCAATGCATTGAATAGTGAAATTTGCACTGTCACAAACTGTGGGAAAACCTGAAATAAATTAATGGAGAACAAAGAAAAAGTAAGAAAGGAAGCTGAGTAACGAAAACAACAAAACGTCAAATTTCCATCATTTCCCGATGCATCACAACGACAACAGATTTTATTCATTGATCAAATTCATTTGTGTATTTGACTATATTCTCACTATTAAAGCTGTTGGAGAGATTTTTGGGATATTTTTTTGTTCAAAAACAAGAATTGTTGTTGCCGTTATATTTCGGCAAACTCCCCACTAAACAGGATCTAGCAAACATGGTTTAAGTGTTTGCATATCCAAAACTAAACCATCAGTCCGGCCTCAAGCACCCCTCCCCCCATTCTGGCTCTGCATAGTCTGGCTCAGTAGTGACTTTTTCCGGCCAACGTCGTAAAAAAGCTTTGAAAAACGATAAAGCTACTTATATTAAATTTACTGAATCGTTAAGAAGTATTATAACTTCAAAATTGTGAAGTTCAATCTTGGCCATGCTAAGTGGTGAGGATTTTTTCATGAATCACTATCCACCTTTCGAACAACCGGCCCCTGGGTTTTAAGGTTCCCGGCTTGATTTACCTTTCAAGACTGCGGCGGAACAGCTAAGAATATGAACAGCCAGCACAACTAATAAAACTTTAGACGACATCTTTATGAAAGTGACTTCGAGCAATTTTCTTAAAGTATTTCAAAGTATATTTCGACTCTATATAAAGAATGTCAAAAATGGAATTTTTATACGGAGACCAGTGGTAACTGGTATAAGATGCTGCCATTAAAATGGCCGACGAGCGACGATAAAGTTAAATAGGCATAATGGTATGATAACTGATACTGTTTGTATAATTTGCCCTAAAAAAGTAACCCGCCCTTAATACCCCACGCTGAAAAGTTATATATTTTGTGGTAAAACGATGGACACAAGATGCGGTCAATTGTTAATTTTGTCAACCTCGCATTAAATATGCTCTCGAGTCTCGACTAATAAAAGGTCGACATTAACTCTTGCATGCATGGTATAATAATTGTATACATTTACAGTGATTTGACATTATTGACGGCATGGATAGGACGTAGGATAAAAAAGCAAAAATTCACATCCAAATGATTCAACACCAACCTTTTGTATTTTCTTCAGGTTTCTGAGTAAAATTCTTGTTTGTCAGTTCGCAGATCAGTTTGAGCAATATTAGCTAACAAAACTAACTTAGTTGTTTTAGTTGTTGGTTTTATATCATTTTTCATTATGCATGTCAAGACCTGTTCAGGCACCACGCGGATTACTGAGAACTATTGAACGTGCCTTGCGCGTGACTTACATTTCCAAGTATAGTATGCCTTAGCTTTTCCAAGTATTACATTTTCAAGTAAGTATGCCTAAGCATGTGATTTAAAGTCGGTTTATTGGAATAAAAAAATTGAAATAATTCCTTAGTTCCGATGCCAGAAAATATTCTACATGGTTAATTATGCAAGTTTTTAGCTGTTAATATGCATTCATGTATTATATTGTGCGGTTGTATAAAACTCTTAACTGCATTTTGTGTATGTGTGTGCATTCTGAGAAAACAGCCTGGGCAGGTGATGTTTTGTTTCCCAGTAACAAGGGTTGGCATGTCCAGGCATATTTTGCTGAACTGCTATTTAAATCAACAAATTAGTTATTCCTGAATCTTTCAGTGCAGGGATCGAGCCTAAACGCAACTGGAGCGAAACAGATTATTATTATCACCATAATTCAACGAGGTAAGACATTATTTAAAGTTAGATGAAAATAATTGGACATCAGTAACATAACCAAATATAGTCGTGAGCCCTATTTTCGAGTTATACGCACGATTTTTTATTCGGTACGGAGTGAACTGGTGCGGATGAAATTTTTACTGCCTTATAGTTAGTTCATTTTCATGCGTATACCAAATTTACCCGTTTGCACGATGTTCAATTTTAAGTTTGGAATGGATAAAACTGTGATTCATGAAATTTGGACTACCTATGGATAACAATATAGATAACAATTTCACTCGTACCGATATGATTTGCCATTACCTAATATTTAAACAATTACAATTTTGCGTCTGTACATGGGCGTCAAATTATGAAAGACGGTCTTAGACGGAATGCGTTTGAAGTGGCGCTTAAGTAGCGCACAAAAGTTTAAGAAAGGAGGGCAGGTCAAATTTATCCAACTCTGTTTAGTTCGTCTTGTTTCCGACTGTATAATCATTGACACGGCGTTTGAATTAGTGTCTTGCGGTGACCACAGCACTACGGCACTACGAGTTTGCATCAGTTCATGTTGTATTGCCTGGTTCATAGCCCTAAAACGTATATATATTCGTATGTATATATATTCTTATAAAAAAGCCAATGCATGTTTTTCTCGCCCGATTGTATTATGAAATCCCATGTATGACGCGCACCTGGAACACCACACTTACATGTACGTACCTGCTTGAAGCAGGAAGCATACAGACAAATAAGTTCCAACAAGATATATAGGTTTATACAGTTCAATCAAACAATTTTGATACTATTTTTCTCGACAATTTTTTCGATCATTTCAGTTAGACTATTCAGTCAAGGTCAGACATTCACTATTGCTTGGGGATGTTATTAAAAACGAGTCTATTGGTGGTGGTGACCATCCTTGTTCTCAATTCTTCTGCCGAAGTGCCACGAGGTAAAGTTCTATTTACTCTTTACCTGTCGCCGCAGTAACTTATCGTCCCAGAGCTATAATGAAACTGTATATATATATATGCGGGTGGGCTTATCTGTGGAAACAATATATATATGCGGGTGGGCTTATCTGTGTAACGAGGGCTCGACATGGAGAGGGGGGTATTATAGGTGGAGGTTTACTGTAACTGAGTGCTATATATATATATAGACAATATAAGATCGGTCGACTTAACAGTACATTTCGTCTTCTTAGTTGATGATGACAATACATTTCGGATCTCCACGACATACGGCTACGTGCATCACTACGGACCTTATGGTGATTTGGATTTGTTGAATTTAACGACAGTCAGTAAACCCGCTTGCTTTCGTTTCATAAGTAACAACGTTCTTCAGGAAATAGTTACTGAGAAATGTGTCAATAGATTGACGGAAAGTAACCGACAACTCATACTTAGAACGAACTGCAATGGACCCTTGGCAGACTCATGGTCTTACGATGCAACAGATCAATATTTAATAGATATGTCGATACCTCCTCCGCTTACATGGTGCTTTAGTCCATGGAGTTATGGATTACCACCTCCCGATATTGCCGACGTGCCTGGCGTTTCTCCGTGTTCTGGATGGAATCATGTTGTTTTGGAACCTGGTAGGTATATTGAACTTGATCTGGGCAGCGTCGAGAGTTGGGTGGAAACGTGGTACCACGAGCTCATTTACTGCACGTGTTCCGGGCCCAGATGAATGATAAGCTACCTAAGATATAAACAGCCGGGCTTCAAAGTTAAAAAAAATTTCCCCGCTCGGCGCCAAGGGTCTTGCGTCGTAACCATACATACAGCTGTGTGCATGTGCGCAGTTTCTTATCTCATACCTTTAACGCCTCCTCCCCTTTAGGCGGAGCCGCTCACCAGTCATTGTGTCATAATTAGTCGTCATTCGCACGATATTAAAACCGCTTACCAACGAATTACATCTATTGAACAAGTTACGAGGAGAGACGACAAATATCATGATTTTTGTTTTTTAACGTTTAGGATGTCCCTGAAGCCAAAGAAATTTACAAATAGCATGATCAATGGATTATTAATTTAAAAAACAGTGATCGACTTTTTTGCATGAAATCATTAATAACTGGTCAGGAAATATCAGTTATTCTGACTACAAATTGAGATGTAATTTTTAAAAGAATATACGGCGATTTACGGGAATGGTATAATACGAGGATTCAGGTTTTTTTGACTTTACAACACGAATAAATATATAGCTTTTTAGCATGTGAAATCGTCATGCCCAGCGAGTGATGTCAGCCTTTGCCGAATGACAGTCTTAATTTCATGTTTAACCTCATTTAATGAATGTTTAATTATCTAAAAGTTGCACCACGGCTACTGTGCTCTATCAATAAAGAGAACTGCCTAGACTAGTCTGGAGTATACTAACGATATATACTATAGAGTATATAACGCGCATAAACTTGAAACATCTATACTCAGAAAAACTTCCGTAGAACTGCATGCCAAGACCTTTTGAAATATTCAAAAAGGCTGCATGCAAATAACTATTTAGACTTGATGTCTTGGAATGTTGTTTTATTTGTATTTCGCTTATTTGGGTCAAGAAATAATAGTTAATCAATAAAGATGCATCATTATCAATTGCTGCATATGCATATAAGAAGCACGGTGTTTAAAACAGGCCTTTGACGTTAAACAACTGCATGTGGTTTAACGAATCATCAATAATGTTGTCTTAGCACCGGTCACTTTAAAAGTTGTCGAAGAGTTATTTCCTTATTTTCCTTATATGTCCATGATGCAAAGTGTGTTGTCATGCGTATGACATAACCAATGACATCACATGTCGGGAGAATCACATGAAATATCGTATAAAGGCGGAGCTTGGGTATTTTACGTTTATTTCCTGTTATTTGTTCGGATAAATTTCTCTTTTTGAATTAGAGAAGTGAGTATATTGCTATGACATAATTTAGCAGTAACGTGCCGAGTATGGGCAAGTGAAATGCTACGTTTAATATATTACAAAATAATGTCGCTTTAAGAAATATGTCAGCAATGCGGAAGAAAATTCATAAGTAGAAAGACCACTGGCTCTCAGTTCAAAAAAGAATTTCCAAAGCTTTGCATATTATAGTGATAATAATAATCAGTTGTATATAAGTAAAGGCGCCGTGCTGCAGTAGAAACGTTTTTTCCCGTCTCTTTGGCCGTTCTGTGGAGGTTTTTGCTAGAAGAGTGTGTTAAAATCTTTCTTGTAATCACATCAAAGAAACCCTCGTAAGACAGCAGTCAGCCTTTTTTCTTAGAGCTCTCAGTCTGAATCTGGAGTACACAATAGTCATGGCAGTACATATATATATTTCGATTTTCAGTCGGCAGACTGTAATTTAAGTTGACAAGGGACTAAACAGCAAAAATACGAGTAATTCAGATGAACTCGTAAATATGAATGAAGAAAATTAAGATCTACTCGCTATTGCTGTAGCGAATTCTACACAACAGGCTTTATCAACAATACCACGTTAATACATTAACTTGTCACACTTAATTTTTTTTCAATTTTTGATGTTTAAGTGTTGTTAAAATAATCTGGAAAAGAGGGAGGATGCTGGGTCGATTACATGTGAGATTACTTCTATATTATTTAATAGCAATCATCAGAAGGTTCTTTTCATATTTAATCAAGTCGGTAAAGGTCGTTATAACCATCCCTTTTGGAAGGTTGTTACTGAAAAACGTTCTAGGAACGGTTTTGGTAATATTACACTCAGTACTCATTGAGAATGACAGAAATATCAAAATAAACAATAGCTGCATGCATGTGTAATTTGAACTTGAGAAAACGTGCCGGACTAGCATTTATTCGTGACCAGCATTTTTTCGTGACTAAAGTTCGTGACTAAAACTCACCGCACACGAGAGCTATCACTTAGCTGAGCTAACAACCTCGCGAAGCAGTTAGCTCAGCTCGAAAACCGTCTGCATACGATAAAAACGTGCCTCTCGCGGGGCGAATTCCTCACGAGGACTATCTGCACACGAGAGAAACTGGCTGAGCTAAAAAGCCTCGCGAGGTCCGAGTTTAGCTCAGGCAAAGAAAAAAGAAAAAAAAACACTAACATCTTTCTTCAGTGGAATTTGGAAACTTTAAGGCCCGCCGTACATGAGAGCTATTAGCAAGTTCAAGACCCTGTCCACACGCGCCGTGAATGACCCGTTATAGACTGGATCCGATTATAAACATTATCGAATTCGAAAACCTCCGTTTTCGCCCGTACACACGTAAACACGAAACCGGCGTTTTCGAAAAACTCCACTCTGGAGAGCGTTTTTTAAAACCTCCGTTTTCGGTCGCCGCCTGCATCTTTCTTCAATGTTTATCCCGTGGTAGAAAGGTGCATTATTCGCATAAGGAGCATTATTTCGGTGTTCACGTAAGGGTAAACGGTGCGGTTCAGACTTCAGAGTCCTAATCTCAGGTTTGTTCACATGCGCGCATTCTGCCATGACGCTGACTGGCGTGACAAAAAGCCAATTGTACTGCTAATTCAGTACTGCTTTATCGAAAACAGACTACATTCCATACGTGAGAAGTAACCAGGACCTACACAATGGGATCGTGCGAGTTGCAGCTAAAGTACGTGCGTAATTAACCGAATTAAGCAATCAGGTTTGCTCGCCGGGGATTAGTTGTGAGGAGCTAAGTACCCATGAATAATACGGTATAAACAATAAGTAACAATGCACTTAGTATTCAACGGGGAGTGACAGAAATGTCGGAAAAAACGACAGAAAAGGAAATAATCTTTGGAAAACGTGAGAAGCCCACATTCATGACTAAAATTTTGCCCACAGAAATTCACGCCTTCACACGGTAACCAAAGCCAAAAACACGACTCTGGACGTTTTTCATGTTCTCGATTATGTTTATGACGCATATATTCCACGCATTTTTAATTTTTAGGGGGTACGAATACCCGCCCGAGTATATTGACTTTGCTGTTTTACGTTTGGCAATGGCATCTCGTCATGTTTGAAGTTGAGTGAGGTCAGATTGTTCATATAAAATAATCTGCCTCGACGTTGGCTCTCATTGTTCTGTGCTTTACGCTCTTCGTATAGGAGTCGTTTAAAATAAATCGCGCCTCATTGTATTCCGTAAGTGAAGAGGAAATTATTGACAAAGCCGTGAGGAAGATTTGTTATGGTAATTTTATGTCGTAATTAAAAATATCAAAATGCAAAGTTGTTTTGGTCCGGTTATAAGCAAGCTCTTACCAGCGAAACGTAAAAGACAATCAAAAGTGAGGCCAAAGGGATCTCCGAAAACAGTGATGGTCAAGGTTGTCGTATTGGGGACCGGTGGTGTTGGGAAAACGAACATTATTCGTCGATATGTTCACAACGAATTCTTAGCAGACCACCAGCCGACTACAGAAGATGTCTATGAGAAATACTTTAACTTTAAGCGCAAGAATGAATCTTTCTTATTCAAAATTTACGACACGGCTGGATCGGATCAATTTCCAGCGATGAAGAGACTTGCCATTAGCAAAGGAGAAGCGTTTCTTGTTTTGTATTCGGTGGATAACAGGGCTTCCTTCGAAGAAGCCAAGAAGATTTGTGCTGAAGTATTTGAAGTCAAGTCTGGAGAAGTTAAGTCAATAATGATGGTTGGAAACAAATGCGATCTACCAAGTTCCCAACAGACTGTTAGCACCGAGGAAGCCTTTTTGGCTGCGAAACAGTTAAAATGTAAATTTACAGAAAGTTCGGCGAAACTCGGTATAAATGTCGAAAAGGTATTTCGTGAATCGTTGACCGAATTTTAACCGAAAATTTGGCTCTTTCAAACTTGGGCATATTTAAATAGATGCAGCTACTTGAAGTCATGAGGCCTTTGCAATATCATGTTACGTTGGCAGACCACTGTTTAACTGACAAATGGAACACAAACAAAGTGTTTATGTTAAAAGGACTAAAAACATACGGAGTCAACAATATGAAAAGTTTGCTGGAAAAAAATGTAATGTTAAACAGCGAATATAATTTCTCCAACACTAAAAGACAAAAGACTCTGTCTAATATCGTTATGCCTGCTGTGAAAATCCCTAATAACGCAATATTAATCAAAACTTTACTTGTACATGCGGTATGCGTAATATAGTTGCTCCCCCCTATGGTGAATTACAATAAGATTATCTGATGTTATGACTATATAGCTGTGTGTTTCCTATAACTTAAATGCTGTTGAACTAGCCGTAGTAATATACAGTTATAAATAAATGTTAATCTATATAGATCATTATTATATGTACCCAGCGTGATTCCATTCGTTGCATTATTATAATATTATCGGGAACGTTATTCATTAAATGATTAATACTCATTACGATCGTTTGGAAACTCACATATGTGGTAGTCGTGGTATGTTTACCTATATATACTGGCTACTGCTGTTGCACCACAAGCCAAATAGATAATGAGCTGATGATATAGATAATGATGATAGAAATGAGTAACTCATAAATTTCTTAATATTTCGAAAGTACATATAGGGTTCAAAGTTTTATAGCATAAAAAAAGTATAGAAAACGAAAAATCGTGTCAGGTCAGGAAATTACGAATACAACAATCAGTATAGAATTTACTACAAATCGCTCTGATTGGAATAGATCCGCTAGCCAAAACAAATTGAAAGTAAGTATTAATTTAATTCGTTCGCACAACTTCCTGCCATGTGCACTATGAGTCTATGTGCGTTTTGTCATTACGTCGAGCATCCATAGTGAACCATGAAATATGTCGTATGATTTCGCACGAGCCCCCCGGGTCAAGAGGTGGTGGTTACCCCGTGAGAGTCATATGATTTACATATTCCTTCACAACATCATGGCTGAAGGCATGGAAGGTACGTGTTTAGTTGCTTCATATATTATCAAAAATATGAATTTAAAGGTGCCAACGTTTCGTCTAAGGTAATATTTTTCTTGTTGTAATAGAAACCTTAGTCCTTAGACACATGCAGCCAGTGACGCAGGGTGGATGTCAAATGATTTCGCTGCTTGTAAATTAAACGTGTCTGTATCATCTGTAGCCAGTCTGACGATTTGTTTCGCTATGCTAATATTTTGGTGTTCAATGACTGTGAAAGCAATAAAGAATAATTAAAGAATGAAAACACTAAAGAATAATTATAATAACTGGAAATTTACCAAATCGTCAGACTGCAGGCTACGCCACCGAGTAAATTTAAACTGTAGAAATGTTGACGTGTATTAGTATTCTTGCAAATTTTGCACAGGCTATAAAGCTAGTTTTTATATGGTCGTAACCATATGTTCAGTCTAGGTGCTCAAGGTTAAATAAAATCAAATGTTTATACAATTTGAGTACAAGGAGTGAAGACAAATATGCATCTCGCATGATTCACATCGGTGTACGTAATTGTGTAAATGATTTAACGAGCATTACGCCATTCTTAGGCTGCATAACGCATGAACTACCTGCTATTGAGCGATGTCTTTATATTCATATAACAACACTACAATGGCTGATTATCTGCAAGAAGTCAATGGCTGATTATCTGCAAGAAGTCACTACATTGTCATGGCTACTGCATGGCTAGTGTTGATTTATAGATTTATCTATATCACATTTCAAATTGAGTGTGGGATTTCCTCGCAAACCCGGTCAGGTTAACTGGATTGGTTTAGTGTTTTAAAAACTATACTATTGCCTGATGCAAGTTTTCTTCGATGCATGAGATTGATCGACAAGCGTTTCGCAAATAATGGACTGGCACTGGTCCTTCAATTTGGCTTTAAATTTACGAGATCGCTTGCTTCGGTTGATTTTAATGATTGCGACCGCGGTATCGTCCCAGTTTACACATAGAGTTCAGGGGGTAAGTGAATTATTATAATTATGTAAACGTGCATAATTTACCCTTATACAGACTATGACATGACCATTTATATACACTAATCTCTTGGTATTCATGTTTTCTCTTGCCAAGCTTGCCTCGTAACTTAGTGGCCAGAGCAGTCGGGATCGTAAGGCCTGTTTTCCACTTCAACCGTATCGTAGCGTAACGTAGCGTATTTCTTTGTTTCCGAAGTATTCGACTAGAACTAATGACTTTAAAACAATGAGATACTCTACGTTTCGCTACGATTGGAGTGGAAAACGGCCTTAAGCCCGTTGCACACGAGAGCTATCAGCTAAGCTACCGACCTCGCAAGGCAGTTAGCTCATCCCGAAAACCATCCGCACACGAGAGAAATTTGCTGAGCTAACAGGCTCGCGAGGTCTTTAGCTCAGCTAATACGGCTCTCGTGTGCGACGGGCTTTAAGGAAGTAAACGACGTATAGGTTTCTCAATCCTGCCAGATTTGTTAAATGCTTCCGGTTAGGACTGAAGAAAACAATCATGACACAAAACAATATCCATATCATAACAAGAATGTGATTATAGGGGGGGAAAGGGGTGCACCCACAGCCACACTTGTACTTAGTCATCGTTAAAATTTTATAATTTTTAGACAAGCGTTTTGCTGGACACCAGGCATGTCATCCTCCAAGTATTCATAGCATTACTGAAATAACCAAAGATTTAAATATTGAAATGTGTGATCGAGAACTACGGGAAAATCAAGGTGAATTACAATGCAGTCCAGGAAAATCTGCCACACCCCTGCAGTCAGCCCGTCACATCATCTCATTGAAAACTTTAGTTCACCAGCAGTTGCAATGTGCTTCTTCTCGTATAAAAGCATTACGTTTAATTCCAAACTTATCCCACAAAATAATTTAAATATTCCAACAGATTTAAAAACAATATACTTTTTTACATTAGAGGTGATTGCAGGCTTTTGCGAGACAACCTTCCAGAGATTGTATGAATTAAAAGAATCAAAGTTGCCAGTGAAGTATCCCCGGATGATTGGGAACCAGCCTTCTGCAGAGGACAATCCATTCAATGCTTGGTAAATTATTCGTTCTCTCCTGATATTAAGAGTAATCGCGAGATATAGGATTCTCGTGATAACATGCATGACGATTTTCATTATTGACATAGTGGGTTCAATATGATAGGGGTATGTTTACCCTAGGTATTGGAGATGTGATATTTCTGGCGCTCCAGAAGGTAAACTACTTGGTAAAACCATCGCAATAAAAGATAACATCGCAGTTGCTGGTATTCCAATGATGAACGGGTCGCAACTTCTGGAGGGTTATATTCCAGATATTGATGCCACTGTTGTGACCAGAGTGTTGGATGAAGGCGGACGAATTCTTGGCAAAGCTGTTTGTGAAAATTTGTGCTTTAGCGCAGGTAGTTTTTCAGCTGCAAATGGACTCGTAAGGAACCCTTTTGATCCTTCAAAAATGTCTGGAGGATCATCTTCAGGATGTGCTGTTCTGGTAAGTTTATCAGTGAAAGGAAATTTAGGATTGAAAGAATGTACGGAAATGCAATGTCAACATAGTAAAGTGATATCAGAAATATTTTTGTCGATTGTTCAATAATGTTAATGTCCTCTTTTCAGATAAGAAATGAAAACGTAGACATGGCTATAGGAGGAGATCAGGGAGGCTCGATACGCATACCAGCAGCGCTCTGTGGTATTGTGGGATTGAAACCAACATTCGGATTGGTGCCTTACACTGGTATTGGAAGTATTGAACCAACTATTGACCACACTGGACCCATGGCGATGACAGTAAAAGATACAGCATTACTTTTAGAGGTAGTCTGCAACTATATATATTCTTATAAATCGAGGTAATCTTCTTTCAACCTAACAATACAATAATTTCAAATAATCTTTCTACATTTTAAAATGACGTTTCGAATTTTTAGGTAATAGCTGGTTATGATGATGGTTTGGACCATCGTCAACCACGTGATATCAAGATTCCCAGCTATACCAATGGGGTAAAGTCCATTCTTTTCTGAATATCGCTACTTCCCTCTCTATGTCTTGCTAAGCTAATTAGAATATATATCGGAATCAAACAGTAAATATCGAATAGTCGAACCTTTGAGGCTATGTATTTTAAAACTTCCTCATCAATTTTCTAAGATTTTTCAAACTTTAAAAATTTACTTGCCATGACAAACGTTGAGTTGTCACGAAAATATTTCGCGCACATAACTGGATTGGTAACGAGTTTTATCCGCTTAAGATGGTGACTCGTTATCAATCCAGTTGGATCGATAGCTCAATTGGTGGAGCGGCGGTGTAAAAATGTAAATACCTGAAGATGCAACTTTAAATCCCGCTCAAGACTACGAAACTGTTTCGTGGTTGAGATTGCGAATTTAAGGTTGGATATTAATTCAACCTGAACTTGACCAGTATCTAAAGCAGGGAGCCAGGGACGTCGGGAGGATCACGTTGTTAGGGGGCGAGAGAAAATCGAAAATATATTACTAATGATCAAAAATTTTAATTTTATTTGCATGCAGTTGACAGGTGAGATTGAAGGTGTGCGTGTGGGCTTAGTAAATGAAGGATTTGATGTAAGTGAGAAAGATGTGAATGACCTGGTGAGAAAATCAGCTGAGAGATTACGCGAGAAAGGCGCAGTGGTTGAAGATGTCTCAATACCATGGCACTCGGATGGTAATTTGTAATACATACAATAATACCAATAAAAATCAGTCATATGTTGCATGGCTTGAAAGAGTACAGATGTATCCAAACAATTCTTAATATGACGTACGTATATTTTTTCAGGACATCATTTGCTTTCTGGTATTTTGTTATCCAACTTTTCTGCCCTCTTTGAAGGTATGTGTGCATGCATTTAAGACTGCGTATATAGGGGTTGAAGGACTTGTGGTTAAATCGAGGTGAGCAACTATAATTGTTATAAATGAAGGCTTTAAAGGCACATAAATTAATTGTGATGTAAACACAATTGCAGTTTTCCATATTCTATAATATAGTTTGGCTGTCATAGAAGTTCATTATTTTGTAGTAAATGATAACAAATAACTGGTAGCGTTGATGAGATAAACTTCCAAAAGTTGAAAGATCAGTCAGTTCCTAATGCGTGGCTTATAAAACAGGGTATAGAAATAAGGGAAGAAGGGCGAGTTGTTTCTAACTTTGCAGGAAAGGGGCGGGGGTGTCAGGTGTGGTCAGTTTCAACTTAATTAACATTATATTTTGTTTCCACCCGTCACCCTTCTGATTATCCACACAACCACATACCAGTAATATGTTACGATTAAAAGGCGAACCTTGCAGATTGTATCTGAAATATGTATTCTTAAACAATTAATAGGCGAGTGTTCAACAACTCAAGGATATCACAACACACATTTACAACTTGCTTTAACACGTGGCCTAAATTGTCACCCTAATGATAACACGCCTATTGTGAAGAACGGGCTTGTGTGCGAGAGGTAAATGGCTTTGTAAATGCGAGAGGTAAATTGTTTTACAGACCTTGAACCGCCTGGGAAGGTGTTAACCTAAAGAAGTTAAGGACAGAATCGGCCAATCAGAATCGTGCGTTTTGCAGTAACTTTGATTTAACTAAGTTAGGAGTTTTATACAACCGGTTCCTGATGTGCTGGCAAGACCTTTACAATATAACTGTACATTAATATCCATCTAGTTAGTTCAAGAAACTGAGTACGGTTTCGACTTACGTCTTCAACGATGGGTGTCGTTTTTTAGCGCGTATTTCTTGGTTTTTGTCAATGGATTAACATGCCATTTCCCAAATGTGTATTCCCTACTGTTTTAAAACAATTTTTTCCAATTATGTTTCAGATACCTTCACAACAATCACTATCGTGGGTATTACTATAGCAAATCCCAGAATTTACGGCGAGATTTGCGTCAAGCATATGACGATGCTTTCAAGAAATATGATGTCCTCATAATGCCAACTATCCCTAAGACAGCAGCAGAATTTCCTTCCAAGAATCCTCCACTTTCTGGTAAATATTGATATTTGCAGCACTATATGTGCCATAAAACAGGTGATCTAGAGACACCCGGGCCGGGAAGGTCTGACCGTATCTTTATCGAAAAATACGGATATAAATTGATAAAACATTTCTAAACGAATTCAATGAGTATGCTAAAACAATTATGCTAAACGCATTGTAGTTAATCAGTTCAGTTTTGCGGTCTTGAGTAGGGACATTTTTGTAAATATAGTACAATTATAGTAAAGATCAGTGTCCATTTTCTACTGCAGAATATATTGAGAAAGCCTTGGGAATGACCAAGAACACTTCTCCATTTGATGTCTCCGGTCATCCATCATTGTCGATCAGCGTTGGATGTTTAAAACGTTTACCTGTGGGAATGATGATCACTGGTAAAATGTTTGATGAAGAAACAGTCCTGAATGTGGCGTATGCGTTTGAACAGCTACGGGATAATGCATAAACTATATGAATGAGATGTCAACTAATCTTATTACAGTAGTTTGCAACTAGTCAGGGAACGAGATAATAGGACATGTAGGAAAAATAAGCAAGTGTAATTACTTAGCACCTCATCAAGGTTATCACACCTCACAGTCAGTGGCTGCCGCTGAACGGATATAAAGTGGCTGAATGCAAAGCAGTAGGCTGAACTGAAAAATTGGGATCTCACAGGTGATATTCTCACTAGTATATTATATAATAATGAATATAGTTATAAGTGAAATCTGTTGTGAGTGAAAGGCAAGAGATATCTTTATAGAGTAAGGTGTAAGCGATGATATTGTTAGTTTTTCCGTCATAATATATCATTTATATAGACTCTCCAGTCTCCAATGAAAGAAAACAGAAATATACTAACCCTCGGCGGTGATATTTTCTTGGAAATATCATCCCTTCAGTTGAAGTATTTTGTCGAATCTCCCACGGCTTCGCTTCGGGGGCAAAAATGATAAATATGACGTTAGGGCAGTTTCCCCGCGCATTCCGAACACATTGTCAAGCATGTGGAATTGAATTCTGTTTCATTTTCAATTTTTTCATTCATCATTTTAATAACTTTAAGACTATAGGGAAAATTAGTAAATGCAGTGAGTGGAAATTCAAGGGTTGAGCCTTCGGTTTACCTTCCGAAGCCGACGGCTGAAGCCGAACACAACCCAAACTCTGCAATAGTTCTCGTATTACGGAGCGACTGCATCGCAGCCGGCTACCTAACGTCGATGAATCATAAGTGATGAATTATTTGTGACCACAAGATGGCAGAAGGTATAGTTATAAATTACTTCATATAATCATTTTAAGACAAACTCAACTGACTTTAGGTAAATGGACTCTCAACCTTTCCAAAGATGGAGAGCACACTACAGTCTAGAGCATTGCTTGTTTATATCATGATTATCATCTGCATACCATCCGCCAAGCCAACTATCCAAAGAGAACTTTGACCTCGAGAAATATTCTCCGTGCGCTAATTTAATATTCTGAATTCAATAAATACCGTCATTATTGATACTGAATTTGTAACATTGTATGGTAGCTGCATGCTTTTACGTAATCATAAAGCTGAAATTCTCGAGTCTGAACTTACTGACCTTCGAGGTTACACGAGTTTACGGGAATAAAAACGCATGCAGTGTGACTTATTGAGCGATATACATAATATATAATTATTAGGGACTAAACAATCCTTTGACTTAGTTTCATTAAAATTAGATCTTTCAATAAACTTTCTACGTAATCTGTCTACATCAACATGCTGATAGAAACGTATTCTGTCAAAATAGGTCGTTCCACAAATAAAACAGGCACACAATCGGGGGGAAAAACTTCTCCAAAGTTTGCTGATTTTTGAGCATCGAAGGCTTAAACCGCCATTTTTCTGGTGGCAAATACGCATGCGCCAAACAGCCAAATCGTGGGCTCTGGGTACGAGATTGACTTCGCACTCGTTTACATGAAGAGCTTTCCTGTGACCTGTGGGGTTTCCAATGGGTTTTCCCTGTTGAATAACGAAATATTATAAATCGTGAGATATAGTATCACGAGATATATAATCAAGACTTACAATTTGTGATATTAACGAATAAATACACGCAATAAATACATAGTTTAAAGCACGAAAGTCTGACAGTATGTCTTCAGGGACCCTTCAGGATTCCTTTTTTACTTTACTCTTATAACTGAAGCGACGAGGACCACCAGTAGATATCTTCTTGAGATATCTTGACAAAACTGTACGCTCTAATGAATGCGCTAAAATAAATAGGCAAATAATGAAAGAAACAACAAATCTGCATGGAAGTGTAAGGATTTGGCTTTCGTAAATCTTTCAGACGAACGTTTTGCTGGGCACCGGGCAGTTCATCCTCCAAGCATTCGGAGTCTAACAGAAATCATCAAAGATTTAAAAATTGATATGAGCGATGAAGAACTGCAAGAACATCAAGGTAGATTTATGACACACCCAAGATTAATTTGGTATTGCATTTGAGTAACTCCATATGAGACCCCCTTCTTTTTGTATCAGATGTGATCGCACGCTTTTGTGAAACAACCTTCCAGAGGATATACGATTTTCCTGAACCAAAGTTGCCAGTGAAGTATCCTCGTAAAACTGGAAATCAGCCTACTGTAGAAGAAAATCCATTTAATGCTTGGTAAATCTTTTCTTTCTGAGCCGTTTGTATGAAAGAGCGTTTAAAGTTAACTTAGGTTATTAGTTGCCATTCGAATTTATGCCGGTATGACATAAAATTTAAACTATAGGTACTGGAAGTGTGATATTTCAGGCGCTCCCGAGGGTAAACTACTTGGTAAAACCATCGCAATAAAAGATAATATCCCAGTTGCTGGTATTCCAATGATGAATGGATCGCAACTTTTGGAGGGTTATATTCCAGATATTGATGCCACTGTTGTGACCAGAGTGTTGGATGAAGGCGGACGAATTCTCGGCAAAGCCGTCTGTGAAAATTTGTGCTACAGTGCAGGAAGCTTCACATCTGCAAATGGTCTTGTGAGGAACCCTTTGGATCCATCAAGAATGGCCGGAGGATCATCCTCGGGATGTGCTGTGTTGGTAAGTTGATTGAAAAAAATAAAGAAATGATTTACGGTTGAGTGTGACCTATCAGGAATGATGAGTAATTTATTCTTTACTTTGTCAAAAGGTTTTAATTTTTAATAGCCAATAAGAACGTAGACATGGCTATAGGAGGAGATCAGGGGGGCTCGATACGCATACCAGCGGCAGCATGTGGAATTGTGGGATTGAAACCAACATTCGGGTTGGTGCCTTACACTGGCATTACAAGTTTTGAACCAACTGTAGATCATACTGGACCCATGGCGATGACAGTAAAAGATACAGCGTTACTTTTGGAGGTAATTTTGCAACCGTAGGCTTATAAATTATTGGGAATGGTGTGGAGTTTAATGCATATTAATTAAGTGGACCTACATTGTGGAATTCTCCTCTCCAACAATTTCTAATGTTCCTAAAAACCTCTCTGCATTTTAAAATGACGTTTTGTTCCGATTTTAGGTAATAGCTGGTTACGATGATGGTTTGGATCATCGTCAACCACGTGATATTAAGATTCCTAGCTATACAAAGGGGGTAAAATTTGATGATCACCTCGTTATATTCTTCTAAACCTAAACTACAGAATGTATTTCAGTCGTATGATTATAATGCAGCAAAATAATGATGATTGAATCTATGAATCTATAGAATTTACCTTTTGATTGATTAGATTGAACGTTAAGATTGCATGGATCATGAGAAATAGTTCTTAAATCCACGAGAATTATAACAAGCTATTATTGCTTGTTGTACAGTATATAATATTGTTTTTATTTCAATTACAGCTAACAGGTGAGATTGAGGGTATACGCGTGGGCTTAGTAAAAGAAGGATTTGATATAAGTGAGAAAGATGTTAATGACCTGGTGAGAAAATCAGCTGAGAGACTAAGTGAGAAAGGCGCAGTGGTTGAAGATGTCTCAATACCATGGCACTTGGATGGTAAATTCAAATTTCAAATTTAATGGACGTCGTAGACGGCGGCCTTTTTCTATATTCGCACTTCGCAGCTTTATTATTTTTTAATTTTTTTTTATTTCACTCGAACCCTGAAAACAAAAAATGCGCTCGGGCCTCTCTTGCCCAGGGTATTTACCCTGGCTCTTCTCTTTTACAATAATGCCTGCATATTTTTTTCAGGACCTGATTTGCTTAACGGCATTTCGTTATTCAATGTCGCTGCCCTTTTTGAAGGTACGTGTCTAGATAAGAGTAAGGCTATTGATAAGAGCTCGAGCAGAAGTGAGGCGTGCTACCCGAACTTTCCCAATATCCCAGGCTAGAATTTACTAAACTTTGGTACTGTCTCTTTGAACCCAGTCCCTAAACGCCATCCTTTCCTAACCGCAAATCATCCTAAAGATATAGCCCAGTGCTAACGATATAACCTGAACTTGTCATCGAAGATATATCAGTTGTATCAGTTCGTTCTGACAGCTGTCCATACACCATTGCAGGTCTATAACCATGAACTTTCCTCAGAGTTAAAACGACGAAAAAACCTCAGTTTCATGCTGTAAACTTCAATATGGCGTGCAAATTTAGATGCCTTAGCCTTTTTTAATTCATACGCACTGTTCCTCAAGGTACGTTTTCAAACAATTAATAGGCGAGTGTTCAGCAACTCAGGGATATCACAATACGCACCTGCAACTTGCTTTGACGCGTGGATTAAAGTGCCACCCTAATGACAACGACCCCTTGGTCAAAAACGCCCTGGTGTGTTACAGGTGAATAGCTTTGAATTTTAGTGTTATACTGATCTCTAACAAGTCTGTACGGTTTATACGGAAGAACGAAGCGATTGTATAAAACCTGCGAATACACGAGAATATAGAATGAGCCAGGATTTGAGCGAAACAACATAACGCAGCTACCAAATATATTCGTCAGAAGCAATCTGGTGAAGATGTAATTGCATTTTATCCATACGTCAACGAAGTTGTTATTTCACTTATTTGTTTCATCGCTAATATCTCTCGTTCAACCATTTTTCAGATACCTCCGTAACAATTATTATAGCGGGTATTATTATAGCAAATGCCAAAATTTACGACGAGATCTACGTGAAGCATATGATGACGCGTTCAAGAAATATGATGTCCTCATAATGCCGACTATTCCTAAGAAACCATCAGAATTTCCTTCAAAGAATCCTTCACTTTCTGGTAAATATTGATATTTGCAGCACCTGCTCCATAAAGATATTTGTATTACAGTGATTTTGTATTACACACTTTCTCCAAATTTTCCCCAAAAAGTACGAATGTAATTTGACGATGATTATAGTGACTCATAGTTCAATTTTGTTACGGAGTAGGGATATATTTGAACGAATTCAGTTATTCACTTTACGATTGATGAACATCTATTATGGATTTTTAACTGCAGAATATATTGAGAAAGCCTTGGAAGTGTGCAACAACGCATGTCCATTTGATGCCTCTGGTCATCCATCATTGTCGATCAACGCTGGATTTTTACAAGGGTTACCTGTGGGAATGATGATCACTGGTAAAATGTTTGATGAAGAAACAGTCCTGAATGTGGCGTATGCGTTTGAACAGCTACGGGATAATGCATAAACTATATTAAACGAGATGGTGTTTTATCTTGCTTGCTTGTTAACTCAATCTCAATGCAATAGTTCACAATACTGAATGTCAATGCAATAAATTATATGAATAAATTTTGGAAACAAAGTGATGTAGAGAAGCAGTTGGATTTTGTAGGAAACATTTACATATTTACTCAAAAGTCAAAAATAACATTATTTCTGACCGTATCCAGTCTGTAGTGAGCGTAGTAGGATTAGAGATGGAAATCTTACACCATACTATATTGTATTGAATGCGACTATGTGTAACATATGGGGTCTTCAAATTCAAGCCAGGAACAGTTAACTCATTTTCCATCAACTGTTCCTGGCTTGAATTTGAAGTGTGTATAATTCTACCCGAGATTAAGAGATTAAGGTACATCGAGTGAAGTGCCAAAAATCATAATCGATTTATGCGTAACATGAGCTGCCCTAACATGGTCATCATGATGATTGGTCACAGGTGTAAACAGAGTCTGCCGCACGCCGCACGGTAGATCTAGCAGATGGCAAACCGAACAGAATTTCCCCAGAAAGGTATGAAAATGACGGTAATTTTATATAAAGCTATGTGAAATTATCGTTTTTTTAAGTATACTTATTGATGATCATAATTTATTTGCTATTGACAGGGGCTCTCAAGTCCCTCTATACGACTACTATACAGCAACATTACATCTTTGCTTACACGGCGTCTACTTCATCGCTGTTGCTACTATGAGCTATGTTCTTTTTTAGTTTCGTGCTTCGCTCAGTTCGCAGTCATAGGTAAATACGGTCATGTGACAGTGAAATGGTGACAATTCACCGTGCTGAAAAGCCCCTTAGAGAGGAATGTAATATTGAACACTGCTTCATGCACATGCTTTCCCTACTGTATATGAAATATTTAGCTGCAAATAGACTTTTGCTTTCACTTGACAGTGAATGCCATGTATGAACTTTAAACAGACTTGAAAGTGTGCTTTGAGTATCTAGTTTCAGTAGTTTGAATCTGATACATGGCACTCATAAAAGTTCCAACCCAGTGAACTCAAATAAGACTGGAACACCCTCTCTGTCGGAAGTTTGAAGCCAAGATGGCGGACACTGAAGCCTTTCTTGTAGGTACAGTTCACTGTGTAGGTATGATCCAGGCCTCCGCGCGGAAATTTCATACGTAAAATGGCGGGAATTATGATTTTACCTTTGAAATTTCTGCGCCAGAGGCCTGGATCATACCTACAAGAAAGGCTCCATGATCCGCCATCTTGGCTTCACTCAGAGTGAGCGTTCCAGTCTTATTTGAGTTCACTGTTTCAACCTCGTACACAGAGCCTTCTCGTAGGGGGGGGGGCAGGGGAGAGAAGGCTGCCCTGGAAAAGGCTGCCCATGTAACTCCCAAATTTTTTGAAGTATTCAGTCAACCTCGCATTCAGTCAACGATTATTGAGAATGTCAACTCTATCTGATGTTTATAGTACAGTGAACCTGAAAATAGTATAATGTATTTTCACACCTAATAGAGAACAAATTTTGACTGAACGTACATCAATAAATATAGGCTGTATAGGAAGTATACCATATTTTCTACCTGGTTCCCTGCTTTGTATATCAGTAGTATCAGGTCCACCCTTAACATTCCATGATACAAATAAATACTATTTTCTTGTTTTCTTTTATGTAAAACTGTATACATTGTCTCTCTGTGCAATACAGTTTTCTTTAGAGAGGTTGCATCAACCAATGCATTGCAACACCTTTTTTCCACCTGTGGAAAATGGAATTTGAGCACCCTTTACTTGCAGAATAAGAAAAAGATTATTCAGCTTTACAAATTGAGCACTTAGTGATGTGGAAGCTTAAATTTAAATATTAACTTCAGGGCAAAGCAGCTGCCTAGTCTGAGAAAAAGGCCTTTATAGTTAAGCAGTTTTGTTATGTGGTAGACACCATGCAATTCATATTGATTGTAATGTCTTCAGAACGAGGTTTTCAAGGTCATCAAGTTGTTCAATCCCCAAGTAATCAATGCCTTGCTGATATTGCCAAGGACCTGAAGTTTGATTTAAATGATGATGAACTTAAAGAATATCAAGGTGCGTTTTCAGACAATAACAACATCTTGTACTGTAGAGGGTTTAACTTCCTTGCATGGCAAATGGTCCAGGCCGTCCAGCTAATTCCAGTGACGTAACGCAACCGTAGTGCCCCCCCTGTCAATCGTTCACTTTCAGTCCCCCTTTCATCCACTGAAAGTGTACAACTTTTGAGTTCACAATCGCTATCTTCAGTAAATATTTTGTCACAGAATAAGGTGGTCGTATCAATGGTCATATTTCCATTTTCAAAACATAGGCCAACATGTGCAATATTTTATAGTGTAGTTGTTGAATGCTACCTCTAGATGTCAATGTCATATGTCATGTCGAGCACATTGGCCAATTGTCGAGCACTACCTCTAGGAATAGGGTACAAAATATGCTACTAATAATTGCTGGAAAATATAATTAATATGAGCAGGGTATAGTGGGACGTAGTAAGTTTACCAGAAATAACAAGAACCCTAAATCCAACCTTAATCCTATCCTCGTGTACTTACCGTGTATAAGGATTATATACATTCGCAAGTATTTCAGATATAGGAGAGTATCTGTTGTTTCAAATTATTGACAAAACGATCAAAATTATCCTTAACGTCAACTGAGTCTAAGAAGCCTTTTAGGCATGTAAATTAAATTGTTTGTTACAATAGTTTTTGGATTACAAAAAATGTTTTCACTTTTATATATTTCAGAGGTGATTGCAAGTTATTGTGAGACAACTTTCCAAAGGTTATACCATTTACCTGAACCAAAGTTGCCAGTGAAGTATCCCCGAATGATTGGAAAACAGCCTTCTGCAGAGGAAAATCCATTCAATGCTTGGTAAAACACATCAATAATGCACGGTATCGAAGTTTCGGAATGTGTTTAAAGCCGGCTTTGATGAAACAGTGCAACTTCATGTTCAACTTCAAATGAAAGTGTCGTTAGAAGCAGATTAAAAATATAAACATACTACAGCAAAAACAGGAAGAATAATGCTAAAAAACACTAGTTTCCTAAAAAATTGAAGCGTAATGCAACGCAGTTTGTTTAATTAAGATAGTCAGTCAGCGATATCGTCCTCCTTGCCCTAGGTATTGGAAATGTGATATTTCTGGCGCTCCTGAGGGTAAACTACTTGGTAAAACCATCGCAATGAAAGATAACATCCCAGTTGCTGGTATTCCAATGATGAACGGGTCGCAACTTCTGGAGGGTTATATTCCAGATATTGATGCGACTGTTGTGACCAGAGTGTTGGATGAAGGCGGACGAATTCTTGGCAAAGCCGTCTGTGAAAATATGTGCCACAGTGGAGGAAGTTTTACAGCTGCAAATGGACTCGTAAGGAACCCTATTGATCCTTCACGAATGTCTGGAGGATCCTCTTCAGGATGTGCTGTTCTGGTAAGTTGTTTATGCAATTGTTAATAGAAAACCAACATACAAAATTGCTAATGAATGTTTCGCGAGGCGATACAGGTATACAAAGGCTATATTTATGGTTTACATGAAGAATTATTGGGTAGAGTTGCTCTGATGTCGTTAGATTGCTTGTCATTTGAGAAAAGCCAAATTATTGCCTACAAACAACAGGCTTCTTGAATTAGTACTTGGCTGATTGAATTTGTGAATAATTTCATAATTTTAATTTATTGTGTTTTCTTTCATCAGGTTGCCAATAAAGACGTAGACATGGCTATAGGAGGAGATCAAGGGGGCTCGATACGCATGCCAGCAGCAGCGTGTGGAATTGTGGGATTAAAACCAACATTCGGTTTAGTACCTTACACTGGGATAATTCCAACTGACCCCACGATAGACCATACGGGACCGATGGCGAGAACTGTTTCTGACACGGCATTGTTGCTCGAGGTACCGAATGAAAAGACATGGAGGATTTCATAGCCATTAAACTATTTGCTACAATCATGCATGCTTAAAAAACGACACTAAAATTTAAAGTTTACATTTTTGGCATACATGCATTGTACGGCATGTTAAGACTTTTGTAGCAATTCGTTTTGGTGACTTATAGGAACTGGCTTGTCATGCACGTATTATTAACGATAATTTCCAACGATCTCTCGATTTCATTGTGAAACATGTCAAGGATGATGACTGACTTTTGTATCAATGCACATACCTTTGAATATAGACTGGGTAATGCAGCAAATTTTATTATTGAATATAACTTTCTCAAGTAGTTTTTCTACCTAAAAGCGGCACTATAGATAACAGGATGACATGCAGCATAAGGTTGGACTGTATCATTTTTCATTCCAGGCGATAGCTGGTTACGATGGTGGCCTGGATCACCGTCAACCAAGTGATATCAAGACACCCTGTTACACAAAGGAGGTAACACTATTATAATACAAAGAAAGACAACAACAATAGCAAAGACTTTTAGCTAAGAAGATGGCTGTCGACTTTCAGTCTAGACCGTTGTTTCATTTGATATAGATTTTCTTTGTACTTCAGTTAACAGGCGATATTAAAGGTATGCATGTGGGTTTGCTTAAAGAAGGTTTTGATACAACTTTGGAGGCAGATGTGAATTCACTGGTGAGAACATCAGCGTTAAGGTTAACTGAGAGAGGCGCTATAATTGAAGAGGTGTCAATACCGTGGCATCTAAATGGTATGTGCATTAAGAGAAAGGATTTAGCCAAATTCTAAAAGATAGTCCATCAGAAAAAGTTGATGACACAATACGCGTCGTATAGAGAAGCCATAAGTTGAAGCCAAAGGAATTTTCAGGGCTCTCTATCCCGGGGTAAAGGTTGAAATAGGGATGGTAAGTATCCTAATTCCAGGGAATTCCCAACTCCGGTTTGAATACAAACTGCTGTCAGTTTGTAACGGCGTTTACGGTTGTCTCGTCAGCATCTTAATTTCTTTTACTTTTTGACGTTTTTCTTAGCCAAAGATTTACATTTTGGTATTTGCATGCCGAGAGCCTTTATGGCGCTACTTGAAGGTTGGTTCGGTGTATTCGTCGTGGTTTTTTAACAAAGACTGAAATCGTCTGTTTTGAATCGACAATTTTGTTCCCGTTTCTTCGTAGCTAACATAAGCCGTGTTTATAATACTAGATGTACCCATCACACAGACAAAGCGTGGCCTTGCCCAGGCAAAGCTCTGCCGCTAGTTACTTGTTCTGTTTGGGCTTTGCTTTCCTAGGCCCAATGACGTCCGTTAACACTAGTTCAAAATCATATGTATAAATTTCTGCGTTAGGGGAGTGTTCAGCCACCCAGGGATATCACAACACCCATCTACAGGTTGCTATCTCCCGTGGACGTCAATGCCATGCTAATGATTTCCCACCTAACTCGAAACGTACACTTTTGTTCAACAGGTACGACGCTAATAACACTTGGTATCAATGATTTATGTACTCGATTATTTATATAATGCATAAGACAATGATTGGTTGGAAGGAATCTCAAGGATAGCAATTAGTTTCAAGCAGTGATATCAACAATTGTTTTATTGTAAGTCCCAACTTTTTATCTCACCGAGGAACTTTATTTTTATATTTGACTGTTTTTTAGATATCTTCGTGACAATAATTATGATGGGTATTATTATACCAAATGCCAAAATTTACGACGTGATTTACGTCAAGCATATGATGACGCGTTCAAGAAATATGATGTCCTAATCATGCCAACTATTCCTAAGACAGCATCAGAATTTCCTTCAAAGAATCCGTCTTTGTCAGGTAAATTATTATGTACCCAAAAATCACGTACGAAGCTTTTGGGTTGAACCAGGTTCAACTTGCACTTCATTTATGGGCAAGAAACGCTCCCGTGGCCTTGCCCACAGTCAAGTTTTATAAAAATGATCTTGCATCTTCATAATAAATTAAGATCTAAACCAATATCAAATAGCACTTGGTATAGACACACTGACTGCTGTTTTGAGGAGTTGATGCTGTTTTGAAGAGTTGATTGCAACAACAGTCTCAACAAGTCACGAAATGTTTCGGCTGGTTGAATTTAGTGTTAATATATGCCATGTGTATTGTGTATAGCTACGTGCGATCAACTTCAATGAACTGAAAGCAATTTTTTTATTATCCCCTTAAGCAACTATTTGCTTCGTGAAAAGTTGAAATATTTTCATATTTTCATAGAATACCTTAAGAAAGCATACGAGATGAACGTAAACACAGCATCATTTAATCTCACGGGTCATCCCTCTTTATCCATCAACGCTGGATTTGCGCATGGGTTACCAGTTGGAATGATGATTACTGGTAAAATGTTTGACGAAAAGACCGTACTGAACGTGGCATACGCTTTTGAACAATTACGGGAAGGAAGAAGGGCTGAAAGTGACTGAAATTGTTTAACTTTCTAGGAATAGCTGATATAATCACTGCAATCTCTGCGTGCGTATAACAATTAGAAATGATAAATCGGATTTTTATCATGTTGAATAAAATAATAGAATTGCTATTTTATTTTGTTTCAATAAAGACGATTCTTAATCTCAAGCAAAAAGCATAGCAATGTTTGTCATAAAAACAGGGTTTGTTGTCTAATGGCATAGACACCATAGTTTCGTGTGTAAAGACCCACCTGGGAGCCCAATGAGCCTCGCCCCTCGGGGCATTTAATCATTTCTACTTAATTTAAGCAAATTTAATCATTTAATTTTTCTATTACTAACACTAACCAACTCAACCCAATCCAATCCGATCCCTTAAATGTACTTGAGAGAAGATTTATACATGCCATCTTGGTTCTGCGCTAACCTGCAGCTTTGGTTTCAACTGTTACGTTGCGCATGCGCAGATCTCTGTCTCAGCTTTTTTTATTGCGGGAAAAATATGGAAAGATGGATCAGGTATGTGTAGCATTATTTAAAAAAAATTCAGACCTTCCAACAAATTGGCATGGAAGAAATGCATGCATGTGTGCGCGTACAAAAATTCATATATCCTTTCAGGTTCATCCCGCAATCGTTACATCTATAAATGTCCTATATTACTGTTGATCAATATCTTACACGTTGATTCCGTAATATGCAGTTGTCTGATTATAATTTCAACAATTTTTGATGGTCCTCGCTGCTTGCGTATTGTAAGATGTGCGGGGACTTCGAGAACTTGTGATAAAGAAACAAACGAAGTCGGCTTACGTTTGTCGTCTGTGGTAGCTTTTTAGGAAAAAATCTCGCGTTGGACACAGCAGTGAATAAATTCAGGAGCAAAATAAATTTGAGTTCATGAATTCAAGTTTAGGCAAAGCTCTCGTCTGCGGCAAATAAAGCTAATTGATTAAGCGGGAAACTATCAAGTCTGACGCAAATAATTTCGTATTTGTTACTAACAGCATCACAAACCTCATAAAGTCGTTTATCAGTCGCCATGCACACATCTCATACGTTCCTTTAGGCTTTACTCTAAGCTGGCAAACCTTGTTGTTTCCTCTCCTGATATCTCTGCCACTTGAAAAATCTACAAGGAAAAATAAATGCCTATATATTTATCTTATATTAAAATCTGGGCGAATTGGTGGACGTTCGCTGTATGTATAGACAAGGGTTGAAATTTATTTGACTATCTCCTGGGTTCTGTACTCAACTTTGTGACCCCGCATAACAGGACGCCGGTATGTTATATAATTTAGTTCTTATATATACGGCGGCTATAGCAGAATTACTGAAAAAGAGGAATGAATGCTATTCATGCACGACATGAGGACCCAGTCGTAGGAAACCCATTTGGCCGGCGAAGTTTACTCTTCATTACTTCTCGTTAAATATTCTTCTTCACTTCATTCAATCACCTGCATCTGTTGTATAAAGACAAGGTTTGGAACCACAATGTCATGAATGATTGTGAGTATGCTTTTAGTTCTCTGAAACAACCTTTAACGCTGATGAAATTTTACGCTGTGAATGTGGAACGGACCTCGAAACAACATTACGGATGTAGAACTACATACTCTATGTCATTTTCACTTAATACTAAGTTGTTATTGTTTCTTCATGTATCGAGAAAGTCCTATAAATTTATTAACTTGCTTAAAGTGTATGTTTGTGTCTGTCTATTTGAGTTAGTTGTGGAACCCCGTCATTGGAAACATATCTCTGTGTGGTGATTCCAGCCATTGCGTGTGTGTAGTTCATTTGTAGTTTATGTGTAGTTCATTGTAACTTTTTAACATGGCAAATTTATAAAACAATAAAACAATGTATCAAAGTAGACCCTATAACGCTAGAACAATTAGCAATAATAAACGATGAACCGATAAGCTAAGCCATTGTTAATTCTTATATACTAGTTAGATACTTTTAAAAATATAAGCGATTCTTGCTTGTCATTTTCCTGTAATTAAAAAACAGTATGTAGGAAGGATTTTTTAACCTTGAAGGTGGAATGTTTAAATATTTTCAAAAATATGTTCGGCGTTCGTGTAACAGCATACTGGCATAGTTTTGGTAAAATGTTTAAGTATTTTTGAAAAAATTTATTTTTAAATGTATTCTGAAAAAATGTTCGGCGTTCACGTTTGCTTGTATAATTTTGTATATTGCTTTGACGAAATGTTCCGACGATTGTGAATTGTTTGTTGTCTGCTTATATTTCGTATCTATAATCCGGCCCCCGCTGTGCGCGATATTAGAACTTTTGACCTTCCATGCTCTACCCATATCGAGGTTTTGTTTAAAAACGGATGCATGATCATGTGTATAACTTTTGAAACTTTTTTTACTAGTGTAGGCAGGAAAAATAATGGTAACATATACCATATAGGGATGTAATTTCAAGAGTTCATGCGTGGGGGTTAGCTACAAAATGGATTTGTTAACGATCTGGCAATAATACACCTGTATATAGCCAGTTGTATCAAGCCCGTTTAGCTTAAACGGTGGTTAAGTTCAAAAGAGAAAGCAAGTCTATCGTTTTATTCAACAAGCAAACTAAATTTTTTTAACCTTAATACAAAGATACTGTTTACAACTACATATTCAGTGCATAGTATATATTCGGCAAGAGAGATTTAAGAGTGTTGTTTAATTTTGACTTATTCACCGTCTAAGCTAGGAGGCCTACCTTATAAAATTGTATAGTATTAATGGCAATTAATGATTACATTCATATATAGCATGCATGCAAACAAAAATTCATATTTTAGTTGTAATATTTTTCTATCCTTCCAAACAAGCACTGATCTCTTTTGACAAAAGGGCTAATTCAGTTTAGCACAAAGACAGCACTTGACTAATATTTCATTCAAGAGTTTAGGTTATATATTATTAATCTACGGATGCAACGTGGGCATGTCTATATAGGTCCTTCCATTTATGTCGGCTCCGTCGTTTTTCACGTGGAAAATGAAGAGGATATTTTCCGTATATACCAAATATATGTGAAAGAATATTTCCGCTATCATATATACCGATAGTCCGATACAAACATTGCTCGCATGCTGCTAGTTTTTTCATTCATATTACCAATCATGGTAACACAATGGTAATACAAGTTGTCTTCCTGTATAGATATCGCGGCAGTCACCTGACGAACTAACTTGAACTTTGTCCTGAACACGCAACAAATGCGTCAGAAATAAAATATATATTACGAAGAAAACCATTTCTGCGACCTATTATTCTTGGCTTCCCTATCCTTTTAAATACATCAATACATGATTCGGTCGATCTCGAATGCTTTGTTATATCGCTACATGCACTGTGGCCAAAATTACGTTAATAATAGATATCTTTACACATTAAACTTTCCAGTAGGCTCGTCTATTTTTGTTCTACTTTAAAAGGGTTGTGTCAAATGTGGTATAACAACTTCCTAAAACAGTTGGCTGTCAGCCTGTCACACATGCGTTATATATTTCTAAACCTTTGAAATGAACAGCAGCCACACAGAATAGCCGCGTAATGTAAAACTACAATTGTTCATGATTCAACCTAGCGTCAGAAACCGTCGCACACCATCTCTTGAACATATATGGAGTCAAAATAGTTGCATACTCTGACGATGCCAGTTTTATTTACTTATACACATGCAGTGAGTGTGCACACAGTCATATTTATAAATATAACCTTTGGTCACTCTGAACTTTCGATATCGCTGTGATATGACGCACGCCAAATGATCTGCCTTTTCCTACGTGCATACACCACCTTACTTAGTCATTTTCTTTTCTGCAATGATTATATTCGATTTTTCGGAATAAGAAGATTTGAGTCATTGTCCTGCAGGTTTGCTTCCGTATTACTTTCAAGATAACTTAATTTAGCATATATGCTGCAATCGTGATGCACTCTTTATAGAACTAAAAGTTGACCTCGCCTTTTTACAACTAAAATTAACTATTACAGTCTATTTTTTGTAGTTATTTATGCAAAAGCAAAAATCTCATAACCAATCTCATAACCAATAATGGTAAAATAACTTGCAATGATCCGCTATCTATATTGCCAGTCAATAACGACTAGAAGTGGCGTTTTCCTCTGATGTATATACATATTCTTATTAGTAAGAGTATTTCGATTCTTGGATACCATGCAAGCATTTGTCATTTCTATACTTGGTAATAATATGCAAATGATCTCAGGCCCGTGCGCTCGCGTTTTTTTAGCTGACCTCTATACAATAACTGAATGCAACAATATTTTTTACTGGGTACGAGGCTGGCTTTGGTCGCGTCGAATGCAAATATGCAATTCAAACAATATAGATAATAATAAGATGATAATGAAGCTTAATGAGGTATATCATCTTATTATATATATATATTGTTTGAATTGCATTCGACGCGACCAAAATGCGACGTTCAACCTGCGCCTGACATCATGCAATGATTGTGCCATCGAATTACACTACGTCACCCTGACACCGTTTTATTGTTTTTCACATGTCAACCTATATATCTGTGATGAAATGCATGCGTGTGAATATCTTGGAATTTAAGAACATTGAAGAGCTGTTGAAACCGAGTCGTGAACTCTCTAGCCATGTACTTATCTTTAAGTGTTTTTACTGCTTTAGGCCGTGCTCAACTTCACAAAGGACAATTCGTAGACCGGTAGACTAGTTACGAATTTATATCGAAATCAACTTTTGCACTTCCTTTTCCGGCCTTGTGATCGTCATCGAAGGTCATGGTATAATGACATGCATATATAAACGCAAGAATAGATTAGGAATATCAACAGTCATAACAAGTGCACGTTGAAGTCAACTAACTAGATCTTCAGACTTAACTTACATCAATTCGATATGGGAAAGGCGAGAAAATCTACAAAGAAAATCAAAACGAAATCGTGCCTGGGCAATATAGAAATGAATTTTGCCATCCTTGGTTCAAGCCATTGCGGTAAGACAAGTCTCGTGAAACGATTTCTCTGCAAGTCCTTCAGTGATAAATACAACCCAACTTCCATGGATGTTTTTGAAGAACACTACAGACTTGATGCTACAGATGTCGGTGTTTCATACCGTATTTTTGATATCACTGGTTCCGACGATTTCCCAGCCATGCGGCAACTCGCAATCAACTCTGCCGATACATTCGTCATCGTTTACGCTGTGAACGATCGAAAGTCCTTCGAAGATGCCAAAAAGGTGAAAATGGAAATATTGAAAACAAAGGGTCGAACCGCAGACATTCCGATATTATTGGTCGCAAGTAAATGCGATGTAGATAAAGAGAATCATGTGGTAAGCTCAGAAGAAGGAAAAGTATTAGCAAAACATTGGGGATGTCATTTCGCGGAGACGTCCGCAAAGGTTTCACAGAACATTGACAATCTATTCACACAACCTATGATCAAAACATTAAAACAGAAATATCCAGAACTTGCTACAAGGTTTCAATGATGCTTCGCTATGTTGCTCGTTGATATTATCGTATTAATGATATAAAAGTATGAAAAAAATTAAACGTGTCCATTTGTAAAAAAAATTATTATATACAATGTAAATAACTGTAGGCATTTATCAGAATTATCCATGAATGATCAGAATAAATTAAGTTTAAAAATATTGTGTTAGCGGCTTGAGGGCTTTGCCTGTACATTAATAAATTTGAAAATCACTGCATGCTTCTCACGACAGAAGGTGCATGTTGAACTGACGTCTGCCGCAACAAAGGTACTTACGGCCAATTAACCTTCAATTATTCAAATCTGGCCGAATGACGTTCATGATCACTTTATTCTTTGTTCTTCGTTTAAAATGACATTTGTAGAATACAGTTTAAAAGCAGAATATAGGCAACCATAAATATAGGAAATGTGATGAGTGTATATACACTGTATACGTGCAGCACAAAGCTAAAAATTTTACGGTATACATGCATTACTGGTCATAACTCATATGAGGGTGAGACGTGCACTGTGACACTCTGTATGGTGTTAAAGTTCACATTCTTTACTTGTTTATAAATATAAATGTTTACCCGGTCATTGCCTCCACCCACACAATGTTATTATTCGGCCACGGCATATACATCAGTTAGAAACTTGTTTTTCCATTCATAGCAACAGGCGGGCTGGGTCATCACGTTTAATATATGATACTGACAAGGCCGCCAAGGGGCGGAAAAGATATATTGTTCTGTTATCGCATTTGGGTGTATTGCGAGAAAAGCAGTATATTTCACCCCCATAAATATTTCTAAAAGAAAAAAGAACATTGCGACTCCCTCAATCGTCGGTATGCTTCCTGTGCAACAGTCTATAAGTCTACAACAAGCTGAGCAAAGTCACTTCTACGTAGATTTTATTAGAAACGTGATCAACATGAACTTGACATAACATGAAGTGCTCTCATGAACTCAACATGACAACCACTGAACTATACATTATCGGTGGACAAATACATGGAAATAACACGACATGTACCCAAACTAACTGGCTTTTTCCTGCCGAGAGTATAGTTAATCAACACTTGTAAACCCTTCATGAACAAAATATGGTTTCAAAATGATGAAATAATTTGAAATATGCTTAAATATTAGAGAAGTTGTAGACTTTTTTAAACTTTGACGTAATATTATAAGGGTCCTCGTTAGAAGAGTTAAGGCTAATAGTAATATGGACTGGTATAAACCGATATAGTAAAAGACGTTCCAAACGCGTGCATCATACACGTGCAGAGGCACGAGAGTAAGAATACAGTCGACTGATAGATATTTGCACAGATAATATAGATATTGTTTTGTTCATGCATGCATGTGAACGAACAAAAACAAACTATTATTTACTCCATACAATACTAACGAAGAAATAGCTTCAATAGCTTCCATAACGTCAACCCCACAACTGGCACAACCGCACAAGATTATGCCCGAATACTTCGAGTTCGAGTACTTCTGAACCGCTGTTCGTTTTAAACTGACCTTTACAAAATATGGCTTTTGTCAGTCCAGAAAATATTTATGGAAAGTTTAAGTTCGTAAACAAGCTATTAGAAATATTGTTGTACGGATTTGCTTTAACATAGGGTTAAGCTTTTTTGAAAAACCGGAAAAAAAGTGTGGCCATGTCCATGCCCATGGCAACTTGGTAACCAGGGTATAGCGCGAATGTTTTTCAAATATTGACAATCTGATATTATAGTATTTACCAAACCTGCATGTACACAAATAAATAATTGTTTTCCCACGAAAACGCCTAAATCATAGCATGCTATATTTGTAATGGACATTTAGTGTGAACTATGAGGCTCTTGTCTTGTTTTTTGTATGACAAGTACCGCCGGAAATACTCATTCCCGAAATGGGCGATGCATGATTAAACCGGAAATTTCATAATATCACTTCAGTCCCACCTTCCTTGTACGCATATGAATTTTAGAGCAGTTGACCATATATTACAGGTTTCTCTGTAGGGTAGACTAATTACAGATCGTTGCCGAAGTATAGGGAACAGAAAAAATTATATTATATACATACTAAGTTTATTCTGGAGTTTTTAGTTTAATGAGCGGTTTGTGAAGATATGTTTTTGAACAATGTTCAGTTCTCTTGTGTGTAAATGTTGTATGTCCTCCTAAACAGTCAACACCATTACTGAACACAGATTTAACTCAGGCTGGTTTTCACAACGAAGAAATAAACTATCTAATCCATCATAATATCCTTACAACCCGCACTACTTGGTAATCTTTACCGGCATCCGTGAATGTACACCAGAATCGCAGAGGTTTGATTATCGCGGAAGGACAGTCACACAAGCTCACATTAAAATCATCAACACTTGATATTTGTGTAGATTAATCATTTTTTACAACTTTTATTGTAAATTATTACACTTATTTAACCAAGCTGTTATATACTGTCCTAAAGATGTAAAAAGTTATGGATGTTCAGTAACTTCTCTTTGGCCGGTTGTATAAAATGGTACAGTTAACTTCAGTTTAACTTATATAACTCAGTACTACTGGTCACGAACGGATCTTCCCCCAGGGAGACTTGGAGTTGATGCTCCCGTAATTGTTTCTCCCCACGCGTCGGGAACGAGGTTGGCTCCGCCCTGAACGATGACCATTGTTAATGATGACCACTGAGCTATATACGAATAATTATATAGCTCAGTGGGTCCTCAGTGATTATGAGTGATGTGATGACTCAACTAAAATCAAAATGTCTGCCGAAGAGGGTGAAGAAATTTGCGAACATTATGTTAGAAAATGTGGCTTAGTGGTAAGACAGTAGAATGAAAAATATCTCACATATTAAATAAGCACTTCGATTTAATTAATAATAAAGCATGATAAAAATTTTATCTATTTTATAATTGTTTTATATTCAGCGTTTTGTTAATTTGTTTACATCGTACACATCGTAGAGCCCATGTTGTAACAAAGTGTATCCTTGCCGTTTATGCCATGATAAAAAAGAAAGCCACAAATTGATCCGTACCGATGTTAAATTTATTGAATGTTTGCAGTGTGGTTGCAAGCAAAAGGTAGGAATATAGGAAATCGTACCGTTTTGAACAATTATTTGCTACTTGCTAGTTGCTAGCAGTATCAAGTGAAGCACTGAAGCTGGTGCATGGATACCGATACCATCTAAAGTTAACACCATCTTTACAATTTTTTATCAAATATATCAAACTAAACCAAGTGATCTTGTAATTGAAAATCCCAAAATTGAGGCTTTTAACTTATAGTATATATAATTATTAATTGGTGAAGAGAGCATCTGCATCTCTAAAACCTGTTTACTCTTGCAATTTTTGTTGCAATTTTATGAGCAATTTTACTCGTTTGATAGACGTAAGTATGAATACATACATGTACCTACATTCCTAAACATTTTCAAGGATGTATGTCATCCATTGCACTGCAAAAAGATTTTGGTATAGTGATCAAGTAATTGAACTCTCTTAAAAGCCTCTTCACAGTTATAACCAGGGAGCAATGTGGCAACATCTTCAAACTACTTTCCTTCAAATGTGGTATAAGAACTGCCTAAAATAGACAAAAACACTTCATGACATTTCAACCTGGGGGTCCTCTAGTATGATAGATATGAGGATCCTGAAGGTCCCCAGGTCGAAAAGTGTTTTTGTTTATTTTAAGCAGTTGTTGTTATACCAAATTTGAAGTAAAGCTTTTCACAATTAGTTAATGGCCCTACTAAATTAGTTGCACTAGTAAATTAGTTTTTATCAATTACAGGCCCTAGTAAATTAGTACAGAAACTCACAACTTATTCTGATGGCATGTAATAATGCAAAAAGAATTACTTATTATTTTTCCAAATAAGGTGTCTCCCAAATGCAAGAATTGTTTAATAATATTTGGAAAATATTACTGCGGCATTTGCCGTTTATTTGATGACAGAGAAAAAGGCCAGTTTCATTGTGATGGCTGTGGAATTTGTAGGTAAATTTCTCATTCACTAACATATATGTATATAGTTGTAACACCAAGAGGGAGCAATTGCCTCCACTCCTATTATTTTGTCATGCTAGAATATCAACTAACATGTACTGTATTTTTTTAATTATAAGGAACAATAGCATACTCAACATGATGAAATTATGTTTTCAAACGTACAATATCTCAAAATACGTTTACCCCCCAAGCAAAGTAACTCTGTCCCTTAGTTGCTATGAGTACTGGTGCCTCTACACTGCATACATACAGTGATACTGGCCTGGAAGCCTAAAAATCCTTAGTCTCATCTTAGGCATAAATTAAAATCATCAAAGACGGGAGACGGGTGGAGTTGTTTCCGAATTTATTGTTCTGCGTACTGCACTAAATACTAATTATTCCAGAAAGATAACTTGCTATTTCTCGTGTTAATTACCAATTATTATTGACAACTTTTGGAGAGAGACTGTCACGGTGTGTTAAAATTTCGTATATGACGGATAAGTCCTATATTTTTACACAAAAATAACTCACGCATCTTAAACTACGCAAGAACTTACCGGATGAGTTAAAACGTTATAGCGGAATGTCTAAAATATCCAAGGATTGCCATGGATTGTAAGCTGATCATTAAGGTCTGTTCAGTGTGTTCACACGATCCAATTTTGTTGGATCCAATTTACTTCTGACGTATGAAATATAGTCGGCTATTGATGAAGCTGCAGTACATTGGCTTCAGTGGATTTGCTGCTGTTCATTACAAGACAACAGACCAAAAAACATCCATCAGAAGTTAAATGGATCCAACAAATTTGGATCGTGTGAACAGACCTTTAGTTCAGTTTCCTTTCGAGTTTTCGAGTTCGGCTCTCGACCAATCAAAACACGTAATCTACTAAATTACTTGCACTTTATTCTTTAAAACCTCCCCCTGAATTTAATATCATGGCTCTTAGATGGCTTTTCAATGAATAATTAGAGACGCATTATTATAAGTGTGGTCTATTGCTGAATAAATTTTGAATAATTTTTGTTTGAAAAAAAGTTGTTGACAATTTGCTAGTAACGCACGATTTTCAACCAATCAAATTGTTAGGAATACAAAAATTGTTGTCACTGTAAATGTTTATAACTAAGATGTAAGATTAACTTCGCATCAGTTGACATTTAACAATTTCATTGGTACATAGTTTTACACTTTACTGTACAAGTTTTACGTTTCTAATCCAGGGACTTTTTAATTACAGAGTTGGTGGACGTGATAATTACTTTCACTGTGACAAATGTGATTTGTGTTTACGTAAATCTATTCTTGATTCTCACAAGGTATGACTTGACCGTAAGAATATATGGCATAAAATAAACAGTCAAATGAAAAGACTTCGGCCAGGCAAAATACTTATCTTTCATTTAGTTTCCTATATGCATATATTGATTACCTTAGTTTAAACATCGAGTTAAATTGATATCATTAATCATCATCATTGTTTGATAGTGTTTAGAAAAGAGTTCTAGAAACAACTGTGCAATTTGCTTGGAGGTACGTGGATATCACCGCAAAGTTTCACACTTTGGAATTTATTTCGCGGTTATTTTCGCCATTTCGAGTCATTATCTAAATTCATTATTTTTAAGGCAAAACGTATTTAGCACTTTAAATTGTAATATTTTGACTTGTGTTTATTGATTTAGGATATACACACCTCAACGATTGCAGCTCAAGTTCCTAAATGTGGTCATCTTATCCACTCGTAAGCTCAGTGAAATCTTTGCTATTTACAAATACCGTAATCAAGTACATATCTGTTTATGACAGCGATATTATGGCGTTGTATGTGTGCTAGCCGCTGGGTGTCCCAAAAAAATGACACCAGTTCCTAAACGCGCGTGATGGAATTCTATTTGAAAACAACTGTGTTACAACAATTACTTTTCCTTTGTCAGTTGATATTTTTCCCCTTCTCCTAGGACCTGTTTCAGTGACCTTCTCCAGTCAGGGTAAGTTTTACTTAAGGCTGTAAAATGTTACTAAAAGTGCGTTCAGCAATTCAAATATACCCGGCTAGGATTGTTCAATTGACATGAAAATGGAGTCTCTTCTGTGAATAAAGGGTACTATACATGTATGATGTATTGTCAGTGATGCAGCCAGCCTATTTAGCCCCCCCTATGCAAATATTATGCTCTATATTACGTGCATTTGCTTTCCACACGTATACGTACTACTTGTAAGTCTTATAACAATTGTGTTCATCAGATTACTACCATATTATTGTTTTTAAGAGGGTACACATGCCCAACATGCAATGTATCCTTGGTGGATATGTCTTCGTCTTGGAGGAGGTTAGACTCGACGATAGAACAAACTCCAATGCCCCAGGAATACGCAAATATAGATGTGAGGGTGAGTCATTTACTACAGTTATTAAAATCCCTTGGATAGGCGTGTATGTATTTCTAAAGTATAAAGATATGTAGCTATGTATATTTTTCTTATATAGATTCTCTGTCGGGACTGCCACAAGGTACGGAATCTCGTCAAGTTTAGGCAAATGCCCATAAATTGTTAAACGTGGGTTTGAAGCTGGTTACTGATTTTCGCCTTGTGAATGAATGAATAATTTTAAAATCACCAGTTGCAAGAGAAACGCAACACAATGAGGCTCGCGTGGCCATGTTGAATGGCCCTAAGTAATTATTCACCGGCAAATTTGGGCGAAATCAGATGCTGTTGATGAAAATTATCTGGGAAATCACTACAGCAGCAAATTAGATGTTGTGAGGCGACTCGACTGTGCGTATATTTTCGTTTATATAATTTAACTTTCAGCATTCCATAGTGAAGTTTCACATTATTGCTCTGAAATGTGGTGAATGTGGTTCTTACAACACCAGTCGTGATGACGATGGCAATGTTCCTATCAATCCAGCAGTAGCAGCAGTTGTCGTTGATCAGGCCCAGGATGTTTTAGACATGAACGAGGAAGACAATGAAGACAGCAGCGATGGGGATAACTCGGTATCAGAAGGGACAGATGAGAACGTGATGGATAATTCTGATAATGCTTCTGTTAGATCTGATTTGTCCTTAGATTAAGCGAAGATACTCCACGATCATTCCTGATAATCGAAGTATTTTTATACTTCCCTACAACATCGAAGAAAGTGCAAATGCTTTCTGAACTTGACAATGGCGCACCTAGACCAATACCATTAGAGAGGGGCAATGTAAGCAGCCACCAAGCTACATATGCACGTCATAAGATTATGGGAACTTAATGACAAATTTTCCACGGTAATGCACGTTTCAAGACTGGTACCTTTAGTTTTACTCAATCTTCAACGGAATCTTCGCATGTAACAGACCAAGTTTTAGAAGGATCCGAGGCGATAACATGATGCCCGATCTATGAAAATGCAAATACGATAAAAAGAGGTTTAACGTCTGACCCTTCGAGCGACTGCGGAACGTTACTGTATGCGGAAAACGTGTGTGAAAATGCGGCAAATGTGGTAGTCGTTTTTGTGGTACGTTTTTGCATTGTATATTCAGTGCAAATCGAATATATTAGATCATCAAGATATTCAATACATTATGGAACAAGATTCTTTTCCACGGTAATGCACGTTTCAAGACTGGTACCTTTAGTTTTACTCAATCTTCAACGGAATCTTCGCATGTAACAGACCAAGTTTTAGAAGGATCCGAGGCGATAACATGATGCCCGATCTATGAAAATGCAAATACGATAAAAAGAGGTTTAACGTCTGACCCTTCGAGCGACTGCGGAACGTTACTGTATGCGGAAAACGTGTGTGAAAATGCGGCAAATGTGGTAGTCGTTTTTGTGGTACGTTTTTGCATTGTATATTCAGTGCAAATCGAATATATTAGATCATCAAGATATTCAATACATTATGGAACAAGATTCTTTATAAATTATCACATCAGGATTAAATATTAATATTAGATGAATATTTCGTATAAGGATCAAGATCCAATATTTTTGATCATGCAAGAATATACGATCCAACATATTATAACAACAAGGTTGGTTTGCAAAAACTCGGACATAATGAAAAAAGAATATGTACTTGACTATAATGTGTTTATAATGAACATACTTTAATATTAATCAGATGTAAGAAAGTGTAAAGTACAAGGCGTAATGGCAAATAAGAAAAAATATCTACTAACCTCTGTTGACTTTGCCTCGACTTTGACAACACAATTCAAGTTGCCACAATGACTTACACAATTCTGACTTTTATTACAATTTAATCTCACGATGACGGCCTGACGGGACTAAAAGGAGAAATTACACACGTTGAGATGTTCGTTACTTGTGTGACGAGAAAGGTTTTGGATATATATGTAGATGAAACAAAAACCATTTTGAGTAGTACATAAGGAGGTACCCAAATAATAAATTCAGAAGTACAGTATAAAGATAGTTTCTTTTGAAAGACCTTTATCTATAGACATTTTCATTTTATGTATCAATGACCACCGACAATATCAATCGCCGATAAATTACAGTACACAACAGCGTCAAGATAGTTACCTTGTTTTCCACAGCCAAGCTTACACGTTGCTCGTCTTCGTAACGATGTAAGATTAAATCACGCATGCGCTTTACATTGCGTGTCGTAGAGTTGTCAACTATGGACTGTACGACAGCTTTGTTCAAAATTTCGTGATAGTCATCAATCTTCAGCGCTTGCAGTTTAATGTCACAGTCACGGGAGTAGATCTCTGTCGCATAAAAAGCAACCTGAAATTAAAAAAAGTTTTTTTGGAAAAAAGTCATGCTTGCGAACTTTTTCAAGCCATGAGTATGGGAATATTTTACGTCATACAATGGTTTCCTTTATGCTTACTCGCGTTCAAAATTGTCGAAACGTACCTGGTCAGGTTCAAGCGCTTTGTTGTAGCCCATACTGTTGAATGTTATCCAGAGATCGTTTGGGTCACCCTCAGCATCACGTGCCTCCATCAAATTTAAATCCAGAAAACCTTTGAGGGTGATCTCGCGACCATTCTTTGTATCGAAGTTTTCTGAACGCAACACATTAAAAACGTTAAAATTTCTGTTGAAATTCCACGCAGTTATATATATGTGAGTCTGGTGCGTGCTCGGGGCCCCATGATTTCTTTAACTTTACATGATTTCATTGTTCATATTGTAAGTGATATTATTAATCTACAATGACAATAGTGACATCATCAAAGATTTCTTGTTAACATGTTGGCAATACGCCTCTGTTATAAGCAACTAAATAAACCTTTTAGAATTTCAAACTGAGCACGACATCGCTGTTTCATGTTAAACGTGCTGTATGTTATACCTACCAACCATGACTTCCCAAGCATCATCGTCACACGACTCTCCACTCGTTCGCATTTGAAACACGTCAAATTCTTGGCGATTAAGGTAGCCGTTACCATCCAAATCACAGTGATGGAATATCTCTGTTAATGCGTCTCTACGAGAAAAATGGATGGGAAAAAACCCTACAATACTGTAGAAGGCAATAGGAGGTGTTCAAAGGGTGTGTCTTTCGAGTTTGACAATTTATGACTTTTTAACATAATTTGCGCTTAATAAGCATTTTTGTCTTTTTTAGACAGTTGAATTAAGAAGTATTTCTCTCAGCTTACTTGCATCGTTTTGTGAGCTCTATTTCTCCATTTACAGTCTTAATCAGCTCGACCGTTCGTTTGGATTCGGATGTTCGTGAAGAAAGTCTACAGCCAGTAGTGAAGACCAGAATATTGTACTCTCCTGCTGTAATGTCACTGAGAACACAGCTTTTCTGTCCAGAAAAACAACGAAGTGTAAGGCGGTACAACAGAAATACTGTGGTACAACTGGGTTTCAAAATGCTTTGGAATATATAAGCAAGGTACACGGTAGATTTAAATCCCACTAGCATTGCGTTTTATTGATATTGTCCTCGCGATTGGTTAACCTGATAGATTGATTGCATTTGATTAATTTATCTGCTCTTAGAGAGGGGAACGGCAGTGGCAGAGAAAGGCAAATCTGAATCTCACTACATATAATGACATGGATCATATAATAAAATAACGGAGCAAGATAGAGTACATAATAATTCTAATCTGGGTATATGCCTACGTTCTGTTCCAAGCGTTCACGTCCTGCATTCCTAATCGCGTCTTGTCTCCAGCTAATAACTTTGTTAGAACTGAACATTAGTTATAAATGATAAAACAATACATATTACTGAAGATCAAACTTTTTACACGATGAAACAACGCTTATTTACACGCAGCTGGTGTCAATAGCGCGAACACTCGTCTGTCTCGTCATAGAAGCTTTGAGCGCTGCACTGTACACTCCTTATGTACTGAAACCTGTCTATCCATATCATACCTCATCAACAATACCCTGGGTAAAGGCAACAAGCTCCCCTGAATCTGCTTTTACCACGAACAAAGTAACATCTATATGGCCGCCTGCAAGTATCAAAAGGGGGTTACTGGCCCGGTTACATACAAATGCAGGAAAAAAATCCTGGAGTTGATGGCCACGTAAGATCTATTAAACATATGTATGTCAAACACACCTTGGTAGTTTCCATGAATAGTTAACCACAGTTTTGTACTGGATGGTATTCTAAGTTTATAACAATGACTAGAGAATTTCCCACCATCTTCAACAACAACAAAACCTTTTCTCATTTGATAACTCCAATCCTGAGAAACAAAAAACAGACAAATAATTTTTAATTTTCAATAATTTTGTGTGTACACTGTAACTGACTGTATGTATGTTGTTTATCAAAGTTAATGCCTAGCTTGCAACAAAGGCAAAAAATCTGATAATTTTGAGTTCCTGCAAAGCTGTCAAGTGGGGAATATAACTTAAACAGCATTTAGACAGAAATGTTTGAAGCCAACCTTAAGATTTTTTGGTTCTTTGCTACCCTTTGCTATTGTTCTTGGAGGTTTTGATGGTTTGCTTTTTGTTGATAATGAGGTTGATTTTCTTTCTCTGGATGTGATGTCATCTTTTACTTTCTTTTGATTCAGTTCTTTACATTTTTCAGCAGTCGACATTAACATATCACAAAACTAAAAGAATAAAATATTTATCGGAGTGCATAATAATATGTACATGGAAAAGTATTTAAAGTATAGAGTCAGAGCTTTAAATAAGTGGAAATCTTGAATAGGAACAGGCTGCAAATCTGCAACAGAATAAGAATTAGTAACTGTTGTGCTGTAATTAATATAAAAATTCTTCAAACCTCTTCATAATCTAAACGACCATCTCCGTTATCATCAGCCTCGTCAAGAATCTCTTGAACTTCAGATTCACTCATTTTCTCTCCATACTAAGAAGAGAAAGGAAACTTTTACATGAACCACATCACAAAGCTATGATTTTTGGCTTAGTGAAACAAGCCTTTAATAATTGTCTGGGTATGCAGCTATAGTTTATAGGCAAAGTGTTTGCAAATACTAATAGTTACCATTGTTAGAGCCTTCTTGAGTTCAGAAAATGAAATAAAGCCATCATTATTTATATCCATTTTTTTGAAAGCTAACACAAGATCTTTTTTGCTATTGTGCCTCTCTTGCTTCATTATATCACAAAATTCTGAGTAAGATATGGATTCTAAACAACATGAAAGAATCAATACATTTAGTACATTTTGTACTTGCACAAATTGTTTATATTACCTTAACTTAATAGAGGTGAGCTGCAGGATTAAGTCATGGTTTTCACCTGTAGGACAAGGAGGGCCTTTGGCCAGGGCTTAATTTATATGCCAATGTTAAATTTAAGTAACTTTGCTTATAGGTACACCACATAGGTATTTAATACTGCAAAGCTTTCGGTCCATTAGCCTGGGTCTTCATCAGTGCAATCACCTGAATACACATGTACATGTTGACCACTTAAATATCAGGTTTGTCATGATTTGTCGGATGGTTTCACTTACCAAACCAGTACATATGAGAAAGAAATAGTTCTAATTAATGCACATGCTCCAGACAAGTATCTAGCTAGCGAACACTAAAAAGAGAAACTTGTCTGGAAACTAGAAACTTGTCTGGAGCACATGCATTAATTCTTTTTCATAATTGTTTGGAAGTGAAGCCGTTTAATTAATGGTGCAAGCTAACAAATCACGACAAACATTATATTTAAGTGACATGTAGATGTGTATTCAGGTAATTGCACTGATCAAGGTCTTTTATCACTTTTCATGCTCAGACAAAAATCACAAAATTGAAGTCATGTTAACAGAATCTGGCAAGTGGCTGCATTGGCCCTAACGTAAAGGTCCAATCTTGCAAATATGTATTTTATGGCCCCAATCTTGCAAATATGTACCCTAATCATGAAAATATGTGTAAGGGATTATCAGAAATTACAAACAACCATTTTTGTCTTTCTAAGCAGATCAAGCTATTTCAAATATTTTCAATATAAAATGCTACCTGTAGAATATCTCCAATACTTTTTCAACGACTTTTGTGACGGATTTCGACCAGAGTATTGAAGAGCTATAGAAAATGGAATAATACTAAATAGTACAGTGTTATAAACAGTTTAGCAGTTGTAACAAGAATATAATATGCACGAACCTAGTGTAAGTTCTTTAACTGAAGTCATATTTTCACTCGTGCTGTTAAGAACAGCCAGATATGCCATGCGACACTCTCGCATTTCTTGATCGAGTTTCATCGAACTTTGTGATGAGAGCGATGATTTTTGAGACATATTTATACAACGAATTAATGGAATTTAAAAACAGAATTATACTAATGCGTTAAGCTAGCATTTTAACATCATTTCATGATTTAAAATATCATAGTAAGACGCCAAGTGTTTAAAAACATTGCTAGGGAAACAGTCGCCATGTTCTTTGTTTATACGAGGGTAGAATGGGTACCTTGTTTGATATCGGGGGTAATTGAGGCACAGTTTAAGGATATATCCTTAAACTGTGATTGAGGGAACACGAAATGAAATGCAGAAGTATATATTTTGGGAAAATCGTCACTCACAGACTCAATATCCGTTTTGTTGCCAAAATATTGCAAAATGAAAGAAGGTTATAAGGAAGCCTTGCAAAATGTGCAAATTTTGTAAACTGTTTTACCTGGTAACAATTTTCTGCCTAAAAGTGTGGCATGTTTTCTGATTTACCATCATTTCGCAGCCACACTTCGCATTTCTACTTCATGTACTATTTTGTGACCAAATTCTTACATTAACCGGTAATTAAAATATCTCAGGACCATTGTATTATAAATAAACATTTTTTCTAATTAAATTGCCTATATTGCTGCTGAAAAAAAATACCTAAACTACCGAAAAATAAATTTGACTAGAGTGGTATTGAAGAATAGGAGAAACCACGCTAAGCCCGGGTGTATTTATACATACATCATATTCCTCATTTTAAGGGGTTCAAGGCTTAAATTTGTGATACAGCAGTTTCTCAACACTTCGTAATGGATGTCTCCTATAATGAAATGGATCGCGCTTGGATACCGTTCCAGGTGGGAACGAATCAGTCATTGGATACACATCAATCACATCAATACCAGCTTTACACATGGCTGACGTTGCGTACGCATTAAATAAAATAATTCTAGAGAATGTTAGAAACCGATAAGAATCTCTGTGAGGGAAACCAAGCCGCTCTCTAAAAATTGCCGTGGTTGTTCTCCAAATGATTTTACTTTTGAACTGGCCTTTTCTTCGTTTGTGTTCAACTGTCGTGATAAAGTCGTCAATAAGTTTTTGAAAATTTGCGAAGTTTACAGCGTGAACAAAATGGATTCCCCAGTTTAATAAAATCACACTGTGTTCATCTAATTCTTTGTCATCTAACACCTGAAATATATCACAATAATATGATGCTACACCAAGGTGAAGTTTCTTTAGGTAACGAGATTTGTCAAATTTAATGGAACATGGACAACGCGAACATGAAAGATGGTAGTAAAACGTCGTAAGCTATTTTACTTCATGTCGCTAGTAACCTTATCCCTGTCGCGGAATTGTGGGGATAAACCGTAAACGATCGTTACTTCTTCACTCTTCTTTCTGTATTAAGACTGGAGGGATAGTTGGCATGCAATATCATATTTCCTTGTATGCCCACAATGTGAAAATATTATACTCACTTTGTTGATTTCTCTCATGACTTTCTTGTGATTATAATCTTTTCCATTCTTTGTTACTCGTAATTCATTTTGGACATTATAAACCCAAGTGTATGTAAGTTTGCAGCGTTTGAATATCTTCCTGCATATGACAGATCGGGAACCATTCACCATGAGTGATTCTGCAAATCGTCTTGACACAGAATCCCCGTATACCCACAATATTCCTTCGTGGTTATGAGGTTCACGCTTCAAGTCGTTCTCTAATTGGGGTAAAAAGTAACAGTGGAATTAAAGCTAAGCGTTAAGCTTTGTCCCCACACTACCCCATTCCTGTGAGAGGAAAGAGTTCAATGATAGTGGAAGTTCCACTTGCGAATGCTTCACAGCTAATCCGACTCGGATTCTCTGCTTTGATGACCATTGAACTGGTGATGACACTACAGCCTCGTTTGCACTACGCACAAATTGTAGCGAACGGCGACCTTTGAAAATCTGCTCATACGAACGTGACAGGCCTGACAAACAAAGCGCATAGACGTAATGGAGAATCGCCTTTACAATGCAGGTATATACCATCCGCGCACAGGTATATACTTTACTCTTCCAAACGGTGTACGTAAAAATTGTTCGTTTACCTTACCTTCAATATACGGCTTCCATTTGTCATGTATCCATCTTCCAAGGCCATCAAATATTAAACTGGGGCAATTAACACTACAGCAACGCTTTTTCTTACCACCTTTCTTGGCATTTCTTGTCGACGCATTACTCCTAAAGATATTTCTTCTAATCTTGGCCATTGCGACTACATCAAAAGATAATCGAGTAATGCTTCCACAATTGGAGGAATTTTCCTCCAACATGATCACTGGACTATGAAGAGAGCTAGAGAGGGGTCAACAATACTAATGAAGTATATTCAGTAGTTATTCTTTATATAAACTTTCTTTGTTCACATTGTTCAGTCCTATCCCACTATGAGGACAGTTATATGCAATTAATGCAAATAACCTTTGAATTAAGCTTGCCATGTAATTTAGGTCGCTATATATTGCACATAATTTCTTCCAAATATCGCCTATATATTAATCAGTATAGCATGCATGGACCGAACATTTCTGTAAACGTACCCAGTAGTTTTTTTGAGTGTTTCGATTCAGGGACCACCATGGAAATAGACTTGCCATGACCAAATATTTCGGCTAGAAAAGGATAATCTCCTTTAAGAATGCCCTTAGGTTGCCGCTTTCCTTGAGTACAACCTACATAATTATAGCAAGATAGAAGAGCATGGTAGATAACTGTGAACTATGGTGCCATAGACGTATCAGAGCAACCTTGCTCCAAAGGCATTTCCCCTTTCAGTTGTTCTAGAATACCTATGAAAATACTGGAAAAGTTATGAATACCTTTTTTATACCAATATGCAGGTGGATCTTTGAAGCCATCGCATAAAGTATAATCCAAAGTGATTTCTATTTGATAAAATCCTGCTTCCATCAAGAGAAATAACACTTCATAAACACCGTTGTTGTGATCAAATACTGTAGCACTAACTGAAGATCTTCCTTTAATATGAACACGCCAGGAATCCCCGCCGATATTCTTAGTATGATTATTTGATGTTTTAGATTGAATGAAAAACCTGCTGAATTCTCCAGCAGGACGAATGTCCCATTTCGATATAAAACTATTAGCAGCGCAAGTTTTTAATTTTCTGTTCTTCCAGCCGGCAGAATTGATTCCCCATTTTGTATGCTTGGCACAAGGTGCTAAATACCCTTTCCAGTCAAACTTAGCTCGATGAACCCGATACCAACCAGTCTTGAAATCACGCAGGTAAAGTTTCAATAGCGTTTTCTCGTTTCTCGTAAACTTTTTCTCCTTTTTGCTTGCTTGTTTTGTTAGGCTTTGTTTGGCTATATTTTTCTTTTTTATGCCAAATGCTGTAGATGGTTTGGACGTAATAGGATTACTGCCGGCATGTATTAGACTAGACTTCGCTGATGGAATCCTAGTCTTAAGAGAATTTACCGTGCATGACAACTGGTAGGAATATATTAATATCCGTGCTAAGAAGAATGAGCAAAATAACATCCTGGTCGATGACAGGAGCAACAGCATGTTAGGACCTTTTCGCTGATCAATAATTGTCACAGCCGTGTAATGGTAAGAAATGTTTACTTTTGGAGTGATTTGAATCGCGTTACAGGTATGTTTAACGATATTGATAAATTGTCACTGGTGATGTATAAAATGGACATCCAGCCTAGGTAACATAATTTAAATTATTAACCATTTAACATTTGCCTTAAAAGTCATTTTTGTAATCTCATGAACTCATGTTTTCTGTCAGTATCAATACCAGAACATATCAGAGCAACCGTTTTTACATGCAGACAAACACCAATTGTCATTAAAATTTAGCCAAAATAGATAAATATATACATATACCCATTTTAAAATTTTTGCCTCAAACGTTAGCTTTCATATGAGCAAACTGCAATGGAATTAAGCACCGAAGTGATTAAATCTCAAATCTCTTGCTATTTTAGGTAAGCAGCTCACGGCACGTTAATGAATAGATCACGTCACTGACATCAATCATTTCCAAACTAGGAACTTGATAATCATAATACAAAAGACACCGATTGATCGCTAAATGATTTCTGATGTTCGCCCGGACAATCTTCTTAACGAAATTTCATGAAACGAAATCTTTTACTACTCGCCATATTAGTATTGTGGTCGTCAACATGGATTGTCTTGTTTCTATTCTTCTTCGACGACAAAGTTTCACACCTGTTGCCATGGACAAATTCGTTCAAGGATGAAACTCAACCTGCTCTTGTGAAAATAAGATATTCAAAGTCTATTCAGGGTAACGTACTTAAATTTTCCAGTAAAAAGCAAATCAACAAGGAAATATTCCGTAAAAAAGGGCGAGAACTGAGAAGGCGTCAAAAAGGCTCTTTTAATCACGAGGTTTTATTGAAGCGTTTTACGTACAATTTTAAAACTGAATTTTGTCGGATTTATCGTGCCAAACTAAACTGGAAGAAATATTTAGCACCTTGTGCCAAGCATACAAAATGGGAAATCAATTCTGCTGGCTGGAAGAACAGAAAATTAAAAACTTGCGCTGCTAATAGTTTTATATCGAAATGGGACATTCGTCCTGCTGGAGAATTCAGCAGGTTTTTCATTCAATCTAAAACATCAAATAATCATACTAAGAATATCGGCGGGGATTCCTGGCGTGTTCATATTAAAGGAAGCTCTTCAGTTAGTGCTACAGTATTTGATCACAACAACGGTGTTTATGAAGTGTTATTTCTCTTGATGGAAGCAGGACTTTATCAAATAGAAATCACTTTGGATTATACTTTATGCGATGGCTTCAAAGATCCACCTGCATATTGGTATAAAAAAGGTACGTTTATTCCCATTCGAGCTAATTAGATTTATACGGATGATATCCAGATCATTGGCGTACTTCCATGTCGAATGCAACAGAATTGGATTGACAGATATATTAGGCTTTGAAAATCTTAGTGGCAGAAAATAACTAAAACATTAAAATTGAAATTATGTTAGCAGAGGACACCATACTTGTGTTATCGGCGTAGGCATGGCGTAAGTAGGGGAATACATCCCCCCCACACTTACCGTCCCCCCCCCCATTTACACACACTTATTGTTTAGATCAATTCAATTATTTACGATTCTCTCAAGATTGAAGAGAAGTTGAGACCACCACATCTCGCAACATCCCCATTTGTTAAATGTAGTCGGTAGCCCTGGTTTTGCTTTTTAATTTTGAGATGTTGTTGAATCGGATAATTTTGTTGTATGATAATTTAGCCCACTTGATTTTCTTTCTTCGATATGATTTAATATCATCATACACTTCGAGGAATGAAACTGCCAACGAGGTTGGTAGCTCTTCTTCTTTAATAAAGCAAGCAACAATTGTTCTTTAACAGGAAGTTATCAAGGTAAGAATCAACCAGATGGCATTTTACAAGGAGATCGTCCCTATCTGATGGAGCCATTAGGCGATGGTAAACGGTTTTTCATTGATGTTCAAACAACAAGATATTCGAAAAAGGTTCGCGGTAAGTATCTTGAAGAATTTAGATTTAGCAATTGCCACTTTAACTGCTTTTAATTCACAAGGTTTTTTAGATAAAAGATAATATAGTTAATGTTTTCTGATTGGAAGTATGCCTTTGTTGTGTATGATGATCTGATACTATCTCATACTCTATATCTGATACATCTAATACTATACTGGTATTCATTGATGTATAACCTTATTTAGTTGGCGTTTCGTAGGCTAGGTATAGCTATGCAATATTTTAAACATTTAAAACTGGGAAATTATTTCTCTGTTGACTGATTGCTCAGTTTATAAGATGAATATTAACGCACTATTTCATAAATATCTATTCATTTAATTTTCATTTATGTTACGTTATGTGGCCCAAATTCCAATTCTAACATAAACTCAAATCAATTCATATTCATTTGGAAGCTTTATGAAGTCAACCTAAATAGAAGCTCAAAATGTAAACAAGCCTGCATGTTGTTTACACAAAAACCGTTTGTTTTGAGTTTCGACCATCGTATTGAATTAGCTGTATCTATATTGAAAAAGATCTGTTATTATAGCTAAAATGGACAAGATTAGAAAGAAATTCTTTACCCTTGCGCTTACTGGAAAACCAAAGATTTGCGACGTTCATTGTCCAAGTCTTGTTTTTGATGGACTGGGAAGGTGGATAGATAGAACATGGGAACCATTCTCTCATAGTAAGTTATACAATGCATTGATAACTGGTAAACTATGTTAACATAAAGATATTAGAAACAATCATGTGTTTAGGACAGTTTAAATTCGCCTAAATTAAACAGACTGTCATGCATGCACTCAGGTATACTGAAATTTGTCTCTTTTTAATGAATAATTATATTGTTATATTTCCAATATTTCCGTCTACATGAATATCAAAAATGTCAACATAATATATTAATTTTAGTATATTAATATAAATAATAACACTATAACCGTACATGCACACACAGTTCAAATATCTCTTAGATCTACACATACGACGTGAACCTCATAATGGTGAAGGTATGTTGTGGATGTATGGGGATTCAGTTTCCAAGAGGTTTGCGGAGAATCTGGTAACTGGTCCTTACCGTGAGCTATGTAAAAATGTATTCAAGCGATGTAGAATGTCGTATTCCTGGGTGTATAATGTTGAGAATGTTAAAGATGAGGACAAACTCGATGGTGAAGATTACGACCACCAGAAAGTGCTGGCTGAAATCAACAGGGTAAATGACATCATCGACATTTCACTTCTGGTTTTAGTATATATATCAGGATAAAAAAATCTCCATTTTACGCACTTTAATGAATGTGTTGTAATGTGTTGCTATATTCCTCGGTTAACTCATGTTACCCTGAGTAAACATCAACGCGGGCGCATAAAAAATAGGATTAGAGAGAGCGGTTATACACCCTCAAAGCAACTTGCTTTCACGCCTCTTTAACAGAGAGACTTGAAACGGCTGATTACAGTTGTTTAACTCACGCTTATCGGTACATACAGCTTGAGTGGCATACAGTGCTAGAGGTACTCACATCATAGCTTCCCGTCGTTGCAGGTATTGGAAGACCAAAGACTGGATAAACACAGCGTGGTAATGCTAAACTGGGGCATTCATTTTGCAGCAGCTGTGAGTTTTACAAATTACAAAAAACTTATAGACGACTTTCTAGAGATGCTCAAAAGTAAAAAGAGACAAAAAATATTTGAGGGAGAAATTATTTGGAGGACAACAACGGCCATTTTCAGGGAACGTTACACAAATCCTCACAAAGATGTTCGTCGTTTTTTAACTTTTCCTAGAATTATTTTATACAATGCGTATGCAATGTCAGCCATGTGTAAAGCTGGTATTGATGTGGTAGATGTGTATCCAATGACTGACTCGTTTCCACCTGGAACTGTATCTAAGCGCGATCCTGTGCATTTTGAAAGAATAGCAATGGAAAGCGTTCAACGCTTCGTTTATAATAAGTTTAAATCGCAAGGCTGACTAGTGCTTTCCAGATACGCGTTTTCACGGAGTTTCAAACCAACAGAGTTAATGCTACCCGGTGATGAAACCAACTTGATGGTGAATTAAATTTAGTTCTCCGCGGCAAGATTTTGATACTGTGGTCACGAGTTCTAAAGGTAAAATTAAGTTGTAAGAACGTGTCAAGGGCCTCTAAAATCCCTGGTAATATTTTCATAACTGAGTTTTGTATATTATACCCAATAGTTATTATAGTATATTATACAAATTATTTAATTTTTTTTGGTATTCAAATTTGTGGTAAATTATAGGTTGATATTTCATACCGTGCTTGTCGCATTTCTTATCTTTTGCTAGTAGTTTGATTTTAAACCGGTACACGAACTTACAAAATAAGCGGAAATAATTTTTTCATTATTGAAAGGAACAATACGTGCATTTGGAAATCTCCGTTTTCGTATCATGATCTTTACTTTTGAAATATTCAGGAACAAAGATACCCGCCCACCGGGATATGCATGCGTATCTATCGTCAAGTAGCTATGTATGACGTCGTGATAACCGGTGTAATCTGTTATTTTGTTATCTGTATTTTTCAATTGCGACTCATTATGCTGTAAATTGCCAATGTATCTAAATGTAAACACATATGACAATATGACAATGTGCATGGAAACCTCACTTCGTCACTAATTGTGATTCGTACGTTTGTCCACTGACTCTACTCTATTGTGACGTCGCGTAATTAGAATCAAATAGAAATACGACGGATGCTACGAAAAAAGCTTGCGATTTGCTTTCCATTGCACCACAGTTTACTGGTTTAAATTTAGGATTTGATGTTTGAACTCATGTTGTAGGACAACCTTTTTGAAATAACAGCTGAAAGTGTATATATATATAGGGGCTAAGGTTTATTAATTATTATATCAATACCTATATGGCATACCATTTCGGCATTTGTACGAAAATTACACATCGCATATGGGCGCCCCATCATGTTGAATAGTTTAGTGTAAAAAGAAAAAAATTCGGAGGAATATAGCCATCTTGAAATTCAAGATACGCATGAATTTAAAAAAAAAAGGCGAATTAAAGTGAAAATTTTCGACTTTATTACAAAGTCATCTTTGAGAGATCAGAGACACAATGGCAGTGCAACATCAGAGACACAATGGCAATGCAACAACATAATACTTTATAATAGAAAAAAATTATATTTTTTTAATTACGATGTTTCACTTTTATAATGTAACAGTGGTTGCCCGGTATGGTCATGCATATCGACATGTGAAGTAAAATATTTGACAGAACAAATATTATTATTTGGGGAGGGAAACACAACATATGACTATGTCGATGAGTATGAAATAATGACTGCAAGGCGCAAGCACAATTTCACCAGGATAGCTCTGTCTTTGAAATCTGCCAAATACATGTGTCCACCGTAGAGACAATGGGTTATAACTAATTTGCATCGTCATTGTCGTTGACATTGAAATTATTGGCATGCATGAACCAGTTTTCTTCGCTTCACAATCACAAAGTTTGTGATGCGTTGGCGTAGCACTAGCAGGAAATAACCTGCCAAGCCCAAATTTGCAGGAGGATAACAGAGTATTAGGACCAACGAGGAACCGAAAATAAGCCGAAAAAAATGTGATCTAGCAGGCCAATGGCAATGAGTTATAAGCATGTGCTATCAAAGCAAAACAATGAAACATGTGTAAAGTCTAAAGAAGGAAACATAAACTACTGACCACATATTTAATTATTTAAGCTGTGCTTTAATGATTCTTTGTCATTCACAAAGATAGCTCTTCGCAAGACGTCGAGAATTGCAGTCTTCACCTGTCCAAAAACATTCTTTTAAATAACAATGCCAATGGTCTGGCCGTCTGGACATGACAAGGCAGATAATTGCTATCAGTATCAGTACGACTAGTGCCGTAGTGGATTGAGGATGTTCATTGCTGTTTCGGCGTAGTTGCGTTTAAGCAGATAGATAGCAATTCCTTATTCAAAATTACGGGAACCACTAAGTATCCATTAAATAGAATACTGTACTGTCTGTAGTGTAGGTATCGCCAAACTTGACCATGAACTTTTTTGAAGTTGTTTTAACCGAAAGCGGGTAGTGCTATATGCAAGATTTGTACCTGGATGTGTTCACGACAATTAGGGACATCAGAGCCACAGACTAACGAAGGCCTTACGAGGCAACGACGACTTTACGCTATAATACAGCAACGTCAGCGTTTTCAGCCATACCCGAAATAGAGCGGACAGGTGGAACTTTATTAAACGAACTGAATCTTTAGCATTTGGCATGATGGCATCTGAATATTATAAACTCCTAAAATTATCGCCATAACATAGATTTAGATATTATATGATGTACACAGAAAAGAATTGAAAGAAGCACGCAAGGAATTTTGGAATATCGTGCCTATTAGACCTTCAGTCCTTCACAAATAGTGGAGGTATCATCTTCAAAGTATTTTTTTTTTAATAAAGCGAATGTTTTCAAACATTCTAATTCTTTCGAATGATATCATAATTCATGTTCGACGAAGAACGTCGGAAGCGACAGTCGGGGTTCAAATCCTCGGTTTAATCGATTGCTGACAATTTCTAATATTCGTTTAAAGGGACACAAACTATACATTGCCAAATATGTAACAATTTAAGGCTTGTGTGCAGTGAGAATATGCAATTCTGCAAATATTTAATATGATCCAGAATGCCAAAAACAATCGTAAATAGTAAATAGTCGCCTCTGAATCTATAGCGAATAATATTGTCTCATCACCGCATAAGTTATCCGACTAAATAATTTAACAAGTAAAAATCAAAGAGAAAACTTGGACGTAGAATATTCTCTAAGAACTTTGCACTGCTGCCCTTTGACCCGGCTCCCAAGAGATCATGTTTATATCTGCCTAATGTATTCATGGCTCCATTATATACTGAAGGCAGGTGTTACTATTTTCGTAACTTCCATATAAGGTCAGCAAGTTATGAGTCAACGATGAATGAAGGTTCCCGACATTATCAATTATAAACATATTTGGAACTGACCAATCAGAGTTAAGCGGAAGTATTGAAATACGCTCTAAATCGAAATCCATGTTTGTAGCGAACCGTAACGTGAGTTTGCCTGGCGATTGTTGGTAGTGTAGATTGCTGTTCAAGTTATTGGCGATGGATCCTCTTCTTTCTACCGTAACTTTGGATGTAAAGAGAGGCAAACTCCGCGTCGAAAGTCCCCAAGAACGGATTAAGCAGGTAAATACACTCAGAGTTACTTTGCACTGCAATAGCACCGAGGCTTACTTGTTTGAATTGTGCCTAGAATATGGACTTGTGTCAACTCGTACATTTATCAATATATGAAATGAATCAGGCAAATGTTTCTCGAATATCGTGCATCTTTGACACTTTGCTGACATGTATTTTGCGATTATTTATCTAGCTGCTGGAAGATGCTGAAATTCAAGATAGAATATTTCAGTTTGATCCCATGCTGGAGGAAATTGAAAACTCGACAATAGCACGAGAATATTTAATGTGGCAAGACCACTATTTCTACTCTGAAGACCTTATTGAGAAATATCGAGATGATACACTTCCATACGATCTTTGGGGAAGTGCGTGCTCGCTTAATTCAAACTCAGACGCTGATTCAGAAAGCAGCTCTGTAGCAGACGAACCATTGTTAGCGATCAGATCGAGTTTTCTGGAGAGTCAAGCTTGCTCATCAGATTCAGACAGTGAGGATATCACATGTAAACACTTCGGCATGGCAAATACATCAATCAGCCTCAAGAAGGTCGAAAGACCTAAGAAAAATGAGAGCAAGGCTACTGTAATAAATAATTCATCACGGAAAGTGATGCCAAGCTTGCCAGCCGGTATACCACTGGTCATTACTACAACTCTAGCTGATTCCCAAGATAATAAAACTCGTGCTGAGCTGAAACCACTTGCTGATGTGAATGCACGCGGAAATGGTCGTAAGAAAGCTTTAGCCAGAACTCACTCGTGTACCTACCCGGGTTGTGATAAGTCTTACACAAAAAGTTCGCATCTTAAGGCACATTTACGAACACATACTGGGGAAAAACCCTATCAATGCAATTGGAAAGGTTGTAGTTGGCGTTTTGCTCGCTCGGATGAACTCACAAGACATTATCGCAAGCATACAGGCATTAAACCGTTCCGATGTCCTACTTGTAGCAGAAGTTTCTCTAGATCTGATCATTTATCACTACATATGAAGAGACATTATAATTAATATCATAATTGGATGTAAAATGTCATAACAACTAGGTATAATTATTTGCAATTTCACAATCATCTGTGTTATACATGAGGTGTCTAATAATCCGTGCACATTGGGTGCTAAGAGTATATATATTGAAGAATTGTATAGTTTTATTCCAATTGATAAGCTTAGACTATATAAATAATAAGGAATATTTTGTTTGTAAAAATGCTGAATATATTATTAATACAAAAGTTCGAAATTTATCTAGCCTGCTTTTGTTTTTCACCTCTTGTCACATGGCAAATGAGTTGGTGCATGTCTCCGAAATTCCCTCTTGGGTTTTCGGAAGGTTAAAAATTTCCAATCGACTCTTTCGTATACATTTTTATACACGTGAATTGTAGATCTGAGATTTAAGTATTGCTGATGTGTCTATAACCTTTTACCTAGCCTAGCAGTCTTTCATGACCTCGTGACTCCATAATCCATACGCAATTGAATTAAGACACATTAAAATAACGAACATATAACAAGTTATAACAACTAACTTTTGGTGTCATTCGACTCGTGTCATAAGATTAGGTTGCTTTCTTCACATGCAATATGCCTGTAGATGCATAATGGCACTTCGTAAGGGTCATTCTCAGTCGTTACATGCGCTGTCATGCAGAACTTTCCACAGCCACAACAAGTATACGAGTCTAGTGTAGGCGAATGCTAAACCAAAAATATGTGACTGTGACAATGTTGTATTGCATGAAGGTATAGTCTAAAGACTATGTCTATAGGATGGTTATGAGAAATATCCAGCTTAGTCTTAGATACAGATATTTATTATATTTTGATATTCTTAGATATTTATCATGCTTATTATTCATCAATACCCATTTTAAATAATAAAGCTGTATAAATCAAACAGGAACAAAATACATACAGCAGTGCAATGACTCTCATCTCATCACAGTGGCATTCTCACCGACTTATTTGAAACTTAAGACCAGTTGAGAATTTCCTTGAAGTCAGAAGAAAAAACCTTAATAGTAACGACAGTTACTTGTTAGTGCTTGTTGGCTTGTTTCTCACTGACACTGTGCTAGATTTCTTTATTGTATATCTTTTTACTCCCATGTTGTGGACTTTAATGTTCCGGCCCTATACCGTTTTATCATTCTGTTTTTATTTTTCAAGAATTCATGAACACTTGACACTCTGCAGGTCAAGCTGTGTTAATACGCTAATTTCACTTTGTCTTTGGTTGTCTGCCTCTGCTACGAGTTGCCAACCGAAAATCCGCTGCAATACTTCAGGAATCATTGATTCTTTAACATTTATCAAGCATTAATAGAATTTTACCTCACCAAACTGTTACTGCGACCTACAGCCCAGTACAGGGACTCTTCAACATCAACGCAGATTTATCTATCATGAAGTTGGATTATCCAAATAGCTGAGAGTCTGGAACTGTCAAGTTGCCAAAGATGAATTCGAACTTTAGTCTTTGGGCAACTCAGTGACAAAGTTAACGTGGAGTCTGGCAAACTATATAAAAATTACACCTTCTAAGATAATGCCTGTATTGTACGTTACAAGTTTGAAATCGTGGTTTATATGAAAACAGTTTAATACTTTATGACTTAATTATAACATGGGGATTTGTATACCTCGGTCCTTTAAAGAGGTTTGTAGACTAATTGCAAAGCCTGAGCTGTTGATTGGTTAGACATGGCATATATGTATGTATTGACTTTAGGATTATTCACATTTTCTTTCTCTATGGAGCAATTAATTGGTGATTATTTTACCAAGTTGTCGTTGCTAGTAATTGTTTATACTCCTCGCTGCAGGGTACCGACAGCGGTCCAGCAATTTGTGACTAAATATACACGCTATAATTGGGCAGTATCATTAGCGGCTATATAGTCTTTTAAACAGGGCTAGTATAACCTAAGTGTAGCAAAATATAGTATGTTGTTAGTTGTGTTGAAACCACACAGTGGGCGTGTAACAGCTGCTGTGAGTGCTGTCCGATTGTCTAGCTCGCTTTACTGCATCTACGTCACTAGTAATGCACAAAACAACTTAAACTGGACGGTTTGAGACTTTGGGTACGGTTGTAGATTTGACTTCCAATACATCAATTTGTAGCAGTATTTTAATGTAGAAGTACAATGAATTCCCTTCTTCGTGGTGTTGTTTGTGTTGCACATGAAGTCTTAGGGGACAAAGACAAATTGCCGAAAAGATCAAATATAAAAGATGACCAGATACGTCTATAGGCAGACAAAAGAACATTACAGACAAAAACCTTTGACCGCACTCGGAATAGCACTATAGATAGGCATAGCTAAACAGGAACTAAAGAGGAAGTTACGTCTGCAATATTCATAAGTATGTTCCAGAGTTGATATTGGCTGTATGAGATATAAGTGGTATTACCATTATAACTTGCTCACAAAGAACCAATTTTGGTGTTAAAAAAGTATAGCAATGCATGACACTATAACTACAATCGACATTTCTTTTCCAACCTCATCTCACGTTTTCGTTTTGAAATCGCCGTTTTTGATTCTGAACAATTTCGTTCAACTGCAAGTGCAACGGTGGCACAGGTCAGCGGTATCATTTGTTAAAACGGATGCGAAATAAAGAAGGTCAAGGAGTCTTGAAGTCAATAACTAGTGAAGAATTTAAAGCATGTAGAACCGGATTAACGTAAAGGCGGTTGGAGCGCCATCTTTTGGCCCTGATCTGACGTAAACAGGCCCTTTTTTTTGGAAAGAACCATAAGTTTGCGAACGCCTTACCGGCATGCAGGATAGCTTCAAATATATGCATGTTTATGAGAAAAATGGGTAATATTTAGGCCCACAGATATCTCCTCCAAGCTACAGGCCCAACGGCGTATTAATCCTGCTCAGAATATATAACTACCCTAGCATTTTCCTATCGTAGCTTACCACTGTGAATGCGTATTAACCCATGCAGAGGTATTTGAAGGTCGCAACTAAAGCTGTTTGCAAGTTCATTAGTCTTAGTCTTGTGGACAAGCTTAGACAATACTTGATTGCTTTTGTATAGATCAAGAGACCGAAGCTGTATGCGCTGATCCATATGCTGGTTCATGCAAGCATGTAACTTCAACACGCAATGCTATGCAAATTGCAAAACTCAAACCAAAAAAGAAACCAACATTTGTCACAAATGCAATCATGCAACAATAATAGTAGCTACAATACAGTTTACCAGTTAGAGAGGTCCCAAGCTTACTAGACTAGCCCTAGAGTCCACTCCCTTCTTCTTATGTAGATAAGAATTTTCATTTAATTGACAATTGCCTCTTTGCAAGCAAACGGCGACTGAAATGCCCTTTAGACTGTTAGTCAGTGTTACCACTTTCTACATAGTTCATGCAACTGTAACATTTTAATATATAGTATAATATAACTGTTTGTAAAATGTTAATAAGATTAATTGAAAAACACAGAGTGTCACCGTCCCATTTGCCTTGATGATAGATTCGATATGACAGGCCTGAGGTTAGCCAATTACTTTGATTTGTCTAGTTTAAGAAACAGACACAAGGACAAAGAAATCAGTTACGTTTGTCGTGAATTTTCATCGTTATCGATTGTGATAAATGGTTTAAATTATCATTAATTGCGATAAAGAGAGTTTTATTCAGAATTCTCCTAACAGATTTGCCCGTGCAGTCCAAGGTATTTCACAGTATAATTACATAAATTCATTATGACATTAACAACAAAGCAACCTATTACGTAGACATGTCTACCACACATGTAATGTCAGTTAATGGCAACGTATGCAAGCCATGCATGTGCTAATATTATACTCTAGAGTATCCACGTTGAACATGTGATAAGCGTGTTAAGGCCTTGAGGAAAAACGCTACTAAATTAGTGAATAGCATATATAGCTACATGTCGATATTTGCAGTAACAACACAACATGAATCGAACTTGAATAGTGAGTATGTAGGGGGTAAAGACTACATACTATGCTTAAGTCTTAATTACATAGAATACCTATTAACAAGTAAAGGTCACGAAAGCTTCTTTCAACATCCTTTTTGTAAACAAGAAACGAAATGGAAGACGCCTAAGGAGCAAACAAGGCCATGCATAATTGCATATAGGCTTACACATTTGTTTATGACTATTTGTCAGACCATCCTTATTCTAGAAAGTAGAAAATTTATACCATTGCATGGTTAATTCTAGTCATAATGCTTTTCAATATGACAATATCTCACCATGAAATTTGGTTACAGAAACTTTCTTTCAATTTGAAGAATGTGGTAATTAAAATTCCTGCATGGGTAGAGCCATAGCACGTAGACATAATAGTGAGTACTGAGTAGTGTATGATTACTGATAAACATTCTTCATATATCATTATCATTCAAAACAACAACAGTAACTCCGAAGTCAAAGATATAGCAATTGATCATCATCATGCAGAAAACAATAGGGTATATAGGTATATGGTCATAGAAATCATGTTCGAAGATTTTTACGATAAGAATATGCCCATATATTGACCCCAAACGTCTGGCAGATATAGTATACACAACTCAAGCTATTGGCAGTATTCGAATTTCTGCTCTGCATGTCTTCCAAATTTCAAGACAAAAAAAAGATAAACTGATATTAAAAGAATTTGTTTTATTTTAAGAACAAAAAAAAAGATAAACTGATGTTAAAAGAACAACTGCTAATGTTCGGTGTTCAGTATATTTCTTTTTTTGTAAGGGCTATGTATAATTTTTCATTAGCTTCAGTCGCAGAATCGGCAGAAACCACACCAATAAACTTCAGCTCCTCAAGACTCATAACACTATAGGAGTATAGCTACATATCATGAGCACCATAAGTTTCAATTCCTCCTGATGCACACTCACTTCGTTGTAAACTGGATAATATATTGTAGTATAGTTATGTGATTAATCAGTTTTACGGTTTGTATTTTGTTTCCGTCTATATTTGTCCCCGGTTTAATTTGTATTTTTATCCTGGCTATGAATTGTTAAACGAAAAATAACGATATTAAATCCAGAAGGTCATGAAAGGTTCTTTCAGCACATATTCGAAACTGAATATCAAAATGATAAAAAACTAATCATCGGTCTTTTGCAAGATGAACTGCAGATTATAAAAACAAATTGTGTTTATCTAACGAGATGAGAAGGTCGTTCATCCATCCAGTCATGCTTTCTTCCCTGGCTCTTTCCTGTTCCATATACAGTATATAATTATTCAAAATGGCCTAATATAAATTCACACAATTCCGTATTAATAGTTGAGGGCATAATAATAAAACGTCGCACAATTTGAAAAATGTAATTAAAATTCCCGACACTTTAATATGATATGCAAAATATTTAGTAATATAACCATGTTGTGTTATTGCAGTAAACTTATTGCATTTCAGTCCTTATAATATTATATAATATATATACATTATATAAATAACACATATAAGTTTATCTTGGCCTTTGGAATAAAGCAAGCATTTTTATTACTTTTTACTTTAGTTTAGGTTTCGACTTTATTTAGTCATCATCAGGAATTATTGTATTACCGTAGTTTAAGAAAATACTTCGTAACTCAGTGAGTGATGATTCCGCTATTTCGTCACCTTTAAAGGAGTTAATGTTGCTTACATCGATTAGTCGACTATATTTTGAGAATATTATCCACATTTTAAAACTAAACGTTTTTGGTATATTGTTGTTGCAATGTATGTAGCCATGTACTGATGTAGGCTAGGTCTTAAAAACAAATTCACTAACGGAGATTCTCCATCATATGATGTTCAATAATATCAATATGCCAATGAATATATCGCTTGACTGTTCATTCTGCAATGACTCGTTTTCACACGCATAATGCATCTTCAATATTTTTTAACTGGTTGTTCTTCAGTATAAAGACGGACAACAGACACATAATACGTCGAGATGATTAACGTTCAGTTTTTCGTCTTAGAGACGCATAACCAACGGTAGTTCGTCTAGACGAATAATGCGTCTGTTGTCCGTCTTTATACTGAAGACAAATAACCAGTCAAAAGATACCGAAGACGCATTACGCGTCTCTAGTGTGAAAACGGCCAATGCATTGCGAAATGCGAATTTTCGATGTATATACATATGTATGCATGCATGCAAGACGTATTATTAGCACATGTAGTGCGGTGAAGTAAATATACTTTAAACTCAAAATAAGGACAATATATATACACAATAACATGTGTCATATTTAATGTGGTAAATATATGCGATCATTTTAGATATAGTTTATTTTAGTTGTTACTCAGCAAATCCAGAATCATCACTGCTTGGCGGTCTTCCAGGAAGAGTGAACTGAAACTTGCTTGGCAAACTATAACAACAAATTTTTATAGAGTCATCGCCTCACTAATCATCGTTTAGTCTGCAAGTTTTCCATTTTCCGGTGTCCTACTTGTCGTGAACGAGTCATTTTCAAATAGTCTAGATTTAAATTTCTGTATTCAAATCGGTAATTGTTGACTGCACAGACAAAAATATTTGTACGATTGTATCATATCAGTCACCTTGACATGTTTACGACAATTACGACTAAATGGAAACCGGGCTTTATAGCGAAGGTAATCAGTTGTAAGAGTTGGGATGATTACTGAGTTGCCATGCCTTTGAAAGATCCAGAACTTTTCCCTCGTTTGATTATCGGTGCATGAGCATTATGGCAGTATGGAGATGGTAAAAATTCTACGTATACTTCCGGGTCAGTGGCGTGTTGCGTGTCGGTATTAAAAAAGTAAAAATAATTTTTTGGCAAACAGATGAAAACATAAACCATTCAATATTCACTTGATATTGAGTGAATCCATGAGGTTTTCAATGTGTTTGTATACATTAGTTTTGCTTTCTGCAGCGGAAACTTCGACCAGCTCGTACCATGGCCTGTATATTAGATTGGGTTTTCAGGATTGATCCGAGACGAGAACAAATAAGAAAATATTATCAAATTTTACTAAATGGTAACAAAACATTTAATCGTACTTTTTTGCCTACTCTGCATGCATATTTGTTGCATATATGGTTTTCACATGACGTCAAAGCGGCCATGTTGTTGCCTACTACAAGATTCCGCTAGTCATCAGACCATAAAATTTCTGGATTCTTGAAATTGGAATCAATATGGCTTACGATCGAGTCAAAGAGAATGAAAACTATGTGTCTGAAGGAGATTATAAATATACACTTGTGGGAGAAGCCGGAGAGCGTGAGAAATGGCTCCATGCAAGGCGACCAATAAACGCGTTTCTCTATAACTTTTGGTAGCGCTGAGTATTTGTATATATCCAGTTTCGTATTGCGATCTGTGACAAATTGCATGATCACTATTGATAACTAACTGAATATTAGTGAAAAATTACTACAATAATTATATTAGTGTGCGTTCGTCACAGGCGCAAAAATAAGAGACAGGGTACAAGTACTTCTGTTAGTACTAACCAGGTTGGATCTCGTGTAATATCTAGCTCCCTAAATAGAATAATGAATTTAGGCCCCGCCCTTAAAAAACATACCGTTCAATGAGAACTGTCTTTTCCTTCATTTTTTTGCTTCTCGGTTGAGAGAGCTTTAATGTCTTCTTTGAGCTAACATAAATAGTGCTTGGAGTACCAAGGAAACAATGTTGACGATTATCAGACTGAAGTGGTTTTGTTTGACATGATCTCATTTGTACTCGATTTTCGTCGAGTTTCATTCTAGACCCTTTGATATCCAATACGCTGTTGTAGTCAATGACATCTTTAACCTATAATCATTCGTATTTGAGAAAACAATTATATCGTTGTTGTTATATCAAGATACAAAAAAGAAACGACTAAAACGTCCAGATTTCAAGAACTATAATCATTGATGATTTTCAATCATCGATTCAGTGGCCGCTAATATAGGCTTTCTTCAACTAACGACTATCGGCTGTCGCCAGAAATTCACAGAATACGGAAAAGCGTGGGTTGTATAGAGATTTGAATGCAAACCCCAACTGGTTGCTAAAATCTGTATGCACATTTCGTATACACGGAACACATACCAAAACATCACCGAGATTGTTCAACCAAGCACTAGATTCCAGTTTCTCCCAATCATAGACGACCCTTCTTGCTCTGGCACTTGTCTTTCTTATTCTTTTTTCTTTATAAAGAAACTCCATGTATCCTTGAAAATCAAAGTATCTCTTATTTCCATACGCAGCCGGAATAACCTTCTCGGCAGAAAACTCTTTGTAGACAACTGGTTTAGATTCTGTCTTTGGTACAAAACTCTGCTCATTAGAATACGAGCTTAAAAAAAGACTTTCGTTAACGTTGTTCAAACTTCTTCCGTCTCGGGGTAATCTATACAATAGTTAACATAAACATAAAGATATAAGTAAAAAAATATTCAATAATGTTTCGTCAGTTATATATGTATCTAGATATAGATGTATCGTGTAATGTGTCCCCTCTCTTTGCTTCACCAAAATAAGCTGAATTCGTTACTTTTGTCTACAAAATTTCGCTACAGGGTAAATTACTCAGTGCTGCAATTATGCCTCCAATATTGTGCCACAATAAACTACACTTACAACATACAAGATCAGCAACAAGTTATCAACACATAATATTGTGATTGCATGCTATTGATATATATAGGTAGCTCAGCAATAGGTAGCTGCCTTACTGTCTGTTTTTCGTAATTCAGAATGTGCTATCAAAATTTTTACAGTCATTTAATTTTTCGTGATCCCTTCAGTTCCCCTCCCCCTGTCGCTTAACACTCTAACACCCTGATAATTGTATTTACTGGAATGAGAGACGGAGACGTAAAGTGTGAGATTGAAAATAATGAACATAATGCAATATTATAATAACCTGTAATGTTTTTGTTGGGATATATCTCCTACTCTATCAACAATAACAGGCGGAAGGAAATGTTGATTATGGTATAATTCCAAACTATTAGCTTCTCTACTCGGGACCAAACCTCTGCTGAAGGTATAAACGTGTGAAGGGCATGTGACTAAAACATCAGAGTCACCCAGTGAGCACGTGACAAGTGAATGATTATGGTATTTTTGTTTGTGTTTACCACCAAAACGAGGCTTGGGTCTTGGTTTATCGCCCAACGACTGGTAAACAAGAGGTTCCTCTTGTGAATTTTTGCTAGCCAGGTCAGTGTTTTCGACCGTCGTCGCAGCAGAAAAATCTCGGTTCGTTTGTCTGAAAACATGGCGTTTTTGCAAAATCCCAGTTCTACCATTCTTTCGTGAGTCTGCTGTTCTTGTTGTCCTATCCTTGTCTTCACTGCATTTTTTCGACTGAATATTATAAAGGTAACTTCCTATCGCATCTCTATCGAATATACCTGAATCAGGCATGGTAATGTCGTATTCAGATTTACTTATCAAAGCTTTTTCATGTTCAGTATCTTTCGTTATTATTGTAGACGATTTTTCCCCAACTGGAACCACAACAAAAACGTTCGAACAGTATTCTGAAATAGAGCATACAGGTTTACAATGCCGCTTTCTGCATTCCTCAATTCTATATTTTCCATTTAAGCAGTTAGTATGAAAGAATGATAAAATATGTAGCCATTACCTGAACGGTCATTGGCTCTGTATTCATCAATTCCTACAATCGTCAGAAAAAGTAACAACCAAAGTGAACATGCAGGCACGATTATAATAACTCACAGTTAATCGCAGACAAATACTGCATGATGCTGAATCACCGATTGGGTGTCTATAGCTAAAAGTCATCTGAAGATAACTAGCATGAAGTTAAGACTATTATAATATGATTACATCGGATGATTGGAGTATCAGATCATAAAAATATATAACCTAACATTCAGATGATTTTTGACAAGGTAAAGATGCGAAGTGTACAAAAAAGAAAAGTGAGGTTGTTTGAAGGACACGAGAAAGGAATTTTATGTTATTTGGTGTTTTCTTCTTATCCTTTTCAGTCGTTTTTCTCATATGCACATTGTCAGGAAATGTAAAATATTTTAAATAGTTTACCATCGTCCACATTCAATTGATGAATCGTGCGCCATTCGCGAAGAGGTGGCCTAGACTTTCTGAAAACGAAAAGTACCGCGTGATCAGATTAGCGCATTACAGGTGACGACACTAATAAAATCAGTATGAACCTCGGCCATCTTCTTGTCGATATCGGTCAACAGCTTGCTTACTCGAAGGAAAGAATATACAACAGGCATGCATATATAGCTACTACTCACCTCTTATGACTAACTTTAGAGTTTCGAGTTATTTGTCCCGATTCGGTTGTCATTCTTTCGTTCCTCTCTCGAGCTCATTCATATCTTTCCATAATCATTTGGCTGAAAGACATTTCATCGTGTGTATTATTCTAATATTAATTAAAGTTACGTTGAGTGCATGCATATTATATAGTAACATTTTTTAAAATTATATCACTATAGTGTCAGGGTGAGAGACCTTAATGCCCTAAAATATATGAAAGTATATATAAATTTAGTATATCATTTCACATTTGTATACATGTTGGGGAGTCACTCTTTAGTTGAATACCCGCTAATTATACTCTACTCCTCAGTTGCACAAAAAATATTTTATATCTATTTTCAGGACATATACACATGGAGCTATATCGTGTTACAACATTAGTCAGACAACACGTTATAGAGAACCAACCCAAGTCATTAGGTATATCAGTATGTACGATTATTGTATGTGATGTACAACTACTTTATTCTATGGATCATGATACTTGAAGACAGTCACGCTTATGACCGAGGTTGCTATACTTGTACACTATATGGTTACCATCATTATTGCACACGATTCAATTTGCCTGTCATCGATGCATGGCACAACTCTTTTCATCTTGACAACCTTGTTATAATATTTTATCACGCCATTAAACTGCAGTTATTGTGCAGATGACATTTTAATAGGCGAGTTAATCTCCATATTCCGTGCGAGTGGTGAGTTCTATTTGCATTGTGTGAGCTCATATTGACAAAGAGATTTTCACTTACCTTTTCTTAGACTGCTGTGTTTGTGTTTCAATTGCGGAGTTTGTTGTTATGGTACTGCAGTCCAAACACACTCTGGACTATACTATTATTACTATAGCTGGGAGATGGCAATCAAGTTATCACGAATGACGCTAATTCTCACGCACATGAAAAGTTATTAAAATTTGTTTTGTCGCCAATTGCTTTTAATCGAATATATTGTTTTAATAATACGCCCGAAGGTTGCCAATGACGACATTTTAATAATAAAATGCAATGACTGAATCTCTGATCGCACTTGGCAATGCTTATTGAAAGATCGTTTTAACTCGCGTAATCTGACTTACAAATTTACACGTAAAAAAGACGAAATTTTTTGCCAAAAAATAACGATAAACATTATAAACGACGTGAAACGTACGAATGGATGAAAAAATAAAAACTAGAAAAAAAATATTTGCAAATTAATGTACATATATATAAAAATCAATTATAGTTGTATAGTCAATATATAGTTGTTATATGAAAACAATTTTCATTCTGAAGAATATCTTCCCGGAAGCAACCCAGTTTTAATGCAAAACAAAAATATCCAAAGATGTATATTTTCCAAACAAGGAAAACAGACGAACGCATATTGCTATTGATTAAATGAATTCATGCATGCAATAAAGAACATCGTAGCCTATTGACGCCTGTAATGGCCTCAAGTACACAGACACAGGCCAGTGATGTCAATGAATTTTCTTTACGAAATCATATGCCGATATAGATCAAAACTGATCTTGAACTGATCTTAAAATGTCTGTATAGGAACTGACATAAAAATAAAAGAATGCTTGTATTAGTAAGATAGTTATCAGATTCAGAAATGTTGACAACATTTATATATTTAATTATGTATAGGTAAGGCAAAAAATACAATTCACAAATTCTTCATTATAGAAGATTACTACATATTAAATATATATCCTACATGCAGTACATCATTTTCTCACTTTCTTACTATCATGACAAAGACTAAAATCATCCGGGCAAATTTTTACGACAAATTTTATTTTGCCCGTCTTTATACAATCATTTGTCACATGTATAAGTTCAATGCATTTCGTGAAAAGCTAGTAGTTTCAGTTGGCTTCTCAACAAATGCATTTTTCATAGAAAATTTGAAAACTGATTGTATACACTATACAGGTACGCAAACAACATTTGTGACAGAAAATTATACCGTATAACATACAGAAATTGGCCTATGGATTAGTGTCTATGGATTTATGATATCGCTATCTTGGTCTATCCGGCATATTTGATGGATTAACCCCAAAGGTATTTTGTGTAATCGCGGAACTGATCCCCTTTTGTGAGGAGAAAGGAGTCAGGAAAGATCTCTTAGGTCTGCCAGCCTCAAGTAACAATGACTGATCAATGTTCATACCAGGTCTATCAACTTCACCTTGTAGTTTACTATTCAATGGCGGCCCAGCATATCCCATTGATGTAGGGATCATAGTGAGCTGTTCATTTGCTTGTCTTTGCATTTGGTATAAATTAAAAGCTTCTTCTTCTGAATCCTGATGATGCAATGATTTAAGAACAGTCAACCGTTTCAACTTGAAATCAACTTTAGTCGCTTCGCCAGTATCGACAATGATCGACTTGGTCTCAGGTTCGTGACCGACTGCGGTTGCTGTGACGTCATAGGCACCTGGAACGAGTAGACGCCAATAGTCGCCATCCTTAGCTGAGAATATATCATGTCGTCTGTAGGATATGGAAATTCTTGCACCTTTTATACCTTCACCATTTTCGTCCGTGACAAAACCACGTATACCTTTGTGTGCCTATACAGAGAAATTTATTAATGAATGAATCAAAATAATCAGTCACCATCTGGTAACATGTAACCATAATTTACAAAACGTTAAACCTGCATGTGTCTAAAATTAAACTATTAAATGTATTTGATTTGATTACAATTATACTTGTCAAAATTTTTAAAGAACAACCTTTTGTGAAACGCTGGTCACACTTTGTAGGAGGAAGTCTCAGACTAAATGAACATTTATTCATTACTAAATATGTAGAACTATACTGGGCATTTGCTACTGAGCACATGCATGAACGGCATCTGGTATATAGCGTCATCGGGACACATTTCTGATTTCTACGAGTAACAGCGACACCGTTGTTCCGGAGAACAAATTCCGGAGAAAACTGTTGAGACCCACCTGTTCCAAATAGCCAAGGAGAGCATCTTTGTTCTCTTTCCAGATACCCGGTAATTCACTTGCATTTGGAAATTTCTCGCAACCAATTTCTAAGGTGATTTCAAATGCATTAGTATGCACATAATTATAATCCTGCATCCCTCCCGACACACTATACCAGGCTGCACCATTCGTTATCCCATCTATAAATCGTTCCCGTGGTTGTTTGCACGTCCATGGAGGATTAGCTAAATGCATAGTCGGATGAATTTCGGAATATGCTCGGGCGAGTTGTCGGAAAACGTCGTCATCAGGCGTGGCACTGTAAGAACTTTGACCGGATGGACTATCATCAAAGGGATAATTGGCTACCAAAGATCCTCCATGGAAATTGGCAGAAAGCACGAAAGGAATGGAATGGATCCATTTAGCAACTGCTCTCGTTTCTGGTTGTAAAGGAGCTGTGACACCAAAGAAGAATTGATCTGGAAAATTACGATTGAGATCAATTCCGAAAGAGTTTCTTCTTCCCAAGATCTTGGAGAGATTTCGCCTTGTCGCTGCAAGTTCGTAACCGTCCGGGTTCATACTTGGCATTATATGTATTCGAGTTGTGTCAATCATTTTCGTTACCCTGGGATTGGATTTGTAGTTTTTACACAAATAACGGATGAAATGTAGAAGTATTTCCTTGCCAGCGACTTCGTTACCATGCATATTGGCAAGATATTTCACTTCCGGAATTCCTGGACGATGTTTGCCAGGTTTCTTTGAGATCTCCATCACCCAGAGTTGGCGGTTTTGTGACGAAAGGCCAACGGTGTAGAGGTGTGCTAAATGAGGAAAGTCTTTCGCCACGCTTTTTAGAAACCATGTCAATTCTTCATAATTGTGATGAGTAAAATCGTCTTCTTTAACTTCCTTTTCACTACCACTTTTTTTATTCTTGACATCATGATGTATACGATGTTGTTCTGTAGAAGTAGATCGATGATGCTGTTTTGGCACCTATCAAGAATTGATAAAACAAAATAGAACATGAAGTTTTAAGAACTCATCAAACAAGTTTATTTCTACCAGGTAATGCATTATATAGTGTGGGAAAGTGTGGATACATAGATTATTAAAAAAGCGTCCCTTATAAGCCACAAACTACGTGGAAAAAATATAACTGTATATCTTATAACGACAGGCTTTTCGTTGACCCAAGGAACTTTGTGTAAATTCTAGAAGAACAACAGGCATTATATGACAATGTCAGGTGTTTCAAAGATAAGATGCTAGGTCACCTTGTTGTAAATTATTCGTTCATATGCATCCATCTAACCAAAGTAAGACTAATTTAGTAAACTCAGTAAAACATCGATGTAAACATATTCAGGAAACGGCTAGCTAGCTTTTATTGTAAATTTGTTAAAACATAAGTCATATCGTACCAAGGAATATATCTTTGTGATTCAGTCATTCAATTGAATTAAATGCACAAAGCAAGTTAAGCAACAATATTAATAACGTGGCGAGAAAAGATTCCGAAAGAGTAACATTATAAGCATATATTTATTTACATTCCTTATACCTTGTCCCTGTGTATTTTCGGTATAACGTTTGGCTTCGTTTCTGTTTGACGAACAAACGGTCTGGGAATGAACTGTCGACGGTTGCCAGAAACAAATGATATCAATGACAATAGCACTAAATACTGTGCATATTCCATGATAATTACTAAAGATTTCTTCTTGAGTGTTAATAAATTCTATTAGTTCTGCTCATGATGTGACTTCTATGCAAATATTATGGATAACTGATGTTTTGATTATGCACCAGAACATGTGGCTGTTAGACGAATTACTATTATTGGGTACTAAAAACCGCGCCCTGAAATTATGTAGGCAATTTATTTTGCTGCATGATGACACCCATGTTCAAAATGAAAATTTTTTTATTTCACAAATCCGCAGGATATTTTTTGCATTTTCGTAACGATAATACGCAAAATTACTGACGAATTACATCTATATTTTCAATTTCATATTTAATTTTCTCGATGATCTTTCAACGTTAACTGAGAATTTCCCCTATTGACTTTTGTGTTCGGCGTTTTTTCAATTCTTAAAGCACGAAACAGTCCATTTATCATAATAAAGGAAACATCAGAATGAATATGAAAAATCAACCAAAATTGACCGGGGGTACATTTGTGTATGATCTACCGAGAACGTTCGACATTATACGCTCTCTTTGATCCTGCAGGTATAGATTAAGTCACCCGCTGAGTGTTTGAAGTCTTTAAATTTTCATTACCAAAACGAACATCTACTTATTATTTGATTTCGCAGTAACGCCGTGGGATAAAAACTATAAAACTATGAAACCAACTTCAAAACTGTTGACTGTTGAGACGTTAGACTGACCATCACCAGTGTTCTTCTGATCTCGATGTTCGGTGAATCAAAGAGCAAACATTAGATCAACAGAGCAGACATGCATAAACAATAGAAATTAATAATCCTTCATCTCACTAAAATATGTTTCACATGAACATATTTTGATGAAAAAGCTAAAATAACGGATCAATATGTTTGTCTTCACCGAATTTTGCGGGTGGCTTCGCTTTCGTGCCATTAATAATTAACGAGACACTGTAGCTAAATCGAGTGCGTGACAGTATGTGAGCAATGCCATAAACAATTACATTTTAGTACACTTAAAGCAGAGCAAGAGTTAAGTTTACTGAAAATTGTTCAATCGAAGAAATCCTACAATAGCTATGTTTTCACTTAAGTTAATTTCTCTTGTTTTACTAATTGAGATTAATATTTCGGCACTCGACGCGCGAACAGTGCATAAACATGGCAAGAAGGGCAAACTCTCCGTGAGGAGTGATGTCGAAGTCGTTTCCAAACTTTTGGATGTGGACGAATTCAAGCATCATAGCTACGAAGAGATGCTGTGGTTCATGAAGTATTTCGCGTCAAAATATTCCGATATTGCTTCTCTCTACGATATCGGAGAATCTGTACAGAACCGAAAACTCTGGGTCCTTGAAATCTCCGGCAATCCCGGCAAGCACGACCCTGGTGAGCCCGAGGTTAAACTCGTTGGCGGGATTCACGGCGAGGAAGCAATCAGTAAGGAGGTACTACTGCAGTTCATAAAGGTGCTTTGCGAGAAATACGATAAAGACCCTGAATTGACAAAACTCGTCGATACAACCCGGATTCATATTTTACCAAGTCTCAACCCTGATGGCTATGCTATGGCGAGAACGAAAGGAGACAGTCATCGCGGGATTGGACATACCAACGCACATGGCATTGACTTAAATAGAAATTTCCCAGACCAGTTTTTCCCCACAACGTCGCCTGAACAACCTGAAACAAAAGCCGTTGAAAAATGGATCAAATCACATCCTTTTGTTCTATCAGCCAGTTTACATGCGGGCTCATTGGTAGTTACGTACCCCTACGATGATTCCCCTTCGGGACAGAGCGTGTACAGTGCTACGCCGGACGACGACGTTTTCCGACATCTCGCAAAGATTTACTCGGTGAACCATCCAACGATGCATTTAGCAAATCCAAAACTGAGCTGTTCAACATATGGTCAACATTTCATTGACGGTGTTACGAATGGAGCTAAATGGTTCAGCGAGCCAGGGGGGATGCAGGATTATAACTACGTCCGTTCAAATTGTTTTGAAGTTACCATTCAACTTGGATGTGATAAGTTTCCAAATTCCTCCAAGATCGAAACGTATTGGAAAGAGAATAAAAAGTCGTTGGTAAATTTTATCAAAGAGGTAAGAGAGGTTAACGAGTAGTATATAACAAGCAGGAAACACTTTAAGGTGAGGTTTAATCATTGACTCATTGTGCACTTTATCACCTGTTATCAGCTGTTGGAAACTTGCTACACTGCATGAAGATCACTTACACCTAGTGCTGCAAATTTAGTGCTGCATGTCTTGTCCATTAGGGTATATACGAATCAAGGGTATAGTCATATTGAATGTAAATTTACGGTGGGGAAGAAGCATTTTAACTTCACCGAAGATTACAGTTTAAAGTATTGACAGCAATTCTTATACACCGTTAGGTTCACACAGGAGTGAAAGGTTTCGTAAAAGACATCCATGGCAAACCTCTGGCAGGAGCAAGTGTCACAGTGTCTGATCGTCAACATCCTGTCGCAACAGCAAAGGATGGCGACTACTGGAGGTTACTAGTACCAGGCTCCTATGAAATACAAGCAATCAGCACGGGGTATAAGCCTCAGAGAAAAGTGATAGAAGTTCATTCTGATAAAGTTGCTGTTCTTGATTTCGCTTTAAAACCGTTCCGTGATGACGGTGAAGATGAAGCTTTCGCTGGTGTAAGTCACTATTTTTGTTATTTAAACAAATGCTAGGCGTTGAGTATTATGAGAAAAGCATTATAATACATTCAAAATGTGTCTGTTAAAATAGATTTGTGTGTAAGTAATCACACAAATATCAATAGGGATTAATTCGTAGGCACCGAAACTTTAGGCTGACACCACTCAAATCACTGGCTAAAGTCTTTGATAAAACCCGGCCACCAATTACATTTAATAGCAAGACTAAATATTGGCCAAGTATATTGAAGCGGAAAAACGCCCTTTCCTTTTTGACTCATGGATACTCCGTAGAAGTATCAGGGAGTCATTGCTAACGATCTCGCATTCTTTAGTGCCATTAACTCGACCAACCTGCCTTGCGCGTTAGTATAAAAAACTTGTTTATCTGGTTATCTACCAGCCAACAATTAATCGGCCATTCGTGCATCCGTGAGTCGTCTCATTGAGACCTTGATTAATATCTAATATCTCAACGTAACTATCTTACTGCTCTGATTATCTTACAGTTGTATAACGACGATCCTCGTGAGAGTGGCAAACATACTTGGTCAGCGGGAGCTAGCAGATCACGTGAAGGTGATAACACAGCACCTGAAGACACGAAAGGAGATTTTTCAGGCGCATCTTCAGAGGAATACGACGACCGACCAAAGTAAGTGTGTCATGTGTAAAAAAGGGATTCTCCTCAATTGAGGAAGCTTAATCAAAATTAACCAAAGTCGTCTTCCATTCTCGACAACCTGACCGTTGTGCATATAGAAAAGAGTGATAGTAGCGTTATCTGATCCAGTCACAGAAAATGAAAGCATCACTACTAATGTTGTTATTGTTTCAGAGGTAAAAATTCCGCAGTTAAACGTCCTGCTTCTCCAGAAATGGAAGAAGATGCAAGAAAGAAGACGCTGGAAAGGGACAGCGAGAAGGAATCAACCCAACATGATTCCACCACACCAAATCCTTCACCCAAAACGACAAACGCTGCATTGAAAGAGAATACTGCAATCGGAAAAAGAGTTGTTTGCCATGTACGAGGAAAGGCGGGGATTCTGAAGGGCGTGTTGAAATGGATTGGCTATCTTCCAACTTTACCCAAAAACAAAGATAATATTGTAGCAGGAATCCGGCTGGATAAGAAAGATAAACTGGGAACCGATGGATCATTCATGGGTAAAAGGTATTTCACGGCTGCTCCAAAGCATGGGTATTTTGTCAGATACAAGGACTGTAAGGAGATTTAGTGGAAATCAAAGTAACTCTACTTCGATAAGAAAATGAAAGTGGGAGCCGCGATGGTTACATGAAGATATTTTTGACGTTTCGCAAGGCGATGAAAATGCAGGCTTTGCAGAAAGATATATATAGCCTGTATATTTTTCTTAAAATGATAATTATGTGTAAAATGCAATGGTAACAAAAACATAGTCATCAACAATTGATATTTTTTTTATTTATTTCTGTATTTTTGGATTCATTTATCTCATACTTTACACCTTTAATTTTTAAGATACATTTTTATAAAAAAATACGAGGAATTCCAAAATATAGTATCATTTACATTACATCTATATTGTTAATCTATATGTAAAATGCTTCCTTAGTACTTTATTCGAACAAATTTGAAAGTATTTTCTGACCAGCAGAAAACAATTCCCCTAAAAGCTTTTCATGCATACAAGTAAAATATAAACATGGAATACGCCAAACATCGATCACTCATGCTTTATATATATATACACACACTCATTTAAATAACTCTAAGCTTGCAAGTCAGTTTCTGTGAATAGTGCTTGATGTCAGATCTTCGGGAAAATGTTGACCAGCGTTTGAATTGACTAAAATCATATCAGCAACTTGCTTCTCCGTCATGCATCTCATAATGAGATAAGTCCCAAATGGGGTGGAACAAATTTACAACACATCCAAAAAGGATTCCATCGTCAGAAGTGCGACTCACTCCTGCCTATACTTCACCTTCAAGCACCTACAGACAAATGTCCCCGATGGAGTTTTCATTTGTCGACGAATTTCTCTCTTTTGATTTCCGATTATTTTGTGCGAAATACATGGGTGAAGCGATACAATCATTCGAGCCAAATTTATCTTGTTGATCATTGTTCAATACTTCAGTGAGCCGAACACCCTGGGGTGTCGTAGCTGCATTCGAATCTTCGTCGTATGTGTCCACCGAGGTCTCGACTACACCACGAACACCTCGCACTGAACCACGGGAGGGATTAACTATTAATTTGCCTAGAAATGAAACATGAAATATATGGTTCAAGAAACAGCGATTATAATTGTTTCAAATAGGACAATCGTGTATAAATACTTATAGGGGGAACTTGGTTCTTTAATTAAACATATATTTTAAATACAATTTCATAGACCAGTTAACTGCCTAAACACATATATACAATAAAAACCTCAACATTTCAGGTGAAATTGTAATTTAAGTTTCTTGTGAGGGGCTCATATAAAATGTACAATCCAAAATTTTTTCCATGAAACCATGATAATGGAATTTAAAATAAATGAAGTGTTTAAAAATATCTTGGTGAACGAAAGATTTGTAAACCTACCGAAATCATCGGGAATAGACAAAGGATCATTAACTGTCGGGGGCTGTAACTGGTTCATTCTCTTAGTAGGGATTGGAACTGTCAATCGATTTTTCTTAGTAAGTGGAGTTGGAATAGGTCGTTTCATTTCTCGTGGTGTATTCGGAGCTGAATCGCCTTTCATTGAGTTATCACAACTGTCCTTCGAATTAACGAAGCTATAAAACCCGCGGTTATCTGACGCCTGACTCTCAGCCAAGGAGTCGAGACTCACGAAAGATCCTTCAGAACTTGCGACCAAGTCATAGGAATGATAGTTTTCATCACTGTCGTTCGAGCATAAAGTTTCACAGGAATGGGAACGAGTTAACGAGGTATCAGTTAGGACTGAGTTCGGTGTTTGCTCATCGTTTGTAATTCCGTTGCTCGAGAATCGTTTCCAGATATCGTTGTTGCTGTTCGAGCCGTTTTGTAAGTTACAATCCTTCGGTTTGAAGTTGTTGAGGTGAATAGGTTTGTTTGTTTCCTTACTGCCGGGCAAGGTTCCACTTGAACAGTTGTACGAGGCGAATTCACGAGTCAGAGTGTCCATGGAGTGCGTAGGGTAAGCCTTTGAAACAAAAACAAAACAAGGGACGGTGTCATAAGGTAAAAAAAAACATGCGATACACACAACCGCAAAATATTCTAGGCAAAACTATTCTATTTTACGCGTGTACAAGGATATAAATTCGCGAATATTAACTAAAGGGTATCAGCTACAAAGCTATCAGTGATAACTAGTGCAGTATAATGATAACTAGTGCAGTATAATGATAACTAGTGCAGTATAATGCAAAATAATAAACAGAAAAATCGTTACGCACCATGTTTCCGGATGAGGTGGAAGTCTTCTTTCTTGCTAGACTCAATGTATTATTGTGAGTTGTACTCGCCGTAGAGCATCGTCGTCTGTCGTAAGTATTCGTATGAAAAGACTTATCTTTGTGTAGATTGCTTAGCTGACAAGTCAATAACGCCTTCCAAGAATCGCGCACGTTTTTTTGACTTAGACAATAAAACATAAAGATACAAAGTCCTTGTATTGAGTTAAAGAAGATGAAGATATACTGGAATGTAAGACGAACACTTCTGATTGCCAGAGCACCAAAGATCCATGTCACACCAACCAATATCATTATACCAACCGCTTGTTTTAAACGTTGTATCATCGCGCTTCGATCCCTACCAAGTGAACTGTCAGGACGAGAATTCAACTTGTACATTATGATACCAAACACAACCAGATTAACAAAGACGACACACATGACTGGCGCAAGAAAAGCAACAAAGAAAGCCATCCTGTTAATACGACAGCTAAAAATAAGTAAAAAACGATGTTGAGTAGTTTATAAACATTATTATACATAGATACATAGATTATACATATTGTACAGTTAAAGTACGGCTAAGGTATAAAGTACAGTAGTTTGAACTTACTAATGGCCACCGCCATAATTATCCAAATCGACTGCCATCGTTATTCCAACAATAATCGCAGGAAGACCTAAGGTAAAGTATGATATGTTAAACTACAGTGAATAATTGAAGCATGAAATTAGAAAGAGAAGATGTGAGGTTGGGTTTGGGTTAGGGTGTATTTCATTTTTTTTAAAGTTTCATTTGTTAAGGGTACAGCTCTTTAGCGAAAGATAAATTATGGAAGTGAAACGTAAATCTGTCAAATCGCACAGTTTAACTATCTTTATGTGGCCTGGTTTGTGGTCGTTTCAAACGAAAATGAAAAATAAAATATATACCCCAAGCGATGAACGAGCATTTTAGTAATTCATGGTCGCCATGTTGTGACCAGACTTTGACAAAAGCCAAATACATGAAATGTGCTTCGATTAACATCCACATGAATGCGGCTAAGATGAAGTAATGCAACAGGACTGCGACGATGTAACAGCCAAGAGGATCAACAAGAGAACGTTCAAAACCGACAACAAAAACCACCAGGACGCAAAGTAATGCAATACAAAGCTGAATCAGTATCTTTGCAGCCAGTTCTTTACGAAGTCTCCTAAATGTTTCCAAAATGTTTGCTGATATGATTTTAAAAGAATTCAAAGCCTCTGATTGGCTAATAGCCATGTGACTTCGGCTTGATAATTCTTCATATCATGTTCAACCTCATTCAATAATTGTTAATTATTGTCACAGCTGAAACTTAGGACGTGCATACAGAGTATATTATTATATTGACAATCGCACTATTAATTGAGGGAAACTATCAGAGATTAACTAGAGCATATGATTGCTGTGAACAACAGTAAATAACACTAGAAAGATCCTTAACATTTACCTGAAAAACATATACGTGAATATTGTAAGCAACAAACCAAGAATAGACAAACTACATCCAACATAACTAACAATTTGGAAGACATCTGCGTGAGGACCGCAAACTTTGGAGGTGGCCGCGTGAACATCCTAAAATTGCAGATGAACGAAACTATTAGAAAGAAATATATCCCTTGCTGACCTGTTCACAAAGCGAGGTTCTCTCTTATTTAAAGGCTGTATGTCCTAAAATATGAGCTAAAATATGTATGAGCTAAAATATTTTTAGTTACTATAGGCTCACAGCTGTCCTTTTGACTAACGAAAGATATACTACACACTATAAAGAATAAGTGATTTTACTATTGAAAATCTCAAAATTGCACTTACCATCAAAGCAGCAAAGTTGGTCATATGATCACAGGCACATTCAATAGTATTGTTATACGTCTTCTGCCGAGTGCAACCTTTCCTCGACCAATTACCTGTCCCTCCTAGAAAAAATCGAAATATTCTGTCAAAAAAAGACGAAAGACAAACAACCGTGCACTGAAAAGAAAAATTGACTGACAAAACTAATCACAACCAGAGCTGTAATCTCTAGCGTTGTCATTGAAATGACACTCATGAGCCTTGAGTGGAACATGGGCAGCGGGGTGTGAGTGATAAGGAACGAGAGATACATTCTAGTGCTGATATTCTGTGGAAACCAAGACCAGTATTAGTTCCTGAACGTTATCAAAAAGTTAATATCTAAAAGATGACATGCAGCCACTGCTTTCAAACAATCATGACAAAGTCCATTATTTTTCAAACCTAAAATTGGAACATGCAAAAAGCTAGATTTTCAAACCTGCTGCATCGAAGTCCCAGAAAACGCAGGACGATGATTCCGTAACAGCCTATTATATGAATATATAAAATATACAATCACATGAATGAAATACAAAAAAATTCTTTTTTAGGCAATGAGTGTGCAGCTTTCGTTAAGTACAAGTAAGTATATATAGAGGCAAAAAGGCAACCATAAACATTCCATACCTTCGGGTCCGCCACATGAAACTTTATTATAACTTTCTCAGTTAAATTCTTTACAGAAGTGCCTGGTATACCACTTGATATAACCGGCGTACTCTCCTCGTAAATATTTTCAGTGAAACCATCCACGCAGGTCTCTTTAAGAAACCGTCTTCTTTTGAACAAGTTGCCATTCTTGTAGTATATAAAATACATTGTTTTGTTTTTTGCCAGGTTCAAGACTTCCTTAGGGATAATAATCTTCGTGCCATTATTCTTTTGTTGTACGATTCCACTCCGTACATCCAAATCCGTCAAAATACGAATTTTAATGTTGGACGTGTTTTTGGAAAATTCGCCTCCCTTCTCCACAAAATTTTCCAAGATCCTTATAAACCTACGGTATAAAGCGTATGCATTTGCATCAGGATCATCATCTCGCTATCTGCACGCAGCATTAATCAAGACAGTGTAAATTTTCCGAACCATTCCTCCGTCCCATTTCGCGTGCATGTGTATGCAATATCATTATAATAATATATTCCGTCTAGCTGAATATTCAATATTGAACATAAATTGATGCTGTCAAATTTATCCTTACCTTGTCGATGAATTACTTTTGTCTAAGACTTCAACATCTACATCTAGAATGTTACTTAGTGTCTTCAAGATGCTGTCCCCAACCTACAGAACCACAATGACCAACAGTTAAACAGTTTTCCATATGAAAATCTCGCCCTATTTAGCAGAAGGGCCGAACAGGCGGGGATACAAGGGACCTTATTGTATATCCCATGAGGTGTGTGATGGGAGTTGAATGATAAAGGGGGCATAATTTTTTAGATACGACGATTCACGCCACTGCACTTTTCAGCCTAAGTCTTTCCTCAAAATCTGTGACGGTAGGAAATTGCTCTTAGAGACCAGTCAATTTAAAAATCGTTTTGAACTAGTTAGTACCTTGACATTGTTGGTGTTTGTGTCAACGATTTTCTTCAAGATTTCTGCTGTAATAGAAACATTCCTCGGATTGAGTTCATCAGGTTTCGAGGTTAAATTCTTGACATCTATTGCAACACTCTCTGCATTGTCATCGTCAATTTTCATCTAGAAGATAAAAAGTACATCAAAAGATGTTATAATTTTATACATCCGGCACGACACTTTTATCCGTTAATCAAACGCACTTTTAACGTGAGAATAAAAGTTATTGACTCAGATAAATTACTACAATACCGATAACATTGGTTCAAACATTCACAGAATATCTCTGGCGTGGCAAATGAAAGAAGTTGTTCTTCAAGAGGTTGTTATTCGTTTATTTTTTGTACAGTCTAATATAAACACACATAATAGAAAATATATTTACAGTACCTTGTTCAAGGTTTCTAAATTGGTCCCTACTGGTGGTTTAGGAACTGCGGTAGTAGGCTCAGGGATTTCTGAAAAAACACACGCAACGTACGACTTATCTTAGTCCCTGATGCTGTCTGAAGCTCGAACCATCAACACTCCAAAACAATACAAAATCATTACAATACCTGCACGTGTAGTAAACGAAACGCTTATAGAAGGACTTTGTCGTCTTCCATTTTCAACTGCTACTTTGGCAGTATAGTTCGTATCAGGAAGAAGATTATGAATCACAAAGCTAGTGCCATCAGGAACAGAAACTTCTCCGTCATCGATTTGATTACCACTCTTATCGAACACCCCAATAACGTATTTTTTTATGACACCCCGAACGCGATCTCTTGATGGTTTATCCCATTTTAACGTTGCGTTCAATGATTTCACTTCATAGACGTGCACATTCAATAGAGCATCAGGAGCTAAATCAGAATACCAGGAAATGATTATTCTTTTAAGCTGATAATTTGGATTTTAGGAAATTTTGAGCCTAGGTCAGAAGGGGGCATGAGGGGTACCAATTTGGGTAGCCATCAGTTCAAACTTTAGGGAATCAGGTGAGACATTTTGCACCAAACCATAGCTGTTTGGTGTACTAGGAGTTTCTGATCTGCGAACCTGGCAGTTCAAGCAGAACAGTATCCATAATTTTCAGAGTTTTTCGAACAAACATACATTCAAATGTGTCATACTGTACAGTCGGTATTTGTACTCTATCTCATATAGCTTGCAAATGGCCATGGACCCCGCTCTAAAACCGCACCGGACTCATCCCTGTTCAAGGGCAATTTAAAAACTATTATCATATTTTGCAATAAACACAAAGGACAAGCACTATACTATAAAAATATACGTTATGTATTTATATCCTTCTCTTATCATAGAGAAACAATGTTATAAGTATTATTGTCTCTTACTTCCTTGCAATGTTGTCACACTTTTTATATCGCTTGTTTTGTCTGGATCTTTATCTCCATTTCGATGCACTGGTGTGACCTTCACTTCGTACTTTGTCCACGGCTTTAAACCTGTGATGCTGTATTCAATGCCTTTTACTTTCGTTTTTAATTCAAGCCTTGTCCATTCAGATACGGTCACAGCGCGGTATTCAAATACGTATTTCTCAGTTATATTCGCTAGGCGATAAGGAACTTCAGCAACAACAGATTTCTCAGTTTTGGGATACACAAGCAATGGAACACGAACTAAAATGAGAAAGATATTACTTCGTGCAGTGATTCCTCGAACCAAGGCCTAGTTCATACGTCACATTTTGGTTGAGTCGAAAACCGCGTTGAATGCAATTCAAACAATATAAATAATGAGATGATAATTAAGCTAAATGACGTTTACCATCTCATTCTCTATTGTTTGAATTACATTCGACGCGACCAAAATGCGACAAATGAACTAGGCCTAAGGTATACTTCGGGTGGCTTATAATACATGCCACGTAGTTTTTATCCATTTTGACATCATTATCCAAGACGGTTGCTTGAAAGGAGGCTGAACCGGTGAATAAGTCAAAATGAAAATCACAGTTTCCAGAATTCCTGAATTGAAATATTTTGGCTAAGTACATAGTTGGGATTCATTTGCTCTAGTTGGATTTTGTTTATTCTTTGAATAAACGAGTGTACGTGATCGATATTCAGCGGCAAGCCTAAGATATTGCTCAGAGAGTAAGCCCTATTCTGTATGTTATCCACACTTTCATTCAAAGCAGATGTCAAGGAATTGTAAATCTTTATTTCTCTCAAGTCAAAAATTTTTAAAATCTTTGCACATCTTTTCATTTGAACGTCAATTTTGCTGGCCATGAAAAATGAGTAAAAAAATGCATCAAAGAATAAAAAGCCGAGAGCCTCTTGGGCCATTAAACTATCGTGTTCGGGGACGGAGGGATTAATCATTTTCTATCTCTGCGTGAAGCCAATAGCGCAATGAAACGTATACATTCATTGAATAATAAACTTGAATGAATTCGATATGAATATGTTAAAATGAATGGAATAAGTTTATGTCGTAAATATTTCTCAATGAACTGACCTCCGACACTAAGGATAAACGTATCTGATGCATATAGCGATGCAACTCCAGGGTACATTCCTCGACACTCGTATCTTACGCCATTGTCATCGATTGACACATTATACAACTTTAATATCGACCGTTTGCGATTGCTGCCAACATCTGGTTTCTCTATTTTTATATTTTTAGACTCTTTAACCAATTCACCCTCTTTGTACCAGCTTAAAATGATACCAGATTGACCCGTCATTGTACATTTCAAGTCGGAGTTTCCACCTATATCGGCATCGTGATTTTTCTTTTGTAAACTTTTGTCTGCGACTTCAGGGACACTGCCTAAAATTTACGAAGTTAGGGAAAAAAGAAGTTTAAAACGAGGCAGAAAACTTTATACGCGGATTTTAAAGTCTGTTTCTTAATCATTAAAAATTATTCAATTTAGGTATAAGCCCTACAATACATAACACATGTCACATGCACGGTCAAGTGTGAAGTTATTTATTAAAGTTATTTATTGAATTTATTTATTGAAGTTATTTATATAAGGCTCTTTTCCATTAATCGCAAAATCCCAATCGCAAGCTCGCTGTGAGCGCTTGGATGTAATTGAACTTAAATGAACTTAAAAGCACTCCATTGCATGAATATACCCACGCAGCGAGCTTGCGAGTTCGCTAGGGCGATGACTGGAAATCCACCTTTACTGAGGTAACATGAAGAATGCAAGAATTCGTTAAAACTATACTATACCTTTCACTGGTAAACATTCATAAATTTCAGCCCTCATGCACGGATATGACGACGGGCTAGTTTTCTTGAAATTCCAATCCGTTGGGATAAAACGTATATATCTTGCGATAACCATCGGTTCCAATGCTTTTATCTTTACAGTGTCATTGTCAGTGTTGCCGGCAAATTCCTATAATTATCATATCGTTATACAATGGTACTACACCATACGAATGCCAATAAATGCTATTTGAAATAATAAAACTTAGTCCAGTTGCGCCGTGAGTTCAGTGACGTCAGTAATGGCGAAGCATAAGCTATAGAAGCTATAGTTATATTCATTGCTCAGCTGGCCATTTCCCAATCGACAAGGATATTGGGTCTAGTCGTGTACCACAAAGCATCTATGGACTATTTGGAGGGACAAAGACTTTAGACTTATATCTTCTGTCCCTCCAAACAGTCCATTGATGCTTTGCAGTTCGCGACTAGACCCAGTACCCTGGATTTGGCTAAAATGGCCAATAACTATAGCTTATGCTTCGCGATTACTGACGTCACTGAACTAACAGAGCAACTGGGCTAAGTTTTATTATTTCAAATAGTATTTATATTGGGATTCCCAAGGAGACACCAATAATTTATATTCACATTGGCGGACTGCATGTGGGTATTGCAAATTCAATATATTCAGAAACATTTTAGCTGTACTAAGCGTACTCTATATACACATTTACACGACAAGATAACTTGCTTACAAGTTTTTGTTTATTACGGCAAGGCTCCCACGTGTTTCCATCTGTGCTGTAGTTTAGTCTGTAACTTCTCGTAAACAGTTTATGCGCGTAACCCTGAGTTGCCACTTGCGAGATATTTCTCTTTCGGCGTAGATCAACCTGAAACATTCAATGATTAACGTAATACTGCACTTGCTTCAGCTGATATGTAGTTTATGTATTCCATTGCCTATAGATTAAAGTGAACTGAATGTCTGAATCCCAACAAAATCGCGTGAATCGAACTTCATTTTAAAAGCTGTAGAGTGGTGTTATATGTACAATACTTTATTCAGCCCGAAATCAAGTGTGCAAACCAACCTCTAAATATATATTTCGGTCATCCTCCTCAGCACACCAAGCACCCCAGTTTTGTGCTTTTTTATTTCTTTTATTATTTAAGCGGGCAAACGCAGGAAAAAAATTATATCTGTGCGAGGACGCGTTGATTTGCTCGTCAAGTATTCTTCCATCTTCCATGCCCACAGGAGTTGTACAGTCTAAAAATTCAAAGGTGGACATCTTGACATGTTGCTTGGACATCTTGACAGTAATCTACAGTGCTTATGTACTGTTTAAACTTGCTTGATTCCACCCGCCTGCATAGACTACATGGATGTGGCATCAGCTAAATTTCATAAGTTTACATAAGTTTTCACAACACAACGATCTTTCACTCTGCCTGTTACTTGTACAGTATAAGATTTAGGTTAAGGCATGTATGGAACCATGCAACAGTAAGAGATGATTTAGCAAGAGATGATATTAGCCTGATATTATATATATCTATATTGATTTATTATATACACAAGCCCCAGATATGAGGTATGCTGCAATTTCATTGGTTGGCTATTAGACAGATATTAGCTCATATCTGTCTGTGGTCTAGTAGAGAAAGTAAACAAAATGGCTGAAAGATTTGGGGAGTTGATGAAATAGAAATCCAAGCTTTAGTTGATAATAGCACACTAAAATGCACCGAAAGGGCGACAAGGTTTGTATATATAAATATCAGCTCATATACGACTCGAGTTCGCAGAATAACTGTTAAATAGATGTAGTCATGTAGACACAGTAGAAAATTTAGATTTTACAAAGTGACGTAGCCATGCAGTCTGACAATTTACTACCGCTGGGCAAAGTCATCTTCAATATTCATTATTTTAAAAATCTATTGTTTACACAGTTTATTGAGTTTAAGCCAAAATATTCGCATGAAATAACTTATTTCAACCACTGCTTCGTTTGTGTAACTTTACCTGTATATGGATTGCATCCATACAACTCTACTCTCAAGCACCGAGCACCATTGGGATTTGGGTAGATTCTTATCAAACGTGTTGTTATTGGAGATGGAAGCTTGATTTTTTTACTTCTTTCAACACTTTCTGCACCCCATTTTAGCTCCTAAACAATTACGAGGAAACAAACCATCAATAAATTTAGTCATAATAAAAACATTGCCCTCACTGTATAATAATATTTAAATGCTCAAAAATTTCAAAGCTTGTAGGGGAGAACGCTTTACGACTTAGCTGTAACTTTTGCATGTACTTTACTACATATAATACGAAATCCTAAAAACAGTATAAATTACTACGACAACTAACTATCACGATTCACGACGACTTTGTCGACTATCAGTGCATGTCACGTAAATTTAAGCCTGGTTTCGTAATTGTCGTGAACGAGTCATTTTCACCGACGAGAAATAGCCCGCGGTTTGTCTTGATTTCTGTATTCAAATCATCATTGTTGACTGCACACAAATAGAAATAGCGCAAAATCCTTTGTTTATCGAAAAATGATATAATAGGTCCCCGATTCTTAGAACTTGTTCATATGAAACGGACGGGCCAGCTTTTGCTGGACCGCTTGATGTTTTCGCTTCGTTCAGGCGAGATCTCGCCAGAGACGGGCTTGCCCGATTCCATATGAATGCATATTTAAAAATATAGTGAAATAAGATGTGAAGCGAGATCCCGGCTACACCGTCTCATATGGACAGGGCCCTTAGGACCTAGTGTTAACGAGTTCTTAGAGCTGCACGAAAATCGCCACTGAAGAAATTCAACTGACCGTTAGTTTATGTGATTCATGCATACTCATCACACCGTTAGTTTATGTGATTCATGCATACTCACCACTTCGTCTTTTCTGTTCTTGTACCATTCAACATAATTGTACCATTGCTGACCATCATAACTGTACTTAAGCGTGAATTCGTTAACATGTTGCCTTTGTCCACGAGGCCCAGCTAGCTCAACAGCCGTAATTGTTTTTGTGTCATTAAAATCTACTTGAAACCAGGGAATTTTATCATCTTCAATGTCATCAGCACACCAGCCATTTCTTCAAAATAAAACACACAAATAAAACACACTACACACAATTTATTCGTACAGCGCAACTAAAAGGGTTCCTACTTCCTGTACCAATCTCATCCGTGCTTGGGTTTTGCATTGGTAGTCTGAACACTAATAATTTTTTTAATTCTAATTAAAGTACCAATTTCAGCCATGCTGTGCCAATAAATTGAGTGTGGCGTAAATGGGGTTATAATGCATGCATTTTTCGACAGGTATTTTTATACTTTGTTGTCAACAAAGGTGTAGCTTAGAGTCATGCAGGGTGTATAAAAGACATGCAAACTCTTTTGAAACCAGATACAGTATTTATGAAAGGCAATTTTGTTTTTACTTTTCAACAAGATTTAAGTTTATAATTTAAGGATTTTAATCAAAAGAATAATTTTCTATTCATAGGTAAACATACGATCCATGGTCCAGTTTTCCTTGCTTTGCTGCATAACGGACTGTCGCTTTCGATGAAGAGGCTGAGAGTTGGTCATTACTGATTGGTTTATTTCCAACCACAAGTTTTTCATTACAAACTACAAAAAAGTGTACATTATTCTAAATTACACACAAACTGATTAATTTAATCCTAGGTAGCCCAAAGGTATTTGTGTTTTAATCTAAAGCGTCCATCCAGTTTAATATCGCGGTCTGTGACGTAAACACCAACTGCTATATTTGTATAATAATAAGATAAGATAATTTATATTTAGTTGCCAATGTTGCCAACCTTATCTTATTATTATACAAATATAGCAGTTGGTGTTTACGTCACAGACTGCAATATTAAACTGGATGGACGCTTTAGATTAAAACACAAATACCTTTGGGCTACCTAGGATTTAATAGGCAGTAATAAAAGCCCAAAATACAGGTACTGATTAAATATATAACAATTTTTTCGTATTCTATACGTAAGGTGCACTGCATAAAACCACAAGAGTTTAAAACTATCAAGTTTCTCTCCCTGTTACCACATTTTATCTCTTCACCAAGAAAAATAGACAAATTTTAAAATTTTGTTTTTTATTCATGCACACTGGGTTTGCCAAAATCATTCATAGATTATTCATCATCATAGATATAGATATCTCACAATGAAGAACATGGTTTCTCCAAAGGCAGTTTCTAATTTCACAGGCTTTAGATAATAACTCTTCTCACAACAACCACCTCAGGGTGCAGGGTTTTCTAAAACATTAGCCCTTTTAGGGAGATTACAACCCTTAGACTTGGGCAAAATTGATGGTAGGTCTAGCAATTTATACCCAAGAATCAAGCAGTAAAATTCTAATTAATTTGCTAATTCAGTTCTAATGAATTTGTTAACAATAACTAAACTGACTAAATTTACTTCATTCACAAGTTGTACTCAAATTGAACATTTTTTATTAACTTCAAAGGGTAAGTAATTAATGAATAGTTATAGAAGTTATTTATATAATTATTCACACAGAATATGTGTGTAAGGTTTCACAACGAGTTCATAATAAAAATCGTACAAACGAGCCAACCATAAAGTAATTTGTTTATTAAATGTGTACAGAGATCAATTTGACAACGACACGCTTTTAATATACAAAAACACAGCGAGCAACAAAATCGAAATTTTATGCATCAAAACATATTTATTACCGTTCAGTTTCTTTGTAATTTTGTTCAATAGAAGTTAGATATGAAGATTGTGTTCTATTTTAAAAATACAGACAGCTATTTATCAAACATGAGCAAGATATTGTTAATTTCATTTAAAATATGAAAATATATAAATTTATGCATGTTAATTTCATTACGTTGCAGTTTTGTAAATTTATACCTGTGTTTTTATACATTGTGTTTTGCTATTACTCTTTTAAAATATGAACTGCCGTCAAATTTCCAGACTATTTAGGAAAGAAAACAATATGTGATAATAGTTATTACATATAGTCATAACTCTTTATCAAAATTTTGAATTTAATCATAGGCAGCCCAGAACTGATCTCGCTCGACGCTCATGTTGTCTGAACAGTCTTATATTATGAATTATTATGACTAATGACAGTCTTATATCATGGATAATAAAATCACTTTTAACTTCCATGCTTATATTATGACAGTCATAATATAAGACTGTTCAGACAACATGAGCGTCGCGCGAGGTCAGCGAGATCAGTTCTGGGCCGTCTATGTTTTTAAACAAATTCTCAAACCGACCGTGAGAAAATCTGCGAGTTAATATAACATGTTATGCAATTTCTTTAGTTTTTCTGCGAATATGATAACAACATTAAATGCACGAAAGGAGTTGCAGCATTTTTATCTGTTGAATGTTTTGTGTCTCAAATTTCATGTATCCAAGTCGATATTTGAAATTTTAACAATATTAAGTTTTTAACAACCGATAGTTAGTATAGATGGTGTAATAATTTTGTATGTACCTTGTCGACTATGATTTTTCACTATATAAATGAAATCACTATAGGTAAATCAGTAAATGTAGTTTGGCATTCGGTAGACGAATAAGACGATTTAGCGCCAGAAGGGAAATTCGAAAATGCAATGGAATTTTTAGGTTGGTTTAGCCTGTTTAACTGTGTAAATTTTAATAGTGATTTGTGAATAAAATTAAGTCGCGATCCCAATATCGTGTAACGACAATAGGTAAATATAATACACAAACAAGTGATTTTTCCTAACAAAATCCTTAAACAATGGCAGGGATCAAATACGTTTGGCATGTGGATTTATAGTCTTATACAGCAAATGAATCTAACATACCTGAAGTGTCAACTCCTTGAGTACACAGCAGAAACAAATGAATTGCCAGGGAATAAACTAGGTGATACATTCTTAACGTAGATATTATGTTCAACTTTCTCTCAGCAAAATATCAGTAAACGTATTTTGCCTAACACATCGCAAGACAACAAGAAGCATATTGTCGCAAACATATGTCTGACCAATCGTCAATTCGTAATTCGAGACCTTCCGCACGCCACGGTGACATATGCAGGACCGCCCTTGCCTTAAGTTAATAGTTGAGAAGTTTAACGAAAATCTCACTAATATTCTTATATTGTTACCACGACAACTTCATTCCTGCTTTATAAAGTCAGATAGACGTATGGCAAACAGAATATTAACAAATAGTTTTCAGATTTAGATCTGGTTTTCAAACTTCTTCACATACTATTCGATCGGATGGAAGAATTCTTTTGACCGCTTATATTTGGATGTTGTAAGTTTGTGTAACCCTTTGCGGCTACTTTTGAGGTTTAAACAGTTTATTCGTGCCATTTTTAATGTGGCGCCAATATGAATGTCATCCAAAAAGGGTAAACTAGCTGAACGTCCCCTGTCAAGTATTCTTTTAAAGACTAGGCATATACAACTTTTATCCCAAGCCTGTTTTTACAGCCCGTTTAGTTATGGCGCTAAATCTTGATACTTCAGTATCAGAAAGCCGAAAGTTTGTTTGAAAGCTTTTTAATTATGACTTTTGGATATTTTCCATCGGCGAACAACATCATCGATCATTCATTCCTCAATGGTATAGTTTGATCTTTGATGGTGTCAAATACACCCCCATTAGGCAACAGTTTGCGACACCCTTATATTAAGTTTACCCGACAGTTTATGAATGCGTGATCATAGTATGATCACGCATATTTGCATCATGATCTCTGTAACAATATAAGTATATAACTATCTTCAATATCCAGGTCGAGTCGTCGACATATTATTTGGGAAACTTTTTGAAAAACACTTGACTTCGTCATCTCAAGTAACTTCAGGGAGTCACAGGGGGTGCTTCTCTTTAACCGTTCTCATTATTAAAAAACAACCCACGCAATATCTCTGTGTCGACATGAAACACGATATGTTTCTCACTCTGAGGAGGTAACCACTTTTGAATTGTTTATTGTAACTATTCACTAACTAAAATATGTAGAGAAAGGCAAATTAGAGAATCAATAACTTTTCTCTCTTAGTAATGCATTAGTATTACTTTTCTCCTTTAACTTTTAGCTATTTTGATCAAACATCTAATAATTAAATAAATTGAATCATCAGATAAGGCTATCGTTAACATCGCAGTCTGTGGTATTTGCGGTAGAAGTAAGACGCGGAAACGGATGACGAAAGCGGAATTCAAGCCTGTGATAAAACAAAGCACTGAAAAAGAGTAAAATGCAGAAAATCGCACAGCGTAAATGGGCCATTAGTAAAATAACGACGAGACATTTAAAAAATAGTCACGTTTGCGCCTTATTACTATGACGAGAATAATCATTTTAACACGCTGACACCAATGATATCGAATATACGAATCGTTTTCTCTTTTAAAAACAAAATGAAAATGGTTTTTTCACTTCTCCTTGGATTTACTAAATGAATAATAAAAAATGAATTAATTTTATAAATTATTCTTCATATCGTCCTCTAACTCATTCAGCAAATTGGTAATTTCTCATCTGTGTTTCCATTTGCTCAGTTAATACTCCCCCAGTTTTACCGTTCTTACCTGCAATTTACACTCTTTCGCCTTTCATCTCTTTTGCGTAATGCCACTTCTGCGTTTTTACACCAGTTTGCGTTTCCGCTACTCCGCCATTCCGTTTCCGAATTCCGCGATATACGTCTTTCACTACTATTTGTGGGATTCAATGATATTTCAAATGTTTATTTTTATTGTAGCTTAGCAAGCGTTTGTATGGACTATTAACATATGCATTCGTGATTGTGTTGCTTCGTTGGCAAATAACGAGTTGCTAATTTGTTGTTTTGTTTGCTCAGAACAGCTGCGTTTCACTTTTAATTTTTAGTCGTGCATGCGAATTAGCATTGATTGCGCCGGTTTACTCTGCATAAATTTTAGCACAGGAGGGCGTGAGGAGTCACTAAGCTAAAAAAATGCAGTGGTGAGGAAAAGTGGGAAAAAGCAATGTTAGAATGCTCTGCATGGCCTCAGCACTATTATTCAATTTATTGTTATAATATATTGCCCAGCAGCAGGCATGCGAGAACCATTTTTCGAGAGCGGTAACCTGAGGAAATATTGCAACATATATGCATTGGTCAGCTGTCAAAATCAGAGCGAGTTTTGTGGGAAAACGGAAATCGTTTCATGAGTGAGTACACTACATTTTGGCGTCTGACACGAGACACGTATACTGCGTCATTTGGCACCTATATTTGTCATGTCTCGGTTGACCGCACGAAGCATGATAAATCTAACAGCCATGCTAAAGAAAAGTAAATTTTGGAAAATATAATGAACACGATCGGTAATTGTTGCTGTTGAATGAATAGGGAATATTTTATAAACAAACTACAAGCAGATGGTCAATTTTGTTATTTTATGTTTGAAGAGTCGTGGCTTCCGATCACTATTTGATAAAGTGACCCACTTAAGCGGTTTCCTTTGATATTCTAAACATGCATATTTAAGCTTCTCATTTTGACAGAAATGATTTATGAAATAGATATCAGTGCATAGTTCGTAGGACACTCCCTAGAGTAGAGATACACCAACACTCTAATTCTCTAAAGACGGTATACCTCGATTTTGACCTCGGGATTTCACTCTTCGATTAGTTCAATTATGATATCGGATATCCAAGGTTTGGAGGAACACACAGATTACGGCGTCCCGATTACTTTTTTAAACAAGGTTAGGATCAAAGTTGGTCATTTAGGAAATTAATTGAATTAATTATAAAATCTAAAAATAGAAGTAATCCGCGAGTCGGCTCTCATCTTACACCAAACAGCAGCATATCTTTATTCTAGTTAAACTGTCTAATATACAAACTTCGTCAATTTCGTGAGGCATTGTGCGAGTTGAAAAAAATAAGTAGAATTTTATACAGAATCTCGGATAGAATTTTATATAGTAAATTAAGTTTGCGCTCAGGTTCTCCAGTACACCTTTTACTGAGACTTCGGAGAGTGCAAAGAGAGTTCAAGTGTCTTTTTTTAAAAGGTTTTAAAAGACGTTTAAAAAGTGCCATCAACACATTGTACCACGATTTTTCATTTCTGTGATAATAAGAGTTTTTCTCTTTTTTTTTAGAGTTTTTACCTCAACATGGATGTTTTGACATCCAGTTTTCGACAGTTTGGGCCGGCGTTAATCGTAGGTATAACTATTGATTTGTCAGACCTATGATTGACCTACTAATTGCTGTATACAATGCTTTTCGGTAATAATATATAGGTGATGATTCTGAGGACAAATGGTAAGTTGTAACTTAGACTTTACGTCAAATTTGTCTGACTGATCTCGACTAGTACCTACATGTAAGCAATTGAATGAAAAATGCTGCATGACGGGAATGATTCAGACTTGATTTTCGTATCAGTTTTTCTTAGTTGTTCCCATGATGCGATAAACCGGCTTTCCTGAATACACAAAATGAATCTACACGTTCCAACACTGAGACACCGCAGGCTGCGAACAGAATTGAACTGCCCTTGAACAAGCTCGAGTAAACATGCAGTGATTTGCAGTCATTCTTTTGTTTACCAAAATCGTTTTTACAATTATATCGAAGAATTCTGATTGGAGAGCGCTGTGTACTAAACTTGAGATGAGTGGTGAAATATTTACCTTTTATTCGGACTTCTTCGCCTAATTCAGCTGGTGTTTAACAAAGTGAGACACCCAAACTTAGTGTTTTTGGCCTGCCATAAATACATGATAATCAGTATTCTGTTTTCAAGTATGGATATTCATATTGGTCGAGCTGTCAAAATTTTAATGCTGGTTAATATGTTACACTTATCATTGTATGATGTTGATGCAAGCTTTTGTAAGTAAAAGGCATTTCCTATTTAGACATTATTATACACAGATACTTAAATCATCCTGAAATCTGCGCATGCTTTTTCATACTTCTAGTATTTAAATCATATTAAATATCTTATATAGTTAGGCTCTTTCAGACGCCGAATTTTTCATGTTAAGAATTGGAAAACTTTAGTTCATTAACATTCGGCACATGGAAGGAAACAGGCGTTAATCGACAGTCAGTGATGCCAAAATTTATTATAATTTTCGGTACTATGACACATTATGGAAAAGAGGCAGCATCGTGAAAGCTTTTTTAAATAAAAGCGCACAAAATTGGTCGTGCAACAACATATATGAATATATGCGGGAAAAATCTAAACTTTCACAGCCTTAGGTTTTCTACATTTTAGGCCGGTTCAGTTGGGCAGTGCGTGGTGTCAGATTAGGAACGTCATCGAAAGTGGCTGTTCTTGAAAGCTTTTGCGCAAGCGCGGCTGGATTTCTTTTAACAATCCAGCCATGAAGTTTGTCGCAAAAAAGTACCCCTTGCTCAAACCAGGCTCTCGTTGGGATTTTAATGAGACATTGTAATAAGTATTTAATACCTAGTGATGCCCTTATGATGACTTAGACATAACTTTGAAACAAGTTTTATTACAGTTAGTTTTATTATTATACACCTATATATACTTATAGACTCGTCAAATTCCACAAACATCAGCCTTTGGGAAACAACACCATCAATTCGTACAACAAATTCAATGCCCGTAAAAGGTGAGAAACCTACGCTTCTAGCAGTTGATTAAGTTATAACTGCTGTCTGCATATACAGTAGCTTACAGAACTCGCCCTTATGATGATTGAGACATAACTTTGAAACCGAAACTTCGATTATTATACACTTAACACACACGCCTCTCACGGAATTCATTACTCTAGCTCCGTCAAACTCTTTGACTGAAAATCTAAATGATCAGGCCCGTGTTTTCAAGCACGAATAGTTATTAAATCTCCGTATGATGTTTTATAATTCTCAATGTGGTTCAATCAGTAACAAATCATTGTCCAGCGCGCAGTCAGTAGGCTATACGCTTTTTGACCCCGTTTTCAAAGTTACTACGATTCTATACGTGCGAGTGCAATTTATTTTCACCCACCAGTGCAATAACAGTAGAATCGAATGTGATCAAATTTTTGGTTTTAAATAGAGAAGAGTCAAAGTACTAAGTATAGCTAATTCACCGAATTCCCCTCAAGGCTCAACAATAAAAATAAATTTTAGGGTTATTCTAAAATTATCTGTTATTTACGCTAGTTTAAATACTCGTATAATGATCGTCTTTTTCAAATAGCGGAAATGATTCCTGTAGAGACTGCACGCAGGCTGCCATTTTGGTAATTCGGTTCTGATTAATTCAGTATTTTAATCCGATAAAATTCTAAAATACTGATTAACAACCTCGCAAGCCAGGCTTTTCTATTTACACTCCACAGCCCACGCTGTTGAAACTATATTGAAATATAATGTGTGGTGGAAATCACATGTAACAGCAGTCTCTAATTTTCTTTTTAATTCAGATCAGAAGTATTATACATTATTTCTATACATCACAAATAATTCTCCAAGAGAAGCAACAGTGTTCATAAATTCCACTGGGTCTGGGGTCTTTAACCATGTCCTTCACGTTAAACCACGGCCATATGGTTTTCGATACCTTGATGTAAAATTCCTATATCCAGTAACTTTTGATGTATTCGCGAAAGATAGCAAAAACGAGGAAGTGTTGACTTTGAATGAAAAACAACGCTTGTCTATCAGGGCTCGTAAACTGAATTACAAGATACCTTTTCGTATTGAAATTAAAACATGTACGTATACCGATATATTATATCTTTCAATTATATGTAACTATCTTTCAATTGCTCTTTCAATTCGCTGCACTATCATATATATTCTAAGATCTCTTTTCACTTTAGCCCCATCTGTAAAAACAGAAGCAACAAACAACGAGACGTCCGGATCCATCGCAACTACTGGTTAGTATATTTACGATTATAGATAAACCGGTGAATCTTTATAATAAAACACAATAATCGCTTTTTCACGGAAAATAAAAAAATGTTATTTGAAATGATAAAAAAATAGCTATAGTTATACCAAGTTTAATATATCGATATTTTTTACAATTATTAGTCATTTCAATGAAAACAAATCCAACCAACAGGCAGACGACAAACACATCTTTCGGTGGGTATATTATATATATATATATATATATATATATATATATATATATATATATATATATTTATTCATTTACATAATTCTTAAAAAATTGGCATCGCTACTCTGAGTTTCATGCCACAGAGGCAATCATATTGCTCTATTTGCTTGCAGTATTGAGCACTCTTTTATCTCATACGAAGAATTTCTTAATAATTGTATAATATATATATAATATATATATATATATTTATTATATTATACTTCAAATCCAAACTGTCCAATTAACTGAATGTCCTTTATTTTTTACAATTATTAGTCATTTCAATGAAAACAAATCCAACCAACAGGCAGACGACAAACACATCTTTCGGTGGGTATATATAATATATATATATATATATATATATAATATATATATATATATATTAATATATATATATATATATTATATTATACTTCAAATCCACACTGTCCAATTAACTGAATGTCCTTTATATAGAACTTCTTTGAATTTGAATAATATATTTTATGACTTTCCTTTCTCCTACGAATAATCATGCAAGTAATCATTTTTCCTGTAGAGCAAATCAATATTTTCTCAACTAAAACTCCACCAGCTGAAAGTGGAAATGCTAATAACAAAGATGATGGGCACAAACTTATGTTCCACATCTCTGTCGGTGTCGGATCTGTTTTTGCAACGTTACTTTTCTCACTGATTATTATTTTGACTAGACGGTTTGTATTTTTTCAGTGTAAAGTTTTATAAGCTATAGTTTTTCATTTGATTTGTAAATGTCGTTAATAGGACTAGCGGACTGTCACCTCACGTCTTTAAAAATAGGGAGATTTAGTATGAAGACGCTGAAAGTCAAAGAATTGTGTATATATGGGCACGCCACGCCATTTATTTGCCATTTTCACGTCGTCTTTGACGTTCACGTACTCATGACTTGTTAGCGACAGCATAGAAAATCTAAAAGACATGTCTTCTGGATTGTCTATGGTGCATGACAGTTACACTCAAATGGATTTTGTTTTTTCGGTTGATCTACTTGAAATTCACATTTCCGTGACTTTCATTTTACCTTTTTTATTTGTCTTCATTTTCAATACTTTCTTTTAACATAAACCAGTTCTTTACGAAAAAGAAGTGCGAACAGAAAAAGAGTGGATTACTGGACAAAAATAAACAGAGCTTGTCAAAGGTATATGGGTGGTAAAAATTGAATTTGAATGGACTATGAATATTATTTCCATGCAGTTGAAATACATTATGGTTGAATTATGATATTGCACTAACAGACCAAAACATTGAACCATGTTCAACAGATGAAATTATTGTCTTTATGTCTAGTCAGTATATACCTAATGAAGAGGTCTCGTCTAATAATCCTATGTATGAGGGGTAAGTATGATTAAAAGGAGTATAAATAGAACCGAAAGGGGAGGCTCAAAATATAAATTTTTTTACCAGGTTTACTAGCGATAACTGAAAAGATGATTCAAACATATTCAGTGACAACAACCATTGTTTTTAGATCTCGGTCGAGAACAACAAGCAATGTATTGTACGCTGCTTCTGAACAAGAAAATATAACATCCATCGCCTCTGGCAAAAATGATTACGTTTTAAATCCTTCAACTCAACAATCAACGAAGCCAGACCTTGTCATCAGCAATTCTTGTCCTTTGTATCAAAACGCCGATGATCTTTATAGCGAGCCGCGAAAGAATCATAGAGTCGAGGAGGGCAACTATGAACGCATAAGAAGCTTCATTCATGATGGAAACGGGGAGGTGAAAGAGAGTACATGTTCAGGATCGTACGCTGAACCATCTGTTATCTTCAATGGATTACATATTACTGAGAATACTGGCTACGTTTCAGCTAAGTACCAGAGCAATTGACGCTATATATAACAAGTACAGGCATCACTATATATCTATTACTCTACGAAAAAAGTAATATAGTTTTTGTAATTGTACCGTTGATGTGTAGCTGTATAAGAATACAGTTTCGTGAGATGTGAGATCTTATTGGCTAATTGTATTTACTGATTTTTACCAGTGTAAGTATTTCACTTGGCAGTCTTCAGATGCTAGCATAATCATTCAATATTTTCTCTTCATGAATATGTATCAAACCAATGATGATAAAATAACTTAGAAATGTAAAAAAAGTATTCAACAATTAATATAATAAGGGAAAGATGAATAGAGTTAGTAAATAATAGCAAAGAACTAATAATTTGGCTTCCTTTTGTATTTTCGTCAACGATCGTGGGACGATTGTGAAAAATGGGTCTCCATTTTCCCCCGTTCAATTTTTGGCTTCAATCGATGCGCAGAATGCCTGTGCGTCTTCTGATACCGCAACAATTAATCAGTAAAACAGGGGGGAAAGTTGGGAGTCGAAAAAGAGGGGGAGCCAGAGCATGCTGAGTTTCCGCAATAGTTGGATAGAGATGGCCAAGATTGTAGAGTTGCTTACTCTACTAGCTTTCCCTTTATTACAGATATTTGATATTTACTTCGTTTCCTTATCAGCATGCAACCGCCACCGCCACATAGTTTTATTGTTCACTATTGTTACCTACCTAAACCCTTATATTTTATCCACAAATTCATAATCCTGATATTAGCAAATTACTATAGCACTAAGTAACGAAAGTCCTGCACAATATGCTATATGCATGGCATCATTTAGATATGCATGCATGCATGCCCTATGACGGCAAACGTTTTTACGTTGCGAATGCGGTTTCATGCATTAAGCCCAATTATCAATCAATGTCATATTTCATTATTGTGGTAATTTATGGCTTTTATATACCTTCTCCCACTTTTGTATGTCATCAGAATTCAGAAATCGTTCGACTAATTACTCAAACGCAGAACTTATACGAACACAACTGTAATCAGTCTTAAGCAAAAACATTCGGAAAAAAGTTTTGGAGTTTTGTGGAAAAGCTATGAGGTTGTGGGCAGGAAAGATTCTTTCCTTTTTTGCTATTTCTCATCAAATTTTTCTCCAGTCAAGTAACCTTGTAAGAGCTTCACAACGCCTCTCGTGGTTTCCCAAATATGACGAGTGTAAGTAATGTGTCGTCGTACGGAATTTTTCAGATATTTTAATATTTGGAGCCATATATAAGACATGCAATTGGTAAAGAACAGTGTTATAATTGTAGAATCTTTTTCAAAATGTTCCTCTAATTCATGTTCTCGCTATTAAGTTGCTTCGCTTACAATGTTTATAAGAAAAATGCCTCGTTGTTAGGCTCGTGCAAGAGCCTAAATGGTGCAACCATAAATGGTGCAACATTTATATAGTTAAAAAGTATGCCCTATAAAATAAAAAACAAAAAACAGATCGTTTTAAAATTCTGGTTGGTGTGGCATATTTTTCTGATATATACTTTCGTTGAATTCGTAATGCCACTTCGTTTATTTAGTTAAATTTGGAAAGAAATGCCTCTCACTCATTGATCGCGCTCCGGTATTTACGTACTGGGTCAATTGTCTGTTCGTATAAGGTTCAAATTTAAAAACTGTAGTTTATATAAAGTTTTCAAATTTAATTCATCTGGTAAGTTCGGTTGTTACTTACAACATTAAAAAACATACTTTCGCTTTTGACTGCATGATTCTGCTGCAATTTTTTTTAAAAAAAACTACAAGTTGTATCGCAGAAAAGAAGAAGTTCCACGTGACACAAAATATGTTATACTTTTTTAATGACCTGACAGGTATCGTTCATGCATATTACTATTGAATTTTGTGTCGTATTTGTACCTCCTGGGGGGAAAAGCATTGGAAAGGTCCGTTAAACACTTTTGCCTAAAACCATATTTATGATTCCGCGTTGTTTATTTATCTTCTCTAATCCCAGCTTTGTTGAAAAGAATAGAAAGAAAACCTCGATAAATCCTTTGTCAATTCTCTGGATTATTCTAGTCAAAAAATAATTTATTCTCTGTGATTAACAGCCCCGAGGGTGCACGGTTTTTTTTGTTTCACAATACCCGAGTTCATCGCCTCGAAAATCCTTGGCTGGGAGAACAATCGTCTTATACTGAGCGTTTTTTTAACATACATACTGGGGGCCAAAATATTACATAGCATTTTAGATACGTTTCTAGGCATTGTTGTACAACAAAGACTATATAACTATGATTAGACAGTCTGGAGGTCTACCTCTGGTTTTTGATTTCTAATCGATTTTGCATGAAAAGCTTAAAACATTACATTTTGCATAATGAAAAAATTTCGGCTGGTGGAGAACAGCCTTTCACAGAGCAGAGTTGCGCCTTGATATATGTGCATGTACAGGAAAAAATCTAGGCTCCAAGGTCAGGAATAACAATGAAGAGGGATTCAATTGTTATTAGACTACAGCTAGGCTCTTATCTGGGAGATTTAGTATGCGAATGGGTATAGATTGAAACGTTTATCATATGTAGGCAAATTAGTTATGTTCACTGCCCTGAACGATAATAGTGCATAGTGAGAATTGTTACTAGATCCCAAAGATAGTCTCATATCCACTGATAACCAACCATGCACCACTTTGGCTATTCCTCCACTTTAAACTCTAAATGGTCGAAATGCTTAGTACAAATTTTATGTCATTATCTTAATTTAATCCTGGTTTTCATATATCGTCAAGTCATCGGCGACGTCTATTGTCGATGGTCAGACGACAAAGGCGACAATGGATGGTAGAGCATCGCCGATGAATTACGACATATAAAAACCAGGCTTTATTATCGCACGTGATTTTACAGATAAACCTACACAGTATGGAACGCACTTCATCCTGGGCGTAACTCAACCATATTCCAATAATCAAAATGATCAAATATTAATTATCGCACTTTTTGACGCAAATGTTACGATCTCTTGGCAACTACCGGGAAACAATCCTCCCAACACACTGTATGTTAAAGCCGGAGAAACCGCCCGGTACACAATTCCGAGGGAATTGCGAATAAGCTCCACAACAATCGAAAGGAAAGGAATAGAAGTAACTTCCAGTAAAGATATATCTGTAGTGGTACTGATAAGAGACAATGCTCATTCAGATGGATATCTTGCCCTTCCAACAAATACTCTTGGAAGGGAGTATGTCGTAGCTTCTCACAGTAACCAACCAGAATTTGCAGTTATTTCTGGAGAAGATCAAACGACAATCACTATAACACCGCCAGCGGCTGGTTCCATTTCATACAATGGAAATACATATAATGGCGGACAAGCATTTTCCATCACTTTAAACAGGCTGCAAATTTTTCACTTGATAGGAAATAATGCTGACTTATCTGGTACCTATATCACGGCAGATAAATCTGTGGCAGTAATATCTGGTGACAGAGATGCCGCAGTAAATTCCGCAAGCTGTGATCACTTGGTGACTTTCTTATTGCCAGTGAAACATTGGGGGAAGGAGTACATTTTGGGTACAGTGGGTACACTCAATGTTGGAGATGAATTTCGAGTATTTACGAGGGAAAATAACAACACAATTAAAAGCGGAAATACAATAAATACTCTTGACTCTGGTGGATTCATACAAATAAAACTGGACAATTCTCCTCATCAATCGTACTTGACTTGCAGTAAACCATGCCAAGTTGTACAATACGTGCATCAACAAAGTCGTTCAGGAATGTATTCAGATGCGGCGCCATCAATCATCTCAGTTCCCTCAACAATGCATTTCATGCCATCGTACCACGTTGAACTTTTAGGAGGATCAGCATATCATCATTCAATTACCTTGATCATTCAGAAAACGTTTCGAGATGGTCTTCTCAAAGACGGAAATCCAATGACAGGATTAACTTGGCGATGTTTGAATGAAAGGGAATACTGTTGGACAATCGTCACAATTTCAGATGACATCTACGTTACACATAGTGTGTCTGGAGTAAAATTTGGTTTGCTCGTTTTTGGTGGTGCTAACGGGATTTCATACGGTTATCCTGGTGGATTTAGTTTTAAAAAAGGTACTTTTGCAACGCGAATAGCAGTCCATGTATTAAAAAACACGTCTGATATTAATCTACCCTAATTAATGCCTTTTTATAGAACCTAAACCTTGCAAAAGAAAAGTTGATATCGGTTTCGTGTTGGATAGTTCAGGAAGTGTGTCCGTTGGAAACTACCAAAAAATGAAAACCTTCGTAAAAGATTTGGCAAACTATTTCACTATCTCTCTCGATGAAACACGAGTGTCTGTAATGTCGTTTTCAAACGATGCTACAATCCATATACCTTTCTCTCGTGATTTCATCAGCGACATAGAACTTTCGACAGCAATTGATGGTATTGACTATAGCGGTGGAGGAACAGCGACTGCTATTGCTTTGAAAAAGGCTTACGAAGAAATGTTCCAAGCGAAAAATGGTGCAAGAAAAACAGGTTAAACTGATTGTAAAACTTAAATCTAAAAGCCTATAAGAGTTAAAAGTTACATTACAATAACCATTTTAACTGCATATCAACTTATTGTCTTAACTAGGTGTGAGCAAGGTGTTAATAATTCTCACTGATGGTCAGAGCAATGGTGGAGTTGAGGGACCTGCCCTAAACTTGAAAAATGCCGGAGTTATCATATTCTCAGTTGGAATTGGGCAGAACATAAACATGGACGAATTGTATTCCATGGCATCACAACCGAAAGAACAACGGGTGATTTTGTTAGAAGATTTCCAGGAATTGTCGACACTGGCCGAGAAGATGTCCTCCACTACATGCAATGGTGGGTATAGTTGGTCCAGCTCATCGGGCAAAATATTCACAAATTACATTATGAGCTAGTATGAAGTTCAAACCAAGAAAAATTCAAGAAAATTAAACCATTAGGCTTTGAAAATTGACCGAGTTAAAGTCACCTAGATTCCAAACGCTAAAGGCAATGTTTCCCATTTAGAATGTGTAGGAGTAAAATAGTGGCTAAATTTGTAAGTTTAGTTTTCCAATTCATATACTGACCCTGAAAGCATTTCATTTCAAATGCCAGACGTCAATCCTCGACATCGTGCTATGTTCAATTTCCCCCCTTTAGTTTCCCGTTTTGTTGTAACGTGTAACAAAGATTCGATGAGTCTTACGTATGAAAAAAGTTCCTTACCTGATTATATCAACGTCGAAGAACTGGCACTGCAAGATCGTTCATGTAAAGCCCGTCACAACAAGACTCATATCATCGCCAAGACAGATTTAAATGGATGTGGAACGACCCACAGGGAAACTGAACAAGAGCTGATATTTTCAAATGCACTGACGACGGCTGATATTCCCTCTGGTGGTGAAATTATTCACAGAAATAAAGAGATAAGTCTCAAGTTCACGTGCAGTTATGGACGTCTTCGCACTGTTGGATCCTTCAACTTTCTTCCTGCGAAACAAAAGTTAACTATCACTGAGAGTAAGTTATATTAATGAATTAAATGGTCGGTATACTAGTGGCGATGTCTCTCGCTGCGTGAGATATTAAAAAAGTCTAAAAATAATAAACTATATACAGCTAGTATACTATTTAAACTAAGAGTGAAGATATTCAATAATTATACTGAAATAGAACTGATTATATGTGATGATTGCCAAAAACGTCGATACAAAACGTCCATACATGCAACTGATGCAAGCCTTTGCACATAAATCCTTTTTGGTTCATCATTTTAAAGAATGCGCGTCATATCAGTCAGAACCATTCTACCCATGCATGCACACCAATAACGTCTCCATTCTTCTTTAGAAAATTTTGGCAATCTAACATTTCTAATGAAATTCTACAAAGATTCATCATATCAGCAATCGTACATTGATGATGACTATCCGGTGTCCAAGAGCCTTTCGGATCGTATTCACGTTCAATATTCAGTTGACAGCAGTAGTAAAAGTGATATTGTTATCCGAGCTAAAACCTGCCGAGCGACACCGACCAACAAACCTTACGATCAACCTCAGCATGTTTTTATCGATGAAGGGTAAGTGATACGAAATCAGTGCCGCACGGTACATATGGAAATTTAAGCCATACAGGCCCTCTCTATCTTTGAGGTCCCTTGATAAACTCTTTAAAACAGTTGCCTTCCACAGCATTTCTACGCGTTTCGGCTGGTAAGCATGCATGTCTACAGTCAACTTTCATTTCATTTTAGATGTGATAAAGATTCTACTATCCAACACTATACGTCGGGATTGCAAAAGGTTCATAGATTTAGCATCCAGGCCTTTGCCTTCGTCATTAACCATCGTTATGTCTATTTCCACTGTGACCTAGTCCTCTGCAACAGAAACACGGCCAATAGTATCTGTGCTCGGAGTACGTCATGCCCCGGCCGAAAACGTCGTGGTGCTGAGACCGCCGACGATGGATCCAAGTTTTATCAACTGTCGACAGGGCCTCTGATATACAGAAAAAAGAAGGATGAAGCAAACTCTAATGGTAAGATTTTTAATCAAAACTCTCGCCTGAATGGCTAAATCACAGGTTAACAACGCATAATTAAATTAATTTTTAGTTTATCAGAAATTAATTGATGTCGTTCTTCTATTCTTGATCTAATTTCAGAGAATTCCTCGTTAAAAGGTCATGGAGTTGTGACCGGCTTGTTGTTTGCTGTTGCTGTTCTTGCGATTGTCCTAATCAGTATCTTTGGCATTTTGTTTTTGAGACGACGTCGTACAAAGTATGAAACATCATCAAATGTTCAGGTCCTTTCTATGGAGAATACAGCAGCAACCAAGGAATAGAAGTGATTTTCTCATATATACATTCGTACTTTGTTTTTATGTCGCATGCTTCATGCTTGCATATACATATACGTAGAAACATAGACGTAAACGTTATCCTTTAACTTATAGATCGTTATAATATAGATATATACATACAAAGTGTGTAACTGGAATGGTTTTGGGTGCATGCATATATATGTGTGGAATGTGTGAATAGTTGTAGGTGTGTTAAAACAATATGTTTTAAAAATAGAATATAGGTTGTAGTTAACACATGTATACCTGTGCCCTGAAATAGCTATTTCATTTTGCTATAGGACCTTGCCCAACATTTCTTAAATACCTTCCAGCCCGCACCAATTTTATCCATGCTCGGCCTTTCAATACCCCTGAATCGTAATCCACTGAGATTAATTCGGCAATGCACGTGACCGATTCAACAGTACAACAAAATGTATTAAACGAGAACGCTCGGTCCGCAGATGGTTCGATGTAGAATCACCACCAATATAATTATTAACCCGAGGCACCATGATGTCAATAACGATTAACTAGGGTAGGTATCGAGATTCTGTGGTAAATATCATGTTTCAGATGATTACCATTTGTCTATTCTTTTAAATTGTCGCTAATGGTTGCCATCAACCTGAAAACATCTCATTGAAAGCGCGGTATTAGATAGAGAAATTAAGTTTGAGAAGAAATAAAACTCTCAAAGCTACGAGATGAATTTGCTCACAACATCCGTAATTTGCTTATTATTGTTCTGTAGTCTGCCGGTCTTTATATTAGCAAATATGTCAGGTATGTTTTAGCACATGTTATATTATTCAAATGATTAAACTGACATTTCTAAATACATACGCGACCAAATTGTTAGGGCATTATACATACGACCAGTCTATACTATGGTGACTAATATAATCACTCTTCGACTAGCTCTCATTATCATACCAGTATAAACTTTTCAGTTGTTGCCTTGTTGGACGACTCATCATCACCAACATTTAGACTTAAATTCTCTCGACTGTCTCGTGTGAGCCTTTCTTTTGCCCGTTATCGGCGAGGTGCTTTGTGACCTATCGTGTTTAATATACTTGCCTACAGCTAATACAGCTGTAGTGCTGTTACGACCTACGGGATTCTAGTAAAAGGTTGATTTTATGTGCAATCTGGTTCGTGTTTTGCTCTGAATAAATTAGTCAAAAAATATATTTCATATGTGCATAATTATGACAATTCAAACCTCTCAGTCTCACTTGTTGAATTTACTTGTGCTCCATAGTCCATGTCTACTCCATAAATGGTATAGTAAAAATGTATTTTTATCCCTGTCACTATTTGTTCCAGGGAAAATGATGTCCTCAAAACCAAATCCGTTTGGGGATTTAGAGTACTTCAACAAAACGGACGCTAAAGACATCACATGGGCTCACGCTGTGAATAGTAAAGACAAGCTTAATAAATTCATGAAGACCGATATCTTAATGTTTGAGGCTGATGTATTGATGAGGTACAATAGAAATGATACCGAACCCATTATGGCGCACCCACCAGATAATGACAGCGACTTAACTTTGAACACATTTCTCATGTCTCTTAAACCGACAAGGAAAGGAATTAAACTTGACTTCAAAGCTATAATGGCAGTAGAACCAGCAATGCGCATTTTAAAACAAGCGTACAGCTCAACTGACAAACCATTGTGGCTAAACGCAGACATTCTAGTTGGACCTGGATCTAACTCACAATCCAATCCCCCCGTGGATGCCACGGATTTTATCACGACATGTACCGGTACGTACCCAAATGCCACCTTATCTCTGGGCTGGACAACGGAATGGCATAAAGGTATTACAAACAAAGGTTACACTCGGGCTATGGTGCAAGAGATGGAAACCATTTGTCGTAATACAACGCAAATCATCACGTTCCCTATTCGTGCGATATATGTCCGACAATCCTGGGAACCACTTAAGTGGTTACTAGACACCAGTTCCCGATACACGCTCACGATTTGGTCCTCTGTCAACGATGATGTTAAAGTTGAAGACTTGGTCTGGTTAACAAAACAGATTGATAAACGACGGCTTTATCTGGATTTGCCACCAGAATTAGACGATGCCTTTCGTAAGGCATTGGAAAGCGACGAAAGCAAAGGAACAAGTATCAGTACTTTAAGTTTTACAGCGTGTTTAATGTTTTCCTCTTTCGTTTCATTCATACTAAAATTCCAATTCTAATTTATACAATCAGACTAGGAGAAATATATAGAGCGTCTGATTATGGTCTGACCACAGTATAAGTAAGCAAAATTGGAAACTACATTTCTAACCTAAAAATAAATAATATATAGAGATGATATGCAAAGAAACACTAAAAAATTACAAAAGCTTTTCATTAATGATTGTTGGGTAAAAGTATAAATATGTTATAAATATATGGTTCAATAAATATAGCTACAAATGAATATCTTGGGTAGGTAGGAGGTGGGTTCTAAACTGTAAAGAACATTAGGACCAACAATGACGTGTTTTAATGAAGACGGTGTTCGCTACGTCCTGCGTCAATAAAGAATAAAGAGTGACATTTCTTGATAAAATAGGACATACGTTATATGGCCTACGTCACACGAATCAATATACCTACAATCCCTCTTTAAAATTCCTCCGTAATGACCAGCAATTCTTGAGGATTTTGCAAATATCGTTTTACAAATGCGATTATTTTTTGAGCGTTAATTTTTCTTAACATTCTAGGAATATTTTTACCATTAGCCATGTTCTCTAAACTAGGTAAAAATGCAGCTTGGCTATGATCGGACTTTCTGACGATACAGAGTCTTGGGTAATGATGTAATGGTGCAGTATATTCCAAGTCTGCTTGGCCTAAATTGAAAAACATTTTGTTGAATTTAGAGTTTTATAAACGCCGTTATATCGATTGGTTGATTTTGGCGGGGATAACGCCATTTTCCACGCAAAAAACGTGAGAATTCCCTCCGCAGATATGAAACGGGTAGCTTGATAAACAACTTAATGTAATTAATGTAAAACAATTACTAAGACCTACTTATGATATTATATCAGTAACTTGAAGAGTGTATTTGGGATATCCGGCATACTTACTCGCCAGTTGTGTTTTGTCGTAATCGCGGGGAACGAATTTTCTTGCCCACCATGGATATTCATCGACATCTAATGACGTAAATATCACGTCACGATATAACTCGTACGCTGCCTTATTAATTTCCTACAAAGGAATAAAGGAATTATATCAAGGGATGTATCGGGCATTATGGATAAGTAAAACCACAGGTAAAACATGCTCATTATAGTTACTGTTATCACTGCATCCACAATCAACACGCAGCCATATAACAAGAAAAAACAAATTTTAACAAACGTACCTGTGTATATGAGCTATGACTTGTCAGGTTTTCTTTATGAGCTAAGACTAAAACAACAGGAAGTTCCTCTGACTGACCAGACCTATCACTATACAAAGCAAATAAGCATAAATATTTTTGTCAACCCGTATATATAGAGTAGCTATATACTGATTCAAAGAACGGCACTATTAGCCCACATTTATCAGGCCGCATCCGTACGGTTGAGGAATGGAGAACATTTCTAGCTTGAATACCGACATTTAAGACATTTGGGAATAGGTTTTGCATGAAAGTGAATACCTGTTTATCGTGTGAAAGCCATCATGAGACAAATGAGTTACGGGTAGTCGTGAGTGGTCTCTGACAAACATTACAATGAACTCTGTGCATCGTGGATGATTATCCTCACAACGAAACCCTTTCTCGATAAAATAACTAAAAGAAATAACGTAATCGTCTACTTCATTCATGCATTTCACTTTCATAAGACCAAAATTCAGCTCGACATCGCTAACAAAATTTGATTATTTAAACTTTTTCTAAGACTCCAACCTGTGAGCGTTATGAAATTTGTGTAATTCTGAATCATTCTCTTCCAAGGATCTTTCTAAAGGAACACCAAGTTCAAATATTTTGGCCTCAATTCCATCACTTCGAAGTAACCGCAACTAAAATGGAACGTTAAACGAACTAGCTGTGAGAATATACTATCCCAATTTCACTGCTATATAGTCAACGTTTTTCAACCCTTTCCTTCTTCAATCTTGTATCAAGGAAAATGGGAAGACGTTGATATTTTTTTCCATATAACTTATCCGTACCTCGATCAAAAACAGATCTTTATTCTTTGTCTTTCTCATTTTCTCGCTAATTCCAAAGTCTCTGGTCATAGTTACGTAACAAAATGCTTTACCAAGCAATAATTCACACGCCGTTTGGAAACATGTGTACGGATACCACTTGTTGTGGCTGTAGGGCGGCAAGAAGCGCAGTGCTTGAGATCTGGTTATGACCGTCCCAACCAGATATACGTCATGATTCTTGAAGGAAAAACAAACGAAATTTGATATTGTATTTGAAGTTAATATAAAGCTATAAATTCTTTAATTTCTAAGTATTCTCGTTGTCGTCGCGAGTATTGTTAGGTAAATAAGTAGAAAAATTATGCTTAAAACTGTCGTTTTAAAACATGGCATGATGAGGCGACAATGCTTAATGGTCCTTAATAGTTATTCACCCGAAAATTTACGAACCAGCAACCACTAGAAAAGCATTGAAGTTCCTACGATATCACAACAACAGCAAGATTGGTTTTAACGGGTTCATTAACTATGTATCTATTTCACTTACAAGGTGTTTGGGAATGTCGCTAAGTAGAAAATCTTTTCTCACACTTGGAAGAGACGAGTTAGAAAACCATTCTAGAACCATGTCAATTGGCTAAATAATTGAAATACATGTATATAACATGGTAAAAAGAAATTAGAATTTGAAACATTTTAAATTTCTGAACTGTTAGAACTTGCAATATTTTTGTTGTGACTTAAGGTTAGATTCGCTTCGTTTGATGGTTAGAATTATGCTTCACTTGTCGATAAACATCTCCTTTGCTCAATACCTCGAAAGGCCGGTGATAATCCAGGGCAATATTTTGTTGTTGAAGGTTATCTGTCGCACAACCACCAAGATGAGACCATGGCAGCCTACGAAATAACTTTAAAGAAGGAAATCCTCGGATGTGGTGATCCGCGCAAATCTTTGGACTTGCTGAACAGTTTACCAAGTAGACTTCTGCATTCTCTGGTAAAGGTAAACCAAACAAATAGGTTATTACTTCTTATTACAGAAAAATTTTGAAACTTGTAACTACGGATAAATAAAAAGATGTATAATTCCGTATTAGCCTCCACAAAAAACTATGATTGATCACTTGATTGAATTCGATTGATCAATAAAGACCAACTGCATAATGAATGTATAACTGTATAATGACTCATATGTATAATTCATGACTCATGCGCGTAAATTTTCTTACCTGAGCGTTTAATTGTTTTGGATATTTTCTCTATTTGTGGCATAATCATTTCACAATAGCGACATCTCTTGACGATAAAGAATACCTGGTGGAAAATGAGTTATTTAAAAAAAAAATAAGGTAAGGGTTGCTAAGATACACACACTACCTCTGAATATAAATAGAGTTATGAAACAGTACGATCAAATTTACCAGAGATAACAAAGGGGAATCACTTTTGGTTGGTGAGGGAGAACTGGAGGCCTCGATGGTCCCAGACCAATCGTTAACAGTAAGAACTGTCAAATTTCCAACCTTTCTTCGTTTGCCTGTCGTCCTTCGTTTCTACAGGGTGCAAATACATGCATGTTGTTATATAGGCATGTTGGTATCGTCTGGTCGACTTGAAAAGAGCGAGAACTATAAACTGAAAACTTCAGTATCACTTCAAGAAGTTCATTTATTTCCCAGAAAGACCCGCACCTTCAGTTGTCGTCTTGACGTTGGGATATTATTTGAGTAGTCATCCTCCGTAACTGTTGTGTTTGCTTTACATACCCCACGAGGATAGGCAAGGTTTACACATTCCTGAGTTGAATTTATAAGAAAACGATGTGAATGAATGACGCCATCAGGTATAATGAATTGCATAAAGCCATAGTGCATTGGGCCTAAACGTTTGATGAAATCACGAAACGTTTGATGAAATCACGAAAAAGTTTGATAAAATCATCTTTTGTTTAGCAAGCCTCGTTTTATAGACATGCAAAAGCTGCAAATCTATGGAAACATTCACCAACGCGAAACGTTCGTTGATAACGTACGTGATAATCCTCTCCAATGCAATGATCATTGCGATCATAATTTATTTTCCATTCTTTCAAAATCCCGTTTTTTACCATTAGAGAAACGAATTTATCAGTATTCGAAAGATCTTTGAAAATCTCCTGGCGCACTTTGATTTCTATCAAAATAATAAGTATATGAAATCAATAGATTTCAAGAACTCGAGGGCAGTTGCGTGAGTATTGTTACTCTCTACCGAAATCTTACCGTATGTTTCGGTCAATTCCTGCCAAAAGAGTACAAATGTTGGAAAACTGTTTATTTTTGTTCCATTAATATGTCTAGAAAAAACTAGATATCATAAAGTATAGGTCAGCTCTCGTTTCATAATTGAAATTATAATTGGCTTTGAACCCAGCTTCAATCAGCGTTTTCCGACTAGAAAACAATAATATAATCTGGCGGAAGAGCAGAACATTTTTTTGAATATTTCTTACCTAAAGAATTCTTTCTTTTTCCAATGTCCATTAACCTCAATTCCAACAGAGCACCGGCACACTCCAATTGTTTGTGTAGTTTTTTGAATGTCAAAAAGTACCTCAAAGAATCAGGATTGGTATACGAAAATACGAACACCAATTTTGGAGGCAGTTGGTATTTCGTATCAATTATTTCGCTGAGGAAACGCTCCTAAAACAAAATAGAGTATAAAGAGAGAGGCGGAACCTTTACCCAAACTACGCAGTTACTTTTCCGTAGGAATATTTTACGATCAAAATTCATAAAATGAACAAACCTCGTCCATAAAAACATATTTAGCAGTAACAGCCATGAGTGCAAGTTGAATGTTGGATGAAGAAACTTCATGATAGCCTTGTATAATGTAAACAGGTGATTTCTTCGTCACCCAAACTATGAACAACACAGATAAATCATGCATTTGTTGACTAATATTTTGTATCATCATAAAGCGTTTTAATGATGGCAATATAAGAGAATACACAACACAGGCCAGCCGCCGGCGAGAAAACTACGAAACCTTCATATGCGAACCTTCGTAAGTAAAGAAAAGTACAGCAGGGAAATCTTGATGTTTGTGGAATGAGTCTTTTTGCTTCCTTGATCAAATATATACAAAAATAAGATCATTACTATACATCTTCATTCTAGACACGCATGTATGTAATGTATGTAATGGATGATAGCGCCGGTCAGTTAGGGTTAGGACAGGAACTAAGGGCTCTAGGCCGCTGGATATAAACTCTAATTTTACAGGCCTCGAATTAAGTTATAGGCCTAGCGCGTGTCGCAAGTTACGTGCTAATTAATTTATGACGTCACAGTAAAATTGTCCTAATTACTGACGTGACAATGAAACTTTCCTAATTAACTCAGACTGACTGACTACCTCGGCGCGCTCGCTTCATGGTGCCTTGTTAAATTGCCTATATGAATGATTTAGGGGAATGCCGACCTCACAACGAAAACTGGATGATGGATTCGATGCTTTGACAGTGGGACTCCAGTAAGAAGAACCACACACGAATCTGGTTTAGAGGTAGGAATTGTACTAAAATGTTTTGTACTAAAATTTTTTGGTCACAGTGACCGTTCGTAATTTGACTTGGGGATCAAATGGATACAGATCTCTTCAAGATGTGACGTGACCAGAAAGTACTATGTCCTGAATGTTCATTTATTACCATAAGTGTTTTTTGTTATGTATGTTGCATTTTTGTCATTGAATCAAGGGCTTGTAAGGGTTGAACGATCGCAGTTAGAAGACGGTCGTTTCCGAGTTTTAGAATAATTTTAAAATAAAATTTACAGTCTGTATGAAATCCGAAGCTTTTGATTTCTAAATAAGATATATTTAAAGTGGTCTTACTTACCAAGAATGCATATAATCTGGTCTTGTTATCAATACATTAAAGGGCACATCGCTTTGGTATTTTTTAACCTACATATTTGTAAAAAAATAGGAAATCAGAGTTTGAAAGATAATTATAATTTATATGTACATCTATAGGTCAAGCTTCCAAATGTGAAAATATAATGTATTTCGCTTTGCCAAATCTGTAATTAATGTCCTGTTCCTTCCTATTGTGATAATATTTTGAGTCCCAGTATTACATTATTTCTATGGGGTAGTCAGTCCTTTTTTCTCACACCATATCCTTCAGTTATTAATACAGTACACACCTTCCTCACTAGGTCTTTCATGATGTAAAAGTGTTCCTTTTCAGTTACCATAAGAACTGTGACTTTTTTAGTATCATTAAAAATGACATTTTCCAACTCAGATAATGTAGTCATAAGCCTTGGTTGAGCAGAATGTTCCTTTGACTTGAAAAAAAATTGAAGTTAACAGTATACCTGATCTACTAAGTCAGCAAGCCAATGATCAGCTAACTGGTATAGTCAGGGGTCTATTGAGGAATTTTGAAATGACCTACAACTGGGAAAATATGGTTTTAGGAATGATACATGGTCAATTTACATTTGTAGCTGTAATACACACTACATACACGCTACATACATACACGCTACATACATACACGCTACATACCACATGCTTGAACCATTTCTTCAAAGATTTCAGGGATTTATTTTGAAAGTGAAATTCCAAAGGAAGTTTAATACCAATGTCACATTGCAAGGATGGTACAACATTTGGATACAAGTTGGGAGGTGGTGATATCTATATAATTATTAACATTAAATTTTTGTTATTATTGTAACCATGCATGCATTAACTTGAAATGAGACTCCCTAGCTAGCTAGCCTTCCTTTAGTCTTTTAACGGAAAATTAACCGACTTTGGTGTTTGCACAACTTCCAATATAAATAATATACTCTAGATCATTCCTATTGTCTAATATGGCAGAATTGATTTAGTGTTTGAAAGTCTCCTATCAATTGATATCAGGTAACTGCACTCTGTTAAAAACCTGGTGAATATCTTCAATCTTTACACAACCAATTGTCCAGTCTGCATAGTTGATTGCAACTTTAGTCTTTAGGAAATTTGATAACAAGTCCTCATACTCTGGTGAAGTACCTTTATTAATAGTTGACAAAATACAGAGAAACTAATTAAGACCAATTGTTGCACAAAGAAATTAACTTGCTAAACAATTAAACCCTGCTTCCAGTTTGTATAACACCCAAAACATTGAGGCAAAATAGGAATACCAAACGCCAACCCAAATTTCTTGCAACTTTAGGACTGTCTGGAAAGTTTTATAAATTGCATTATGAGTTTATACATAAAAGTGATATACAGTATTTATAGGCAACCACGCTAGTGTCTCCCTTTAGCCCTGACAGCTATGCCGAATAAAATCTAGAAACCTCAAGTGTTTTTGCAGTGCATACATAAGTGAAACGCGTGTAAAATAAAAGGCTAAACCCATCGTTCTCACGGTACCTGCATGTTTAAAGAATGCACAAACTGGACGTCCCGTGTAGCTAACTTGAAGAACATCGTACCCAAGTTGAGGAAGATTGCCTCCTACGGTAGGTTAAAGATTAAATTAGATATATCAACTTTATACTTTTACAAATATGTATTAAACACAGCCCTACCTGCAAATGTTACTAGATTTATGTATAACAAAATGCAGAAGAAATAAATGAACGCACACAACAAATTAGACATACTGTTTTGTTTTCCTATCCCATAACTGCTGTTGTCTCGTGGCAGTTTACATGAAGTATCGGGCCATGGGCTGACCCAAAACTCCCAAATGGAAGTTATGGACCCCTCTATCTAACCTAATACGATACTAACAATAGGACATGATAGATTGTTTAGAATATTGCTGATAAAATGTTTAGATTGCTGATAAAATGTTTAGATGGCTTGATAGTTTTAACAGATAAAACTATCAGATTATAAATGTCTCAGATGTCCTGATAGAGTTTTCCCTCAATTCCTTGTGTATGCATGTGCTGATGTTTACACATTGACGATTGATTTTCCAAGATTTGCAGCCCCAATAGCAACGGCAATACGATTTAGCAATCCACTTGACAAAGAAGTAAACTTGCAGTGCTTATTTGTAGCAATGTAGTTTATATTTACGGTTGTCAACTATGATCAAGACAAGAGTGACGGGATCTGCTAAATGGACAGGTACCAGAAATTTTGTCTACAATCTATTGTTTTGCACTACAGTCAAGCAAACCTTAGATCAAAGAGTCTAACACTTCACCTGTTGCTAACAACATATATTAAAACTTGTGAGTGATTCGTTCATGAAAATATATATGGTTATATACTCTGTACTCTGTGGTCTTCTTGTACAGGAATTTTATGACAGGTTCCGGACTGATTTAACACGGTCATACATACTCCTACGAAGAACTAAGATCTAAAAACCTTACCAAATGACATATAGAGGAACTGTCGGAAATATCTTTTAACAACGGAGTAACGGACATCTTCAGAGTAGTATTGTGGATTATTTCACTATTCACACCTTTAATATGGACCAACACAACTAAATTTTGCCACTTTGGATCAAAAAGCATCATGACCAAACCTGAGCAGACCAAATACTGCAGTTTGGCTAACGAAGTAGAGTTAGACGAGCCTCAAAACATTCAACCTTGGAAACGCATCAGTTTTCAATTCGCTAAGACGTTCGTCTTTATCTTAAACGGCTTTTTCTGGCTGCTTGGTTGGACTTTGATAGGAGTGGGCATATCATTAAAAGGCTCTATGGGAGCTCACAGATATTTATCCAGCAGAGATTACGAGGATTCTGCAATGAATGGGAATGATTATGGCGGTTATAGTTCAGGCTCTGATCTATGTCTGAGTATCGGGTGTATCATAATCGTTGTGGTCTTATTAGCATGCTGTGGTACTCACACCGAAAGTCATCTTATACTGGGCATCTATCTCGCCGTGGTTGTTATCTTCCTGAGCTTTGAAATCGGTGCCATAGCTGTGATTAGTTTTCACAAAGAGAAGGTGGAACAGCGTATTATCAAGGACATCAAGTTAACAATGGATTTTTACGAGGAGAAAAATTTTCAAGGTTTGACAAAGTCTATTGATAGTTTCCAAAACGTATTCCATTGCTGTGGATGTATTGATTACACTGACTGGTTTAATACAACATGGGGTAAGCTTCATAGAATGAATGTTCCCAGTAGTTGCCTAAAGAATGACACTTGGCTAGAAGAGGCATATCACGGAACGGTAGATACATCAGCGTCACTCGCCGCTATAAATACCGACGGGTGCTTCAAGCACGTCCGAAATTACTTTGTTAAAAATCTTCACCTCTTTAGGACTATTGTTGCCTGGGTTTTAGGCATACAATTAGTAGGTCTTGCCTTTTCGGTTTGTTTGTTTTTCAAATATAAATATCATAAGACACAAAACGCTAGTCGTTATAGAAGTGAAAATCCCTCTAATCGTGTGAGAGGTTTGATCCATTGAACGCAATTCAAGAACTATCTTATTCTTAAGAAGCAATTTTCAGCTAGCTGGCCAAGAACAAAAGAACACACATAATTCTTGTAATAATGCAATGAATATGCGCGGATTGCATGGATAAATAACACAGACATTGATACATACATGTATTACCTAGATACAAGTGCAAAATGGTGTACAAAGGTTCCTTGGAAATAGGAATGTGAATGATTGATAATTCTTCAAGTATGAATAATTCATTTAAAATAAAGTACCCTAAAAAGTACCCTTTAGCGAAATCATTCTTTTGCTGTTAAGGGCACTTTTTTGGGGACACGCTGTATATCGAGTATAGGATTAATTGGATTAATTGGAAATCGGTAGCCTTATTCAACGAGTGCGAACTAAATCCAATCTCAAACTTGCGAGCATCGTTCGGATTGGATTTTAAAATTAGCCATAATATCTAGGCCACACGCGTATACATTTGCCGGCATACACCGAAATTTGAATTAACACACGTACGGTACGTATGACCACTGCATGGTGTAATTGAACCACTGCCCCCACAACTCACAGGTGCTGGTTCTATCCTTTAACTTCCCTTGAGAGTTGAGTCTCCTGCTTATCGAAATTCATTGTTGACCAGGCGATTGCTATCGACTGAATCAGTTAATTTTGATTCCAATTCGGTCAAACTTTTTTAGACTAAACTCGTTTCTTTCCTGCATCTAAGTTGGGAGGAATGTAGTAATTTGGACGAGCTGCCAAGAGATACAACGATTGATCTTGCAAATATTCTTGCCACGAAACTAACCTAGAAAAAATGAAAAATAAAAAATGGTGAATACTTTGTCCTCGTGCACTCACGAAGCCACGAAGCGAGTTTAGTTTTCCATCTTTCGTGCAAGAAATTAACATTTTCATTGACTTTGCATTTTTCATTAAAACGGTAGGAAGCAGAGAGAAAAAAGTGATTTGATCCACTATAGTGGTACATTCATCCGAAGAACATCACGTAGAACAGCAAGGAACGACCTCATAGCTCCTTTGCTTAGCCAATAACTTTAAGGAAAACTATGTACAACGTACTTATTTTTATCTGCATCAGCATCCATTAATATCTTCATATGCGCATCGATATGTCCATCAACTTCTTGATGTTGCAAGTAACTTGAATTTGAGAACCTGTGGGTTATATATTTGAGAACCTAGTGCATGAGGGATTACTTACAATTTACGTCATACACGAATCACATTCACAGGCATACTTGCATGCATCAATATTCACCTCGCATCAGTCCTCATTCATGCATGGTGCACCAGGAATGGAAATTATTAATTTGTGGTTTATAAAGTACAGTGAGTTCTTACCAATCAGGATTTGAGCTATCGTTTGGGATCTTTAATTGTCCGAACCATCTTTCATAAGCTTTCATCGCCTCGTAGCTCGAGATGTAACCATCTTCATCCCGATCGTAAGAATGAAACATGTCTCGTGCTTTTTCTATCTCACGCTTAGTTAAGAGCTTGGATAAGGAACGCTGAAAAGATCAAAATCATTTATTGACACCTTTTCACGAACTTCATAAAACAATCCATGCAGACACAGTAATGATTTATACAATTCATTGAACAGTAAAGAGTAGAAGTCGGTATTATAAGTGAAGTACTTCATAGATATTTTACCTTATCCCTTCGTCCTAGAACTTTCACTGCCTCGTGATTGACGAATTCCCACCAATCAATCGTACCTGTATCATTCCTATCCATCGCTTTGAACTAGAAACAAATTACTGAACCATTTGTATCCATAATGCATGAGTAAAGTATATCGGTAAATGACCGCCGAATCTGGGTGGGTTTAAAACTAATTAAACTAAATACATCTTATAATGAATTGGACTAACCTCACGTTCAAGATCTTGCTCCAATTCAGCTGAAACTTCCATCTCCGGATTATCTTTCTCAATAGATAATATTCTTATCTTGACGTACTCAGATTTTTCAATCTGTGTGTCTGATCATGAGGATTGCAAGAAATTAATTGAATGCACGCATAGCATAAAAAACGGAGTGGTTCTAATATTAGTCTTACCTTGGTTCATATCGAATTCATCAAAATATTCGATGAGATTTTGCATCTCGTCATCAGAAAGCAAAAGTGTGATATTCTCCTAAGATTATTGAAATGGGAAATTTTAACTATAGTTAATCGAAATTGAAATAGGAAACTGAGAAGCGAGAATCTTCAAAACTGATAAATTGGAAATTCATTGCGCTAAAGTAAAACAGGTTAGCTTAATAAAATCTATCAATAAGAAGAGGCGTTTAGTGTTAACAATATACCGGCTAGATACAGGCTACATACACAGTAATGTTGGAGACAGGCTACATACACAGTAATGGCAGCTCCATCCAAGGTCGGTTCCTGCTCTAGAAAAGGCATCTTTGGAATCTTTATCATTCAACTTTCGTGTTTTTTGTAAACATCCTTCATGAAATACTCGAGTACAGACACGACACGGGAAAACTTTTTTGCCATTGTACTTCGAGCAAATTGAACAAAGTTCATCGGCTTCAACCTATAGGTAATCAAAGAACTACAACGTTTAGTAAATACGTTACAAATTAACTTCGACGTTTGCCGAAATTTAAGCTGTTTGCAACCATTGAATTCAACCCGTTACTTGCAGTAGTATATTTCATGAAAAAAAAGGCAAAGGGAGTTTCTTTATATCGCTGACATTGGATATTGCAATTAGTAAAACAGTGGAATATGACCGGATAAACTTCGACTTCGCTGATCTCCTAGGTCAACGCAAAGGTTAATACACCTATGTTCTGTTCAAAGTTCGCGTTGTCGGCTGAGGAAAAATGACCTATATATATATATATATATATATGTCCTTACACTACACACAGGAAAGCGTAAAAAGAATTCGTCGTGGTTCAATTTTCTCTATAAATGTCAATATTAATTTAATTAAGAAAATAATTCAACAATAACACTCCAGTTTTCAATGACTTATGTGCTTAGCGACTGTTTGATATAAAATTCATTCTGATTATTACACAATTACGTTTCCAGATTAGGGCCTTAAACTTTGATCCGATTCCTGCCGGAGGACCAGCATTTCAATTTCCCAAGTACTAGTCCTTGTTTGGTCCTCAATTTTATAATAAAACAAAATTATAATCATTCTTTTTCCTAACAAACCATCTATAAACAATTCAGTTGAAAAACCGAACCAAGTACGCGCAATTACGAATGATTCATATTACTGGCATAAGTGATACATGGCACTTACCCTGACTAACCATGCTTTAAAGTATGGTACGAACTGTCCACTGGTTCCACCTTTAAAGAGAAGTGAATCATTCACCTCATATGTGTCTACTAAAGAAATAGGTTTAGTCTCTTCCTCAGGTTCAGTGTGATTTGTGGCATCTCTAGATCGTTGAGCGTTCACTTGTAAACTTCCAACAACCAAAGCATTTTGACGTACTTTGTTTTTCTTTCTCGCTTTTGAAGCACCCGTGCCCATAACTAAACAACTGTCTATGTTGATGTGGAGAACTTTAAACTGTATATCATATTAAATTATGGTGAATGTATATATTTCAGTCCGTATCCATCTTTAATCAAATCATTATTGTTTTAAAATGATCTGAGGGATTAAATAACACAACATTTACCATGGTAAATTGACGTTGCTAAGGAGCTTACTTACGCATGCATATAATGTCCATAATTATGGCTTTAAAATAAATCTACGGCAGCACATACCACATATTTTAATGCAAGTGAGCTCCTAAAGCTAAATTAGACGTATTTTTGGATACGAAAACACGTCTTTTTGAGCAGGCAATCTTGTTTAGGACCACAGGTAAAAATCCGTAGTATCTAGGTGATAGAAAGCTATTATTGTTCATAATGTTGTTTACAGTGGCCGACCAGGCAGGACTGTTACAGTACTGCTGTAAATATTGTCATCAACCACGAGATATAAGAGATGAGAGATGCCTGCGGAGGAGGCTAGAGACAACTTTGGGGTGGTATAAATTGGGCGTGGTGGTATTGTGCCGATTATGTGTCGAGCCTTTACTTCATGAAACATACAATATAACAACAATTCAAATATGGCGGCCAAATTGCGAATAGATATTGTATTTGCAAAAGATGCTTTTTCACACCATCCTTCACAGGATCTTCTTTTATATGGTCGCAACAGATTCGATGGCAATGGAGATAAAATAATATATGTGAATGATGTTGTTCCTTTGCCTGAAAATAAATGCAGTCAAATCCCATATTTCACATATCAAGACTCAAATAATTCAAGTTCGAATCTTATAATTGGATTGGTTTGCAACAATATACACAATGCTGACCACGAAAGAATGCTTGAAGTTCTGAAACAAGAGGCTAAATTGAAAGAATGTTGTGTTCTTGTGATATCAATTAATGAAATTTGTCCTGGAAAATTACTTTTACTTATAAACTCCGGATTTTCTTTGGAACGAACACCACCCTTTGAACATTCCAATATCAAGGAAACACCTAACACTGAAGTTCGCATTGTCTGTCTAAAACAGAACTTAAGCGTTTCCAAGTTGAGTTGTTGGTACTTGATGGATACGGATAAGTCTACCTTGGATTCCTTGAAAGGAAGAAAATTTTCAAAACGTTACATAAACGGGATTCAAGGTCAACAAGTAAATAGTACAACAGACAAGCATTCCATTTTAACTGGTGGAAACGACACTAATAATAGGAGTAACAGTGTCCCAGCTGCATTTGAATTGTTGTTTCTGTCAGTTTCATGGCTTCTCAGTTTGGTTCAACAAAGGCTTATATTTGCCACTGTGCTATTTGGATATTTACCTAAATACCTGTTTGTTGCAAAACAGTTGTCACATAGAATGAACCAACTTCATGACATGTTCATCAACAAACAAGAAAGACAGGAGCAAGTTAATATTGGTTCAAAGTTGGTAACCAATGGCAATCTGATTATATCATTAGTGGTTGATATTGTTTTGGGATTCCTGGTAATTTATTTTGTATTCTTGAACCAGCATTCATTGTCAATGTCTTCTTGGCTTATTGGTCAGAAATATAATATTGCAGAACACTTATCCAACTTGCTCAAATGGTTGATGGGTTCACCAGCTGGTCTCAAGCTAAACATACCACTTAATCAATTCCTTGGAAATTTTTATAGTTATCATGTACATTTGTGGACAAGCTATCTCTTTTTCATTGAAGCATATTTACCAACAATTATTTTAGGATGTACCCTAGCTGGTTGTCTTGGTGTAACATTTTTGATCGCACTGTTATGTGATCTTTTGTCACTTCTAACCGTGCACATCTATTGCTTCTACATTTATGCTGCAAGACTATTTGGTCTAGAGATTCATGTCTTGGCATCATTACTGAGGTTATTCACTGGTGAGTAAAATTTGATTCATAGTCATATTCAAAAGTTCAAACCATCCTCCCAAAAAACTTGCAAATCTTAATTGCAAAATGTTTTCTTTCTATATTTTTTAGGCAAGAAGTGGAATTCCCTCCGAAACAGAGTTGACTCTGTGGAGTATGATGTTGATAGATTGTTCATTGGAACCTTGCTATTTACAATCTCCTTGTTTCTCTTTCCTACCATATTCCTTTATTATATTGTCTTCACCATTTTACGAATTTTGGTTCTTTTGGTGCAATCATTTTTATATGGTATGGTAGCATTGGTGAATACATTTCCATTCTTTGGTTTATGGCTATATATTGTACATCCAGAAAGGTTACCAGGTATAGTATATCTCTAAAGTTTTTGATCATACACTTTCCATTATATTTTTAAAAGAATTAGGTCAAGGCATTGTGCTCAATGTTAAACATGATATGGATCTTTATCAATTCTCTCAGTAGTGTACTTAGGCATATATTTTGTGGATAAGGTAATGTAAGGCAGTTTCTTATTATTTTTATTTTCTTGTTTTAAAAGGGCAAATTATCATTGATACCATGAACATCTCATGTGGCCCCAGAACAGAAGATGTCTTTTATGCTGACAATGTCAATTCCACACAACCAGACTCTTGCCAGTATTTATCCTTCAGGCATAAATGTTTGCCATGTGGAGATCTTTTCAAGAACTGCATGAGTGGTGTGATTCAAACAGCATATAGGGACATATTTGGTGAAGGCATACTTTATAAACTCCTAACTGGAAAAATCATTACCAAGCCGTAAAGAAAATGACCAAGTGCTGGAGAATAAAATTTTTAAGTTTTTGAGTGACCTAATTGTCACAATTTCAACCTTAATAAATAAAAATAGAAATGTATTTTCTATCAGATGTTACCAATGTGCTTAGATAAAAGAGGAACTCCAAAGGTAAACAACTAGGAGATCTGCAAGAAATTTACAGGAAAACCTGGACATAAGAAAAAAATGAGTATAAATAGATAAGATGAAAATTATGATATCAATAGGATAAACACATTATTTTGGTAAAGATTTTTCCGCATGGATGGATAATTAATTGCTCATATATCTATTTGTATGGGATGCTACTGAAGGGATCTTTGAATGATTGCAGTTATCAAATTTCACACGACAGTGAATTAAAACTAATTACAAAAAATGAAATACGTCGTTATTTCTGCCGCGCTTTTTGTTGGAGACTGACAACAATACCTCTCATTACGCAAACCTCGTGTCGTTATGAACTTTTATTTGTATAGCCACATTTTCTTTGAAAAAATATAACTATCTTTATTTATCGTGACACCGTTTATCCAATCACCTGTGAGTACAACACTCTTTGCTTGGAAGTAGTCACCTCTTTCGTTCTTTTATTTTCATGTTTTCCCCCCTTTCCTTTACTCGCCATAACATTAACTCAACGCAAGACACAGCATCTTCTAAACTATCATGACCCTCTGCTGTAAAGGAAAAACATTACGATCAATTGCGCAAACTCATGTTACACCATAAATTCACAATATACCATGGGAATACATCATATACGGAATATGTTCCAGAAGTCAAAGTTGGTTAAAAGATTTTATATTTCGTACCGCCATCCTGAATTATTTTCCTCACATATTCAGCCATTAATGTTTTCAGGGCCCTTTTATAAGGTAACCCAAGACGATGAGGAAATACTATTGCAGTGTCGACAACGGTACTGTGAATTATCTGAAGAAGGAGAAAAACTGAAATTACCAACTGAAAACACAACGTATTTTCGTTAGAAGATTAAAAAGGTAGTAAAGGTAAGATTCAATTTCACGATCTCCACGTTATAGGGGCTCCTTACAATCGCACGCTACATATTTTGCGTTTGTGTCGTTTAAGACTACTTTCACATTAAAACTATTTAACGAAATATTGGCATCATTCATTTTAAAGTCGTCTTCCTTGACCATTAAAAAGACGTCTTCCTTGACCAACCGTAATAAAATGGTTGCCCTATACCAAACTTACTGCATGTGGTCTCTCATTAGGAATGGAAATGGCCATTGTGACGTTATTATGACTTACTTTCAAGGATCTTAAGTCACTTTCCAGACTGTGACCTAGTAATATGGTATCCTCATAAAACATGCTCAGCAATACAGACTGAACATCGCGTAATGACATTGTCACTCCAATCATGCTCTCTTCAGTTATACCACTAAATCTAAAATGTAGGACCAAGCAAATGACAACTTGCAAGTAGCATGACATTTTGGCATTACTCTAATACAACACATTAATTTCAAGTGTGATTCACAAGTGGTAAAACACAATAACTGACTCAGCCATACCTTGTATTGTAATCGATAATGTCGTTTTCTGGTTTCACCAGAGTATCGTAGATTTCTTCACATTTATAATCTACCACAGTAACTCGAGTCAATTCCAGGCCTTTTGACGTGTAACACTATATAATTAAAATATCAGTATATTTAGGGATATATACTATACTTCAACCCTTATTAATTTGTAGTGACAACTGACTATTAATTTAACAACAATCCATCTTCGATGTAGTTAGTAAATAACGGAAAATAACGAAAAAATAACGGAACGACCAGAGTACTCTTAACTTTTTCCGAAAGAATTTCCTCTTCTTTTTCATCTCACGAAAACGATGCGAATAAATGTGGTCAATAAACAAGTGGTCTACCTTTCCATAGTGACCCGCGCATGGCGTTTTAGTGCAAAATATACTGTGTATCAATAAGTGAGCACTAAATTTCAATAAGTCTTTAAATAATTACCATCTCGCAATCTAAGGCATAAATTTTCTTTTTTGTCGGTTTTGGATTTTGTCTAGTTTCAGCAAATCCTGTTTCTTCAGACCAGTACGTCGGTCTAACATGTGCCTAAAAAGACGTATAGTTGTCACTTTTGTGCGTTAAGGAGAGCTCAAAGAGCTCACTTAAAGAGCTCACTTCTGTTATTGGGTCGGTTTTCCTGGGTACTCTGCGTGTGATGTAAAGTCTCACGACTCAAGTGCAGTATTGTTAGCAGATTGCACAGAATTTACGCTAAGGGAGTCTCGAGTCACTTCAACACCAAAGTTTTTTGTTCCACGATCACGAACAGAGAGTTAGTGATCACTTTGCGAAAAGTCGAGTATACTTTGTTTGCCCCCAATTTTTTTTACCATTATTGCCTATTTTTAGATTTGCAACTGACCTTCGAAATAGAGCATCCTATACATCCAGATTCACCTTGACAACATGTATACGACGTCACTATCTCCCCGGCAGCTGCAAAAGATCGCGAGAATGCATTACTATATCAACCCAGACGACTCTAACTATTTAAACCGAGTAAACAGTGTCCTTGATTATATACTGTACAACTAAATAGTTATGTGACAGAAGAATGTAAGATCGTCTTACTTCTGGTCCGAAGCAAGCGACCATGATGGTAGACACACTCCTCTTTATTGGGATATTCTCCAGACTCTAAGATCACGAATGCCTTACCACATCGACAGCAAATATGGCGTGTAGCTGCAAGGGTATACCTATATTTAATATTTATTTATCTATTGACTAATTTCAGCACCAATATCGCAGATCCCAAAATGAACAGAAGACAGTAGGAAAAATTAAAATATATGGACAAATCGACATCAGGTTTGACAATAATTCTTATAACGCCGTTCCGCATGGAGCCCCTATGAAGTGCAAAGGCATCTCAAGCGACCAGAGAATTCAACTCCGGGAGTTCCAATAATTTTTCGGAGTAGCACAAACCCTGTGTTCTGTGAACGTGAAAAAGTACTAGGGAACGATTCAAAGGGTTTCAGACTTTCGGGATCTGGGGCTAGCAGAGGAGGCAGGAAACCGGAGTAGGTCTATTTTATTAGTGCCAGTACTTACGATCATTTACGTTTCTTTTTTGTTTTGAGTAAACATCAGTTATCTCAGCATGACCTGGAATACTAGAGGGTCGAGGGTACCCATTTCCCTCCAATTCCTCTTTAGCCAATACATATTTCTGCATTCGAGTATAGAACTCTTCCTCTAAAGAAATATTAGAAACCCTTCAATATCTAATCATCGTCTATGATCCAGAGCTCCCGTCTTGACTACTCTGGAGGTTCTTCATACTTTTGTACCCAGGCTCTCGTCCCTCATGATCTACTCATTCTGTGCTAAATAGGAGAGAGAGAGAGAGAGACTAGGTACTAGATTCGAATGTCATGTATACCTGTTATCTTGCCATCTTCAAATACTGCACCCTTCGGTTTATTTTCGACATTATTTTCAACGCTTTGAATAACTTTGGCAACACTTGCCGAAGCTGTGGGGTCAATTTTAAGCTTTTTTTTCGGGCTGGGTAACGTTGATTTAGTAGCCAATGGATTACGTTTGTTACCACCATCCACGTCTGATGGTTCCGTAACATCACGTAGTTTCTTGATAAGATTTACACACAAGTTGATATACACTTGACGTCTTGGACTTTTTATGTAAATCTCCTTCTCTTCTTTTTCTGCCTGTTACATGAGATGAGAACCAATTTTAAACTATTAAACACCTGTAGATAGCAAATAGCAATGCAACTAACCTGGGGGGGAAAAGGAACTCTAAATACAGTGTTTAATAAAAGCTCACTACCCAGGTTCCAAAAAATTAGAAAAAAAAATGGAAAATGTTGGGACTTAGTTTACCTTATTGAATGCTTCTTGTTGATCTTCGTACGTACTCAAATATTCATCGACGAGTTTATCCAGGTATTTCTGCCTCACACTTTGCGGAACCTTGGCCCCATACTCCAGCCTTATTCTGGGTCTTTGAAAAACAGTTCCTGAAGATTTGGTGTAGTGTGTAATTCTCTGTTTCACATGAGTTGACGAGACTAGATCTCTTTCTCCCTGAAGATGTAAAAGTTTATTCCTTAACAGGCTTAACTCAATACACACCAGTTTAAAAACACTATACATTACCGCAGACAATACAAAACTATACAAAATTAGATACAATATGGCAGTAAGAAATGAATATGAAAGTGTAATTATTTGACCACCGTATATGAAAAGCACAGCATGATAGTGTTTGAAGAAACCCGAGCGTACCTGGGGTTTAATAGACTGAGGAGGTTGACGTGGAGGGGGAGCCAATGTTCCTTGCAAAGGACGAGGCAAAATTCTGAATGGATTTGAATTACTTCTTGATGTTGTTGCACGTCGAATTACCTGCAAATAAGCAGAATGAAACGATTGCAAAATCGTTTGTAGTACATTGAAGTTTCATACGAAATAGAAAACCTCTCCTTTACAACTATCCTTCTAATTTATGTAGTTGACGTTATGACGTTATCGCATTCAGTATTTTAATAAGCAGTTTTACTTTGCAATTTTATAGCTGTAGACATAACTTAGCTGTCTACTATAAACACAGAACAAAAGATCGGCCACTTGCAGCCGCAAGTCCGAAAAACATGAGCAGGGACTTACTAGACCAGGCTGATGTGCAACCCGCTGTTTTTTAAATCCCACAGGAATCGACTCTAGTTCTGCAGATGATCTCTTCTGTCCTATAGATTTGGGCATTGGCTGAACGGCATCATTTGATATATCCCTCATTTCAAAATCCACATGGTCATTCATGCTATCCATAATATCTGGCTCATCGCCAGGATCATAATCATTAAATATCCTTAACAGTTCATTTTCCTCACTGTCGTCCTCCATACTATTATCAAAATCTGACTCGACAACACTTTTCCTACAACTCAGTTCAGGATTCGAAGAAACACGCATAACACTCGTTTTCTGCACAAATTCTTTATGTCGTTTCTCAGGTTTTTTATCCATCATAGAGGACGATATTGTATCAGATGTTTCTGCAGTGGTTGACTTTTTCTTAACATTCTTGATTGGCTCCTTTATTTCCTTACCTTTCTCTGCCTTTTTGGTGCGACTTTTTTCCCTAGAACCTGAAGGTGAACTCTTATCAGGGTCTTTGACGGCATCCATATTTTTTTCAGAATCTTTGACAAGTTTTTTTAACTCTTTATAACGCTGAATTTTACTCTTTTCCTTAGTATTCCCCAAGTTGCTTTCACTCAATGTTTTCTTCAGCTTTTTCTTTTCCTTTGTCAATTTCTCGCGTTTTTCATCTTCTTTCTTAAGTTTAGTAGCATCCTTCTTCTTAGGACTTTTTTCGTCTTTTGAAATCTTTTTACTTTGCTTGGAAACATTTGCACTGAAAAAATTAACATCCGTCAATTTAGGAGGTTCCGGTTTGGGCTTTTCTTTTTTACCAATTTCAATTTCATCTTTATGATTGTCCTTTTTAGTTTTCACTTCAATTCCAGTTCCGTATTTTTGCAGATCGCTGATTATACTGTTTAGACTCTTAACCTCCTCAGGTTTAGTATTTTGTTCATTATCACTTTTCTCAATCTCCATCTTTTCCAAAACTTCATTTTTGCAGCTGTTGCTGCTGTCTTCAACATTTCCAGATAACACAGCATCTGTTGGTGCATCCCTAGATAACTTATGTTGAGTTCTTTCTGACTGACATTTTTCTTTATCTGCATTCTTCCCTTCACAATTCTCAGATTTATTAATTTCATTTCTCACACTTTGAGAAATTGTATTTTCACCAGTTTCTAAATCATTATATTTACCAACAGAGCCTTTCGTAATTGTTTTTTCTTGTTTAGCTTGACCTTCTGTAACTACACTATTGACAGGTAGAGAGTTTTTGGCTGCAAGAGAAGCACCTTCTTTGAGAATTGGTGTACTTTCATTAGAGATAGTGCCTAAGATTTCTCCTCCAGCCTTGTTTTCTGGAGCAACACTATATTCAATCTTGGAACCTTTTAAGGCCTTTTTTTCTTTTTGCAGAGTTTCAACATCACTACTATCAGAGTCAGAAAGGAATTCATTTGCATTCTCTGAAAATGCAATCAGTTTTTCTTCTAAAGCAGTCCTCTTAAACAGAGGCTTGGTAGAGGTAGTTGATTGGCTTGTTTTATCTGGTGTTTCATCAGCCTTGTCTTTCACCAAAGTCTTGCTCTTAATTCTTGATTCTTCCTTTGTACTCTTGAAAGGTTGATATGATGATTTGACAACTTTGCTTTCTCCTTGGACTGCTTCTAGTAATTTAATAAGACGAGAATTATCTTAACACATACACAAAACATAATGGATCAGATGACATGTATTTACATTATGGATAATATTATGCATTTTTCTACTATATTAAGTACCTGGTACAGTGATTTGCATTTGTTTGGCACTTGGTGTTGAGCTAGGTTTGTATTCTAGGACAAAAAAACTTCATTTGTTATATTGTCAGCATGTGTACATAATTGATGTTATGCCAAAAATAAAAAAAAATAGTCAACAAACATCTATGCGAGCCTCTTAATTTGCCTACACAATAATTAATCTATTGAATACTGCAATATAAGCAAACTATTTCAGAGCTGCAAACCTAACAAAATCATCTGGTAAAGTCAGCGTCACAAGGTTGCCAGTTTCTCTGTGAGCTACGAGTGTTCAGTTAGCAGGGTCAGGCTTGCTTCTCCAAATGCAAATCTGACCCGACTGAAATTCTTTAAAAGTGCATGAAGATAGTTCAGTGCTGTTGTGTTGGTTTGAACATTATCATAGCAAGTATCTCGCTTGCTGTTATTATACACACACACCTTATTCACAAGGGCTAACTGCTTATAGAGTTGATGAATGTATAATGTATGTGTGACAAGAATATTGGATTCTGTTGTGCGATAACATGAATTTGACGTTAAAATTCATTTACCTATTGTCTACTGTCTAGTATTAGATTATAAAATGTTTATAATATGGGCTAGTTAACTTTTTTTTCAAAATACTGGAAATGCGCCTACAAGGTCCTCACTTGGAACTTAAGAAAGGGTAATAAGTTATACTACCCGTCTAAAAAAGAAGATACCAATTCATTGCGGATTTTAAAAATATAATTGTTCTATCTTTAATACCTGGTTTTGTGTGGCGAAAATGGCAGTATGGTCTGTGACAAAGGCCATGTTGAAAGAACGGACAGTTTGCACTACGAAAATAGCCGCCAGAAGGAAACATAATCTTAAACAAAACTAATATATTATTCAAAATAGCCCATTGGCGATTTTCTACATATTGTATTTAACTGGCGAGTACTAGCAACATACGTTCTATAAAAGAGTGAAGACAAAAGTCAACTGTCCGATATTTCCATCAACTTTTATATTGACAATTTTTTCGGAGCGCTATCGGAAAGCGCCGTAAATCAATTCGTAACTGACTGCTTTATTAACTGGACTGATATTCTTTACTAAAATATTAGAATCCAGAGCTTCAAGTCTCTTTCATTACTAGTAAATATAATGGTCGAGTGCTATATTGAAATGAAATGTTTAATAATGATGTGAAGATTAAAAAAAAACAGGGTCCTAAAATTTCCATTAACACGGTTCGGATCTGGCCTTAGGGGGCGTTCCCAGGAAAAGTTACTGGTATAGTGCATCTATAAAACCATAATCTAATTGATTGCAAACTATTTACAGTTAATTTCTTTACTATAATATCTTTGCATTATTTCAACTATCTATATAGCCCACTGTAACGATAACGGGGATTTCTCATCAGGAAAAAATCAATGTAGATTTACAATGAGTTGCTTATCTTCACTGGCTTCTATGTAATGACGTGAAGCAAAGACTTGCATAAGATTAATGTGCTGGAAATCGTCATCTGGATTGACAATCTGTATATAACAAATAACGTCTATATATAGTCACAATGTGCACGATTGTACGGAACTAAAATCACGGATATATGACCAACGTCAAGCCATACCCTCAGTGAAAACAGTTCACTGTCTATCATACTAGAGAGAGTTTTTTCAACAATCAATTGATCACGTCTCAGTCAATGATGAGTCATTCGTTTCAATTTAGTTCAAAACTGAATTGAAACGAACTTTATGCTCTTCTGCGAATGCATGATCAACATAGTCGAATATCTATGTTTATTCTATCCCTCTTGATTGTCTAACTCTGGAGAGTCCGTGTTCAACCAATTACACTCTGTACACTGTGCTACGCGCGAGACATTTGAGAACTTCAAGCATACTGACCTGCAGTATAGAGCACATAAACCGCACATTGCATCATTCAGGCTGAAACTGGTGATAACACAGTTGAAACCGAGCTAATTAACTGTTTTTATATTCTTGATATTGATGTGTGAAGCGAACAATTGTATAGAAAATTAAGTGCTGGAGAACACCATTTGGATTGACAACTGTATAACAACGTTTATATTATATAGCTATATGAAGCAGTGATGCAGTGCACATACACATACAAATCATGGATATAATCAACGTCAAACCGACTGTCTAGTGTAAACAAGTTAAACTATGCATTGTCTATCATATACTAGAGAGTCACGTCCCAGTCATGCAACGCAATTCAGTTTAAGTTTATTCAGTCCATGCATAGTGCATACCATCGAATACCTCTAGGCATTAGCTTTAATATTCATCATTAAAAGCCATATAATATTGTTCTAAACTAAATGACAATGACTGTAAGTGTAATGTCACCCTTATCCTTGTGTATCAGATATATCGATGATTGGGCGTTAGCCTCCGGTCCGTTAGGTCCATTTTAGACATGTGCGGTGGGAGGACCTCTGACGTATACAATGCAAATCCAAATTCTGCGGCATTTCGGCAAATTTTAGATGGAAGAGCCTCTCCTTAAAGACAAATAGATCGGATATTTTATCAAAACTATATACATGGCAGCCCGCGATTATATATTATCTTGACAAGCATAGATGGAATGAAGGTGTTTGCAAAACGTTTCGTCACTTTTGTGTGAAGTACTGGCCGATTAAAAGCACGTTTATATATGTGTGAGACTGCATGGAAACTTATTTTATACAGACCGGAAAGTTGATGGTAAAAACCCGTCTAAATATGAATAGGAATGGCCGAATGGATAAATTTATACGTGCATGTGATTGGTCGGGTAATGCTAAAAAGGGTATCGTACTTATTACGATAAAAATTGTTCGGTTTTTTTTTCAGCCTTGTTCCGTCCTTGCCCGCGTGTTGATATTTCAGAAACTCGTCTGATTCATCCGTCTAAATATACGAATTTAAGACGAGTTTTTCGTCCAGCCGAGATTCCCTTACAACTTACCCGTCTGTTTAGACCGGAAAGTTAGACGGGTAAATTCGGACGAGAAACCCGTCTGCATGTGACCGGATTCGCATTAGACGAATTTCCCGTCTTACACGAGTTTCCCGTCTCTATTATGAACTCGGCTATTGTATTTTTGCTCGTTCTTAGTCAAAATGTCCTGAATGCAAACACAAAAAACTCACCACAATAATAGACTGCGACAATATTCATGCAGCAGTTTTTACTTTTGGTAGAAATTCGACAATCAGTGATGGAAAGCAAAAGAAAATTGGCGAATTCTTGAGACCAATCAAGGAACGATTCTACATATTTTTAATGTTTATATTTCGGGTCTACATTATTTTTTTGTATCTGAAATTTCGGCATTTCAGTCAACCAAATATATGTGATTAAACTACAAGTACATAATTTAAAACTGGTTGCTCTTGAAACAATCGTAGAAAATGCATGGGCACGTCAAAAATGTTGGGTAACTTCCAAATTAGCACTTGTGCATGCATGGTTAATTCATAACACTGAGACTGTATGGCATCATCGCCAAAATCGGTGATAAAAAAAGTCAACAGTACAAGACTATTGTTTGCAGTCTCAAAGTTCAGTGAAGGTTTTACGGTTTTCCGCGACAAACTTCTCAAAATATATGCTGTGCATTTTACAACACGTGCCGCTTGGGTGTGTTTCTAAGTGAAAACAGTTTAAAAGTAGAGTATTTGTTCCGGCAGTTGACAAATACTGGCATCGAGTATTTTATATATTGACATCTATACCGCACCCATGAAATCGCGTGGAAATACTTATACATTAAACTGAAAAAAAATCAACACTAATACTTGGAATTGCTGAAATGTTTCCATACTATGACAATAATGAGGCAAATATGCATGTGAATAGCATTTTGAAAAATCAGTTTATAAATGTGTAGTATGGAATTGAAATTCACTTACACACACTCAATCATCTTCAAAGGTTTTTGTTTTTTTAGCTAGTCCATATCAGCTAGTTAATATACATTGCAAGTTAACAGACAATAAAACATTTATCAGAAGTTAATTGGATCCCCAACTGAAAATTGGATCTTTTGAACAGACCTTTAAGCCAAAACTAAATCCATTTATATAAAAAATCGCCGTTGATATAAAGCCTTACCATATACGACATAGATAGACGACGACTTTCATATCCGAAACCGCCTTCGTTACAGTTTGCATTGAATTTAATACAACTTCCTTGTTGTCGAAAACTGTTTGGTACAACAAATCAAGCGTTGGCATAGCAGTCCAACAACTTAGGAAAATTGTACCGCAATAACAAATATTAAATAATTAAAAATTCGGTGAATTAGCACTGACATTGGCCCTATACTCCTAGTATGGAAGTTGTGAGAAAATAGTTCAAATTCATATTAAATGATATGTGTCTGGATTAATCTATATAATAACATGGTTTATATACGAAAATATATCATTATGTTCGATGATTCCCAATTAAAATTCCAGTATTAAAAACATTTTGCATGATATGAGTGCAAGAGAAAATAATTCAGTACCAGAACATTGTAGAATATCATGAAATTAAAACAACTTTATAATTATATTTATAGTGAAATTTCTAGACTGAAATAGTCAGTTAAGTCAGTGCAGATATGTTGTGCTGACTATACATCAAATCAGTTACACAATAGCTTTGTGATTTTGTTCGACTAACTGTGGTTCGACTGGAAAATACCAAGCTATAGCCTTGAATGTCATTCATTGTCCTTAATGGTTGTCGTGCTGTGAAATCACCAGGGCTACGAGTGTGGAGGCGGGGCAATCTGAAAAGGCGAATGCTTTCGAGTTAGAAAGATAATTGTAGAAGGAAATTACATCATTTCCTTCTATGTATTTCATGTACAATGGATAACTGGAATGATGCAAATACTATATATCAATCCATCAGCACATCATGGCCGACGGTCACTAGCTTATAGCTATCTGCATGCTTGTAGCACGTGCTACATCATATTATGATTATTATCGGTGCCTACAAGTTAATGGCGGCAAAACATCCGCAAGTTCTGGTCTGTTGTGACTAAATATGCGATTACTATCTAGCCGGAATATTGAACTTAAAATGGCTGTATTGCCGGTGTTGAGATTATTCACACAGTTTTTGCACGCTTTGGGTTGCTTGGTTTATTATCATAACCAATCACATTAAAGCTGCGTGCGCAACAGGTATAAAGAAAATCTTTAACCATGCATCCAAAAATTAACCATAAATCAAATATTTAAATAAGAAATACTAGTTTAACAAGTATATAGATTGCAAAGAACCAGGAACAAATGTCGACAACACTAAAACATTAAACATTCATTACCGATCAATAATTACAGTAGCAAAAATCACACACAAAGACAATGACATTGTCAACAAACTAGATATCGCAGCCACACAATCATGCATGTCTTCGGTATAAGAACCATGGTAATCAGTGGCGTCGCCAGGTTGCTCAGACTGGGGGGGACGAGGCACCAAAGCGCAAGACCTCTAGGGGGGTTCGGGGGCATTCACCCCCGAGAAAATTTTTATTTCTAGGGTCTCTAAAACGCTATTTCCCGCATTTTCAGCCAAGTTTTATGACAATCCGAAAGCCACAGATCGGAGATTTTTGTTATAAACAAACAGTTTTTACAAGGGGAACTTTTTGTTGTTAGCTAATCAGCCTAATCTGAATGTGTCAACAAGAGCATCCAACTCAATTTTATCTGCAATGTCTCTTTCTATATGCTGACTATGTTATTCTAATGCTATTCTTTACGTGATCAAAAGTAATGTTAATTCGAAAATTTCTTTATTTACTCTGCTGTTGGAAATTAGAATCATTGTACCCCCCCCCCCTTTTCTCTTCAGATTTAGAAAAATCCCAAAAGTGGTCTTTAGAATAAGTGGGGGGGACGAGTCCCCCCCAGTTCCCCCCCTAGCGACGCCACTGATGGTAATAGAGTCTCTAAACGAAGTATCCGCTAAATCGCCCACTCGAATCGACCGGGTCAACATTTACCATAAATGTTGCAAATGATCACCACGCGTATTTTGAGGGCGGTTTAAGGCTTATAAAAGCGCCATTAGTACATTACACAAATATTTTGTATATAAACGTGTACTTCGGATCACTTTACATATAAAATTCAGAATTTATAAAGCAAATTTAGACCCTGTCTACACTAGTGCGTTTTCGTTTAAAAACGCATACATTTCGATGCGTTTAGGCCTTCCGTTCACACATATACGCTCGAATACGCTCAGCGTATTCACCGAAAACGCATCGATTTGAATACGCTGTTGAAAGTGAATACAAATGAAAACGCATACATATCGTATTAGTGTGAACACTTGAAGACGGTACTTTTGAAAACGATTACGTCACACGCATCGAGCCGAGCATGCGCAAATTACCGTTTTACGTCAGACTACGATCCGTTCATCGTATTCAAGCGCTTTAGTGTGAACAGTCGAATACGCTACGAAAACGGTAGTGTGAACGCGAATCGATCGATGCGTTTTCGGTCTTGCGAAACCGCATACAAACGAAAACGCACTAGTGTAGACAGGGCCTTAAATAAACCATGAATACTGAATCATTTTCAGAGTAGGACATTCCAAGGCCACTTCATATTCAACACTTTAGTATCTATAAGGTGAATTTGGGATGTACACCAATTACTCCTCCTGCAGTTAGCCACCAGCTGCGAAGTTGTTGGTTGAAAATACGCTTTTGAACGTTAATGTGATTTTGCTTATAGTCTAGAATTTCCTGTAGGGTTACAAGAATTTCATTTCTTATCTAAGTTACTTTGTTTAAAGGTTATCATGTGTTAGTTTATCTGAATATAATAGGTCATTAACTCATTTAACTGCACCAGTTTCTGTCTGTTTAGTTCGAGGTTAAGGTTATCAGCAACTTATGTTTTGCTAATTGCTATATATTTCAGTAGGAGATAAAACTGTACTTGTATCGTGGCATTAATTACTTATAGTTATAAGAACATCGTCAATGCGAAAAGATCCGATAAATAAAGACCCAGTAGTAGATGAGATATATATAGATGAGATAGATAACATTAGATGAGAGATCTTTGATGATTACGATCGATTAAGGCTAAGGACCTTTTCCATAAACAACCTCTTTAATGGTGTGGATATAAATCATATGATAAACAACTGGTTAGCGTGCATAAACCATGCATGAATGCAGGTTCTGAAGTGTAACTGCATGCGATCAAGCAACCTGGTATACAAAACGTTGTATGGTACCAACTTGGGGGCACACATATTGTCTATTTGTCAACAGGTACATCATTGTACTTCTCTCTAGAAAGTGAAACTCGCCTCCTAACTAGAACCGCCAACTACACTGCTACGTGTCATGCCCGCCCGCATATTATTAATCACTTGCGAGCAATTTTTTTCGTATTCTTCTTTCGCAACTTGATACAATTCACCTGCTTTCGTATCTACGGGATGTTTCAGACAAAACATCGCCCGCTCATATTACATCACATGTTATCTATAGTATAACGATTTCCATTTTTCCCCGTGTTTTTTACACTAAATTTTTAGCAATTGAATTCAATTTCCGCTTTTCCTGTTTCGTATACTTCAGAACGGGCTAGTCTTCTTTCAGAGCGTTCGTGACAAACCGCCGATATGCACCGGTACTTATGAGGTATCCTAATGATTTCCTGTGGTTTCTAACGACTTGCATAAATACGATGAAAATAGAAACAGCATTTCATAATATACATGCAAACAAACGAGTCACAAGCTGGGCGCGAAGAATAGCGATCCACAAGTTAAAATAAATGTTAATATGCACTACATAACAGAGGTAATGGAAACGCAGAAGATAAACATTAAAAATCTGGCGAGATTTGTTCAATGTCAAGCAGACCCAAAGCCACGATCGAAAGAGACGCAACAAAGTTTTCGTGTCAACCTTGTCGTGCTAGGAACAAGTGGTTGTGGTAAAACTGCCTTCATTAAACGATTTCTTGGTAAACCATTTCCCAAGTCACATGAAGCTACATTAGAAGATGTTTATGACGGACACTATACGTTAAAATCATTTCACACTACAGTATTACTTCGAATATACGATACAGACGGTTCGGATAGATTTCCAGCGATGAGAAACTTGGCCATTAACGAAGGACAGGCATTCATTGTTATGTATAAACTAAATAGCAAAGAATCGTTCAGAAAAGCCAAACAAACAGTGGATGAACTCATCGAAGCAAAAGGTCAGGGTATACCGATATACCTTGTTGGAAATAAATGTGACAAACCGTCATCAGAGCAAGTGGTCACTACTGAAGAGGCTGTCAAACTAAGTAGCGAAAAGAAATGCTTCTTTGCTGTCACCTCGGCGTTAATGGGAGTAAATACGGACAAAATATTCCGTGAGATTGCTTCACAAATGGTCGAAAGAAGATTACTGGGCTTACACCAAAGAGCAACTCAACAAGACGCTGTGCATCAGAAATGATCAAAACTAGGAGAGTAGCGAAATGAACTGATGACTAATCGAAATGGATCGATTACTCCATTTCCTAACTCCACTACAGATCGTTTATTTCTGCATCACGGGACAATATACATATTTGGAAATCAAGCCCATATATATCTACACCTCGCCCTCTGGAAAGATCAGATTCATTCATTATGACTACATTACAATATACACAAGGGTGTATCATCCTAGATTACGTAGACTTGTGATGTAAACCAGAACATTTGTTAAATCCACTCATGACCTTTTCAATGGAATTACCCCGACGGATTGACCTTAACCAATGCCATGACAATATGTATTGTAATGTGTATGTAGTACCACAATAACCCGAACTGGTTATTCGCCACATTCATCACACACCCATAATTTAATATTACCTAACTTCCACAAAAAAATTATTTCTTACAAGTTGGGCTGAACAGGAAAACTACGGGGAAGAGACAATATGTAGGAAATTGCATGCATTCTTAGAAATGCTGTATCATTCACATTCATTTGTAAATATGTATATATTCATTTAATTAATTTATTAATATTTATTTATCTATATTAAATTTTTAAAAGCAAAACACTTCTGGTATCCTTGGTCGGTATCGAAATTACGACACAGAATCATCTTATCATCATGCATGCAGTATTGGGATGACATCGCATGCTTGTTGGCCACACTACATATTATTATACGTGGTGATGGAATTTCGCCGAGATAAATTGTATTTCATCAACATCGACAATTAATTAGTGAAAAATAGTTTGAAAGTTTCACATTTTTCTCATTTTTACTGCATGGATGACGAACTGCATGCGTTTCTGGGCTATGTCTCTCTTCTTTCCCAATAATTTGAATGAATTAAATCGAGAATTCATATCAGCATGAATACGTTTGAAAACGAAGGATCTCCAACGGTTTGATGTACTGATCTCTCTGGGACTCGGCGGTCGAAACTCGAAAGGGAGATCTTGTTTGTTCGCAGTTCGATACAAGCGAATTACAGCAAATTTAATTGTCATGAGTTGTCTTTTATGTAAGCATTGAACCTGAGGGTAAATCAATTATGATTTTTGGCACTTCACTCGATGTAGGTAAATTCTAGAGGTTGAAAGGGTCTCTGGCAAAAGCATTGCACCGGCATCGCAAAAGCGTAGGTTCGATTCCTGCCGGAGGACCGATAGTTGACTCATTTTTCCATCAACTGTTCCTGTTGAAGTGTGTATAATTCCACTCGAAATTAAGACCCTTTCAACCTCTCGCGATTGAACCTGAACGCGAATTGTATCTTTCAGTGTTAGAAGAATCAGTCTCAGCAAGTCGAATTGCTTCTCTAATTCTAAGAAAATTTTGGCACTCTTGTGAAATAAGAGACTTAATGTTATCCACTTTTAAACAGCGAAGAATAATTTATATACATTCATACACAGTCAGAGGAAAAAGAAAGTACAGCTACGGACAGTTTTTTTTGGAGAGGTTTTTTCAATACTGAATTATCTTGTCTAATCAAATTGGTTAAGTTTGGTTTGATGAAGATGAAAGCAGAATTAAATTGTCCCACTCCAGCACTCGTCGACTGCATGACGTCACCGCGTACAAAGTGGATGGTCCGTTCACTCCCATTCCTGTTCAATGATTCTTACGGGTTTTTTTGCTGAATAAGAAGTATCTGATCAGTGTTTGTCAAATTTTATCTCATTGAAAGACCTGGGCTCCAAATAAACCAACGAACGCTCTTGAATCAGCCTGCCTTTGGCTTTTATTTCTCAAAACATTTCTCTTCAATTAAGTCAGTTTACTCTTTGCAATACACTTATTAGAATTTTAAATGACACTCAAGGCCATTATCAATACTCAGAATGGGCTACAATATCAGTGTGAACGAATATAGAAACAATATAAGCGTTTCGTGAGAGATTTCTTTGATCTTGTGCAATTTTTATATCTTATAATGATTCATTTTTGCTGTAAACACTCTAAACGAACATAATAATTACGCTTTTATATTACATGACTGATGACTGTAAAATGCAGGCTTCGTTTAGAATTGCATAGCACGGTTAAAGCCTTGCCAGAGTGAATTTTATTGTACTGACTACAGTTGTTCAAAATTGCCCAACTAAATTTGCTACGAAGCCTACGATATATACACAGTTGCGAGCAGATATGTTTTTTTTTGTTTGAGTGGCGAAAACAATAGCGAACAAATGAGATATTGGTTTTGAAACGAGAACATAAAATCCATATCTTCGAGGGAACCGTGTAATGTTCTGTTTATTATATGGACTAAATTCGAGTGAAAAATTTGAAGTTGGATTTTCACAATAACAATGAAAATGGCGGGGAATTTTTGAGACTCCAAGTCTTTATGACGCCCCTAAACGTGACATACGGAAAATATTCGCACCGTGTACCCCGGATGTAGTGGCGTATGAATTCTACGAGTGTTTTAGTTCTCAGTAAAATACCCCCATCCATATATTAAAATGATATAACTAAATTCTTCCTTCATCCGCCGCCTACTTACTTTAAAACAGCTGCCAATTCATTCCAAATCTGAAAGCCCTGAAAGAGAGCTTCAACGCCTCCCACGTATACTTAACCTGAAAATTTAGTCTTGGCATGGAATGACGAATTCTCAGTCTTTATGAACGGAAAGTTAACTCAAACTTTATTATTTATTTCCGTGTAAAATCGTATACTCTAGTACGTAGATATTTAAGTGAACTTCACGATGCAAATGAGTCCATATTTGTTTCACTTTGGCAATAAATTTCCCAGTGAATAACCAATGAAGCTTGTTTCACCGGGCGCGCGAAGGTCGCATGATGTCTCCAACTCTTTTTTCTTGATATTAGAGTTTAAATTTGTTATAATTTGTTAACGTTCGGTTTGTAAAGAATTTAAATGGTTGAAAGCATCAGCTAATTATAAATGTTCCTTCTTCAAATATATCTTGTGCAAGCTGTAAGGATTGATAATCCAGTATCTATAACTATAGATAATCCAGTATTTTCGGACCAGTGAGATACCCGTGCATTAGTGCATATTCTTAAACGGGATTTACATGCATATTTTATATTTATCATGTATTACCATAGCAAAGCTGCCAGCTTTTATAGTATTAACTTGTTGAAATTAAAGCGTTAAAAAACAAAAGACATCTTATAATTATGTCAATTTTTCGTCTTGCATGCAAGAGGGCGGTCAATTGGATACTTACGTGGGCTGAGAGCGTCAATAACGCGCTGGGTGCACTGTTCTAGCCACGCAGAGCAAGTTTAGATGTAGCAACTATTGTCTGCCTAAAATTTGATTTTTGTACCCCTGCATGGCATTCAGTATTTCGAAATCCATCACAGTTTAGACAAGGAGCATGGCTAAGCCCTATTTTTGGTGATGCCCACCACGCACTGCAAGAGTTGCGAAAGCATGATTCGGATTGGCAGGAACACGCGGCTTGGCAAAATCAAGCCAATGAACGAACCGGATCTTGCAGGCGCCAAAGTTTCACGAAAGCAGTCAGTCGACTTTCAATATTACTGATTTATAATACGCATTTCTGAAAAATGTAAAAAACGTGAGTGGAAATATTCCCGCCTCGGCTCTGGATTGAACCACAACCTAATTGTGACCATGGTCGGAAATGAAGTATATAGCACTTCGAAGTTTTAACTGCGAATTTTGAATTCTTCAATTTCTGGCATCAAGATTTATTCTAAAGCACCAATCGAGTCCCGGAACAAGCACCAAACAATAAACATGCTCAAGCTTTTAACCAGGAACCAGAAATTGTGCGCTCATTGTTATTAGAGTGTAGCTATAGACGTTGTAAAATCAGATTTTAGTTTCATTTTATTGTTAACAACTGTTTAATTACAGCAATGACTTCAAGGGCATCAGTATAAAAAATCTTACTCTTACTGTACATCATAAAATACACATCATTAACCGCTCCAATGGTATAAACGAGGCTATTATTAGGTTCACCTTTTTACAAGCCGACCAGAAAAACGACGTTGTGAAATAAGAAACATATAGAATTGAAGCTGGAGAAAATCACATAACAATAATACGTCAAACGTTTTTGCCATGTTATACGCAGTAAGCGAATGCTGAGTTGAATTGTTTGAACAATCAATTGTAATATTCTTAATAAAGACACAATCAAATGATTGTACTTATATGAATAGTCGAAGGCATGATCGGAATTCACGAACATGTACGTTCTATCTTCTTCTTCGACTATAACTTGGTGGTCGATCATGTCTCATAAAGTCCGCATAAACAGCATATGGGTCCACCTAAGATATGAAACAGTCATGAAAAACACAAAACTTTTAGGCGAATTGAACTAGCTTAAATTCTGTATAAAGACAATATATGTTGCATTAAAGGGAGGTTTAGTGCTATTTAACAGCTTAGCCGCTATATCCGCAAATTCTCACGAGAGTTGAATGTTGAAAAAATATAAATCGTTAAGAAATTCACTTACACGACCATAAGGTGGAAAGGCTACTGATGAAGGCTGTCTTGAACGATGGAATTCACGAACATAGTCAGAATAACTCTAAAGTAGATAAAACCATAATGTGTTTTATACCACATACATTCTTAGAAAATTATTTCATTAATTTAACAAAAAGATAAAAGTTTTAGGGTTAGGGTGCATCAGAAATTCTACTCACTCCGTGCATTAACGTCTCTTTTCGAACACCATAGCGACTCCTAGGACACAAATAATAGCATGATTTAAATATACAGTAAAACAACGAAACACGGGGAGGATATTAAAAACTTTTGCGTGACAGGTCGCCATGGTATTATACAACCTTATCATTTCCCTAGACCGGGTGAGGGGACACCAGTTAATTTTAACATCACAATAAAGAGATTGAAGCACTATGCAAACTCCGCGAGTAAGAACGCGAACAAAAGCATGAAGAGATGGCGGAATCACGGGGGAAAACGAGATGACGTTGACCTTGGACAACAAAGTTAACAACTACATTCAAACTCATAGAAAATTAAATCGGACGTTATACGTACCTTGGATCCATTAGGCCTAAGCTTTCGTAGCGCTCCCGTGAACGATGTCTTCCATCTATAGATAAAAGAATGATATAGACTTGCAATAACAAATGAGACCACCGTTGCCATTGTCATGCTCCGAAGCAACAACAATAGACATTCTGTCCACTAGGTGCGTTCGACGTATGAAAAGATCATTACATTTTCCACGGGTCATCTTACTGGTTGAATATCAAAATAATTAGACATACAACCATCGAGCTGGTGGGTTTATCCATAATCGAACAGAAAAAACGCAAATCAAAGCTAAATTTGAAGAGAAAAGATTCTTCCCCATAGCAGAATAAGTTTCACAGGTATCAAAAGGTTTTTACGGGTAATCAATCGTTTATATAACCAGCTAACTGTTCGGCAAGGCTTGCACACATAAAGACGCGAAATTACAGTCTCTAGGATAAATTTGGGACCAAAATTCAAAAAAAGAAACAAATGCATTACAATACTCGCAACACGAGTAGTGTTTGTATTTGTATTTTCGAGATAAGGCCAACAAATCTTTCCTTTTAACATGCTGAGAAAATATTGATCTTCGCTCGCTAGAGAACGGGTCAATTTTAGACTATTTAAATAGTCTAGATGCTCCCTACCTCTATCACGGCGTCTTCGTTTGCGGCGGTGAGATGGGGATGAATGCCTGTGAGATCGCCTCCTACTGAAATCACAAGTTCATAATAAAAAACATACACAACAAACTATATGACATGATATACACATGAAGAAGGTGACCACGACGAAAATTGTAATTTTGCAACCAAACTTTCTCATCGTATCTTGTCGTAGCCGCTGTTGAAACTGAAAAGTGCACGTATTGTAGGAAAGAGTCCGCATTTGTCTGTGTTTCTGTTTTTAGATCTTGTCGCGGTCACCTTAACACCGTGTATAATACCTGCATTTTATCTATCTACCAACAGTGCCTATCATATATCCAAAGGAAAATAGAGAGGACGCGAATCTGGGGTGAATGTAAAAATTGTATCAAATTTTAAGCATCTGAAATACATTATCACAAAGCGACAATTTTTTAATTCTACAGAGAACTGAAAGATTTTGCCGAAACTAAAGTGTTCATTCATATCTACACGAAACAGACTAGAGTTTTGATTTCTCAATCTTAGGGCAAGCACACCCTCCGACGTTTCCTTTGGATATTTGTAACCCATCACCACAATGAAGTCTGGTCTATCACTTCTTTCTATAGTCATGCCTAATGCATATCACCAGACTTCAATGTGTAAACAATATACGTTTACCAGTTGCCGGGTCATTATACATGTATCTTCACCAGACGGCTCTCTTGGGTAGTGAGGGATCTTCACCAAGAGATCAAATAATCAATAGTTCATTCATGTCCTTTGCTACCTTTGCACTTTTAATTCTCGTGGCTGCATTAACCCGGCAAAGTTCTCAAACTGCACGGCACTCAATTTATCAGTTCGATAGGCATTAAGTTCGTAATATAAAAGCGTGAGGCAATCAATGAGCAGCAAGAGATAGGGTAAAGTTCAGTAAATCATTGGGGTAAAAGTTCATACGATTGAGCTAGAGCAATATTGATATCGCGCAAGTTATCGAATAGGCAGGTTGTAAACTTCAATCAACGATAAAAGCACGACATTATTGTTGAGAACTTCGACGATACAATCTCGTTGCTAACCAGTACAATCTTGATTACAAATCTTCGAAATTTTCTACCACCATTACATTCCCAGTACTAGTCGTCTTTCCAAGACCAGCCAATATACGCTATCCAACCAATCGCCAATCTTCAACTTACGCAAACACCGCACATTTTTAAGACTTTTATCGCGACACCACAGACTGAAAGGACGAATAGCCATTAGAGTAAGAAGCATTGCTCTGTAGATCATCTCTCAAGAGTGCCAAACGTACCATTCCTGTAAACAAACTCATCATCGACTGATGGACTGCCTTTCAGTATACCGGTTGGAACAAATAAACCGCAATATCTTTCCCTGGCTAAAAGTAGGTTAAAATTGTCTCAGCTCAAAGCTCAATAACCCATTCCCTATGGGACATTTAGAAAGACGCGCAAGAAAGCCTGTGGTGCAATGTCCACTTCGTAAATGTGATAGCATTTTCACGGAATATTAATAGTTCTTAGTTCATTCGTTCAAATGATGTCATGCCGTAAAAAAGGAGCGACCTAAATCGAGAACAATCAAAATACAAGATAAGCGGTGCATCTGCATACTCCTCCCGTATGCAAGGTATTCATCCATTACAATATATCATAAACCCAAGATTTGATCACCCTGCACAAGCTCCTTTGCCGTAATAGGAGCTCAAAAAACCTCTCGATATGACCCAGAATGATGCAAAATCTAACCTAGGTGACCCTTGATCCACTCTCTTGTGCTCCGTTTCACGATTTGATCGACGTTTACTTCCTAGATTCACGTTTTCATCATCAGGAAAAAGCTTGCACAACAACCTTCCAATATTTGGCTCCACTTCCTAAAATAGTAAAAAAAAAATACTGTAATCACACTATATCAACCTATGATTCACTCAGGGTAGTAGTGCATACCATCCACCAGACGTTTGCGTTTCTCGAATATTTTTGCAACGCGGTTAATTGCAATAGTAAAATCACACCCCATTTTGTCCAGAAGCATGCTTAAAATGGGTTTTTCTTCTTGGACTCAACTACGACACGAACAATATAGTATCAATTACCTGGCCATCTCGGCAGATTTTAACGTCTTTGTTATCATTATAGGGATTTCGTAGGTGTGAACATTTCGCGAAAGGCAAATCTTTCCTAATCAGATGTAAAAGAAGTCGAAGGTTAGAATTCAAAGGTGATGAAAAAGGTTTATCGGGTTAGAGAACCTTATACAGGAACGAAAGCAAAGCTAAGCATCTCTGTTAGCTCATGACAGCTGCTACCATTGGTATTCAAAGGTTTTGTTTTTTCAGGTTTATACAATAGCCAGGGTTGTGTCGTCTTTCCAAATCTTAATTTACCTGTTAAGCCACTCCACTTTAAAAACTCCACCTAGTGCCTTCGCGCTTAGTCCCGGAGGTAAAACCCACGGTACAGGGCGACCACCATATTCTGCTTCATCCAAAACCCGAGCAAAACCTTGAAACTTTCCACTTTCTTTGATTGAAAATATCAGTATAACGTTCTGGTATTTCTATAAAACAAATACATATAGACAACTGCTAAGTAATAAATTGTAAAAGTATATGATGCAGTCCTAAAATGCGAAATCATTGGCATTGCTACCTTGTAAAACAAAATAGTATTAAACGTTAGCATGCAGGTTACTATTGAATGTTGGTCGGAAGTCACTCCAATGTACCGGAGGAGCTGCCATTCAATTTATAGCCATGTACTGTGGTACTTAGGTAAATTAAGTGGCAATTTTTTTTTTGGTAATATCAAACTTCTTTAAAGCAATTTCAATAATTTGTACAATTTGTTTTCAGCAGTTGGAAATAACAAACAAGGTTCACTAAAAATGTACAATTTTTTTAATCAATTGATAAAATTATGAAGTGATACCTTAAGGGAAATGTTTATTCGCTTTTCATTTGCATACGGTGTGGACCAGACTCCCTGGAGAAAAAAATCATGTTTTAACTACACCATTGGCCTGGAATAATTGTTATATACATGTTTCATAAAATACAACAAACCTTCGCTTTGGATAATGAAACGTTTTCATGGTTGCTACTCTTCATGATAAAGAAGCGTGCATCCAGCAAAAACTCATCAATATTTGGCTTTTCTACTTTATCAACATTACTTTTGACAGGGGTACCACTTCCTAAAAATAATGGTCAGCTTTTTCATGTTTCTGTGGTGTTTATGGCACTAAAAAATTCATTTATGCATTTCATCACCTAATATATATTTCCTAAGGTGGAAGGGTAGTTTGAATGCAGTTCGACGGTAACACGATGTTTTTTGTTAAAACATTTTTACTCGTAAAAGTTGCTATCAAGCTTCTCGTATTAAGCTAATACTTTCTGTCAGAAAACTAAAAAAAACTAAAACTAAAAAAACTAAACTACTAAAAAAAAACTAAAAGTAAAATTAACTCACCTTCAGAGCCAGAGGAATCACTTTCACTCGCAGACGAATCTTTATCATATACTATTGGTGATATTGATTTGTGACGTCTTTTTCTCGCGGGCTTCTCGCCTTCATTTGATTCATTTTCAGAACCTTAACAATCCCGAATCCATGAGTAACATTACATATGTACTTGACCATAACGAAGGAGATAGTGACTGGGTGTAAATCAAGTTGAGGTTTTTGAAGGTTAGACACAAGAAAAGAGGCTATTTCCTTCGTTGTGTTATGCTTTATATGGGGTTCTTGTCATCCTTACAATTATTTATGCATGAGGTTCGCTATTAATTATTTTGTTTGTGGTAAATATAAGTAATGTTTTCCTAGATCCTGTCTCACAGCTTTCCAAAGAAGCAATAGCATATTTTGGCAATTTCAAGGGACCTTTGATAAGTTTTTAAATCTTACCCGACTTATTAGAAGAATATGAGGACCTTGATCGCGAACGAGACCTTGACGCGCGTTTTGAAAGGCTAGCACTTGGACTATTATCTACGTCATCTACAACAGTCATTTGGTTGTCTGACTCTTCTTGCTTAGCATCCATTTTAGTTTCATCACCATCTTCAAGTGTTTCATCTATATATAATATTTGTCATAATTTAACAGGGCCTTTTAATCAATAGCAATTATATATTACTTAGTCAAAACACAGGACTGACACATTTTCATTTTTCAGACCTATGTCTGTGAAATGTATTAAATGACAAACATTTAACATATTCACCTGTCATTTCAACATCAGGTTTTGATTCCGATTCCTCAACAACAGTTTTTTCAACATCTTTCATTTCAGCAGAGAGTTCTTTCTTAGCTTGTTCCTAAATATTTCAATTATTTTTATGTCTCTGACTATTTTCTAACAATAGCAGCGCTGCACGGACACATTGAGAAAACTTTAGACAAATATTGTTCATTTGGTTTAAGGCATTGGAATAATAGGGACACAGGGAAAAACACAAGTTAAGGCTTAGCAAATATGTAGCCTTTCCAGTCATATAGTAACTACATATAGTAATACCTAGATCAATACCAATACCTTTGGTTTATCATCAGGTTCTTCCATTTTAATAGTTGATTTCTTTGCAACAACAACTGTCTTTGCTTTCTTAACAGGCTTCTTTTCTTCTTGTTTTGGCTTTTTTGCTTTAACTGCAACAACTTTAGATGAAGCTGGTCTTTTCTTTGCTGTGGTTTTCTCAGTTATGACAGTGGTTGTCTTTTCATCTGTTTTCGCTTTAGTATCTGAAACAACTATTTCTTCTGCCTTACCTGCTTCTGCACCTTCAATAGTTTTTTTCTCTGGTACATTTCCTTGAGTCTTCTCTTCTGACTTTACTACTTTGTTTGCAGCAACATTCTTTGACTTTGTAAATTTTCCTATTGTTGCAGCAGCCTTTTTGACAACTTTCTTGAGGACTTTCTTCTTTTCAGTGGTTGGTTTTGCATTGGATTTTTCTGCAGTTCTAGGCTCACCGTCCTCTGTGACCGGATGAGGTATCTCAGTAGCAGTTGTCTTTTTCTCATCTGTAGAAATATCCCCTGATTTACCTTTAGCAACAGCTTTGGTTACTTTTAAAGCAGCACCAACTTTAGCTTTTATGCCACCTTTCGGCTTTTGAGACAATTTACTTGCTTCTTTAGGTTTGACCTCAGCTTTCACCTTTGCAGGGCTTGAAACAACTTTCTCTTTTGCAGCAGTTCCAGGTTCTTGATTCCCTCCTTTAATAGTGGCTGTTTTAGTAACTTTTTTAGACTTTTCTGAGCCAGAACTACTGGCACTTGGCGAAGCTTTAACTTTAGCCTGAATTTTAGTTTTGGGGGTTGTCACTTTCGACTTTTTGGAGGCAGGCGCTTTTGGTTTTGTCCTGCTCTCACCAGGACTTGTTTTACCTTCACTGTTGGGTTTACTCTTTGAGACTTCATGGGCTTTAACTTCACCGACTGTTTTTTGGGACTTTGTTGAGATTTTAGACTGCTCGGGAAAGTTAGGAGCCTCTGGTGTTACAGGTGCTATTAAATTTTGAAAGTAGATATTCATTTTTTAATTGTAACTGATCAGTCTATTCAGTAATATCTAATACAACTTCTTTCCTTACTTGTAGGTTTTGTAGCTTTATCTAATTCTGCTGCAAATTCATCATGGGCAGGTTCACCTAATATATCATCAAGCACATTAACAACATTTTCACCACCTAGAAATCAAACAAATAATTATTAATCCCATTACAGACAGTAAGTTCGAGTATGTTCCAATCAAACATGATAAAAAAACTTTAATAGAGTTTAACCTAAGGAATTTGGTCAATTTAGGTAGTTGTTATGCCACCTTTAATGCTAATCATCAGGAATACAATACTAGTTGAAAATTCATGGATAAGTAAGTATATAGTGTTCATAGTAAAATGACGGGAAAATATAAATTACAAGACAGCTATTGGAATCAGCATCATAAATAGTGACTGATCTAAAATAACTGATCAGGACATAATGAACTAGGTTAATATGTGCCTGTTAATTCTTTCTAGCCTAAGGGCTGTTTACATGATCCAGCTTAATTAAGTTTCCTGAGATTAATAAATGCAGTGTAAAATGATTTTAGATACTGAAATAATCCTTTATGAAACTAGGTGAACTCCTAGTTGCAAACTATTGTTGAAATGACACTAGATCATGCACATGACTTCCTTTACTACCTCAGACACAGTCATTTTACAAATGATTAGATCTCAGGTGGGTAAGCAAGATCATGTAAACAGCTCTAACTACTCCATACTTTTATTATTTTTTTGACTATCAATTTCTTCATTGGCATCATTGCATTAATATTTAGTTAGGATTAGGGCTAGGTTTAATGAAATGCCCAAAAATAGGTAAATGAATTTCTCCTATGCTTTGCCAGCTTTGGCAATTAAAGCACTCGAAGTCTCCTTCACATATTTAGTCCGTATAAACACATGTCACAAGAAGGCTTGCTGAAAGTTTTAAAGATCTTTGGTCACTGTTTGCTACAGAACTTTGAAGTAACTCTTTAAAGGCAATGATTCAAGGCAAATTTTCCAACCATGATTTTAATATATGGACGCAGGTGAACGCGACAAGACATGACAGTGATGACACATATGCATAGAGCATTAAAATTAGTTAAAGAATCGAACACTTGTATGAGAAGATTTTGTACTCAAAAAGCAGGTAAAACAGCAATATAAGTATGGTTTAACCGCACAGTAGACAGGAGAAATTCGAAATTTAAAGCAAATACGAAACACAAAATTCAAAGCTTGAATAGGATTAAAATATCGAGATATACAAAATACTTACTCATCTCATGTTCCTCGACATCGGGGGATGAAATCTCTCCTTCTTCAGTCATTATCTCTATTCCTTTTGATTAGATAGACTACACAAATGAACAGAAACTTTACGACTGACTTATTATCGGAAGACAAAATATCAACACGAAAGGATTAGCAATTCTCTCTATACTTTCAGTGAAAACTAAAAACATTCGAAAACATAGCGAGGATAACGACCGCATGGCCTGTTGGATTATCTGTCCCATCATTCCATGCTTCTAATAAAGGTGGCTCCGCCGTGGCTTCAACGCATGCGTAGGTTTAAAATCAAAGAGTAGGGGAAAAAACAGAGAAAATTTTAGTCGTTTCTTACACTTTGAGTTTATTGCTCAAATATTAGAAATGCCTTAAAAACTGCGGTCAGGCTCATCACTGAATCCATAGACAATCCAGAAGACATCTTCTGGATTGTCTATGGATTCATATGTCTTCTGGATTGTCTATGCTGAGTCATACCGCTAGCAGGCATAGACGAACGGTCCAGAAAATGTGGGTGGGCAGGCGACAGATTTCAGAAAAAAATTACCTGACTCATGAGTTCAAGTTTCCCGACTTATCACTCATTTCGGCAAAAACTACCCTAATTTTGAAGGAACTGTTACTAAAATTGTCCAACTCTTCTAGACTACTGATGTTTATGCGGCCTGCGGGTGCAGTTCGTTATGCCAGACCGGAAATTCTAGTTTAACTATACAAAACATTATTTCAAAGTATCGAAAAACAAACGTCTTAGTGACTTAGTCAGTTGGCAAAAGAGTGGGCAAGTGCTTGCTAGTCGAGTGTTATTTACCTAAACGATATAGAAAGAGAAAATATTTAAAGACAATCAGAGTTAAAGAGACGGAAAATAATTTAAGTCAATTAGAGTTAACTATAATCAGTTTGTATTTAGCCATTCTTATGGTAATTTCTTTAAAAAAAGTTAATTGCTACCGCCTGCGTAAACTTCAAAAGGTACTTTTCTGTAAAGGTTTCAACGTTCCTATCAATATATAGTGCTATATGGTATTAGTGATAATCGCAATATATTACAAATATATATCCTTCTATAGGTTCAACTGTCGTCACAATTGTTCAACATGCTGGTGGTGCAAGGAATTCGTGAGAAGGGGGTTTAGCATTCCCTCTGCCCACGGCCATGTACTCGTTACTCTTTGACTTGATTTTATTGATGTTAGTCCGGAAATATTATTGCTCAGAGATGAGAGAAACCTTAAAAACTGCGATCAGGCTCATCTTCGGCATACTTTTTTACTTGATTTTAAGTTGCTCAGGTCCTGGCCGCGCCCCATTTTATGCGTCACCACATGCATGCCTAACATACCTAAGCCACACCACCACACTGAAAATCATACAACGCTCGCTATAGTTGCTTGTAATAAGAGAAAAATCGAATTGACTGATAATTCGCAAGCATGGCGTCAAAATTCAATTTCAAAGCATTTCGAAACATCCTATCAACAAACCGTCTCATTGTATACGTAATGATCGCGGTAGCTCTGGGATTTTCTGTCGGAATATTGGTGAACAAAAAAGTTCAAAACTCTACCAATCCCTCACCGACAGAATTAGCCATGTTCATCTCTTTCCCTGGCGAGATGTTTTTACAGATGCTACAACTTTCGGTTCTGCCTCTTGTCGTCTCAAGTGTGATAGTCTCACTCGCAGTTTTAGACAAGAAAACTGCAGCAAAACTTGGCACACGTTTTGCGTGTTACTCCATCGTAACCACTCTTCTCGCGGTTATCATTGGAGTTGTTTTTGCTGTGTTCATGATTGAAACAAAAGACAAGGAATTTCGGGGTGAAAAGAAAAGTTCAAGAAGCTTAGATGCTGTACATTCTATTTTAGACTTAATCAGGTAGGTGGTCGCATTCTGATAAAACAGGGTCTTATACATGATTGCACTTGACAATGTTATTAAATGACAACGATATTGAATAGTAAAGTAGTAGGATTACATGATTTTCCCCGAAAGTACCAGCTACAAATCTTACAAACGAATTAAAGATTTAACGACGACTCTTTGCTGTTGACTTTGGAATCCTCCAGCGTGGGCGCGTCTGTATGCCTGATGCCTAGGAGTACATTAATTCAGCTATTATAATGTACTGTCCTCTGGAAAGCTACGTATTCTTTAGCAAAAATACATATATGAACTCAAAAAATGACTCCTTTCGGCTGTACAAAAGTTTAAAATGAGTTGTATACAAATTTACCAACCTGTACAGATTGGAGCGATTTAAATATTTCTGATATAAGTATAATTTGGCGTTTAACTCCCGATTCACCAAAAAGTTTTACCTTCAGGCCGTGCACCCACTCTCAGTTTAATTTTTCATAGGTAAAGTTCGAATTCCTTTTAGTTTACTCCAGAACGTTTATTATGCGGCTCATACACAATAAGGTTTACACTGAACATGCTAAATGACTGATTACCGCTAATCTTAAGCCTGTTTTTCAGACGTCGAACTTTTCATGCGCCGAACCTAATGCAAATGAACTAAAGTCTTTGTTTAAGTTCATTTGCATTCGGAACATGAAAAGTTTGACGCGGTCTGAAACGGGCGTTAATGTTTGTCATTGACGAGAAACCGACATTGTCCAAATAGAATTTTATTAAATTGTTGTAGATGTCATCGTTGTTGTTGTATTGATATATAGGGCCTATATAGTTATATATATTTATATATTAGCTCATTTTTAACCGCAAAATATGTATTGTATATAATTTCAATATGCTTTCTTTCAGGAATCTCATCCCTGAAAACATAGTTGAGGCAAGTTTCCTTTCGGTAAGTTTATGTGTGGGATTGTGCTGTGGTGGTCGTTACTATAGTTACGCTGGCAAATACGCAAATTGCATACTTGCCACCCTATGGTGATGCGAAATTAGTAGCAATTCCATGTTTGCTAATTACCATTCATCCATACATGGTGGTTTTTAATATAAAAAACATTGGGAGAAAATATCGCCGTAAATATTATTGTCAGAAAAATTTGTTTAAATAATACAAAGAAATCAAAGACCCGCTTATAACAATGTCTGGCTTATTTCTTCGGTAATTTACGATTTTTGACGACCTCTGTATAATATGTTGCTCAAAGATTTGGCCATGCTTTTTATCAACAAGTTTTTACGGCAGAACAATCTCTTAGCTACAATATTTTGATTAGGATAGTTCAATCGGACAATTCAAATGTTAGTACCAAATTCCCCACGCAATGCCGAAATTAGATAAGGACTCCCGGAAAATGGAATATTGCGCAAATGACTTATATTAGTGAACATACGTCAAACGCAACCGATCATGCCGTATGGAATTTTAACTTAGTGATGTGAATTCTTCAGCAATTTCTATAATACATCGATCTTTACCCCAGTCAGACCCCCGCGCAGGTGTTTCAAAACCGGTGGCCAGGAAGCACGATAATTTTTTTTTTCGGGGAGGGGGGCACATAGATATCATAGACAATCAATTTGAAGAGAAATTTATCATGCACAAGATGAATATTTGAATTTGTGCCCTCCCCCCCCCTTAGTTGCGCTTCCTACGCCACTGTTCACAACCGACCAAATGGCTAGCTCTCTTTACTCAGATCCGTCAAAATTTACGAGCATATTCTGCTTTTCCAGACTCTTTTTAGTATATCATTCAATCCCTTGTTGCCTAAGAATATCCAAAAACATTTAACCTAATAAACCATATGTATACGTGAATATATGAGGGCGAAGACTGAAACCCATGGTGAATCAACAGATCTTTTCTATTTCATACAAAACAATCCAGTAAGATGTAGTTTTCTTTATGGTATAGGTTGCGACAAAGTACAAAGAGAAAGTGAAATCTTTAAAATTCGTCAACTATTCTTCTAGCGACATCTGGTCAGCGCGGAATATTTCGGAGGTTTTCAGAAACCAAATAATAAATCCATGGACTATGTCACAAAATATTGTACAGGTAGTTCAAAAAGACGATGTGGTGTACGATTTTGATGGGCTAGAAAAGTATAATTCTGCAAATTTTGTCGGTGTTCTTGTCATCTCGGTTTTATTTGGATCAATTCTGGGCATATTAGGAGAGGAAGGGAAACCTATTGTCCAGTTGGCGACCTGTCTTTTTAAAGTGATGATGAAAATGGTGGACCTATTCATATGGTAAGCTATTTTTATGCCGGCTTTCATCTTTATTATCTTACATGTGTTGTGCAATATATTGTATATGATCAGGATCAAGCCTGATTCTCATGGGTTAGCGACAGTCGGCGATGGATCATGGATGTTGTTGTTGACCACAGGAAAATTAAGTGCTTTGTTATCTTTTCGTCGCCAAAAATAAATCGCCGACTATCAGCGATTAATTAAGGTTTTAAATGAGCGATAGTGTGATGAAGAATATTCCACTTCCAAAATAGGTTTACACCCATTGGAATCCTGAGCATCATCGCAGGAAATGTCGCAGGGATGAAAGACGTTAAAAGTAGTTTGGAAGGTCTTGCCATGTACATAATAACAATGTTGGTTTGTTGTCTTGTACACGGACTGGTTATTCTACCAATGACGTACTTCGTGTTATTAAGGAGAAATCCATTTCGACTTCTCGCTAGAGTGATTCAAGCGTTGTTGACTGCTTTTGGAACGGCATCCAGGTTGGTCAGATTGCAGCTAGTTCATGCTAGTGCATGATTAATTCATATTTTGATTTTATCTACAAATGTTGTCTAACTCCAAGAAACGTTCTTGACCATGCAGCTCTTCAACTATACCTATAACCTTGTCGTGCCTGGAAACGAAGCATAAAGTTGATAGCCGTATTTCTCAATTCATAATCCCGGTTGGAACAACTATAAATAAAGACGGATCCGCGATATACAATGCTGTGAGTGCAATTTATATCGCCCAAACTCAACATGGCCTTACAATAAGCATTGGTCTTGCAGTTATAATATGGTAAGATTACTCAGTTATAGTTTGTATGAAATTAGGAATTTGCGCGTGCGGGAAAATTATAGCATTATAAGCTAGTTAAAAAAGCTATGGTGATTGGACTAAGGTCTGCCAAAAGGAAGTCAGACAAATTCTTTTTAAATTCTTGCATAACATAAATTTCCATCCCTGATGAACTAGGAGTTTTACCTTTTTCGGTAATTGTAAACGAGCTACTTAATAAGTAGAAAAGCAGTGAAAAAATGAAGTCATAGTTAGGAAGACCTCATGGAGAAATAATGCAGTAAACCACGCCTATGCAAATAAAAGGTAAAAAGTCTTTCTTCTTTATATAAAAAATTTATTTCTATACATTATATAATGATTTACAAATATATACAGCCTAGTCTAAATATCAGGTTCTTTCCTATTGGAATGTCAATATTTTTAAGCATTCCTAATCATGTCCTCTTTCTGAATGACCAAGACAGCAGCAGAATAAATCACGAAGTCTTTGACGAAATTTTCTTTTCCCCTTTTTATCTGCTTTAACACTCTTGTTCTTAGTCTTAGTTTTCTTATCTGCCACCTCACTCGTGCTGGCATTCTCTTTTTCTTTTTTGCAGGTAACATATTTCCTGTTTTTCTTTGTCATAAAACCACTGCTACTTGTTACAACAAGTTCCTCTGCAAAAGAGTTGAAGCGAAATACATCAGGTCGCATACAGCGTAAAACTTTATTTCATATACGGACACATCCCTTAAGCTCAAAGCCCGTCCCTAACCTATGGCGGGGATTCAATTGGACGCACCCAAAATTTCAGTTGACCAAACTTTTAAACTTACCAAAATGGTCTTCATGATCTTCGATTTGACATTTCTCAGACCTTCCTGGGGTTGGTGATTTCATGACATTTCCAGAAACGACAACGTTATGCCTGTCTTTGTAATAATCGTCATCATCATCGTTTTGGTTTGATATGAAAACTTTTGCATATACGTGAGGAACGACTGGAGACCTTTCACCGTCGGTTAATTCACTCTATATAGGAAAACGAACGTCATTGTTAATTATTGTCAGTATTCTGTTTCAAACCTTTCCTCTACGGCGTCGGGTGCCGCAACCACAAAGTGTAAAGTTTATGTCTTTTTCTTTCGATTGATGTTATCATGTGGATGACCATACCTAAGCGGTTAAGGGGATCCAGTGCGGTTTGTTGGTTAACAGGAAAACAATAAAGAATAGACATTATTTTATTACCTCGTCGCCAGTATTTCCTGTATCTTGAATACTGTTCATTTCAGGAATTATAACATCTGAATTACGAGAGATTGTCTTCTCACTGACCACTGGATCAGTAGTAAATTCCTGCTTCAATGGCAAAGCACTTTCGAAGTCAGACTGAGGCTTCTCGAGATATGAAGGCGCGGCGGCACTCAACACCTGGGTGGTGTCAGCCTCAGCAGCCGGTACGTCGCAAACGTTTATCTCTTCCACACTGAGCCAGGTCTGACTACAGGATTGAACACAGTCATTGCCACTGAGGTCATCGACGGATTCTTTCTCGCCGGTAATTTTCGTTTCACTTTCAACCGTCGGTAATTCAGTTTGTCCTCCCTCACGGCAAAGTGCAACGATAAGTTCAGGAGTGGTCAGCAACGAAAGTTGGTGATCAGTTTCATTGTCCAGCTCTCCAGCATCAGGACATTCGCTTTCTGCTTTAATAAATTGATCGTCACAACTTTCATTACGGAAGCCAGGAAGAGGTTCATCATGGAGACTTTTATCCACGCTTTCTTCGTCAAGAGATTTCGTTTCATTTTCTCCCTTGTCATTCTCACGAGGTTCTTCGGAACCTTTTTCAAAATAAATAAAAAATATATATATTTTAACATACGACGCAATATGTCAAACGTTAGCGCGCGCAAATAGCGAATGAAATTGATGGCGTGAAAGTTAACGGTTAACGTCAGCGAGCGCGAGTCAATGGCGCGGGTTCACTGGCGCGCGCAAAATGGCGAATTGATTGGGTAGTTGCTAGGCAATTAATTATTGCTAGGCAACTACTTTGGCTGCCTAGCAACTAATTACATAAAAAAATTATTTAAATGAATTTGCGTAAAATATACGCCGCTAATCATCGCAAATAAGCAAATTAAATTATTAAAATATTTAGAAATTAACTCTTACCTTCTCCCTGGTCTCTCTTCGCACTTTCTTGAAGTTTGTTCTTGTTCATTTCCTCTTCGATCAAGATTTTCTTAGCATTGTTGACCAAAGCGAAGACGTAGTTTTGTATTTGTAGAAATTCTAGAAGCGGTGGCTGGTACTTTCTTCCAGAGTATTTATCCAACCGATATCGATTTTGATTACTCGCCATTTTAAAAGAATTTTTCACTCGTAAAAAGTAGTGTTTTCACTTGCGCAGTCAATCAATTATGACAAAGCTAATTATTGCGTCAAATCTTTTTACGCCATCGCGTCCGCAAAGCATTGTGGTAATCAATTATCGCACTGACCGTAATTACACTGTAGATATAATAAACAAGTTTTTAATACTAATCGCGCAAAGCAGTTGGTCAAGTTTATGGCACTAAAGAATGCGAGACCGTTGACTCCCTCATATAATTCCTAGGGAGTATCCGCGATATTTTTTAACTATTCAACATTGCTAAACAGCATTTCTTAAGATCTAATTTGAAATCAATTTTCTTCAGTTAACTAAATCCAACTTGAATTTTCGTATTTGCAACAATCTGGTAGTATGTATATGCTAGATGCAAAATTACTGACCCAAATGTTTGAGACAAAACTCAGCAATTCACCCAATGCAAAATTTTCTAATCCCCTTGCAGTTCCAAGATCTTTTTTAAATGCATCAGGAAAAGTAGTTCCTAAAATATAATACATGTGATTACATTCACCTAGTCCAAAATGATAGTAGAATGCAGGATCATGTTGTTATGCTATAAGATCTCACAATGAACCTATAAGATCTTACCATGATCCAACAGGGCAACATTACTATGATGCTATAACCTATGATCCAACTTACTACAATCCTATAGCATCTTATCACAATGCTACAAAATCTTAGTTGCATCTGTAATCAGATATCTCGACATTTAGTTAAAGATCTTACCATGATCCTAAATATCTTAGCAAGATCCAGTAAGATCTCATCCTGATGTTAAAGATCTTATCATGATCCTAAATATCTTAGCAAGATCCTGTAAGATCTCATCCTGATGTTAAAGATCTTATCATAATCCTAAATATCTTAGCAAGATCCTGTAAGAACTCATCCTGATGTTAAAGATCTTATCATGATCCTAAATATCTTAGCAAGATCCTGTAAGATCTCATCCTGCATGATGTTAAAGATCTTCCCATGATCCTAAATATCTTAGCAAGATCCTGTAAGATCTCATCATGAGGTTAAAGATCTTACCATGATCCTAAATATCTTAGCAAGATCCTGTAAGACCTCGTCCTGGTGTTAAAGATCTTACCATGATCCTAAATATCTTAGCAAGATCCTGCAAGATCTTACAACACATGATCCTTTCACAGTTACCTGGTAAATCATGCTTTTCTGTTGCCACAGGAATTGACAAATGCCAGGAAGGCTTCAGTTGTCAATCTCATGATTACAGAAAATAAAGAATATTTCATGAACAATCTATAATGATCCTGTGATATTTTACAAAAGCATTATCAACCATTCCCCTATAAAACGTGAATAGGACTAAACAAATAAAGAAACCCGTCAGGAAATAGGGGCAATATACATTCAACAATTCTCTTATAAAATAGAAATATCTTCCAATTCACTATATCAAATTGGAACCTTTAAATAAGGGCTGTGCTGCAATGTCTGCTTAGATCAGGGTCCTGAACTACTAAACAAACATATCTTTCCATTCTCCTACTGATCAACCTATAGCTGGCGACCTATAGATCTATAGATCAACCTAAAGCTGCGACATAAAGATTATCGAATTCTTATTGATGCCTCAGTAAGATGAGGCATGTAACAAATTTGACATAAAAATGTTGATCTTCATCAGTTGTTTTAATTTTTACGTTTGATTTCAGTTTAGCATCAGCTGTTGGATCTGTAGTAGCAGCGCCAATCCCAGGTTCAGCACCTATAGTGTCAAAAACTATAGTGTTACAAGCTATTGGTGTCCGTTCTGCAGACATTTCTTTACTTCTTGCTGTTGATTGGCTAATGTAAGTATCATTCTTCTGTTATATCTTCTGTGATGAAATTAGTATGAAATAATGAGTTTTAGATTTCTTTAAATCTAACTCTTAAGTTACAGGAATCATAGAATCCACAGCGAGTTACGTGGTACTTTATACACTAGTGAACATACACCACACAATTAATGTACATTTCACAATAACCTTGTATCCGCAGTTGTTACATTGTTACAATTACATTGATCTGTATCAATGTTTTTCCAAGTACTATGTACCATATTTTCTGCAAATACCATTAAATGCTCTAAAGATGTTGTAAAGGAAATTCACTACTAGCTAATCGCTAGCTAGCTTATAGTTGTTTTTGGACTAAGAGTTACATAGATGATATGCTGGCCTCTGATATTTGCCGGTTTTCAAGACATTTAGTCTTACTGAATTGTATATCTGAATATTTTAGATCACGGATTTCGACACCTCTCAATGTATGGGCAAATTGTGTAGCGAGTGTAATCATCGAGTATGTTTCGCGCCATGATCTTTCTGATTTAGAAAACAATCCCAGCGATAGCGATTTCAAGGGAATAAATAATGATGGAATGGAAACTCCAGAGACTGGTGAAATAACTGTAGAGAATGATAATATAGTATAGTTTAGCTTACCCTGCTAATTTTCCCATGAGTTTTAATAATAATTAATTTGTAATTAATTTTGTGTTGTTTGATAGAAATTACAAAACTGAAAGCCTTCAGCTTTAAAAGGAGTTTGAAAAACTTCAGTGCAAAGATCCTTAAAGGATAGCATAAGATTGATATAAAGAAGTAAAGAAAAGAGTTTTTCAACATGGCCAGAATGGCCAGAAATTTGATACAGTCAGCGGTTGTTGTAATAGCATGCGGGCGCGCAGAGAATGACGTACCCTGCGAATTCAAGATGACTCCTAAGCCTTTAATTTGGCCACAAATTTGGCTTAAGAAAGAAGTAACTTGCCAATTTGATATCACTCTTAATCTCTTATACACATTGCAAAACAAGAAATAAAATGTTAAATGTCATACTTGTTTAGCCGTTCAGCCTTCCAAATATGGCAGAAATCACTGTTTATTATCGTACGCCGGTTTCAATAACATTTGGAACTGGTTTGCTCAAGTTTGAACACTGTTCTACAAACTGACACTGGTGGAAAACATTATACAAATTTGGTGATAGAATATCAAAGACAGATGGACAGGTAAGTCGAATTTTTATTATATATTTCTCGCGGTGTAACTGTGTGAATAAGTCTCATTAAATGTGCGCCTTTGTGCCTCACGCCATGTTGTATCTGATTTCTTGCGCCGGTTGTACGAAAGCTGTTCACCGGATAATGGTTTTCAATCACTTCAAAATAAGTTGCCCGTTCTTCGACATAACCTGGCTTAAACCTATATTATTGCTAAATTGAGGATTCGCGTTAACAGTTCAGTTTTATCGCTTTTCATGCATTTTTACAATGGTTCAAAAAATTGCTATCCATTCCGGTACTGACACCCCCTTCCCCCTCATGAATTATCAATTTGTTGGGAGCCCATTATCATAGGCAGCCCAATGGCAAATGCACTAAACATTTTCATGCTAAGCCTATATATAATATACTCAAATCATGCTACTTGTAACGGGCGACTTTCGTGTTTGACAATGAGCGAGTTTGGGAAATACAACGGCTACGACAACGGCAACGGCAGAAAAATATTCACTTGATATTGTGGTATTCAAGTAAAAGTACGCGTTACTATACACTTGATTTGCTTCTTCAAGTTTCTCCCTTTTCTTAAACAGTTATTCACTATGATAAATATGGTCGATCAGCAACATTCCTTCAAACACTCCAAATAACGTCGAACACTGTTGCTGTGTGGTCATGCACCGTCAAATTATGAAAATCACCATGCAGTTTTGCCAATTACGTCAACGTGCAACGTTAAAGGCAACGTAATTAACATTTTCGTTTGTCTTTAAGGATCAATGCCATTGTTTCTGAGCACGCTGCGGTTGGCGTTCTCGTTGTATTTCCCACACTCACTAATTTCAGGCAACGGAGGTGATATAGTCTTTTCTTTTATATAATATAATATATCCCAAGGTAGGCAACTTTAATCACAATATCGACATGTACCTGGTGACTACCTACACGTTCAAACAATTCGAAAATACGTCAAATATCCCTAAAACTATATAAGCTAATATGAAAAAGCGCAAATGAAGTCAACGCGCTGTTGGCTTTTGACTGACGAAAGTGTTTCAGTTTGTTCTGGTTGTTGTGTCAGGCAATATTAATTATTTCTTTTTCTGGTATTTCCTTTCCTAAACTTTCTTCTGCTACAACGTCAAATCCGTCAATCGCTACACTGTTTATTTCCCCAGTAACCACAGAAATAGTATCATCTTTATCATCAGTTTGGCTGACATCATCTGTTATTTGAAGTTCATCACGTGAAATATGTTCAACGACAGCACAGGCAATACAAGTTGCCCAGACATTGATAGGAGTTGTTAGACGATCCCTGAAAGAGGAAGCGAGAATAATTTAACCTGACTTTAAATACGCCACGCTTTTTTTGGGGGGGGGGGGTGGCGGCTCATTCAAGGGGTGCCATACGATATCTTGGAGGCATACTGGAGATTTAGGGAAGATTCGAGAGGTTTGTTTCTTTGGGGCTTGTTTCACCACGACTAACCCCCCCTAGCCCCCCTGGCTACGCCCCGTATGACAAGCATCAAACAATAGCTATATTTTGAAGTCAGTTTTCATCGGGTTTTTATATGCATACACGTATCGACTGGTATCGAAACGAAAGGGTGAGATTTAATTCCCTATTTTCGCTCCTAGAATTTCAAGTATTATTTAACAAAAGTGACTGTGTGAAGTAAGCGCGAAGCATGAAAACGATGTTGACCAAGGTGCTAAGGAATTCATATATCCATATTACGCCAAAGCCAAAATTAAGACATAACAGTTACTCACATTAGCCAATCGACAGCAAGTATTAACGCAATGTCTGCTGATGTAATGCCGATCACTTGTAACACTATTGTTCTCGTAACTATTGGTATTGAGCCAGCAATAGGAGCTGCTGCCACTGACGCTAATGTTGCTGCTATGCTGTAAATGCAAATAACATCGTTCAAGTTAGCGTTTTTTGCTATATAGATTATGCATTAAGAAAAATTATTAATTGAGATTGACAACCGTATAGAGTATTAATTTGTCATTAATTCCGAGATTTTGCTACCCACCATATTAAGACGGAAGAACCAAAATTGTAGCTATCTCCATGGTAAATTTTCACAATATATATTGCTGCTACCGCGATGTATATTGCAGTGCCGTCAGCGTTTACTGTCGTTCCAATTGGAAGAACAAATTGAGTTACACGGGGATTAAGCTTGTGGTTCTTTTCAAGGCAATCCAATGTAAGAGGGATTGTCGCAGAGCTAAAACAAAAATTCAGTGGCAATGTAATTTTCACTGAGACGTGCAAGATGAAAAGCAAAAGCCACAACTAGAAAAGTTACAAAGAGGCAAAAACAACTCTTACCTTGATGCTGTTCCAAGAGCAGTCAATAACGCTTTACCAACATCTTTCAGCAAAACAAATGGATTTCGTCTTAACAATACAAAGTATATAACTGGTAGGACAACCAACGCGTGGATCAAGGATATTATAACTACCATTGAAATATAGAGACCAAGACTGGAAACATTTTCCTTCATGTCTTTCATGGCTGCTAATTCACCAGCAACGATACAACCAATGCCAATCGGTGAAAACCTTTATTTGCAATGGTACAAAAAATCATTACATGCACGGTTCTGGACTAGAGAACATCATGTGCAACAACAGTCCAGCGTTTTCACAATTGAAGGAAATTTCCTTCAAAATGACAGCTATAAGGGGGGGGGGAGGGATTAGTATTAATAGGATATATTATGCATTCTTTAAAAAAGTTATTTATTTCTCTCTTTTGTCATTAAGAGGCAAATTATTTGTGGAAACCCTGAACTGTTGTAGTAATAGATAATCAGGATTTAATAGCTCTTGAAATTTTTATATACCATAAGTAGCCCAACAATCAGGTTTTTGATGAAACAAGACACTCTTGCCAATCTCAATATATTTTGACCGCGCGCTGCATTACGTACGTCACTCGGGTCACGCATATAGTATATAATTACTGATAATATAGATAATCATTTACTACATACGTGACCCGAGTGACGTACGTATTGCAGCGCGTGGTCAAAATATATTGAGACTAGCAAGAGTGTCTTGTTTCATCAAAAACCTGATTGTTGGGCTACCTATGTATACACAGGTAGTAATGTACCTACCACATAAATAGATCCAGAAGTTTCAGGATGAGTTTAAATAAACAGTTTAACCAGTTAACCAACGGTTTTCCTTCTTCTCCGAGGTTGTGCAGGATTATGCCACAAACAACGGAGAATGTAAGAATACCCAAAAGATTCGCGGAGTTGTATTTCTCTTGGCCATCGTATTCTGAGATTACGTTTTCTTCTTTAATTACTTGGACATTGTCATTGCCTGATATACTCCAAGGGTTCACAACCTCGTTCTTCAGGAACGAGGATAAATTTTTTGCTGATGATTTTAGATTTTCAGCTGTTTCATTCTTAAACTTGTACTCCTTCGCCGTTTTTTTAAATTTTGTCACCGTCTAGAAAACATAAAACACAGTAAATTATATCCTTATATTTATTATATCCAAAGTATATCCATTATACTTCGGAGCAGTTTATTGCATGCAAATTACGGACCTAAGTGGTCGGTTTGAAATATCCTAAGTACCTACACTTATATAACAAGGGAGCAGCGTGGCATGCAGCGTCTTCGAATAACTTTCGTCCAAAACAAAGTGTTTTTATCTATTTTAGACAGTTGTTTTACCACATTTGATGCTATATACTTACTTATATATAAAATATTGACTAGTCAGTATATGCAATAATCTAAGTGAAGTATATCAGTTTAACTTATGAAATAATAACATGCATGCAATCTTTGTACTTAAGGAATGTAGCTACATTAAGGAATGTACACGCGTATACTGGAGCCACATACCGATGAGAAGCTTGCTTCCACAATGTTATCAGGAACCATGTTTCTAAATAAGACGAATAAGCCTTAATTAATACTTACTTTGTCCTAATATAATAATCGATTGAACGAAAATATAGACCTAGTATAGTTATCATAGCTATAGTATCATTATTTATGAGGAATAAATTATACATTAAGCGTATATGTATATTATACATATGATATATCGCAGATAAATTTTGTAATAAGCTTGCAGTATTTAACATTAGATTTACCTTAACATATCCAAAATGGCATGGGCGGCAATGGATCCCTTAGAACTACTCTCATTGTGTACATGATCTTCCTGAACGTTAGCTTTTATAAAGAGTGACGCTATGATGACAGCAAGGACGACTGCAATGAGATTTGTTACGAAAAAGTAAACAAAAGATGATTTTCCAAGTTTCTTCGCGGATTTTTTGTCCAATGTCGCCAATGAAATAATTACACTCGAAACTACGAACGGCAGGACCAACAACTGCAACATTCGAAGGAAAAGTTCTCCTGGAAACGAGATGAACATGGCCAATTCTTTTGGTGTAGGATTCCTTGAGTTTTGAACTATTTTGTTAACCGAAAATCCTGCGATGAATCCCAAGATTACTCCCAGGAGCAACAGAATAAATAAAATGTTCGTTTTGAACCATGCGAGAAAGGATTTTTTACAGTTGACAGACATAATTCTACGTTGAAATGAGTAATTCTCAACTTGATGTGTTTACTGGAAACAAACAGGGTAAACTGAACAGCGTTTTAACAGTTGCTCGTATTTAAAAAAAAAAGGGAAAACAATGTTAGGCGTAAGTGACCGACATGTGATTTAGTTATGCATAATAATGCGTGAGCTATGAATAGTTTGCACCATGTAGGTGTATAACAGCAGGCCGTATCATTGTATAAAGGCGACACGGTGACACTGCACGTAGCAAAGTGTCTGGAAACGTTATTACGGCTTTTTTTATTTCTGGCTTTCTTTCCATGTAAACATAGTTATGACTGAGTTTACGATCTACGATGCGGTTAGCTCGACGTCGCTAGTCAATTATTTTCCTAGAAATAAGCTGCGGGAAATTAATTATGCTGCCAGGACTCTGAAACGTAGCATGCACACCAAGTTTAATCTTTGAGAACTGATTGCTACGTGATCAGAGAAATTGTTATGAATGGTCTGACGAATTAGAGCTTTCATTAGGTCTTAGTTACCATATAAGAGCTCTTATATCGGATTCTAGATTAATCTAAAAGTTACAAGTTCAGAGAGTTAGTATATTTTCATATATAGCTAACTATATTATATGCTATATATACGCTTGTTTATAATGTTGAATATTTTTTCCATGAGTAGTTTCTTGTTCAATAGAAATTTTGTTTTGTAAAGTTTTAAAGTTTTAGAGCAGAAGCACGTAAATTAAAACAGGGGATTAAAATTTAACCCAGGGTTAGCGCTAACCTAGCGTTGAACAACCGGCCCCTGGTAGATTTCTCTCAGTTCAACATCTTCACATGCATGTCCTATATACGGCATGAATTTATATGCACCCTCTATAGCCTATTCTTCAAACGCATGGTTTTTCCTGTAGCGTCTTTAAGTATTCATTTCTTCCTCGGCAATATCAATAGAGACGGCGTTTTTGTGATCACCTACAGTAGTGTTTACTTGTACACCTTGTTCAGTACTAGTGATATCATCTGATGAATTTAGGTCGTTCCGCGAAAAATGATCAATGATAGTACAAGCTACACAACACGACCAAACACTGATTGGTGTGGCGAAACGATCTCTATATAAAAAGAAAATATACTGGATGTTATTATCATCTCCTTATTCCTTATATACAGTGGCGTAGCTAGCCTGACGATTCAGGGACCGCGGAGGGGGGGGGGCTGGGGGGCTTTAGCCCCCCCAATAATTTTCAAAATACATGTGATTCCTTTATAGCGATTTTTATATGGCCATAATAATACGAATAAAAACTCCTTATAGTAAGTTGTGTAATCATAATTATGTGTTCACTATCCGTGTTGGTGAACAATGTTTTCATTGAAGTGTTTACAAGAAAAATATAAACAGATAAGTATGGACCCCCCCCGAGGGTTCACTCTTTCGGCTTCGCTAGCCCCCCCAATCCAAAAACTGCTCCGCGGTCCCTGCGATTTTGTCCCCGCCCGCTATGTAAATTTCGAGTGATTATAATTATTCATATCTTTAGAAATTCATTGTTTTCGCAGTCAATGAACACCAAAATATTAGCATAGCGGGACAAATTGCTACGCTACTGCTTATATATGCCATGAGCATGAAAATTATGGCTGAATGCGACTGTGAGATTATTATATAGTTAAACGAATAATGTGAGCTGTATATATATGTTAGTATATTTTCACATGTGAAGCACTTGTGATCACATATGAACCATATGTGTTGACAGATATTCCCCATGTAACTACATGCGCATCACATGTGGTTCACATGTAGACTCAAAATAACCACGTATATTCACATGTGAATCACATATGATCACATGTGAACCACATGTGATCACATGTATCAACATGTGAATCACACGGGAAACACATATGGTTTGCATGTGTTTTTTCCTAAGGGTATAGTGACATAAATTGGCTAATTAATAAAATTCAAGACAATCATTAACAATATATTATTGAAAGGATGTTATTTATATGCCTTGTCCCAATATTTTTTGTCAACGATTGTAGCTTTGTGAAGAACAAAGCCCCCTCTACGCGTCTACAACACTGCCTTTATTATTTAATCATGCATGCAACGTTTGTTATCTCTTCTAATTCTTTAGATTCCATCTTTATATGTTCTTCATTTAAAACGACGTCAATCGCTACATCATTCGTTTCCCCTGTGACAGTGATTGTAGAACAAGCATAATCAGTTCGGTTGACATCATCAGGTGATTCAAGTTCTCCACGTGAATGTTGAACGACTGCGCAAGCAACACAACATGCCCAGACATTTATAACAGTTGTTAAACGATCCCTGCAAGTAATAGTTAAGTATATTACGAAAGTGCATCAGTGTATGCATGTATTAGCCTATTAGGCCAAACAGGATGCCCCCCAAAAAAGTCATCTATTGAGATCAGAACTTTTGTTTTGAATGTGCGTTGTGACATCGCTGGAGATTCGTACCAATTTTACACAAATAAATTGTTTTTACATGAAATAAAAAGCTATACGCTATAATAATAGCTGTATAACTTTGAATGAAGGGTGCTTTTTGCGGCACCCTTTAGAAGCAAAATATAGATAATGGATCCCTATAGACCAAGTCCTCTTTCGCAGCCCTCTTATTTCTTTTCATCAAATATTACTCAGTAATGATGAAAGAATATAGCATTATGTTATTTACGTATATGAATTGAGGTGAACTTAATGGAAACGTACAAAACCACAACAACAAGGGGAAAAAGGTTTCCACCACAAAACCTTTATGAATAATAAATTAACGACAAATTTGGACGTGTGAACACGTATAGAACTGGTCAAATTTTCCTCCGATTAGTCGTTTTCCGGCGAACTCGACCATGGTCGAATTAATCGTTTTTCGGCGAATACGACCATGCATGGTCGAATTAGTCGTTTTCCGGCAAACTCGACCATGGTCCCATTAGTCGTTTTCCGGCGAACTCGACCATTATCGAATTAGTCGTTTTCCGGCGAACTCGACCATGGTCGAATTAGTCGTTTTCCAGCGAACTCGACCCTGGTCGAATTAGTCGTTTTCCGGCGAACTCGACCAGGGTCGAATTAATCGTTTTCCAGCGAACTCGACCCTGGTCAAATTAGTCGTTTTCCGGCGAACTCGACCCTGGTCGAATTAGTCGTTTTCCGGTGAACTCGAACATGGTCGAATTAGTTGTTTTCCGGCGAACTCGACCATGGTCGAATTAGTCGTTTTCCGGCGAATACGACCATGGTCGAATTAGTCGTTTTCTGGCGAACTCGACCATGGTCGAATTCGTCATTTTCCGGCCAATTGTACCATGGTCGTATTCGTCATTTTTCGGCCAATTCGACCATGGTCGTATTCGTCATTTTCCGGCCAATTCGACCATGGTCGTATTCGTCATTTTCCGGCCAATTCCAGTGAACTCAAATAAGACTGGAACGCTCACTCTGTCGGAAGTTTGAAGCCAAGATGGCGGACATTAAAGCCCACTGAAGCCTTTCTTGTAGGTATGATCCAGGCCTCCGGCGCGGAGGTAAATGGCGGCAATTATGATTTTCCTTTGAAATTTCCGCGCCAGAGGCCTGGATCATACCTACAAGAAAGGCTTCATGATCCGCCATCTTGGCTTCACTCATTAATGAGGGAAAGTCAGCGAGTGAGCGTTCCAGTCTTATTTGAGTTCACTGGCCAATTCCGGCGACCATGGTCGAAATCGTCAATTTCCGGCTAATTCGACCATGGTCGAATTCGTCATTTTCCGATAATTCGACCATGGTCGAATTCGTCATTTTCCGGCCAATTCGACCATGGTCGTATTCGTCATTTTCCTAGTAGAAAACCAGCTAGTGGAAAACCAGCTTAACAGATACGCATCCACGTCCATCTAGCGTATTTCAATATTACATATAACCGAATTGACTGATGACATGCACCTAACCAAAACAGCATAACGCTTGACTTGTGGGATCAGGATGAAGCTACATTAGAATTATCAACTAGGAGTTCTTATTACCGAAGGAAAAACGCTCAATCACCCCTACAGCATTCTAATCACTTACGGCAGTGTTTACTTGTTCACCTTTTATACCTAAACTGTGAAAGTCTATAACTGCATGCAACGTAATGCAGCAGGTAAACGGCCAACGGGTGATTTCACTTCACCTTTACGACTGTGTTTGTCTCCGAAAAATTTGAAACACCACTCATCAGCTCAGGAAATATTTTGCTTCGTTTGAAATGGCGAGGGGTTGCTGCATGCATGTATTTCTAGTAATAACAATATGAATATTAAGTGCTTTATATGAATATTAAGTACACCCTGTTATATAATTACTATATAATTATAATTATAATATAATGCATGTTGATGAAAAAGTCACATGTTTGATGTTTCTTTGAAGATACGAACATCCATACTATTGATTGCGAATAAAATGGAATTAAGGTAACGCATGCGGCCAGCGTGTGAAATTTCGATAAATCATGATGTGAAAACAACCTTTAAAAACCCCGGCAAATGTATTATTGAGATTGCGTGATGGCTGGATTTATGCATACCAGAAGCGCTATTAGTCACCTTCCAGGATCAAAGGCATTAAATGATGCGTAACGTAGGAATCACGCAATAAACAAGGAAATTATAGCTTCAAAACCGCCGTAGAAGTGTAACTTTATGTGTTTCGACGCAAGCTGCTATAACTGATCAACACCGTTTCTAAAAGACCCACTCAGGCATTCTAAAATGGCTGATTTTGTTTATATCTCAATCGGTTGTATTTTTTTTGGGTGTGTTGGCTTTTCCTTCTTTCATATGTGGTTGTATACTAATGGGCAATATGAATCGCGGATATCTGGGATCTCTTTCCGTATCTTCTGCTGCTTTCGTGGCGGGCCTCTATGTAAGTATTAGTACATTACATCAATGATGTCGGTGCGAAAGTTGATACCGACCCGGTTCACTATGTATTGATCAGCATCATGCAAGCACGATTTTGCAATTTCTCATGGCTAATTTTCTACGTGTTTGAATATTTATTATATGCCGGCTTATTATGACTATTAATTTCATGCAAAATCATAACTGCGACAATCAGTGTTGATTCGACTTGCCGATTGAAACTCCGACAGTTCAGTTATTTAACGCTTATAGCTATAGCTATACCGTTTGGTTTTCTAATTGAGTTATTTTACCACATTGCATGCATGATATCCGCAAAAATAATATCAAGTAATGATAAAGTATATTTCAACTGTAAATTATCCAATCGGAAAGCTCAATTTGTACCACGTGATCAGTCAATTTATCATGGAGTTCCATCGAACTTTCCTCACATTATACTATAAAGTCGAATACCCCGCTGCAGCGTGTGTTTGCGTGTTCCACGCGTGGATCCCTCGCACACGACTAGATCGAGGCCACAAACTAAAAGGTCATATTAATATAAATAATAATCATATCATAAATTAAAGTTCATATACTTATTATTCCCCTGTGTCGAGGCTGTCAACAATGGGAAAAGATATAACATACAGTTGTTTCGATATAATATATCATTTATAGACCTCCTGCTCGGGAAATTCGATCAAATATTACCCCCTCGGGAAGATATATTAATATCTAAATCTTTTAAATTATTTACTGAAACACGGTAGCCTCGTCAACTTATATATAGTTTTTCCCCCCGAGGGTCGTCACACATTTATTCTTCAATTGAATTACAAAAATTTACAAAAAATTACATTAATTTAAATACAACAATGTTATTCACAAGATATCAGTTTAAATGCAAAAAATAGCTGCATCTGTCCATGCACCGGTTTTAAACAAAAGTATATACAAATCTATAAGATGATTTTGAAGAGTTGTTAACTGGCCATGCATGCTGTTAAAGAAACAACGCGTACTCCGACTATTTTGTTTGAACTACATTCCGCATGTGAATGCAAATTTGTTTCCTTTTTTAAAAAGTTTATAGCTCCTGGTGTTCTGTGCATAATCTCTGGGAAAAAACAGGGTCGGGCCGTGGTAAGAAAACTAATTATTTTTTTACACTTTAAATCTTAGTTCTCGTTGTAAACGGCTATAAGCCTATACAGCGGCTGGGGCCGCTTGTTCAAAGCTAGGTCAGCGTTAACCCAGGATGGGTTAAATTTTACTCAGCTGTTTTGGTTCTTATGGTTCTGCACTGCTGTTTGTTTCAAAACTTTGCAAAATGAGACTTCTATTTATCCACAAAATATTTATGAGAAAACATGTGCAACTGCATAACCGAGCGATTAAAAATACTGAATATGTAAAAATTCGAGTTAACCCAGGGTTAAGCTAACCGGCTTTTGAACAACCTGCCCCTGGTATGTATATGTATAGTTGCAGTATATAGGTCCTATTAGTAAAATGCTTTTAAAAAATTAAACACGTTAACCCTACCAGTTAGGTTTTTCAACTACATGCATATATAAAGTAATTGCGTAGAGTTTATATGACTGTTATTCCAGTCATATATTCCTTTTTCTTTAAGTTGGGAGCTACCCTTACTACAAACATTATGGGAATGATTCTGTCAATCTCTAGTGTGATCACATCGGCTTTATTCTGGAAAAGTCTTGAGGAAGAATGTGGTAAGTGTGTGCGTGGCATAATTATGATGAAACTGCACGTTTAGTGCAGAACCATGAAATTTTCTTCACTTCTAGGTTCGTTCGGTTCGAATTGTTCTGACATGAAAGTCACAATTAGGGTTACTGTTGCAACTACGATTATCTTCTGTTTGGCCACTATCGTCTCTTTTATCGGATCTATTTATGGTTGTGGCACCACTTGCTGCACCGAACAGGTAAATAAATAACTGTGGATGCCAAATGAAATGGGTCGATTGAAGTCCCGGCTCTCCCCTTGTCCGGGCCCTAGACTCGCCCCCTTTTTGTAGTCATATGTCCCTCATTCACCCTTCCTACTTATCCATACATATCCCATAATTCTCCTAAATATCCCTAAAGAAGAGGTGAAGAGGGAGCAGCTCTGTGACAGGTCTTTGCTATCAATACGATCACGATTTGGTCCCATTTGTATAAAGCCATCAAGCCTATGGCATGTTATGATAATTATGATGCATCCTCTTCGCATTGAAACTGATTGATAAATTGCTTCTGAAGTCCCTGACTGCACGTTGTACGTCGCGCATACATGCATTTATATAGTTGCCCCCTAGGCTGAATTGAATTGCAATTAAATCGCAAACTGACATAGACGAGCCGAGCTCGTGTTTATCATGTAATTTTTGGGTTTGTATATAGAACTATGCCCTTGTATTTAATGAGCCAGACGAAGCTGTGGTTATGGTAACGGCTACACAGTCTAACGCTACAAATGGACCATCTCTGTCCGGTGACAACCCACCAGCATATAATGATCACTTTGGTACTCCAGGCAACAATCAAAATGATAGCATAAATCAGGGACCACAAAGCCTAGTAAATGTTTAAATCTGCATGTCGACGGTATCACAATACCGTCACATAGGTACACATTTATGTTGAACAAAAAGGTATAACTTTGTTTTTATTTTATTTACTTCCCGCACATGCACTATTAGATAAAACGACCTTCAGTATAAAAGTATAAAGTGCAACGCAGACTGTCCCACTCGAGAAACTACAGCTGTAGTTGAAATAAAATTTCAAAAGGGATTTTAAGTGTATTTTTCATTGTATGAAAAAACACAACAAGTAACGTCAAAGATTTTACTTCTGTTACTATTCACTCAAGTCCTCAGTTATACAATGTGCCAGCCTGGGGGGGTACAAAATTAGTTACACTGACTAAAAATTCCAGTAATTAAGTGATTATATAATAACATTGTTATTTTCTGTTTAATAAATACAATTACTTTAAAAAATGATTTAACTCATATACCCTAACGGGCTATAGCCCCAATCCTAAAAAGAAAGCACTCTAGCTTTCACTCACCACAACGTGTTCTCAAGCTGCCTGCGAGTACTTTTATCCAATCACAATGCTTCTCTGTAGATTTTTGATGCAACCCTTGCAATGAACTAGGGCGTGGATTATTGTGATTCATATAGTGAAAAGATGTATATAGAGGCATTGACAGTGTAAATTTGAAGTAGAGCAATATTCAGCTTCTTCACTGCTTGACACAGCTTAGGGCCACTACATGCACCTATGAAATACATTAGACTGATCCCATGTAGTATATTATATTAAAAAGTAACAAAATCACGATGCATGTTCATATAAATATATGCTGCTTTTTGGGCCTGTTCAGACGTTGAACTTTTGATGTGCCGAATCTACTGATGTTATTCTATTCGGCACAAGAAAAGACTAATGAAACGAGCCTACAGGCTTAAATATACACAGACATTCATAAGAACTGCATCGTTATCAATCTTCTTCAATTTCATGTTTATTGTCTTCGTCTTCTTGAACGACTTCATCCGCAATATCGATAACGACCGCATTCGTATGACCTGAATCGGGTGCACCTGAAGCTGAAACTGCAGATACCTCATCACGTGCTTCAGTACCATCATCAAGCGATTGGAGTTCGTCACGTGAATAATGCTCAATTATAACCAAAGACGTACAGTTCGCCCAGACGTTCACAGGGGTAACAATGCGATCTCTATAACATAATTATAGCGACAATTGGATATAACTGGCCATTAGCTAACGGTCAGTCATATAACAAACTGACAGAGGTTATTGAGAAAAAATTGTTGAGTTGAGCTGAATGGTACACAATTTTTGCCGTAGCACACTTACGTCAACCATTCAACAGCAAAGATTAACCAGACGTCAGCCGTTGGAATCCCAATGACTTGTAACACAATGCCTTGAATAGCAATTAGCCCAGACGCAGGAATGGGTGGCGCAGCTAGTGTTGCTATTGTTGATGATACACTATAATATAAATAGCATATATAGGGTATATCTTCTAAAACCTTCCCGATCAAACTTGAACTGGCCGAATTTTCTTAATAACTTCGGGAAGCGCCACCTGATGAGAATTTTTTTTTATTTTGGGGAAAAGCGTTAAAATATATTTCGAGAAAATCGTTTTAAATTTACTGCTTAGAACATATTTAGTTTGCATACAAATAAAACTTTGAACTCCTAGAAAATATACGAATCGCAGAGAATACCTATATACCCGTTCGGAGATTGACGCTTGTTAGTAAATTACCTGATGAGAATGGCTGTACTCACGCTCAGCAAGCTTGGATGAAATGTTTGTACGACAAACATTGTACCAAGAGCGATAGAAGTCGCTGTACCAGGAGCATTTAATACTGTTCCAATAGGAAGCATAAATTGGGCTAGACGATCATCAACGACATTGTTCTCTTTCAAGCAATTTAGAGTAACAGGTAAAGTCGCAGCACTGAAAGAAATTGAAGCGCCTGAATTTCAAAAAATTGATATGACCGCAATCATATTTCGCGCAAAACATGCATGCAGATTGCGCCGAATCACGAAAGCCATCAGCACTACTGAAAATAGTACCTTTATATTACCTTAATCCAATAAAAATGCCTTTAGGTTGATTTTGATTATATTCAACCGAGTAGGTTTTTGCGATGAATGGAAAAGAGCCTTTAGTTAGGCTGTATGCACACGCGGTAACTGGCATTCGTTTTCATGCCAAAACGGTTTCAAACTTGCACCGTCAATTTACAATAGAAGTTGAAGCTAATTTAACATATTAAGCATATTTTCACTTGGTTTGTGTGGAAGGGCATCAAAACAATAATATAGACAAAAACGATTCTGAAAACGCTCGAAAACGAGTGCACATAGCCTTATATATAGTTAGCTCAGTGATAATGACGTTATAAAAAACAAAAGTGAAAGGTGCATGCATGGCATGCATGATCAGTTAATTGGATGTGTGCAAATGAAAACGCGCAATTAAGTTATCACCCACCTGGAAGCGATACCCAAAACAATAACCAATGGTTCAGCAATAAATCTCAGAAGTCTAAAAGGATTTCGTCGCAGTAAAATGACATATATACCAGGGATAACAAAAAGTCCAAAAAGTATAGACGCGACCAACACTGTTATAACATATAGTCCAATATTTTTCATTGTTCCCATTATGTCGTCCATTTCCACCAGCTTGCTGGCAATTATACTTGTGACACCAATAGGCGAAAACCTGAGAATATTTTGAACATGGTATATAAAAATATTATGCTTGAAGTGATTGACTTTTGGTTGGTCCAAATGGCCTCCATATATAGCTGTAGCCCTGATACAATGGGTTCCAATATCATCATCCATTTCATACTAAAACCTGCATTATAATCTGATACATTGGTTAAAAGTATAGTAAAATTGGTCCGGTTTATGCTATAGAGACGGATCATCCGTCTAGACGAACTTAGGCAAGCAAAAGAGAGTTCGTATTCTAGTTCGTCTGTACATGTACATGTGCATGCATGTATAAACTATAATGCTACATAAATTAAAAGCTTAATATTTCATCGTCATACACACCACATGACTATTTCCACGATCTTTAGGAAAAGTTGAAACAAACATGTAAACAAGTCTGTTATAGCTTTTCCTTTGTCACCCAGGCCATTCAAAACAATTCCAAACACTATTGAAAGAACAAGAACACCCAAGAGATTTGCGGAATTATATTTCTCCTGACCAACATATTCATAGATTACATTTCCCTCTTTGATGACTTGTATAGAATCAGCAGATATACTCCAGGGATTGATCTCTTCTTTCTTCAAGAACGATGACAAGTTTCCAGGAGATGATTTGAGGTGAACAGCGGATTTATTTACAAATGTGAAATTTGTTACTCCTCTCTCTAGTTTTGTTCGAGTCTGTGAATACAATTATATAAGAATTTATTGTTTGTTGTTTTATTATAGAAATGCAGGGAGTTCCCTGAAGGATTTCGTGATCTGTGCATGCACGAACCGTACGTAAAGAAATATCTCGCAACCAGATTTGCTAATTTATGATGAAGTTAGCCCGTTATCTAGCTTACGTAGCTTTGGTTTAGTCACAGTTAGTGGTTTAGTTTAATAAGAGATGGCCAGCCTCGGCTCGTACCCAGGCGCTATGAAAGCTTTGAAAATGGCTGGCAGCCAACTGGATTAATTCTCGAAATTTTATGCTGCGATATGCAGTTGTATAAATATCCTCCTCAAATACCTCCAGGGGCTTAGCTTAAACGGTGGATAAGTTCAAAATGAAAAACAAAATTATCATTTTATTGGGCAAATGAGCTGAAATGTTTCAATGTAGCTAAATAGTTTAATTGTCAATGGAAGTATATATTATCAAAATGCATAAGATGCAGGTTCAGTCATTCACAAGATCTATTTAAGAGTATTTTTAAACTTTGGCTTATCCACCGTTCAAGCTACACGCCTTTCGAACAACCCCTGAATGACAACCGGTGTATAGGCCACATAAAACATAATTAGACGAAGCTCGTGCGGCTCTTATAATGTGTAAACACTTTTGTCTGCTCTCAACGAAAATCTACAGGTGACCCCTGTATCGTCTTATAGCGACGGTATCTAAAACTAGAAATATTTATTATGGTATTAAAAAAAAGAGAAAACTACAAAAAGCCGCGCTGATGTACAACTGCAGTTACGACAATGGCCAATAGATACAACGTTGAATCGTTCATGGTCGACGTTTATGCATGCATATATAATGATAAGAAACATTGCAATAATTTTATATTGTGCAATATATCAGTTCTCTCTACAGAGTACAGGGTGTTTCAATCGGAATTTCTAATTTCCATGCAAGTAATCCCCTGCAAAAATATGTTTAGTACGTTTCCAGACAGCAACCTTATTAATATAATAAGTGTCAAATTATTATAGTCTATATGCCCTGAGCCCCATATATTTTACACCGTAAATTTTGAATATAAAAGATTAATACTCATGCAGTCTTTTGTCGAAATGTTTTACCGTAATACATTTCTCAAAATCCCTATATACATTCTCACGCGAGAGAAATATATTATTGTGCGTGCATGACAATGTCTATATAATTAAAACTCCATATACTTAATATATGTAAAGTAAGATAGACACTTACAGATGAAATACTAGCTTCAACGATGTTGTCAGGAACCATGTTTCTGAAAAAAAAAGAATGTTGCAATTTTCGTGTTCCATGCTGAGCTTCGGCCAACTCAATCTGTTTTTATTATGTTAATGGTGTCGAACTGGACTGAAATCTGCATGTCGAAATGTCGAATGTTTAATGTTAATAGCAAATATAACCGTATAAGACATGATGGTGATTTATATAAAATGATTTATTTATATGTAATTATTTGTTTTATGATATCTATTATGATAGTTTAAAATTTATATTTATATTGTAGTAATATACTTGATCAACGGAGTAACACTATTATAACTAAACAGCAAATTCGCTTTGAAATTCGCTTTGCATCTGCTTATAAGCAGATGCAGACTATATAATCTACTTCAGTTCATATGCGTGACTCACCTTATCATATCCAATATAGCGTAGATAGGACTCGAACCAGCCGCCTCGGCATCATCATTTCCATGATCATGATCTTTTGGTTTTATAATGAGTGCGCCTAACGCAACAGACAGGCTGGTTGCGATCAGAGTTGTGACCAGGTAGTAGATTACTGCACGCTTTCCAAGTTGCCTTACGGTATTTTTGTCAAGCTTTGTTAGAGAAGTTATAATGCTCGATGCAATGAACGGTAAAACTACAAACATCAACATTCGCAGGAATAATTCCCCTGGAAAACCAATTAACATTGCAAGTTTTCTTGATTCCGATGATTGTTGAACTTCATCGTTAAGGAATATTCCAAGTAAAATTCCCAAAACTGCCCCCAGAAATAAGGATAGAAACAAAACGTTATCACGTAGAACTTTGAGGAACGACTTCGACATATCGAGTATATATGGAGTGATTGGAGTCCTGCCAAACCTCGACGTGGCTGTATAATACTCTTCCTTATTATATGATTTTCCACTTATATGATCATGGATGACTGCAATTAACTAAATGTCGCCATCAAAAGTAAGGATTTCTTGTCGAGACAAACGCAATAGTTATGTCCACGAATCGTCTGGAGTTTCCAGTTACCCCTACGGGCTTAATTAGGACCATTCATATGTAGATCGTATCCTGGTGGAATTATATTTTTAGACTATAATTATTGTTCATTGTGTTCAACTGAACTGCGAGCACTCTAATAATTAGAATTAATATTTTTCGGTCAGTTTGGTTTTTGAAGCAATTATCATTGTTTCGATGAAAAAAACTGGATATAGTACTCTACATGCAAAATTGAGGCCAGAAACGTCTTGAGACTCTTTTACTCTTAGAGCTTTCAGAGACTTTCTTACTCCGAAATTCTCTTATCAATATAGGTATTTTCTGAGTTGCTTCATTCAGTGTATTATCACATCAGACAGCGACGATGTAGACCCTATAGCTGAGTGACGCATTATAGGTATTTCGTTTAATAATTATTTGGCGTCATCATAGGGAGTGAATGCATGGCTGAATGCAACCAAAGCATTGCAACTAAATAATTATAACGTATGCAGTAACAATTTGTGTGTTAATTAAAAAAAAATTAAACCTATAATCAATTGATTTCGATTGTATGCGCGCCATACTTCGTCTGATGTCCCTGAGTGCATGACATGGAATATCAGCTTGTGGTTTGAGTGTTATAGACGTATAAAAAATTTCAGAACTGCCTAATTTCGGATTTTTCTTTGTCGGTCCGTTTAATGATATTTTAAAGACTTTTATTGTATTAATTACAATACCTCTGCATGAGAGTTTGAAACATCCTACGTAGAGATGAAACTCACGTAGAGATGAAATGATTGGTAATATATGTTGGGCAATTTGTTCTCGACGGTTGGGCAATTTTGGCTGAAACCATTTGTCCTCCCCCCTTTCCCTACTCTCACATGTTGGGCTTGGTGCCTTATCTAAAAGACCGACAGGTAATGGAGTGCACGCAATTTGAGAAAGGTGGTCAATGGCAAGCAGCAATTTGAAAACTAACTAGAAGGAATACACAAGGAAACCACAAACTGTCAGTTTCAGCGTGACTTCGTCAGAAGACAGAGCCTGAGCTGCTAAAGGAGTATGCAAAATTCATGGTGACAATATATCTGTGCATCAATAAATCACAATATATAAACAATATATTATTGAAAGGATGAATCTTTCTGCTCAAACGAATCTCCCCGCGCCTCCCAAAACATTGTTGTATCGTTTTGCAGCACAAATCTTTAAGTGATTTTACCTCAGTTACGTCAACATTGATTTGGGGTGTGGGACGGAGGTGAAATAATGCTAATTTCGAGACTTTCGTTAAAAAAGTAATATTTATATGCCTTGTCCCAATATTTTTGTCAACGATTGTAGCTTTGTGAAGAACAAAGTCCCCTCTACCTTTACAACACTGCCTTTATTATTCAATCATGCATGCAACGTTTGTTATCTCTTCTAATTCTTTAGATTCCATCTTTATATGTTGTTCATTTAAAACGACGTCAATCGCTACATCATTCGTTTTCCCTGTGACAGTGATTGTAGAACAAGTAGAATCAGTTCGGTTGACATCATCAGGTGATTCAAGTTCTCCACGTGAATGTTGAACGACTGCGCAAGCAACACAACATGCCCAGACATTTATAACAGTTGTTAAACGATCCCTGCAAGTAATAGTTAAGTATATTACGAAAGTGCATCAGTGCATGCATGTATTAGGCCAAACAGGGTGCCCCCCCAAAAATATCATCTATTGAGATCAGAACTTTTGTTTTGAACGTGCGTTGTGACAAAACAACGTGCGTTGTGACACCTCAGGAGATTCGTACCAATTTTAAACAAAAAAAATGTTTTTACATGAAATAAAAAGTTATAAGCTATATTAAATATACAAAGGTAAATCTATACGCATGCACGTTGCATTTCAAGCTCGAGGCAGCAGGTGCTAATTCAATATCGTTCCCCGAGCCTACGTTTTGTGTTACTATAGATTAGGTCTAATACGCGGCATTAATTTCAGTCGTCCATGCACAACAAATTGTACTTTTTGTTTGAGAAGTTTGCTCCAGCCGTATCATGGCGACCCCAGATGGGTACGTTTCTTAATATTTCTTGCTACGTTGAAAGGAAGATCAGTGAGTGTAGTTATGGCCTACGTTTAGATTTTTACTCACATTAGCCAATCCACAGAAAGCACCAAAGAAATGTCTGCTGACGAAATGCCGATCACTTGTAACACCATTGTTTTCGTAATTATTGGTGCTGATCCAGTAATCGGAGCTGCTGCTACTGACGCTAATGTTGCTGCTATGCTGCAAATAGAAATAGCATTTCAAAATTGCTATCTTATATAAAGTTACTGGGGTATTTCGCAGTTTTGCTGTAAATTATTTCCTGACAAGTATTGTCGATTATCGTCGGTATAACAATGTGTAAGCTATCCCCTAGTGGTTGCTACCTACCAAATTAACACATAAGAACTCATGTCTAAGGTATCCGAGGTATCCCCATGATAACTTTTCACAATAAATATTGTTGCCACAGCGATGTATATTGCACCGCCATCTTTGTTAAGTGTCGTTCCAATTGGAAGAACAAATTTTGTTACGCGGGGATCAAGCTTGTGGTTCCTTTCAAGGCAATCCAATGAAACAGGGATTGTTGCAGAGCTAAAACAAAAATTATTTTAGGGCTCACCTGTAGTAGAAGGATGCAAACATATACGCGGTGCGAACAAAACAATTCTTACCTCGAGGCCGTTCCAAAAGCAGTCAATAGGGAGCTTTAGCAGTGACTACGAGTACGACTACGAGTACGAGATTCGTCATTCTCGCGCGTTGTTTGCTTACGCCATCAACCAAAACTCGTAGTCGTTGGGCTTTTGAGTACGAAATTTATCAAAAAACTCGTACTCAAAAGCCCAGCGACTACGAGTTTTGGCTGATGGCGTAAGCAAACAACGCAAAAGACTGACGAATCTCGTACTCGTAGTCGTACTCGTAGTCACTGCTAAAGCTCCCTAATAACGCTTTTGAAACATCTTTCAGTAAAACAAATGGATTTCGTCTCAACAATACAAAGTATGTAACTGGCAGGACAACTAATGCGTGGATCAAGGATATTATAACAACCACTAAAATATAGGGTCCAAGACTGGAAACATTTTTCTTTATGTCTTTCATGGCTGCTAATTCACCAGCAACGATACAACCAATGCCAATCGGTGAAAACCTTTATTTGCAATGGTACAAAAAATCATTACATGGTTCTGGGCTAGAGAACATCAAGTGCAACAAGAGTCCAGCGTTTTCACAATTTCCTTCAAAAACACTTTATATGACAACCATGAGGGAGGGATTAGTTTTAATAGGATATATTATGTATTCTTTACAAAAGTTATTTATTTCTCTCTTTTTTCATTACCACCGCGCTATGAGGAATCTGTGGAAACCCTTATAACACTGACACTAGAATAGATATTCACGACTGAAATAGCTCTTGCAATGTTTATACACAGGTAATAATGTACCTACCACATAAATAGATCCACAAGTTTCAGGATGAGATTAAATAAACAGTTAAACCAGTTAGCGAACGGTTTTCCTTCCTCTCCTAGGTTGTGCAGGATTATGCCACAAACAACGGAGAATGTAAGAATACCCAAAATATTCGCGGAGTTGTATTTCTCTTGGCCATCGTATTCTGATATTACGTTTTCTTCTTTAATTACTTGGACATTGTCATTGCCTGATATACTCCAAGGGTCAACAACCTCGTTCTTCAGGAACGAGGATAAATTTTTTGCTGATGATTTTAGATTTTCAGCTGTCTCATTTTTGAATCTGTACTCCTTCACCGTTTTTTTAAATTTTGTCACCGTCTAGAAAACATAAAACACAGTAAATTATTCAAACTTTAAAGTTTTCCGCCGTGACTACTAGGCCAGAATTCCCTGCAAGTGTCACGGCTTGTTACGCCATTATGCGTAAGGTCTATCACCCCCCCCCCCCTTGCCATTATTTAAAAGCCACACATACCGATGAGAAGCTTGCTTCCACAATGTTATCAGGAACCATATTTCTGAATAAGACGAATAAGTTTTAATTAATCACTTTGTCTTAATATTAATCAATTGAACGAAAATACGCGTTTGTGGTAACGATATATACCTAGATTTATAGTTATTTAAGTTATATTGTCATAATATTTAACTCTGTGGATAAAAGTATACGACTTTACAAACTTTTCAACGTTTTCTTTGTTCTTCAGTTTGGGTGTACATGTGTATAGCATAGCATAGAGCATATCAGGTTAATTCAATTTATGTGAACAGTTTTCCCAATTGAGTGCAAAATAATGTACGACTTAAATGCAGACTTAAATGTTTAAAATAAACGTACAACGGTAAGTCTATATATACTGTAGATTGCGTCACAGATAAAATTTGTAATGAGCTTAGAGAAAGCACAGAGTGAGCACAGAGAAAAGACCCTGGATACGAGGTTGGCATGTATTTAACATTTAGATTTACCTTAACATATCCAAAATGGCATGGACGGCAATGGATCCCTTAGAACTACTCTCATTGTGTACATGATCTTCCTGAACGTTGGGTTTTATAAAAAGTGACGCTACGACGACAGCAAGGACGACTGCAATGAGACTTGTTACAAAAAAGTAAACAAAAGATGCTTTTCCAAGTTTCTTGGCGGATTTTTTGTCCAATGTCGCCAATGAAATAATTACACTCGAAACTACGAACGGTAGGACCAACAACTGTAACATTCGAAGGAAAAGTTCTCCTGGAAACGAGATGAACATGGCCAATTCTTTTGGTGTAGGATTCCTTGAGTTTTGAACTGTTTTGTTAACCGAAAATCCTGCGATGAATCCCAAGATTACTCCCAGAAGCAAAAGAATAAATAAAATGTTTGTTTTGAGCCATGCGATAACGGATTTTTTATTGTTGACAGACATAATTCTACGCTGAAATGAGCAATTCTCAACTTGATGTGTTCACTAGAAACAGACAGTGTAAACTGAACAGCGATTTAACGGTTGCTCTTATTTAAAACAGCATGCATGTTCATGTCATAGGCGTGACCGAGATGGGATTTTGTTGTGCATAATAATTCTTGAATTCGCGCTATGTACGTATACTGCAACAAATGGTACCATTGTAACGCTAACACTACACGTAGCTACCATTGTGTATATAGCGAACTACCGTAATTATCAGTAGCGGTTAAAACGTGTTGGGAGCGGTCCGCCAACGCGACGCGCCCGAATTTCGCAGTTTTTTTATGGAGAGGCATGTTCGTAGAACTTAATTATGGCTTTATTCTCACGATAGAATGATGTAAACGCGTTATGAATGAATGCTCTGACAAATAAAAGCTCTTATTAGAGATTAGATAGACTAATCTCATAGACTAGACTGCTATGACGTATAAAGTCTGTTCACACGATCTAATTTTGTTCGATCCGATTCACTTCTGATGGATGTTTTATGGTCTGTTGTCTTGTAATGCACTGCAGCAAATCAACTGAAGCCAATCACCACGGCTTCACCAATAGCCGACTATATTTTTATACGTCAGAATTAAGTGAATTGGATGCAACAAAATTGGATCGTGTGAACAGACCTTAGGAATTCTTATATTAGGTCAAAATTACTAGGTTCACGAGTTTATGTCAGTATATTTTCATATATATAGCTAACATATTATTTTACATTCATAACTGATCTCTGGGTAAATGTAGATATATGTTTTGCATGGGCAAACAACGGCGGAATTGGCAAATGGAAACTGTATCGCCATAGAGCCTATGGCAAGTATTAACAGAAAACTAGCTATTATTTTTTGGCAAAAATTGTTATTTTGATCATAACCATTTTTTTTTCGTATATATATTACATGCAAGCATTGAGCTTAATTATCCGTGTAGTTAGACACTGAATAAATATTGCTCTGCGATAACAAAGTCAGAAATTGAGGATATTTCTTTTGTAAGAAAGATTTTCTTACAAAGTGTTCAGCACCTGAGGAGCTTTCAATACAGCGAAAACGTATGTGCGAAATGATTAGATTTAGTGTTGTTTGATATATCCTTTGTTTGATCTTCATCGCTTCCTAGACGAACTTTTAATATATATATATATATATATATATATATATATATATATATATATATATATATATATATGTGATGACAGAAACTAACAAGAGGGCTCAATGCTTGCGCAGAGCTGTATAACACAGGATGAGAGACACTCAGAGAGAGTTACTTCATCGAATTTTATTTACTACAGAACTGTTTTGTATGACAAGCCTTAGTCTGATGAAAAATAGGGCCGGGTTACCTCATGCTGAAGATTTAGGGAAGATTCGGGAGGTTTGCTTAATTGTAAATGAATGTTGTTTCACAATGACCTAACCCCCCCCCCCTAACAATTTTCTAGACGGATTTCAATGTTTCAGAAAATGGTTTTTCGAACGATTAGCCCCCCCCCTGGCTACGCCCTGCACGCCAGGCATCAAACAATAGCTATATTTTGAAGTCAGTTTTCATCGGGTTTTTTCGTATCGACGGTGAGAAAATGGAAGGGTGATTTTTTATTCCCTATTTTCGCTCTTAGAATTTCAAGTATTACTTTAACAAAAGCGTTGAAGTAAGCAGAAAATTGCTACTGGTGTGAGGAAACCAGTAATAATTTGTGTTACATACGGCTCTGACTTTGTTTATCAAAAGGAGTCTATAATTTCCATCACTGTTGGAAAACTGTGGAAATTATAGCAGCATTACCTCACGTCCGCGTCAAGATTAATCAATCTATATAGCTATAGAAAGTTAATATATTTTCATATTTAGCTATTAAATTATATTATTTGCTATATACATTCATGGCTCATCTGTGATAAGATATGTAGATATATATTTTGGGCAAACGCCACGGAAATTTTTAAATGGAATGTTATAATCGCCAGCCCCGTTTACATGCACTACACTCAATTTATTGGTACGGCACGGCTAAAATCTGTACCCATTTTAGCCGTGCCGTGCCAATAAATTGAGTGTAGTGTAAACGGGGCAAAATTATATGTGATGTGATTCCGTGTGTCTGTCCCCTTGTTGGCCTGCATTTCTGGCCATGGATAAGGCATAGATTAAAGCATGCAACTACATGCATATTTTATTTCAATAAATATATATATATTTATTTAGGTGCTATATAGCACCTTTTTAAAATTGTACGTCTAAAAAATATCAAGAACAAATATGGCTATTTTGGTAGTAAAGTTTACGCTTTGTAACTATCACCGTGAGAATTGCTTGGAATTCTGTGTTTTTGTTAACAAGCGTATAAGACAGAGAGGCGTTGGTTTGTCTTCAACATCTTCACATGCATGCATGTCCTATGAACTGCATGAATTTATATGCACCCTCTATAGCTTATTCTCCAAACGCATAGTCTTTCCTGTAGCGTCATTACTTATTCATTTCTTCCTCGACAATATCAATAGAGACGGCGTTTGTGTGATCACCCACAGTAGTGTTTACTTGTACACCTTGTTCAGTACTAGTACTGATATCAGTACTAATACTGATATTGTCTGATGAATTTACGTCGCTCCGCGAAAAATGATCAATGATAGTACAAGCTACACAACACGACCAAACATTGATTGGTGTGGCGAAACGATCTCTATATAAAAAGAAAGAATATATTGGATGTTATTATCATCTCCTTATATATGCCATGATCATGAAAATAAAGGCTCAAAGCGACTGTGGGTGCATGTGAGATTATTATATAGTTAAACGAATTGCATAAATATACTTACAATAGCCAATCAATGGCAACTATCAGTCCAATATCAGCATTTGGGATACCAATAGACTGTAAAACAACGCTTCGAATGGCTATTGGTGTAGACGTGGGTATAGGTGGTGCAGCAAATACAGCTAATGACGACAATATCCTTAATGAAAGATAATAATGGCCGATGACAAAAACTAATGAAAGAAAAGACCATCTAAAATTTTTATTTCTAGGCTCCAAGATTAATTGGGTGACTTTTAATTTTGGTTTAATTTGCACAGGATCCAAGTTTGTCTTTACATGACAAAGTCATGCTGCATGTACGTAGATATATTCAGTAAATGAGTATTTACCATATAAGTATCGATGTAGTGAAATTCAATATTTCGGGATGATATGTTTGGGTAATAAATACAGAAGATACCGCGATATAGATAGCGGTTCCAGGAACGTTTGTCACTGTTGCAATTGGAAGAAGAAATTGTGCCAGACGCTCGTCGACAAACTTTCCCTTCTGCAGACACGACAGGGTTACAGGAATCGTGGAAGTGCTGTTTAAAATAGAATTGATATAATTGTTCATTAGTCGACCCAATTGCAAGCTTTCAGTTGCTTTATCAAAACTCGACTGATTTTTCCACACAATTACCTTGACGCCGCACCAAAGGCAGTGGTAGTTGCTTTGGAAACACAATAGAGTAGTCGAAATGGATTTTTTCGCAACAAAATTGCATACATAGCGGGAAGAATGACAAGTCCGTAAATCAAACAACAAATAATGGTTGTTGTAATATACAATCCAAGATCCTCTACTGTTTTTGTGATATCTTCCATTCCAACCAACTCGCTAGCAATTATACTGCCAATACCGATCGGGGAGAACCTTGAAAGAGTAATTTTCAGAAGTTATTTGCTTAGAATGGCTATGTCAAACAGTTTTAAATAAAAATGAATGAGGCTGATTTAACGAAAAAACAATAAAAACGCTTTTGCGAATGTTCTATATAACAAGTAAGATTAAGTTCGTTTGGACATATCATATACGATAAATGAAATATTTCTATATTTGACAGATTCTTTAATGATGTATGCATGTCTAGAGTAATTTATACATGTTATTGAAAACGCCATTATGAGAAAGCCAGTTAATAAGTAAATATTGATATAAAAGTTGATCTGCTATTAAAAACCGCTTTTAACATAAGAGTAATTCAAACAATTTAACATCAATTAAAAAATACTTGTGCAGAA